TAAAGAGGACAAGGTTTTCTGGCTTATATGATAACATATACTATTGTCACATTTTATTTGGTCTTAATGTGTCTTCTTGTTGGCTTATCACGTAACACGTAATTTAATAGAGATTTTTTTAAAATAATAATAATAAATAAATAAATAATTATTCAATAAGAGATAATAAAAGTATTTTATATAACATTTAAACAGATTTATTGATAACTAGTAACAAAATATTTTTAAAAAATTAAATTGTTGAATGCATTTTCTCTGTATTTGATTTTAAATCTTGATTTCAATACTAGTTTTTTTTTTAATTAAAAATAGGAGTAATATATTAATTTTGAATAGTAAAAAAATTAGAAAGATAAACATATAAATTATTTATTATTATTATTATTATTATTATTATTATTTTTTTGTATAGTATGAAATCTGTCTTTGATAATATAAAAATAATATTTTGTTTTGAATCATTGATTTTTTTATAAATGATAATATATATATTATATTAATGTGTGTATATTTGTATTTTTAATAATATTTATAAATAATTATTTTATTGAGAAATATTAAGTGGATAAACCGATTATTGTTTTTAATTTCCATTAAATTACATTATATCTACTAATTAATTTAAAGTGCCAATCTTATGATTACAACATATATGAAATTTGCTTCTTCTTTTTTTCCAAAAAAATATTTTATAATTAAATTTCAATTAAAAGTGTCTATAAACTTTACAATACTTGTTATTTGATCACTTTCAATATAATTTATAAAATATATTAGATAAATAAATAAGAGCAAAACTCGTTATTTTTTTAGTGCACATTAGATAAAAAATTTTAATCGAATATAACAACCTGCAAATTAGAAAAGACTCGATCGAAAAGGTATCGACAACGTTCAAAATATCATAACACGTCACTACGTCGTCCTTTCACGGTGTTTACTTTTGGTTATAATTTTATTTCGATATTTTTTCTAGGTAAAAAAATCTATTAAATTTTCGGTTTTAATTTTATCAGTCTACAAGAAGTTAATCAGTCGATACATAATACTACTTGTGTCTCGGAAAAAAAAGTATCAATTTGCTTTTTATAAGTACATTTTTTAATATTAGTATTATATTTATAGATAGTACAGATTAAAATGTAAATACAAATATAAATTTATTGGTATTGTGTAATATAAATGTAAAAAAATTTGGGTAATACTATATTATAAATTGTTAAAGTATTTTAATATTGTATTAGATATTTAGAGTTTGTTTGTTTAGTGTTTTGATTTGATTTGATTTTTTTAATATAAAGTATATAGAATTGTATCGATTATATAAAAATAATATTTTATGTTGAATGTTAATTTTTGTAGATAATAAAAGAATTGTATTACATATTGTGTTGAAAAAAAAAGTTTGGGGGCATTGATAAGTTGTTGATCCGATAAAATCAATATATACTATTTGACGACCAATATATATTTATACATATTTCAACATATTTATAATAATACAATATATATTATATCATAATTCAGTACATGCTGAGATATGCATAAACATATATTGGTCACCCATTTGACATATGTTAAGTTGATAACTTGGTCAAATCAACACCATGCTGACTTGGCCAGACCAACACAAGATTTACAACCAAAGTTTGGGCAAACAAACCCTTAGTATAATTACTAAAAAAAAAAAGATAATTTGTTTTAAAACAAACGAAAATTAAAAAAAATAAATATTTTGTTCAGGGCGGAAAGAATATTAATATTTCATACTCCCTTAGTCCGCCATAAATGATTTACTCCTTCTGTCCCATATAAAGGTTACCATTTACCTTTTACACGTAAATTTTTTAATATTAGTATTATATTAGGTTGCAGTGAAAAAAATAAAAATACTTCAATTAGTATTGTGTATATAATGTACTGACATATGTGTAATATAGTATAATGTGAAAAACTATTTACTATGTTAGATAGATAGTACAATTACTAAATTAGGAAATGATAATCTTGTTTTGAGACGAACAAAAATAGAAATGAACAACCTTTCAATGAGATAGATGGAGCATTTTTTTTATTCCCATCCTATAACAGATTACTCTTTATTTATTTTAAACATATTTAATGAATATAAATTAATTTAATTAAAATTTTAACCTCTTATACATATGACACACTTTAAAAAAAATAAATTATTAATATATTTTTTTAATAAATAAATATTTTATTTATTTATTTGTATTATATATTAACTATACGCTTCAGGTTACCTGCCACACATGGTTCGCCTAATCTGACTTTCCCGTCAAACTTGGTTTGCAGGGTATTAGGTTCAACCGGAAGTTTACCCAGTGCACACTTTCGGGTAGCGACTGCGAATTCCCACGCCATCCAAAAAAAACATATATATCTAAACCCTAAACCCTAAACCCCAAAAAACAAAACAAACACATTACTAAAGTTATGCACAATTTAAAACAACTTTATACAATCACAATTTTATTTAAGTTATGCACTAATTTTCTACTTATTTTATTTTCTTAAATAACTTATTTAATCAATTTTCTATATTATTCGTCAATTTTTCTTCCTAAAAAATATTGAATCAAATATATACTTCTTATTAATTAATTTTATATTCAAAATATTAATTATTTATATCAAATTATTTAACTTATGTTGGAATCTCAACTTGAAATTGATATACCCAAAACAGGGATTTTGTAGAATTTCTACTATTCTCAAAAAAAAATTTCCTTAAAAAACATCAAATCAAACATTTATTTTTTATTTTTATATTATACTAAAAATTAATTTTACATTCAAAATATCACATCAATTTTTATTTATATCACATCATACAACTATTCAAATTCAATTTTTTTACTATTAAAATCTCAATCCAAAATCCAAATCATCGAACAAACACACCCTTATTTTACTTTTTATACTCTATTTTATGTATATTAAAATATTAGGATTTATTTATCATTTTTTCTCTTCCAACGAAATCTATTTTGTGTTTGGTTGCCATTTCGATATGGGTTGGCATTATGCTTTTATTTTTTATTTATAAAAAAATATTACAGGATTCTTTCAAAATTTATTTAAATTTTTTTACATATATTTTTTCTCTAATAAACAAATTCTCTATTTATTTCCAAAGTTAATTTATTTTAATTATAACTAAATATTTATATTTTATTATTTATTTATATTATATACAGTTTTATTTTTAAAAAATAATATTTATATTGTATATATTTTATTAAAATTCCATCGCTAATTAAATAAATTATTTATAATTCAATTTTCAACTAAAAAATTCAATGGATAACTAAACACATTATAATTTTAACGTTTCCATTATTTAAAATATAAAAAATAAAACTTTAAAATTTTTTGTTAGTTACGCTTTCCGTTCCATTGAAAGGATGTCGTTTATTTTTTCATGACATTTTTTTAATATTAATATTATATTAGATTGAAGTAGAAAAGATAAAAATACATTTATTAGCATTATCTAATATAAAAATAATAGCACATTGAAAGCGTATTTATTATATTAGGTAAGTAGTAGTACAATTACAAAATTAAAAAATAGTAACTTTATTTTAAAATTATAAAATGATAACTTTATTTTGAGACAAATAGAAATAGAAATAGAAAATGATAATTTTTTAATTGGTAGAGAGTACTTTTTATATGTTAATTTTTATATAAAAATAATATTAATTTTAAATATAAAAAATTGTTTAAAATAATATATAAAATATTATATTTAAATAATACTCTATCCGTCCCGGTCCAAATGGGTCTTTTGGTTAAAAAATTATAGTATTTTATTAGTTCGTTGAAGGGTGTAAGATGTTTCGATATTTTTGTCATTTGAATTTATGTAAAAGTAATAGTATATTTGTAATTTTGGTAAAAATTAAGTGTATTTTGGTATTAGTGTATAATTATTTTTAATAAAATAGGAAAACGATACTTTGGAGTGAAACATGAAAATAGTAAAAATATTACTTTGAGTTGGGAGGGAAAGAGTATATTTTCCGTAGAATAAAAAGTAGAATAATACATTGACACAAAAATACTCCCCATGCCTCGTTGAAAAGTTGTCATTTTTCATTTTCGTCCCTCAAAAGACAAGGTCACTATTTTCTAATTAGTAATTGTATAACTTACATAACATAATAAATTTCTTCCAACTTACACTATATTACAAACAAAAATGTAATTACTTTTATATTATATAATACTAATAAAGATATTTTTATTTTTTTCACTACAACCCAATATAATACTCTTTCCGTCCCATAACAATATATCTATTTTTATATTTTGGTATGTCCTGTAATAAAATATCAATTTCCGTTTTTAGTAAATGTACTATCTACCTAACATTACAAATACTTTTTCAATTTATAATATATTATACACATACTTTTATATCATATAATATAATACTAATAAGGTTAATTTAGTCTTTTTATTTTTATTTCTACTATATCAAAATATAATACTCCGTCGGTCCCATATAGAGAATAACATTTGTTTTTTACACGTAAATTTTTTAATATTAATATTATATTGTATTGTAGTAAAAAGACGAAAATACTCTTATTACTATTGTGTAATATAAAAATAGTGACATTTATGTAATATATTGTAATTTGAAAGAGTATTTATCATGTTATGTATGTAATACAACTAAATTAAAAAATGATACATTTATTTTGGGATAAACAAAAATGAAAAATAAAATTCTTGTTATGGTACAGAAAGAATACTAATATTTCTAAAATTTCGTACAAAAAGAATAAATTGATAGATAAATATAAGACAATGAGAATATTAATATTTAAAATTTTACGTGTAAAAAAAAAAAAAAAAAAAAATCAACAATCTTTATACGAAAATTAAAATTGAATAAATAAAATTTATGATTCAGAGATAAGTAAGGGAGTGTATATATATTATATATATCCAAACACGTTGCTTTTCCCTACCACTGACACAGCTACAGCTACAGCCACTGCAACTGCAACTGCCACTCTCTCTCTTTCTCTCTCTCTCTCTCTATATATGTATATGATGATGAAGATGACGATGAACCTCTCTCTCTCCTGCTGCTGTTGCTGTTGTTTTTGGTTACGGTGATCCATTGAGTTCTTCTCTTCTCTTCCCTTCTGCAATCATCAATCACTTGTCAAAATCAATTCTCTCTTCTGTTCGATCCATTCATCCATCCGGTCGGCACTCCTCTTCTTGTCTCCTCTCTCTCTTTCCCTGCAACTGAATCCCCTCTCTGCTAGAACAGTGATTTCTGCCGCCTAAAACCCCTACACACTCCTCCTTCCCTCTCATTTCGCCATTAATTTCTTTCATTGCAGGCGTTCCTGTTGATACTGAGTCGAATCACTGCTTGCTTTGCTGTGTTCTTTTGTTGATTTTTTGTTTCGATTTTGGTAATGACTCACTTGTAGCTTCACGGATTTGATTCCTATTTCACGCCATGGATGTCGCTTTTCATCTCTGATTTTGGCGTTTTCTGCGCAGGTTTTGTTTGTTTGTTTGTTTGTCGACGGTTTCCATGGAAAATTGCTTGGATCCGCAGCTGTGGTTCGCCTGTGCCGGCGGAATGGCGCAGGTTCCGCCCCCAAATTCTAGGGTTTATTACTTCCCTCAAGGTCACGCCGAGCACGCCAATGAGACTGCGAATCTCGCCGGATTCGGTAAAATTCCGCCTCTGATTCCTTGTATTGTTTCCTCTGTGAAGTATTTGGCCGATTCTGAGTCCGACGAGGTGTTCGCGAAGATTCGGTTGGTTCCGGTGGCTGGGGATGACGAATTTGGGGATGAATTTGTTGGATTTGATAAGAACAGTGTTGGTGAGATGGAGAAATCGAATTCGAATTCGAATTCGTTCGCGAAGACACTAACGCAGTCGGATGCGAACAACGGCGGCGGATTCTCTGTGCCGCGGTACTGCGCGGAGACGCTCTTCCCGCGGCTGGACTACACGTCGGAGCCGCCGGTGCAGACGATCCTCGCCAAGGATGTCCACGGCGAGGTCTGGAAGTTCCGCCACATTTACCGGGGGACGCCGCGGCGGCATTTGTTAACCACCGGCTGGAGCAGTTTCGTCGGCCGGAAAAAGCTCGTCGCCGGAGATTCCATCGTCTTCTTAAGAGCAGAGAACGGCGATCTCTGCGTCGGTATCCGCCGCGCCAAGGGCGGCGGCGGCGGATTCGTCGCCGTCGGCGATGGCGGTAGCGGGTGGAATTGCGGTTACCGAGGATTCTCCGGCGGCGGCGGGACTGGCCGGAGAAGTGAATTCAACGACGTCATCACCCTCGCGGCGCGGGGACGAGAGTTCGAAGTCGTCTACTACCCACGCGCAAGCACGCCGGAATTTGTGGTGGCGGCCACCTCCGTTAGGGCGGCAATGGGAGTCCGGTGGAGCTCCGGGATGAGGTTTAAGATGGCGTTTGAGACGGAGGACTCGTCGAGGATTAGTTGGTTCATGGGAACCGTATCGTCGGCGTTCGCCGACGATCCGATCCTTTACCCGAATTCACCCTGGAGATTTCTTCAGGTGAATCAAAATTATCCACCCTAATCACACAGAGTAAATACATCATATCTATAAAGAAAATTAAAAAAATTTACTTTTTCACCTCGATTTTTAACAGTAAGAGTCTTATTTATAGGTTATCTGGGACGAGCCGGAGTTACTACACAACTTGAAGCGCGTAAACCCGTGGCAAGTCGAGTTGGTGTCGAACGTTCCCGCCGCCGTCCATTTCTCACCGCCGAGAAAGCGGGCCCGGCTACCTCAATTTCCCGAGATCACAATCAATCGGGCCGGGCCTGGGCCCAGACCCTCGTGTTACTTGCAAGAAGATGTGCTATCCGTTGGCATACAGGGAACCAGGCAAACTCGACAATTCGAGTCAGGCTATATGGGCCTCAAACCGTTCGATTTTAAGCTACTCGACTATTCGGGCCCGTTCCCGAGGTTTCTCATGGGGCATTCTCTCGAAAATCGGTCGTCGAAAGCGGGAAGCTCGACGGTAGAATTGGCGAAAAATGAGGTTTCTAGAGGAGAACCGATGTTTTTGTTGTTCGGACAACCTATTCTTACCGCGGACCAAATTAAACGAAGCTACTCAGGTAGTAACAATAGTTTGTCTGAAGAGAACGCGGCGAATGTGTCTAATGGGTCGGGTTCGGGTGTGATTCAAAGCTTTTATCCGGAGGCGTCCTCCGACGGGGAGTTTCCGGCGCTTGCGTTAGCGTAATAAATTCGGGTTGGATCAGATCAGATTTCGGATTTCGGGAATTTGATGGGTTTTCAAATGTAAAGTTGATTTTATTACAACTTTAGGGTTTTTTTTTTAATTTATTTAAATTAATTTCGTTTGTTATGAATTGTTGTTGAATGTTTTTGAAATTTATTTAAAATATTTTTTCCGTTGGATATTTAGGAAGAAAATGGAATAGCAGCTTAATAATATTATGCTTTACGAGTAGAACAAATAACAAGTGTGCATAAATAATAAAAAGTAAAATTTGGTATAATATTTTGTAAAATAATATATATTTGATATGATATTTTTTAAAAATTAAATAATATCAAAATTTTAAAAATATATTGTATAAAGAGAGCTTTAATTAAACACAAAATCAACTGTAATTTAAGAGAAAAAATTAAATAAAATAAGATTATTGTGCCCTTATTTTAATCACCACTATAACTATATATAAAACTTCAATTGAAAGAATGGTATTACATGATTTAAAAGAGAAGGAAAAATGAATAATGATGCAATATGATAATATGGATATTAGTTTTTTCATATATTTTTATTATGTAATTTTACTATTTTCAATAAATATATTTATTTTTTCTCATAAATGGGTAATTTTTTTTTTATTTTCGGCAATTTTTTCAATCTTAAAATACTTAACAAATATAAATTAATTTAATTAAACTTTTAATATTTACACATAGATCCACTCAAAGCCCTATATTTATATATCTCTCCTAAATTAATGTAATTTTGTATTTATCTTTAAAACTCTTTATTTTTTATAAAACTAATCATGATAAATAAATAAAAATATTTTTTATTTATTTGTATTATATAAATTTTTATTATTTACAAAATGATATACATATTGTATATATTTTCTCGAGATATAATTTTAAAATTTTTTAAAATACCAATAATATTGCTCATATAAAAATAATAAACTAATATCGTAACTTATTATTAATAACTTACTAATCTACACTACCTAAAAAAATCGTGTCTCTAACAAAACAGTTCATCTGTCGCGGGACGGAGGGAGTATAATCTTATAATGTAAGTATTTTTTTTTCCTTTCTAATTCGATGTATTTTTTTTTACTATTTTCATTTATTTTATTCAAAATTATATATTTTGATTTATAATAAAAGTAATCATATATAAATAGTAAAATTACCTCTAATTTTTTCAGAAAAAATTATATTTTTGTAGTTTTTAAAAATAAAAACTCCTATTAAATCATCTTAGACATTTTCACTAAATAATACTCCATCCGTCTTAATATAATAGTCTTATTTACCATTTTTGTCCGTCTCAAAATAATAGTCTTATTTTCATAAATAATCATATCACCATAAAATTATCCCTACTTTTTCATTTTTATTACACAATTGCCACTACTTTTTACGTTAATACACTCACAAGAGTAAAAAAATCTTTTATCCATACTTTTTATCCACTGTCAATATAATATCAATGTTTCTTATTCTATATCCAACCCAATTAAGACTATATTTATGAAATATTATAATTTCATATTACACTAAAAAAATATATATATATATACATTTTTATATTTTTGGATACATAAATATAATGTTAGAGATAATATTTTTGGTGTAATTATTATTATTATTATTTTAATAATATTATTGTTAATGTTTTGTGCATTAATATTAAGGGCGTTGAACCCAAATTCCCAAGTGGGGAAGCAAATGAAAAAATTCAACTAAATTAATTAAAATGAGTTGGGATTTGGGTCTTCTATAATTATTATAATATATTTGTAATAATTAATAAATTAGTTAAAATAAATTTATAATAATAATTAATAATAAATTAAATTTAGGGATTTGTGTGAAAATTTCATGTCATGTGTCTGTCTGTTTAAGACAACACAACACACTCCAGTGTTGGTCAAAGTCAATCATATGCACACTTCTCCTAATTCCACTTAAAAGCTCCCGGGACCTCCACACCACATCGTGTAATCTCTTCCACTATATTTCCATCTGGTTCTCAAGTCGAGGGACCCGTTGACAATCACGAACTTAATCTAAATTTATCAGTTTTTGTAAATTATTTTTTTTAAAAAAAAAAATTCCCTATATCATGTTTTTGAATTTTTGAAATTTTTGAAATTTTTTAAAAATAATTAAACTTAAGTATTTTATGTAGTAATATTTTTTTTAAAAATACACTGCTTCAGTCATAAAAAAAAAATATATTCATTTAACCGGATACAAATTTTAGAAAAATAAATTTTGAAAAGTTAGGGCAAATATATAGTAGTAAAAAGTAATAATCATATTTTTTATTAAAAATAAAATCGAGAATAAATTTAAATAACAAAAAAACAAAAGTAAAAATAAATATGGATTACGGATGAAGTATATATTATTGAGAGATATACAATGCCAAATTTTCAAAAAAAAAAAAAAAGCTATATTTATATAGACAATTTTAAAATTTTTGGTAATATTTATCCATAATAATTTTTTGAAAGAAATATTACACAATTTTTTTCCACTTACAAAATTCTACATTAAATAAATTTACATTTTTTTTCAAAAAAAAAATTCTATTTAAACAATATATATATATATACACACAAAACATAAAAATTTTTATACTCATAATTGTTATTCATTTTTAAATACTCCATCCGTCTCAATACAATAGTCTTGTTTATCATTTTTGTCCGTCCTAAAATAATAGTCTTATTTTCATAAATAACCATATTACTATAAAATTATTCTTATTTTTTTCGTTATTATTAATCAATTTTTACTACTTTTTACACTTAATATACTCACAAGGGCAAAAAAGTATTTTCCACGTACTTTTTTATCAACTACCAACATAATATCAATATTCCTTGAATATCCTCCCAAACACAACCCAAACTATAGTTTTATTTATGATTTTTAATTAGGACATAATATCCAAATTATATTACAGTAAATTAATTAATTTATTTATGATTTAATTAGGACATAATAAATTAAGAGTCACGTGAGAGGCAGGCGGCCCAGAATCAACGGTTGCGCCGTGTTGATGCACTAAATTAATTAATTTTTAGTTTTGGGAAAACTCAATTAATTAATTAAATTAATAAATTATTGCTACAAACATAAAGTCAATTTATCCAACTGTTTACCAATCAATGTTTTATTTTTTTATTAAAATAAAAAAAATATTATATATATATATATATATATATATATAAATGATAAAATTGATGATCGTGTGTAGACAACAATCCTACGAATTAGCTGGCTGAGATTATCTTAAATTTAAAATTTTAATTTAATTTAATTTTTATTTTTATTGTAACACTAAGCAAAAGTCTTTATTCATAATCTTATTTGGGATTATCAAATCTGATCTCATTTCTGATTTGGTCACTGAAATTAGATAAAAATAATTTTATTGATGATGAATTAATTAATTTATTGGGAATGAATGAAACTAAACTTTAAAACAAATGACAAATTTTATTTAATTTTTTTTAAAAAATTATAACATTAATTTGTAACAAATATTATCACCATTTTCAAGAATGTTTGCAAATATGAAGCTATTTTCTTTTCTATTTTTGTAAAATAATTTTATTATGAAGTTATTACAATTACTTATAAAAAAAAAATTATTTTCTACTATTTAAACTGAAAATTAATTAAGTGTATTTATTTGGTATTTTTTTTGTTTTAATTTTTTTTTTTTCCTGGCAGATACTTAGAAACATATCCATTGAATTATTGATTTTTTTTTAGTAAATAAAATATTATATATATATATTATAAATTTTAGTTATATAATTGAGAAACATATATTTTCTTATTAGGTTAACACATTCTAAAATTTTTTTTACTTTGATAATTTTTCCCATTTTTATGCAATTCATGTTATTGCAATGTTTAATTTATTGAAACATAATTTATATATATATATATATATATAAATTCAAGATATTTGATATAATGTTTTGACAAAAGACTTTTGGAAAAAGGTTTTCGAAGGATCTATTTTATTTTATGGGTTCAGTTTGATAATTTTTTATTTAAATTTTGTATAAAAACATATTTGACGAAATAATTTGTAAGATAGAATAGTATTTTTATTTTTATTTATTTTTTAAAAAAGCAGAGTTCAAATTGTCAAATTTGAAAAAAATAAAATCATAAGTTCAAAATTTCAACGCATTCAGGTCTTATTTGCCACGTATGGTTTGCTTAGTGTGATTATTGTCACACCTAATTTTCAGAGTATTAAATTCGGCCAAAAATTTATATAAAATTTATTTGAAAAGTAACGGTTGCATGTTTTCATTTCATAAATTAATATATATATATAATTTATAAGACATTCATCTTTTTTTTCTTTCTTCTTTTCTTCTTCTTATTATATTGCTTTAATTTATTTTAACCCCTTTCAATATTAACCATTTTCATTAATTTACATAATGTATTATTTTAAATTTTATTTTGGTATTTTTTATTTGGAGGATATTTTGATGTAAATTTTTTTATTAAAAATTGCAATTCTTATATATATATAAGAAAATACTAAAAGAACATAGCATTTAATTTGATTTTATTAATTAATTGTCATCTCGAAGATAGAAAATGAGGTTTTAAATAGTTTGGAATTGGCATTAATTAATTAAATTAAATTAAATTAAATGTAGCATTTGTGAACACAAAGCAAACCATTTTATTACACAATTAATTAATTAAATAATTAATTATTAATTATATATTAGTTTTTTTGTTGGACAATTAATTGAAATGTATGTGTACGAGGACAAAGCGTTGAATGTGAGGAAGAAGAGGAGGCATCTTTCATTAATTAATTTAATTGCTATTTATTTATTTATTTATTTTTAAAAAAAAAAATCTAAATGAAAAAAAGGATTATTTTTTTAAGAAAAAAAAATTAAACCAAAATTTACATTATTCAACAAAAATATATCACTTTCTCTCTCTGTCCCACATTGGATATCCATATAAGAATTTAATTAGTGGATAATTAAAAATATATTAATAAAAAATTAAAATTAAAATAACTAATTAGTTTAATTTAAATTAAAAATAAATTAAAGTAAAAAATTTAAAATGAAAATTAAGGTGTGTAATATGGACGGACAAAAACGACTAGTAAGTGGGACGGAATGGAGTTTTATTTTTTCCGAGAAAAAAATCATATTAATATATTCCCTCCGTCTTAATACAATAGTTTTTACCATTTTTGTCCGTCTCAAAACAATAGTCTTATTTTCATAAATAATCATATCACCATAAAATATAATTTTTATTACACAATTGCCACTACTTTTTACACTAATACAGGATAAAAAAATCTTTTATCCATACTTTTTACTCACTATCAATATAATAATAATATTTTTTAAATCTCGTGTTCAACCCAATTAAGATTATATTTATGGAACGAAATGAGCATTTTAATTTGATATTTTATATAAAAAGAAATTTCCAATATATTTTTAGTGTGAACCCGCTTTTATTTTCCATGTTTGCAAAATTATGATTGTGTTTGGTTGTATGTTTCTAAAATTCCTTTTGTCTCACTACAAAATATCTTTTGAATTTTATAATAGATAAAAAATAATAATAATAATTTTTTAATTAGTATAAGTGTTTAAAAAATTTTGACATTTTTTTCATTTGACTTTATATTAAATTAATTATATGTGTACTGACATGTTTGTAATTTATATAAAAGTCAGAGATATTTTAGTATTAGTATACGATTACTCTTATTAAAAAATATAAAAAAAAAATGAATACTTGTAAACAAAAATGATAAAAAATATATATATTTTTTTGAATTAGAACAGAAAGAGTATATTTTTACTACTTATAAACTCTTTCCCCTCTCAAAATAAAAAAAAAAAAATTAAATAAATGAACTAAATCGTCTTGTAATAGATAGTCCGGTGGTTTGGTGTGAGTTGTTTTACGAAACTTTACTTACAAACTATTAAATTCAATCAAAAATTTATACAAAACAAACTCGATAAATAGCGGGTTTCACAACACTGTTTAATCAAGAAATAAATACATACATAGTACTATATTTTGTCTATACTCAAAATTCAAGCAAAATATAAATGTATATATTTTTGCTCAATAAAAATTAAAATAAAAATTACATTAATCTTATAATTATCCATGCATATATATATATATATGTATACAAAATAAACGGGAGGAGTATTATATGATTTCAGGTCTTGTTTGTTTGTCAGGTTTAATTTTGGTATTTGAGTTTTAAATAATACTCCATTTGTCCGTCTCTAAGGGTCAAATTTACATTTTGCGTCATTATACTTAACATTAAAATATATTTATATTTGTATAATTTTTTGTACAAATGTCATTCTATTATTATTACAAAACACTAATTAAAATATTTTTGCAGTTTTTTTTTTTTTAATTTGTACTACGTTTTTATATAATAAATGAGATATTTAGAGCCGAACATAGATAGTAATTTTTTTAATTAAAATAATTATTTTTTATACTATAAATAATATTGATTTGATATTTTGAATGTAAAATTTATTTTAATATAATATAAAAAATAAAAAATTGATACTCCCTCCGTTCACCGCCAATCTATCTATTTTGTCATTTTAGTCTGTTCGTTGCAAATGTATCCATTTCTTCTTTTTAAGTAAATGTACCATCCACTAAAATATAAAATTACCCCACCCTTTATATAATATTACACAAATGTCATCAAATAACACCACTTAATACCATAAATATTAAGGGATATAATAATCTTTATGTATGTATATCAATTGTACCACATATCAATATAATACTAATATACTAAAATCTACGTGCAAAAAATAAACGGATAGATAAGCGGTGGTAAATGGAAGGAGTATAATAATTTGATAAAAAAAAATATATATATATATTAACAATAATAATATGCATATACATAAGTGTGTTTTACACAAAGATACACAATAATAATAATAATAATAATAATAATAATAATAATAATAAAATAAATAAATAAAAATAATTGCAAGATCCAAGAAATGGAGAGATGTTTGGAAAGGTCAAGATTTCCTTAGCAGAAATAATTAATAGTAATTTTCATGGGAACACATTACTTAATTTGTGCCACTTTATTTGTCGTTAATTTAATTAGGTCAACACACACACTAAGCCATATATATATATGTATATATATTTGTGGTATCCAAAGTATTTTACCGTTGTCTGAATTCAAATTTTTGTAAATGCAAAAAAAAGATAAAAAAAATTGAATGTAATATTTTAAATAAATGTAATAATTATTGGATGTTTGAATAGAACATAACTTATGAATGCAATGTGTTCCAAATATAAAGTACTTATGTAATTATACCACATTTTGTCTTCCATTCATCGTAGATATGAGAATTTAGATAAAATATAAATAATAAATAATTAAAAAATGTATTGATAAAATGATTATTGTACGATAAAATTAATTGTAGATTAATATTAAAATAACTAAATATTATAAGTAAAATTAATATTTTTTAATAAATTATATGATTTTAAATTTATTAAAGTGTATAATTATATTTTTTTAAAAAAAATAGTAGAAAAAAAAAATTGAAGAGAGAGTGTATATTGTTGGATGGTACAAAATTACAATTCATCTATCATAAAATATAATATATATCTATATATAAGTTCACATTCATTATTATAAAAAATATTCTCATTTTTCTTTTTAGTTAAAATTATATTACTTGTTACACTTTTTAATCATTTTTTCTATTTTGTTTTTATAAAAAGACAAAAAATACAAACCACACTAAAATTGATGTCAAATTCAAATGAACATACTTTTATGTGACAAGAAGAAATATTTAAAATCACAAATAAATGTAAAATGCTACTTAATTATTTTTTATAAGCTATCCAAAAGTGCGCACTCGGTAAACCCCCGAACCTAAAACCCTACAAAACCAGATCCGACGGAAAAGTCACATTGGGCGAACCATATGTGGCAGATGACTTGAGGCGTCGGGAGTTTGAACCCATGACCTCACAGTCACAGGTTCAACCCCTACACTACCGAGCCATCCCTTACGGGACATGACCACTTAATTTCTTGTTTGCATGATGGATCGATATTAAGAGATTTTTGGATACGAATAAAGTTATATAAATGATGAACAAATATGAAAATTGTCGGAGAAAATCCACCGGAAAATATTGAAGCGAAGCAGTCGAGAAAATCGATAGAAATTGCTTTGTAAGATTAAATGGAAATCGATAGATCGTATAATTGACAAATTCAAATAAAAACAATGGCATGTGTTAGTTAATATATAATTTAGAGTTGTGGAAATCTACAAAAAATTATTTTGAACTCGACTTTAATTTGTTGCCAAAATAAATGTTCAATAAAACAAAATTAATTGTTACTTTTATATATATACCTAGAGCGTATGTGGGTTTGTCACTTTGTTGTGTGAAAATAGGTTAAAATAAAACAATAATTAAAAATTACGTACATTAGTTTATAATTTAAATATTAAAAGGTATTTTCAAAATCGATCTTTAAAAAAATAAAGACAAAATTTAAATACTACTACTATAACATTTCAATTAAACCATCCCATCACAAACTTAATTTTAACTTTAAAAAAATTACACAAATAGTAATATTATTATTTTTTTATTTAAAACATCATATCAAATATATATTTATATAGTATAAAAAAAAATCAATTTAAATGTACATAAAACATCATATCAAATATATATTTATATAGTATCACAAAAATTACTAGTGGAAAATCTCGGATACCCGATGATTCGATCCGAATCACCTATGGGTATCCGAACCCGGAAAAATATACATAAAACTCAGGTTGGAATAGCAAAATTTACCAACGGAAAAATATCGGATGGATCGGTCCGATCCACCTAAAGTTATTTGAATCCGAAAAAATGTACATACAAGTCGGGTTGGAATAGCAAAAATTACTAGTGGGGAAAAATTGGATACCCGATGGATCGGACCCGAACCACCTAAAGTAAACCCCGAAAAGTGTACATATAAACTTGGGTTGGAATAGCAAAAACTACTAGTGGAAAATCTCGGATACCCGATGGATCAGATCCGAACCACCTATAGGTATCCGAACCCGGCAAAATGTACATACAAATTAGGTTGGAATAGCAAAAATTACTAATGGGAAAATATCGGATACCCGATGGATCCGACCCAGAAAAGTGTACATATAAACTTGGGTTGGAATAGCAAAAATTACTAGCGGAAAATCTCGAATACCCGATGGATCAGATCCGAACCACCTAACTGGGTAAACGACAATCTTAAACAATCAACACATAGCATAAGAAGAAAGAATGGGAAAAAACAAGAAAAAAGAAAAAAAGAGCAATAGTAAACAAACAAGAAGAGCAATTATCCTCAGCAATCCATGCAAGCAATTTATATGTATATAATCAGCTATACCTAAGTTGCAGAAAATAAGCTACTAATCATCTCACATGGATCATGGACTATATATACACAATACATACACATATATATATATATTATAGCGCGCTTCGAATATAGTACCTGGAAAGCAGGCAGACGGGCGCTTGATTTCTGCATATTCTACCGTTGGAGGGGACAGCATCGCAGCAACGAATCACATACCCGTATGCATGTCCCTCCATCGATCACAGGCACCTGTTTGGATCAAGCCATTCAGAAGCACAAGAAAAGCAGTTATACTAGTTCCGGAAAACACTCGGGAACGAAAGGACTGGTTGTTTTTTAACAGTTTTGAGTATTCACGAAAAAAACGGGATAAGGTTTAAAAGAAGGTAACCTACATATGCAGTTTCACGCATTCGATCGAATCCCTCCGACTATATTTTGAGATCTTTGAAGTCTTCATAAGGTGGTGCTCTTAAGCCGGCGGGCAGTTTGCCGACGTTGGGAATCCAAGACTCGGCTTGAACTTTCGAAGCTTCGGGTTTCGGTGCCACGGGTGGTAACTTGCAGCCGAGAGGGTCCTCGACTCGAACGGCGGGGCGCGGGACGAGCGGCGGGAGTTCGTCGATCATAACAGGGGTGGGAGCGAAAGCGGGAACAGCTTGCCTGATGCAGACGGAGGGCGCCATGCCCAATCCCGGAGGCCTCATCACGAGAGACGGCTGAGGGTGAGGAAGCAGCGGGGCGGAGAAGACAGGGATGGTGTTTCGAACCGTGACAGCTGGAGCTATTCGGTTGTGTTGTGGAGCACAGTGTCGGACAGGGATGTAGGGGGCGGCTCCAGCTGCGGGGAATGACTTCTGGGGGCGGTGTTTGAGGGTGTCCGGGGCGGGGAAGTGGCCGGGATTCGGCGTCGGCGGCGGCAGGGGCGGGGTAATTTGATGGGTTTGAGTTGGTTTCATGGTCTTGGGGAATGCAACAGCTCCATTGTTGCGGTAAGGTGTTTTTGGGCATATCAAGGGAAGGATTTTCGATGTGGTGGGTGGAGATGGTTGGGTGCTCGACGGCCTCGGATTTAGGGTAGGGAATTTTATGGGAAAGGGTACGCGGGCTGATTTTGCGTTGTTGAGGTACTTTTGAAGAGCGCGAGCCACCGTCACATGCTCCTGCTCGTCCTTGTGGGGCTTCTCGCTCGGTGTATAAGATTGCTGCACTACTGGAAAGAACAAATGATATCAAGTGTTAGATTAATCGACGGCAAACAACCTACACATAATCGTAGTAGTTAATTATCTGAGTCAATTAGTTGAGGCGCCGTTTTCATTTCCAAAGTGGTCAGCGAGCTTTGAAAAACCATACTCAAAAGAACGATCGATTCAGTACTCAGTAATACGGGCAAGTATAATTTAAGCTCTATAAATAAAAATAGATTGATCCATTTCATTTTTCTAGAAACATTCAAAGTTGACCGAAAATTGTGACATGACCATTATTAAGCACCCATCATCAAGGACCATTATTAAAAATTGCTCTATTTTTGCCACTGCCTATAAATTATAGGATTAAATTAAAAGAAAGTATAAGCATTATAGAAAATAAGCGAATCAATTAGGCAGGCGTAGGAACGCTTCTAGCATCAAGATTTTACTTTTCAATTAAAGAAATGTGACGTGTAAGAGATAAAATGGACCCTATTTAAGCCGCATTGAGATTATGTAAATATGGTTACTTACGTGCTTTAAGAGATAGCCATGCCGCCTGGGCTGCGTTCTTTTCTGCTTGCTTTTTGTTCTTAGCTGGCTCACCAGTAAATATAACACCCGCCAATTCTACGGTGCAGGTAAATACTGGAAGATGTCCTAGGCCACTTCTGAAGGTTGTATAAGTAGGCAAAGATGCTCCCACTCGCTGTGAAACCTCCTGCAAGAGATTCTTATACACGCCGGTCTCATCCTGTATTGCAATTTAACAGCATTAGTGAACGTTAAAATAGAACTTGAAACCTCAACATGACAGCAAACGATGGCACAGAAGGTTTGCTTCTCCAGAAATTTAAATGTTATCTTAAATGGTAACTATATGTTTATTCATAAATTATTGCCACTTTTCTTTAAATGATGTGCTACTAAGTAGTTGTCAACAATCTATCAAATTTAATAACAAATATGTAATTTCTGATCTATGACTATTTATAAACTAGCTAAATTAAATGTGTTGCTAGTTCTGATAATATTTTGTAGTTAATGTAAAAAGGTATGGGATAACTAAGTACTATTTTAAGTATTTATCTACTAAATTCTTGTATGAATGGGGTAATGATACTAATCAAACAGCTAAATGTGGATACAGCTAAATATATACATGTATATATATATATATGATAACATTGATACATGGCTTAAAATTTGTACTATTTACATTAACAGGGATTATCAGGTACGGACCCTGTTTTGTTACGCCTGATATGATCTTAGAATCACTCGATTCAGTTGAAAAGTGAAGCTTATTTATAAAATTATAAATCTTTTTTAGACAGTAGTGTGACAAATTAAATCCTACAATTAGATATCATACAAAGATTACAATGATTGGTTAATCAACCATGTACAAAATCTGGATTTTGTTCGGCTCGTCCACAGGCCACCAGAATTTATGCACAATTCATGTGGCGAACATCTGCTGAGAAGAGTAGATCAGTAATTCGTGTTCGCCAATGCTTACTCAACGAAAGTAAAACCCTTCTTAGTTTAATAATCACCAAAAGCTTTATATCATCTACAAGAAAAGATCTAAAAGGAAACATATTTTCCAAGATCACATCGAGGAACTCAAACTCTGCCTTTTGATTGAGTTCAAAAACACATTGGGAAAACATGGGCCATTAATCAAGTTAAGCATTTTGAGCCTTAACAGTAAACGGCAATACACACCACGTGTCCCGAAACCACTGAATGCATGAGTGGGAAGTGCAGAGATGAGGCCTATAACATAACAGTTACCAATCAACCGGAAAAAAACAAATCAGAAACCATCTCTATTTGTCAATAGGCCCACAGCCATTTGATTTCAATATTTATTGGTCAAAAATAATAATAAAGAAAGAAAAAAAACCGAATGGGCAACGGTCACATTACCCGTGTGCGTCCAAAACATGCTACACACTCCAAGAACGACTAAAACACGTGGAAAATGTGAACTTTGGAAAAGCTTATTAGTCATTCAAAGCACAATTACAGCTGCTAAAAGGTAAATACTACTACTAGTAGTTAAAGATATGGGTTTAGACGGCATAAGGGCCATACGTATCATATTTCAAAAGTTCAAACATCTCCCAACAGAAGCATTCAGTATTAAAACATGTAGACACATTTAATATACATGACATACCTTCATAATTTGACAATGGCGTATAAAGGATATCTACCCAACTACCTCATATATGCAGCAAGACATACACTACTCAAAGCACATCATAAAAGAGCTTCAACAACAAGATGATCAATTAAACTTTCCAAATATGGTATCAAGTGAGAATGGCACAACACAACCAAGACAAATTAAATTTCATAAAGTAACTATTACCATAAGAAACAAATGCAACTACTCAAGTATTCACTACCGGTTTTAACACCCAATTCTTCTTCAGATTCTTCAAAGACATTGAAAAAAGATAAAATAATAAACATTAGCATTTATAACTATGGCCACATTTTCTCTACTCCATAACTGGAGATATAAACTAGTTATTTACTTCGATCTCTTCTGCAATTCTTAACACAAATCCTAAACACAGTCAAGCAAACAAACTGTACATATTTTGATTTCCCCAACACGAACACATCGAACAAGATTATGCAGAAATAAGATCAAACATACCAAAAAAGATAATTAATTTAGGTTTTTTTTTTTTAAAAAAAAAAAAAAGACGATAAAATCGTTAACAGCTCACCAAAATCCTGGCGGCAAGAGAGTTGGACGGACCACGGCTAGAAAGAGCATTGAGCGCCATCTCAGCAGCGGAATGCTCCGCCTGGCGGAGCGTGGAGCAGTAGCTAGGGCTCTCAAACGTCTCGCCGTTAAAATTAACTGCGGCCTTGAACCGCGGCGCGTGATCCGGACCTTCCCTGATGCAGGTATAGGACGGCAGATTGAAGCAGCTCCGCTGCGCCAGCTCCTGCAGCTGGTTCTTATACATGATGGCAGCAAAGCAGAATCCCCTCTAAATCGAGCAAAAATTCAAGCCGAACAACACCGGAATCTCGGCGCGGTGGTCGTCTAAGCGCGAGAATGCATCAGATCACGAGGCTGCAGCAAAGATCGAGCGGTGGTGGCGGTGGTTAGGGTTTCGGCCTGCATTTGACGATAGATATGGCAGAGGAGGTTTTCGGTGAGGTTTTTAGTGAGAGAAAATGGACTTTGGCAGTGCAGTAATAGTTTTGGCCTTAAAATACAACGTGACACAGAGAGAGAAACAAACAGAGAGAGAGAGAGAGAGAGGATTTAAAGTCTCATAAATACAGCTACGCTCATATATACATATATATTATGTATCTATACACTATACGTATACACACTGTAAGTCTCATTTTTTCCGGTTTCTTCTCGCTTCTATCTTTTTCTCTTTTTATTTTTTTTCTAAAATTTTAAAATATTACTCCTTTCGTTTAAATTATTTCAATTTGACAGCGAATTTTTTTAAAAATAAATAAAAATATAATTTTTTCTTTTATAATAAATTAAAAAAAAAATAATATTATTTTCGTTCGATTTCCTTTTATATTTTAATATTTGAATATTAATTATTACATCAAAATATAATACAAATTAAAAAAAAATTACAAAAATAATTTCATTATTATCTTATAATACTACAAATAATTATACAAATAAAAAAATATTTTAAATATTAAATATAATAAAATGTGCTCCTTAGAGAGAAAGCAGGAGTATTTTTTTTACTTCAAAAAATAAACGAAAATAAATTTGGATAATAACAGTAAAAATAAATTTGAAAGATAAAGGAAATAGTATTTTTATATGACTACTGTCACAAAACTGTGCCGATTTGATCGAATATTTATATTGTATATATTTTATTGACATATAATATCTAAAAATATTTAAAATATCAATACTAATCATTAAAAAATAATAAAATATTACATAACTTTTTAATCTACACTACATAAAATACTGTATTTCGACCAAATTGGTTATCCGATCCGGGACAGGGAGAATATATATTATATTATGTATTAACATGTATTGTCGAATATAACTATAATACTACCTCCGTCCGGCCTTAGGTCTCATTTACTTTTTTTTCGTATTGATTTTTAAATATTAATTATTATATCAAGATATAGTACGAATAACAGAAAAAATTACAAAAATATTTTTATTAGAGTTTTATAATACTAATAGTACAAGTATATTTTTCTATATATTTTTTTTATGACGTGAAAATCCGTAGCTGTTACCCGAAAGTGCATACTGAATAAACCTCCAATCGAATATAATACCCTGCAAACCAAGACCCACTTCAAAGTATATTTATAGTATAATATAATAAATAGAGCATACTTATAGTATTGTCGCAACAATAGATACTTTGTTTGTCATACCACAAACATACCTTTTTCTAATAAAAAAATTGTATTACTTTTTTAATCAAAATTAATACTATTGTTTCTATATATATATATATATTATGTTTTTAAATATATATTATAGTGTAAAAAATAAATAAATTTATTTTTTTTTACGTAAAAATATCATAATGTAAGAATTTTATTAATAATTCATAAGAATTAGAATTAGTAACAATTGTTTGGTTTTAATTTGAAGACGTGAGTTTAATTTAAATTTTATTTAAATAATATTTTATGATAGAAATACGACGGGGATCATAAGCGACTATAGTATCGATTAGGTCAAATGAAAATGGTTCTGAATTGAGTTAATAAAAATATAGTATAACAAAAGTATACGACATATATTATAGACAACATAACATATTGATAATACTCTCGTATATTTTGTCGTTTTAATATAAAATATGTTTCTATGTAAAAATATATGTTAAATCGACCCAATCAACAATTATCCGTACTTAATTTGTTTACTTTTTTTTATTTTTCGTATGTTCCACATAATTTGTCATTTATTTTATAAATATAATTATACATTTTTAATCACATTTTAAAATTCACAATTTATATTTTTTTTTTATTTTAATTAAACAATTTAGTCATCTTAATATTAATTTGTAATTAATTTTTTAAATCATAATTATTTTTACTAATTTACTTTTTAGGGTTTGTTATATCTAATTTTTTTTCCAATATGTTTTCACAAAAAAATTAATATACTAGACACATTCATTATTTTTATATTTCCTACACTTTCCTATATTTCACGTTATTTTATTTTATTTTATTTTTCCAAAAATCTCACCAAACAAACACAATTTTAATTTACTAATTATACAATACCTAAAACTTGGTCTTTAAGCTAAATTGAACAAATTAGCTATGACGGAGAGAGTACATTTTTAAAATTAAATGGTGATAATTTTATGATACCTCGGATTTAGACCGGTACTAGGCCAATTCTGTGTATATATGAGCCGGTACTAAAATCGAATAGAGATAAGTAGATTAAATAAACTACTGTATCAATAATATATACTTATTCTGTCTCAATACAATAGTCTTGTTTACTATTTTTGTCCGTCTTAAAATAATAGTCTTATTTCCATAAATAACCGTAACACTGTAGAACTATTCCTACTTTTTCATTTTTATTATATAATTGCCACTATTTTTTACACTACTGTACTCACAAGGGCAAAAAGTCTTTCATCTATACTTTTTACCAACTACCAATATAATATCAATATTCCTTAAATCTCGTACTCAATTCAATTAAGACTATAGTTCTGGACGGAGGGAGTACATCTTTTTTCTAAAATCTTACTGAAATAACTATAGAGTAAGGTGCGCAGTCCGCGTGGCTTGCCAGTCGGATGTTACAAATTTAGATTTAGAACTCAAATATTAATTTACTATTATTTTAACACGATATAATGATAATGATATAAATAAATATAAACTTAAAAGTATTTATAATATATAATTAATCATAATATATGTTTTATAAAATATTAAATTTTTATTTTATATATATAAAATATACTTTCTATTATAAGTTTATTTTAAAATTAGAAGAGAATAGTAAAAATAGGATCGAGCATAACATATTTTAAAATACAATTAATTTTACAATAGTATTTTAAAATAATACATTGTTATTGCATTATCTTTATTATATTATTATGAAAAATGGTATTTTTTTCATTGCCTTTTGCATATTTTATTCATTTATATTATTATGTAAATATATTGTATAAAATAAATTATTTTTTTTCCTTGAGAAATATAGAATATAATAAATTTGTTCATTTATTTTTTTTTTAAAGAATATATTAATTTATGTTTCAAAGACAAATAAATATTACTATTCAATTTGGAAAATTTTCAATAAAAATAGTGAGTGTTTTGTTATATGTCCAAACAAGAACTCGATATATACATATTTACTGACGTAAGAATTCGCAATCGGCAAATTAAGTTGCTCGAAGGTGTCTGGAAGTTTAAAATATGGTATTTTTTTACTCCATTCGTTCCAATACAATAGTATTGTTTACCATTTTTGTCCGTCCCAAAACAATAGTTTTATTTTCATAAATAACCATATCATCATAAAACTACCAATATTTTTCATTTTTATTACACAATTGCCACTATTTTTTACACTAATACACTCACAAGGGCAAAAAAATATTTTATTCGTACTTTTTACCAACTATCAATATAATATCAAAATTATTTAAATCTCGTGTCCAATTCAAGACTATATTTGTGAGACGGAATGAATATATTTTATTTATATTATGTGAATTTATGTATATTATATATATATAACTGTTTTTTTAGTTTTGTATAAATATATATATTTTTATCATTTTAGAACTGTAATTAAATTTTCTTTTGGATTAATTCCATAACTAAAAAAATTGCCAAAATGATCGTAACGCCCGGAGATTGTATGGATGATCACATATAACTTTTGATCATTTATACCAAAATTTTTTAGTTATTTCAATATAGGAGTTAGTTATTGTCCTAAAATGATTTTTGGATTCTTTTTAGGTATCATCCATATAATCTCTAACGTGTCTGAATTTTTTTTCTATTGTAAGACAAATTCAATATTCGATAAAATAAATCACATACAAGATAAAAAAAATATTTTCCGCTTGTATTTATATTTTGTATATATTATACTTTATTCGTCTCATATTTATCTATCCATTTGCGGTAGTAGAAATAAAAATAAAAATAAAAATACTAAACTAACTTTATTAGTCTTATATGATATAAAGATAATGATATTTGTGTAATATAGTGTAATTTTAAATTGTATTTGTAATGTTATGTAGATAATACATTTACTAAAAAAAAATATATATATTTTATTATTGTTAAGGGGCGAAAGAAGTATATTAAATTATGTGATATAAGTGAATACTATTATGCTATAAAAATAATATAGTCAAATATAATAAATAGAAATTAAATTATATTTATTTTCCTTAAAAAATAAATTATATTGAGTGGTGGATAGTGTAGGGGGGTGGGGGGTGGGGGTGAGGGTGGGGTAGGGTATTTAATGAGTAGGTTTTAATGGAAATAAAGGATGATTGCAAAGGTAGGGAACATAATCACACTTCCTATTAATTAATAATTTTTATTCACTACTCTACTTTCATTCTTATTTTTTGCCTATCATTATTATTATTATTATTATTAAGTATTAATTATTAATAATAATAATTAATTATTATTAATATTGTCATTATCCAATCATTTCTACTTATTATTAATCTATATTTGCCCTAATAATTTTGACTTACCATCAAACTCTCTGTCTCTCTCTATATATATAGTCGTGTTTGTTTGGAAAATTTTGAAATTTTTTCTCAATAATAAAAAATTCTTTCTATAAAATAATTATTTAGATAAATTATATAACACTCACTTGTATTTTAATAAAAATTCAAAAATACTCTATATTTTATTTATTGCCGTGTTTGTTTCTAAATAAAGACTTAAATTACGAAAGTTTTATATAAATAGAAAATATAAAATATCTTAAATAATTTTTTTAATAAAATAAATAATTGATTAATCCTTTATTTTATAATTTTGGGAGACAAATTGTTATCTAATTTTTATAAAAATTATAAAAATAAATGAGTGAGCAATTATTTATTTTATTAAAAACAAAATATTTGACATATTTTATGTTTTTTTTAAATATATAAAACTTGCGTTAATTTTTAAGTTTTTATTTAAAATTAAATATTTTGGATAAAATGGTGCTTCATGCAAATTTAGTTGTTTGTTTACCAGGTTTTGACTTTTAGTTTAAATTTTTAATAATATAATTTTAAATTAAAATAATTGTATGATAGGATATAAATTGATAGAATATTTCTCAATACAATTAAATGACATATCCACTTTTTCATTCGTAATCCACTTATTTTTTAATTTTTATATTTTGGAAAATAATTATATATATTAATTTAATTTTAATTTTTTAATTTATAATTTTTTTTAAACCATTTGAGTTAGAGTAATTAGATATGTCAATTTTAATATAAAATTATTTATTATATAATGATTATTTTTAGTAATATATTTTTAATTAATAATTAATTATACTAACTTCTAAATTATGGTGTGCAGGAAAAGGAATACCTTAGTCGGGACGGACACACTAATTGAATTATTTATGGTGTGTTTGTTTGGGGATTTGGATTTTGAATTGAGATTTGAACGGTAAAAGTTTTGAATTTGAATAGTTATATGACGTGATATAAATAGGTGTTGATGTAATGTTTTGAATGTAAAATTGATTTTTAGCATAATATAAAAAATAAAAAATAGATATTTAATTTGATATTTGCAGAAAAAAAAAATAAATAGTGGATTGAAAATCCAATCCCCAAACAAACAAACCCTTAATGTTTTTTTTTTTTTGTTTTTCGTTATTTATCTTGAAATGAAAACTTAAAAGTAATACAATATAATTTGCTATTAGGTCCTTTTAACTTTTACTGATTTCTTAAAAACCCCCCGTAATTGGAACGCACAGTGGACGAAGAACCCTAGTTAAACCTCACGCCTTCTTCATTCACATCTGCCATAGCCGGTCGATTGCAGAGCTCTAGTCATTGGATAATTGAGGATGGGGAAACTGGGGAAGAAGGCGAGGAAGTTCGCGAAGAAGCAACTTCCCTCCGTGCTGAGGCGGCAACGGAAAAACAAGGCTGTATTCAAGAAGAGAGCTTCAAGTAATTGATTTAGCTTGACTGTTCTTTAGAGTTGTTTTTCGAGTAATATATATGTCTATTTAGATTTTCTTCTCTGTTTTATTGCATTTTAACTGCTTTCTATGCGAGAGGATTGCCGTGAACTTCGTTTTGTAGTTATATGCATCGTTTGATTGTTGGGATTTCCTGAAATGCGATGGTGTTTTTGAATGCCTCAATATATAGTTTTTGTATGAATAGTAGAAGTTATGAGGTTGTGAATTTTGGGAGTGTTTACTGCTTCGACTGTTGATGGAGAGTTTTTTCTCTTCTCATTCTGACCAAGAGGTGAGTGTCTGTGCAATAATTTTATTTATTTATTTTAATGCAGGAGGTGGAAAAAATGACATCGAAGAAGAGCACATGGATAATCCAACAAGCCAGTTCAATGGAAGGTAAAGACGGTGAATTAAATGTGGTTGTCGGCGACATTTGTAAATCTGAATTGATAATGCTTATATATAAATTTTGAAAAACTAACTATTCAAATTGAAGGTGAGTTTGATTTGGTAGATTGGTGCTGAATTGGTTCTAAAATGTTTATACCCCCTCTCTCTACTGCTCTTACTGTAAATATATTTGGATGAAATTGCTATATGGTATATTTCGGATTTCTAATTCTTCCATTCCTAATTTGCTACCGAAATGGATGTGTAATTCATAACTGAAACCAGTACACGAGAGTAACAAAAGTGAGCTTGAAATTGGTAATACTGAATTCATAATTCTTAAAACAAATTTGTTCTCTAATTTTTGAATTCGTATGATTTGAAATACCAACTAAGTATTGATTTTGGTTGCTTGAAGTTTTTGTTTTTGGTTACATGTCTTTTGCATTATCATGTTGTTTCGACATATATCATTAGAAAATATTCCATGGGTGTCTTGGTCTTTTTATTATTTATTTATTTATTTATTTTTCTATTGCATTCTGGACTTTTGAAATGCACCAAATGATTTCATCTACTGGACATAATAGCATATCTTTATTTTTATTCAGTTTCACCGAATTTGAGGGCATTGAGAATGTTTCTCTTGGTTCGATCTTCACTGAAAATGACAAGGATGAGATTGCAGATACATCTGACAGTGATGGTTATCTTTCAGAGGTTTGATGCTCTATTCCACTAGATGTTAACCGCTCACCAATGTTATGCTATCTTCCTGGCAATTGACTGTGTAAATCATTCATATAGGATCCAAGCTGCCCTTGTGCCACAGGAAGCGAAACTGATAACACCTTTGGAGGTCACCATCTCTATTGAGTATTCTAAACTGTTAAAAGACCGAACATTTTCATGACCAAGATTTAATTTCTAATTTTTTTTCAACTTATTTTGTATGATTACTTGTTAGGTTATGATCGCTAAACATAATTATATTTCAGCAGGTGAAAGTTTTACCAACGAATATTCAGACCTGAATAAGAAGATTCATGCTGACCTTGTAATTCAAACCAAGAAATTGGATAAGCTGAGGAAAAAGGTGATTCCCTGTTTTGTAATATGTTTAATTAGTTTGTCACTGCATCATATTACATGTTTAGAATTTGATGAATATCATGCATGGATTATACCTACCCGTGCATGAAATGATTATAAAAGTGGATGAAACCATGACCTTTCAAGTGTGATACATGCCCATCTGTTGTTTTGATAAACATGAAATACTATGGTATGCTCCCTTTTAAATTTACATTTGGAATGTTTATACTTGATTTATTGTATATATGGGAAGAAATTAAATCCATCCTCTTGACAAATAATTGCATCTAGGTACCAGATATATGAAAATTGCCAGTAGCAGTGAAGCAGCCTTCATTCTGTTCGGTTGCAAAGTGAAACTAATAAGCCTCCTTTTTTTTTTTTTTAATTTTTTTTAATTTTTTAATTTGATTCATGTCTCGGTGTTTCATTCTGTGGATTTCTGCCTGACGTATTGCCTGTGGATAAAATACTATTTATTTGTGCATACTGAGTTATCCTCCCTCTTCTCCCCATATTCCTATTCTAAGCCTGTGGTTTGGAAACTTATGTGTTGTGGTCAAATTTTGGACCACTATCAGATGAAATTAATTCATTTGGCATATGTATGATTTTGTTGAATCATACATTATTATAAGATTTTATATCATTTGGAAAATTTCTTTGGGAATTTCAGGATCCAGACTTCAGTAAGTTCTTAGAAAGCTACAACAATAGTGCTGAAAATTTTCAGGATGAAGATGAGGTATTAAGTCTCATATTACTAGTACCTTTTTTTTTTAAAAAAAAATTATATATATATATGCCTTTATGCTGCACAAACCAAAAATAATTGCTCTGTTCATACATAACAGTACTCAGATGAAGATAACTTGAGCGGCCAAGGGGAACAAGGGGACGATGGTGTAGCAAAAGAGAAGAAACCCTTGACAACTGGCATCATCAACACATGGTGTAATATGGTCAGGGAAGACCATAGCCGGCCAGCTCTCATTAGTTTACTGAATGCTTACCGGGCAGCTTGTCACTACGGAGCGGACTCAATTGGCCATAGGATTGAGAACAGAGAAGCCTTTTGCAACATTATGTTCTTCACACTTTCTAACGCAGATGATGCATTTCGAGGTCAATTGCAGATATCATCTTTGAACTGCACAAAGGAGATGTTACCTGAACTGAAGAAGAACTCAAAATGGAAAGAATTGAAACCATTAGTGAAGTCATATGTGAGAAGTACATTGTTCCTCTTGAATCAGGTCACGGATACAGACATTTTGGCGTTTGCCATGACTAGGCTCAGAGCGTCATTGATATTCTTTGCTGCGTTTCCAGCAGTAACCCAGCGATTGATTAAGGTAATATTGAATGTTCTGGCGGTTGATTTAGAGATTTAGTAGTTACCTTGGCTGAAGCTCTCATATGTATTCTTGATGTTTCCACTTTAAGCAAAATCGCACTATTATACCCATGAAAAGTATTTTATATGTATTTTAGTAGCAAAATGAAGTAATTAACCAAGCTTTAACAAATTTATTCCTGTACTTTTAGGGCTGTTAATATTGACAGAAAGTAGTTTTATGAGACCATTAAATGGATTGTCTCACACAATAATCTTACTTTGTTTTTGATGATTCTGAAACTATAGGATTCTGATTATATATAAAATATTGTCTATTAGCACTTCATGTGGGACTAGATGTTTATTTTAACCTCCTGCCTTTCTAGGTTTTACAACTTCTTCCAATGCTTATATTTTTTGTCAGGCCACTGTACATTTGTGGGCAACAGGGGAAGGAACTTTATCATCAGCTTCTTATCGTGTAATACGGGATATTGCTTCCATATTTGGTTCAAGTTACTTTGATACCTGCCTATCAAACACTTTAGCAGCCTTTATTTCCAGGTCTAGCGTGACAGAAATTGCAGACACCCAACATCTGCAGTTTTTGAGGGATTGCACTCTTGACCTGTGCTCTTTGAATTTACAAAAATCATCTCTAAAGGCTGTAGCTTCCATAACTCAACTTGCAAAGATACTGAGCTGGGGCTTGCAAACAAAGAAGAAGGTATTCTTTACAATGGTTGAAGAAATGAATTGGACCATGTTCTACTCGTTTTTCCGAAAAGAGTTGCATTATGTTTTGGTTGTTGAACTGTTATTCCTACTAAATTTTCATTTACCTGTTGATGTTTGAAGTTCTTGATAATTAATAAGCTGATGTTTTTTGGGGACAGGAGGCTCTTACGAAGATTTGCAACTGGGAGTTTGTTAACTGCATTGACCTATGGGTTATGTTTGTATCAGCCAACATATCCGACTATGATGATCTGCAATCTTTGGTCTTTATGATGATTAAGCTTATAAATGGTGTGGCTTACATGTTTCCTGGTCCGAGATATTTCCCTCTTAGACTCAAGTGCATTCAGTGGCTTAATCGTCTTTCCGGTGCCAGTGGAAAATTTATTCCTCTTGCTTCGTTAGTGCTGGATATTTTGGAATATAAATATGCCAAGGATGGAAGAAAGGTCCAAAATAAATTCAATGTCGCATCCGTACTGAAGGTTACGACACTAACTACACCCTCTTCTCTTATATGAAATCTTGTTCGCTGAAGGATGTGAATACAAATAATTTATGTTGTATATCTTCACTTCAGGCTGTAGTTGCCATTTTTCAAAGAAATCTTTAATGTGCAAAATATTTTTAGAGGAAACAATGTTTATACATGACATGGAGTGTATTAATAGTTCTTGAACTCTTGGCAAGCTTAGCGAGTGGTTAATTAAAATTGTTGTTGCTTTTCTGATTACGATAAATGTTACGATTCCTCTGACCTTATTATGACCAATTTATCCATGCAGTTGCCAAAACAATATTTAAAATCAAGAAGCTTCCAGGATGAATGCTTTCATTCTGCTGCTGAGCAGTTCTCGTTTCACTTTGCACAGTGGAGCTACCATATATCCTTCCCAGATCTTGCTACCATTCCACTACTTCATTTGAGAAAGATTCATGAGGCCACGACTGTTGAAATCCTTCGGCGTATGTTGAAGCGCTTGATTGATCAGGTACTGAAATTTATTTAAAAAATAATTATTGAGATACTAATTTTTACTTGGAGACATAGTTGTCAATAGCGCGCTATAGCGACGCGATAGCAGCGTAGCGGAAAGGCACTCTGCTGCTACTATCGCTCTGCAATTTTGCGTTTATGCAATAGCGGTGTAGCCGCATGTAGTGGCACTCCGCTACATTACGCTATACCGTTATTGTAGCTTATTGGATTATTTTTTAACACGTAAATAATTGAAATCTAATTTTAACTTATAAAATGTATTTTTTAAATTATAATATAAACAAAAACACATTTATCTTACATCTTAACTAAACTTTTAGATTCGTTCCAAGAAAAGAAACAAATTAGAAAGTTAAAAGTTGCAAGATTTGGTTTATATGAAGTATAATCAAAATTTGTTAGATCATTATGGTAGCAATGATGTGATTGGTTCTATTGTTTTGAATGATTCCAATGAGTAGTTAATTAAAAAAGTTGATAATTGCGGAGGATATGTTAGTCTTGGACAATGGTAATTTAACTAGGGGAGTTGTTGTTGATGCTAATAGGTCTGCTATCTACACTAAGATACAAACATCAATACATCATTGAGAAAGAAAGCTATAGCTACTTCTAGCTCTAAAAAATGAAATGATATTATATATGGTGATAAACATACAATTGAATAAATGGATGAGAATGAAGAAGATGAGGAACAATAGACAGAGAAAATTAATTAAGCATGAGGATGATGAAAATGAGAAAGAAAGTTTTTTTTATCAGATTTTGAATTTGATTAGCTTTGATATATATCTATCACACAATAGTGATCTAATTGTTTTTGCTTATATAACTATATAGTTATGATCATATATATATATTTTGACATTTTATTAGTTTGAGTGATAGTTATGAGATTAATTTATATGTTTTTTTTTAATGTATTTTTGTTATAATTTAATAATTTATATATATTCTTATATTTTTAAATAGCAGTCATGCCACTATGCGTATCCTGTTATAACATTTTAGATGTTGACCGCTATGCACCGCTATCCGTGATTGATAACTATGCCTGGAGACTGTTTGCAAACTTTTAAAAATACGTGTTTTTGCTTACATAAAAAGATTGTTTGGAGGATGCTTGTGATTTCTCACATTTTCTTAATGGCTCAAACAAAATAGTTTCTAGGTGAAATGACGATATAGAATATTTTTTATTTGGATAATATAATTGTAGCAAAATAATTTATTTCAGGTAAATGAACGCCTCACTTAAAAGATTAAACTGTTAGAGATACGCATATCGTATAATTTATTTATTTATTTACAAACGGGAGTCAACTAACAATTTTTATAGAATTACAGCTCAAGTATTTTGTTATATACAACTAACTATTAACCAACATTTTCTTTTAAAATACTATTTGCAGATGTCTCGAGTAGCTATTCTGATTCTATTGCAAATAGTGCAATTGTCTAAGGGTGTTTAACAAACAAGCTTGATGCACCTCGACAGTTAGGTCAAAAAGAATATGACTTGACTGACCTTGGAAAAAAAATGCTTATGAAACCTTGATATGTTATCTAAACTTCAAATAAATTATCCGCGTATAATTATACTGTATTATTATTATCACTGCTTATGTTTTTTGTAACTTCAGGTGGAGCAGAATGTGAAGTTTGTGCAGGAAAGAAGAGACGAGGTATCCTTTTCCCCTCACGATCAACAATCGGCTGATTCTTTTCTTCAGGTTTGCGTCTACTGGAATCCAACTGTTTTGTGCTTTTGGATTATGTGATATACAATCTGATCTGTTATTGTGGCTAAATATGTGCACAGCTTGAGAAGTCCAGCCTCAATAAACCATTCACTCAATATTACCGAAGTGTTCTGGAAAGGGCTGCTGAAAGGAACTTGAATAAATGTGGAAATACGAGGTATGCTCTCTTCTGACATTACCTGCTCGATCTTTTCATTTTTAACCTACGGTTTGGTTTGATGATATATTGTTTAATCGTCTCGTATTGCTCGTTTTAGATTTAGGATATTCCCTCCCTTTATCTCCTAAAAAAAAGCATATTTGAATTTATGGATATTGGATAGCAATGGCTTAGGATATTAGATTTAGATTTAGGACATTGCCTCCGTCTCAGTCGCCATCTTTTATTCGCACCACGATTTGAGGTTCTATATATAGATAGTAGAGTTATATGACAAACTTTTTTATTTTTTTTTTTAAATTTGATCTGACGTATTTTTAAATTATTAATTTGGGTATATAAATAGTCCTCCTTCGTCCGCATTTAAGGGTTACATTTATCGTATATTAATTTGATTAACGTATTTTTAAATTATTGTACTTAACATTAAAAATATAAGATATAATTTTTTGTACAAATGTCATTATATTAGTATTATAAAACACTAACATAAGTATTTTGTCATTTTCCTTTAATTTGTACTACGTTTTGATATAGTAATTAATATTACGTAAACGTAAATATGACTCTTAGAGCCTGACGGACGTAGTAATTGATTTTCTATTATATTTCTCTTAATTGAATTATCTATTTTATCTAACAGAACAATCAATTTTCACTTTCCAAATTAATTATCTCTCTCTTTTTTTTTTTTTATTATTCTACTTGCGGTTATCATTTTTCTACAATTCTATTATATGTACCAAACTTATGCTACCTTTCTCTCGGGTTTTAGGTTGGCATTTAATTTATCTTTTATTTTTTCAATTTTTTTCAGAAACATTCAATTAACTACTTTATACTCAGATTCTCTGACCCCAAAACATTCCTAGATTGCAGATGAACACTCATTTATATTTCACTTCATTACGGCATATATATTAGTTTAGATACGCCGTTTCTACTGACATGCTTTAGTATTTGTCGCACTCCATATTTGCCGTTGCTACCATTGCGCTTCCTTACTATTTTCTTTATCATTTTATACGACTCTAGCTTTCTATAACGAACCCTTTTGTTTCTGGAACCATATATTGCTGCAGTTCACAAGAGCATAAAATTTTGAAGAGAAAGAAAGCTAAGGCGGAAGGCGAAAAGGTAGCTGTCGATCAATCTGACGCTAAAGAAGATCGACCAACTAATGCAGAGATGAAACCACAGAAAAGAAGAAAGAAAGAGTCGAATACTATCGGTAAGATTATGGCTCTACAGGTAAAATAAATTCGTGATATCATAAGTAAAAAAAAAAAAAAAAAAAAGAAAAAAAAAACTAAGAAAGATTTTATTTGAAGTTAAATTTAAAATTTTTGGTAAGTTGATGCCAATTTCCTCTTTGAAGATTAGAGGCATTTTCAAGTTGGCATATATATATATGCAAACCTGAATTTGATTGAATTATATAAGTAGACCTCTTATGGGTTTTTTTTTTTACTTTTATTTTTATTTTTTTTTTTTTAAAATTGTGTTTTGTGTTGAATATTAAAATTTGGTTATTGTATTTTATATGTTGTTCAACAATTTGAGATTTTTATTTATTTATTTATTATTCAGGTTTTATTTTTCAATCAAAAATATACCCCTTTGGGATTCTATTAATTAGTGAAATTTAACATGGTATTTTTGTTCTTGTAAGTATAAATAAAATGGATATGTATATATATATTTTAAAAAATTAAGAGTATTTTAATATTTATATATGAATTATTTTTATTATAATATGAAAGAGATTTTTAATTTATTGAGCTGGGATAGAGAGTACTAATTATTTTATGAAATATTAGATAACTTATATATATTTTGTTAATTTTGTCCATTATGTGTTTTTTAGTCATTCTAGATTCTACTATTTAATACAAATGCCTCTATTTAATTGCATATTTATCATTATATTATTACTTTTGACAATTATTTTTAATATACTATTTTTAACTACTTATTACAATTAAAAAATATATATTTTTTTCATTTTGCAATTGTATACTTATTTATCTGTGCAAATAAAAGTGAATAATAATTTAAATTTTGTATAAAATATAATTGTATACATTAATTAATGCATGATATAAGGAATATTAAATTATTATTTAAATACAAATTGAACATATAGTTCGAAAGATTTTTGTTGTTCAATATTTATTAAAATTTATCCTATCCTAGTTTCATTCATCATCTTTACTATGAGGTGGTGTTTAATTAATATTGTATTTTAATAGTAAGTGATGCATGTTTTATGTGTAAGTAATATTTTTTCCACATGTTTTAATTTAACATAATGATTTTGACTTAAATCAATATAAGTGTCAGCTTATTAAACCAAAAAAATAATAAAAATGAATATTTTGTGTTTAGATGATATAAAAAAGGTTAAATTGTATAAAATTCACTTGTATTTCACGAAATTGCGTCAAATTTCATCGTGGTTTATCTCGGTGGTCCTTATTTAATGTGATTTTACATATTTTAATGTAGATGGAAGGTTGTTATAGTTTGTACGTGATTTTACATATTTTTTTACATGACACAATTTAAATATAACTATATAATAATTAATTAAAAAGAATGTAATAATGAAGATGTCAAATGAGAAATCAAAGATGATGAGCTGAGATGTCTTTGGAAGAGTGTCTATTATGACTTCTTATGTGTGTTTGGTACGGAAAAGAGAATTCAAAGGAAAATTGGGGATTGATTCTGTTTGTTAAAAACAATAATAATAATAATAATAAAATATTTGAAAATTATAATAGAAAATATTAAATGTATAAAATATTCTCTCCGCCTTAATGGATACATTTACTTTTTACGTTATTGTACTTAACATAAAAAAATATTATTATATTTGTATAATTTTTTTTTTTACAAATATAATTCTATTAGTATTATGAGAATGAAAGTATATTTGCAATTATTTTTTTCATTTGTACTACGTTTTGATACAATAATTAATATTAAAAAATCAACACGTAAAAAGTAAATGAAACTATTAGATACGAACAGATGTAGTAATTAATAACAAATAATAAATCAAAAAATATTTTAACAAATAAGTGTGTATATTTAGTTAGTAATTATTTTATTTTATTTTGATTTTGATCTTGATTTTGATTTTTTTCGTTTAAACAGTGGTTTAAATATAATAGTATTTTATAAAGTAAAATAATTTTTATTATAAAAAAATTTAAATAATAAAAAAAAAAAAAAAAATTATAAAGTAAACAAAATCTATTTCTTTAAAAATTTATAAAAGTGAAGTAAAAAAAGAGAAGAATTTAAAATCATTGTACTTTCAAATGATCGGATCTTGCATTTTCATGTATATAATAAAAAAAATAATTTAATTTTCAACTGTCAATTTTTCGTGTAAACTAAATAAAAAAACGCTATTATTTTCATTTCTCTATACTCATTTTCTTTATACCAAACAATCTGTTATTTCTTTCTTTATTAGGGATACCATTGATAAAATTCGTGAATATATATATACTAACGGTTCGGTTTCTGTATCAACAAGGTCAAATTAGTGTAATATTATCTAAATCAAATTAGATATAATATATATTTTGAGAATATATGATTTCAATACAATACTACATATTTAATTCATAAATTGCATATTATATATTTTTTATACGACATAATATTGTATTGTATATATATATATATATATGCATTATTCATTTTTCTGACAAGGTCATATCAATACCATGTTACAATATAAACATACTGCTTATATTAAGATCAATACTACCCCTCATGTCCCAATTCAAAGTACTATTTTCTATTTTAATAAAAGTAATCATACACCAATATTAAAATATCCTTAATTTTTACCTAAATTACAAATATATCATTACAAATACAATTACTTTTTAGATAAAGTCAAAGGATAAAAATATTAAAACTTTTTATACACTTTCACTGACTAATAGAATACTATTATTTCTTAATTTACTATAAAATTCCAAAGAACTCCTTTCAACTGGGACGGAAGAAGTATATATTTTGTGTAAAATATAGTCATTTTTACTTTATTAGTAATACCTTGTATCATTTACATCTTAATAATTTACACAACATATGTTTTTAAATGATCACTTGCTAATTAGAAATAATTGATACCCCTCTCTCTCTCTCTCTATATATATATATATATGTATATTTCAGTCAAAATATAGCAACTATTGGCTATTGCTGAATTGATAATTCTCATGAAAAAAAAAAAGAAAAAAAAAGCAAAGAACAAACTCGTATACCTAATGTATATGAAAAGACAAAAATGCCCTAATGATCATCTTATTGAAGCTACAAGCATTGTGTTTGGATTTTGGTTTGCTCCACAACTAAGCACTCTTATGAATCCCCACACCCTTGACCCTCTTTTGCTCCACCCATCGCCACCGCCGTCGCCGGATTCCGATGCCGACGAGTGGTGGCGGCGGCGGCTCCGCCGGTTCTTGAAATCCCTGAGGTCCACCTTAGTTGAAAACCGAGAGATTCCAAACAGTAACAAGTACCATCGACCTTTCCCCGACGATGAAGTGGACAAAACCGGCATTTCGCGAACTATGAAATCCCCCCGCTTCTCGGCATTGTATCTTTCATCGTGTTTTAGAGTGGCGCTCGTCGTTTCGACCCTTTTTTCCCCGCCAAACACGCGCCAAATCGAGAATAAGTCCCAACTCCAACCAAAGAATCTTTTCTTGATCTTGATCTTGGTGGGGTGGTGGTTGTCATGGTTAGAACTGTTTGAGGGCTTTGAGGATATGAGTTTGCCACAAAATACGATGTTTTCGGGCACGACGAGGGGCTCGGGGGCGAGATCTTGGGTAAAGAACTCAAAGTAGTCTTCTTGATCATGATCTTGCTCTTGATCTTGATGATGATCAATTTGATTGTTGCCATACAATGGAAGATCACATAGAGAAATGGTTTCATCTGATGAATGATTTGAATTTGAATCTTCCATATCTTCTATGGAGTAAAGGGCTTCTTCTTCTTCAAACATACTTTGTGTAATGTAATGGAAGAGAAAGAATTAATCAAGAATGAGCCCTATAACAATTTGGTTTCATATTATATATATATATATATATTGGTGGGGTGGGGTGGGGTGGGGGTTGTACGAGAATAGTGGGAATAAAGTAGGAAGAATGTTGATTCTTGTTTGGTTTTTAGTGGTATTTCTAGAAGGGTAGGCTCTATAGGACATATGTATGACCATTTTTTTTGGGCATAATTAATTCTTATACCAATCTAGATTCTGATTAATTATATATATATTAATTACTTTTATTATATAGTAATTTTTATTTCCCAATTTTTTTCTTATAACTATATATGTTATTATATTCTTAAACTTAAAATAAAAATAAAAATAAAAATCATCAAGTAAAACATCTCTAATTTTTTATTAATTTAAATGCGTTAGAATGATCCATTTCAATGATTTTGTATTTTTTTTTTATTTTTTACCTATTTTAAATTCAAATGAACAATAGTACGATTTTTAATAAAAATATATTATTTATTCTTACAAAATATGATATAAAAAATATTATTTAAATAAACATTCAAATAAACGCTTTGTTTCAATTTTATATGAACAAACCTTTTGAAACAACCTTACTAATTCTCATAGATACCATTGAAGTTACAATAATCTAACAACTATATATATATATATATATATATATATGTATTTAAAAAAAACAACTACCATATCAAAAAATAAAAAATAAAAAATACTATACATATTTGCTGTCCATGAATTTTGATTTTATTTATATATTTGTGTTTGTTTTGATTTTGATTTGAAAGAATATTTTTTATATGAGGTATAAAAAATGTGTAAACAATACTAAAAAATAATAAATATGTATAGTATATTAATTTTTTTGAAAAAATATATTAAAAAAGTTTTTGGATGAAAAAACAAATAAGCTTTTGAATAAAATCTTTCAATTGGTAAATTCATAATTGGCTTTTGACATAGTTACCCTTCAAAGGGGTTTTCATTTTCCACTTGAGACACTTCAAGGTTTAAATTTGACTGCTAATTTAAAATTTAATATAAACCATAATTTGATGTAATACTTATCTCTCCCACCATAGTTGACACTATTTTTATTTTTTTATGTTCCGTAACAATTGATACTTTTTTATTTTTAGTAAAAATTATTAAAAAAAAATATATTTAACAAATATTAATCAACTTAATTAACTATATAATATACAACATCATAAATGGACGTATGATCTACTCAAAACCCTTTTATTTCTACATCTCTCCTCAAAAAATAAATATTTATATTTATATTTAAAACTACACATTTTTTATAAAATTGATTTATGTTAATATAAATAAACAAAAATATTTTTTTATTTACTTGTATTATAGAATATTTTATTTTCTATAAAATGATATCCATATTGCCTATATTTTTTAATTGCTATATAATTTTTAAATATTTAAACATATATTTTAATTTTTTTAATCATATATATTAAATTTACTTTAAAACTATAAATATTACTCCCTCCGTCCCACATACGTACACTGTAGACAGGTATTTTAGGAGGGGTGTAATTAGTAGATAATAAAAAATGTATTAGCGAAAATAATTATCCTATAATATAAATAATTATAAATTAAGATTAAGATAACTAATTAGTTTAATTAAAATTTTTTAAAAAAATAAAATTTAAACTATAATTAAGATTAAGATAACTAATTAGTTTAATTAAATTTTTTTAAAAAATAAAATTAAAAAGTTTAAAATGAGATTAAAGTGTATAATTATTTTCCCAAAAAGAAAAGTGACATGGTATGTGGGACGGACAAAAACGACAACGTGGACATGGTATGTGGGATGGAGGGAGTATTAATTATAGAAAAAATAATATAATAATATCATAACTAATTATTATTAACTAATTAAATATCTTCACCTTAAATACTGTGTTCCTAATTAAATGGTTCAATTCCGGTGGAACGGATAGAGTATTTTATAAAAAAATTACTTTATTAAAAAATATAAAAATCAAATAATAATTATTATTTTTATTTTTATTTTTTAAACACTCATGAAAAACACAGTCAATCATGTTTCTAGATTATCTTATAGAAGTATAACTATATTAATATATGATCAATATATTTTTCAATCTAGAATTGCACTTATTTTTCTAGCTATAACAATGACTTGTCATAAATATTGATTTAAAATTTATAATATTAGCCTTGAGTCAAAATTTTTGAAGAAATATTCTTTCCAAATAAAAATAATTAAATTTTATAATCAACTTTTTTAAAACTTTTTTTAAAAATTAAACTAATGAGTTATTTTAATTTCAATTTATAAATTTTTATACGGTAAGATAATTATTTTTATTAATATTTTTTAATTATTTACTAATTATATTTATTCTAAATTTTTGTATCTATAGTAATCCGAATATGCAATATGAGACTGGAAGAGTAAAATTTAGGTAGTGAATGAAAATATAAAAGAAAATTTATTTGAAAATTAAAAATTTAAATTTTTATAGAGTAAAATAAAAAATTCAAAGGGTAAACTGTTTTTTTAGTCCCGTAATTGGACCCCTTTATCATTTTAGTCCCGTAAGTAGAGTTTATCGCAAACTAGTCCCATAAGTGAAAATTTTTTGCTATTTTAGTCCTCCGGCGCCGGAGACGCTCGCGTGGCTCGCCGGAGGTGACGTGTCCGCCAGGTGTCCCGCCAGGTCAGCGATACCTGGCAGACACGTGAATTTATTTTTTTTCCATTTTTTTAATTATTTTTTAATTAATTTTAAATTAGACCAAATAAAAAATACAAATAAAATTAAAAATAAATTTAAAATAAGTTTTAAAAAAAAATTAAAAAATGAAAAAAATATGAAAAAAAAATAAAAAAAAATCCACGTGTAAAAAATAAAAAAAAATCCACGTGCTGACACCTGGCGGACACGTGGATTTTTTTTTATTTTTTTTTCATTTTCCATGTCAGCGACACCTGGCGGACACATCACCTCCGGCGAGCCACGCGGACGTCTCCGGCGCCGGAGGACTAAAATAGCAAAAAAATTTCACTTATGGGACTAGTTTGTGACATGCTCCACTTACGGGACTAAAATGATAAAGGGACTAAAAAAATAGTTTACCCAAATTCAAATGGAAGCAACATAAAAGACAACTCATTATTGTTTATTTAAATAATATATATACATATATATAAATCATGAAAGGATATTTTTTAAAAGTATACTCCTTAACTACTTTATATATAAAAATTTAGGTAAAATATATATTAAGTAATTAAAAAATATATTAGTAAAAATAAGTATTATACAATAAAAATAATTATAAATTATGATTTAAATAATTAATTAATTTAATTAAAATTAAAAAAATTATATTTATGAAATTTAAAATGTAATTAGAATATATAATTATATTTTTAAAAAAATAAATAAAATTTGTCAAACTTAGACAAATAACAAATATAAATAATTTATGTGAAAATAAAAAATAGTATTAATCAATAAAAAAATGTGTAATTTTTTAATTTCATAATTGTCCCTCTTGTCATTGTCTAGCACGAGAAACTATCTAAGGATGCGTTTGTTTGGAGGTTTGAATTTTGAGTTTGAATTTGAATAGTAAAAATTTTAAATTAAAATATTTGTATGATGCGACATAAATAGGTGTTGATTTGATGTTTTGAATGTAAAATTGATTTTTAGAATAATATAGAAAATGAAAAATAGATGTTTGATTTGATATTTTTGAAGAAAATTTTTTTGGATGAATAGTGAATTTTTTGCAAAATTCCTCGAACAAACACACCCTTAATAGTTTCATAATTTTTTTTATCACTTTTAGTTTTATGGTGTAGGATAATAAATTATTCTTTTAATTGGCTGTCTCAAAATAGTCCAAAGATGCTTGTGTGGCACGTCATCTTTGAGTTACATCAGTGTCATTTGACGGACACGTATACAAGTTTTATTTTTTATTTTTTATTTTTTAAAAATTAGAATTGTTATTTTATTTTCAGAAATAAAATTATAGAAAAGATTTTTAAATATTTATATTTGAACTAAAATTAATACATTTTAGTTATATTAGGATTATTATTGAATTTTCTTATTTTAACTATATTAACGGCTATAGGTTCATTTTCGACCAAAAAATAGAAGAGTATAATTGTAGGCGTGTAGTTTCCGGTTAGCTGCCATATCACTTCATTGAGACTGAGGGAGGTGTATTCAATTAGGATTTTAATGGATTTGTTTGGATTTTGAAAAGTCCGTAGACTTGAGTGGATTTATAAATTCTATAGAATCTATGAATTTAATTGATTTTGTTTATTGATTTATATGGATTTTGATAGATTTGATTGGATTATTTATTGGTTTATCTAAACTTCATTATACTTTATAAATTTGTAAATTAAATATTTTTTTTATCGATTTATATAATTTCAAATATATAGTACAGTTGTATGTATATAAAAAAATTACAAATATTTAACAAAAATATTAAAAGTACATTAGTTCTCAAAAAAATATATTTATTATTATTCTCACTTTTATTTTATTTTAATAATAATTTTATTTTTAAATTTATATTTTTTTTATAATATTATTTTGATTGAATTTATTATATTACATATATTCAGCGTAATTAATTTTTATTTTATAACAATCTATTTAATTGTTATTATTATTATTTATATGATTTTTTTATAAAAAATATATTTAAAATCACATTAAAATTACAATCTTTATTAATTAAAATTAAAATAAAATAATTAAAAAGGAATACACATAAACTAACATTGCCAAATATAATCGGTGATTTTTGAACTGACGGAACTGAAATCGAAATAAAAAATATAAATTAAAATTATGAAAAATTTAATTTTAATTTGATATTTTCAAACATTAAAACTTATAATTTTAATTTGAACTATTTGAACAAATTTATTTGTTATTATATATATTTTTAATATTATTTTAAATATATAAAATTTTAAAATATTTTAAATTTTATATTAAACATTTAAAAATTTTCTTATAATTATTATAATAAAATAATAAATACATATAAAATAATATATAGTTATTAATGCATTAAATAAAATTATATATTTTTTGAATATTATTTTAAATATATAAAATTTTAAAATTTTGTAATTTTATATTAAACATTTAAATTTTCTTATCTAATTGATATTATTATAATAAAATAATAAATACATATAAAATAATAGATAGTTATTAATGCTATAAATAAAATTATATGTACTTTTTTATTAATTTTGAGAATATATTGAAATCTCACTTCATAATAAGAGATTCTATAAAGTGTAATTTGTTAATAATTTTATTAAAAAATTAAATAAAATTTATGGATTTTTAAAGTTCATGGATTATTTAATACACTAAAAATTTAATAGATTTTTAAAAATCTGAATTGAATACACTAAAATTTTAAAAATATAATAAAATCCAATAAAATTCATATTGAATGCAGTCCCAATAATTCATTAAAAATGTTTATAATGATGCCTAGATTGAAATTCTTTATAATTTGATGATTTTTTTTTTTATATTAAAATTAAATTAAAATTGATAAATTTTGATTATATTGATACCAAAAGGAATTTTATTTTATTTTATTTTATTTTATTTTATTTTTTATTTTTTTTTTTTTTTCATTTATGTTTGTACAGTAGTTTGGGTTTTGTTCAGAAACGTGTTTGCTTTCGTCGTTCTCAGAGGTTGAGCGGGCGGTGGAATTCGCAACTGCAAATGGAAAATCGGAGCTCGAACCCTAACGTGGTGGAGGTAAATCACCTCCCCGAAGCCGATTCATTGCCGGATGGGTTTGTAGAGTCACCTTCGGCTGAGAAATTGGTGGAACCGAGGCCCGATTATAAGCAGGAGGAGGAATTAGCGGAGCCGGATTCACGGCCCGGAGTTGCGATTGAAGAGAAGGATTCCTCGATTGAGAATGCGACTGGTAGAACTGGACCGACGCCTGGCCGGAATGTCGAGGCAGGAGCGCCTGGTGAAGGTCCGGCTGAAGATAAGCGTGCGTTTTCTTGCCCTTCTTTAGATGAATATATACGTTGTTGTGGCTTTAATGGATTCTGTGAATGGTTTTGATGGATTGTTTCCATGGCTATTAAACATTTTGTTTATCAATCGCACCAAACTGTTGGATTAGCTATGATTGTACTGTACTGGCTACAGAGTGTTGTACTTTTTGTGGTTGTGTCATTGCTTGTATAGGCATATAGAGTTATGGATTGATGTGTACTTATCTTTGTTATTTTGCATTTCATGTTTTTAAAATTGGAATGACCGAAGTGTTTGGACTTGCTTAGGGGCTTTTGGAGTTTTCTATTTTGTTAATCAAATGCATATTGAGAAGAAGTTTTCAAAGAAATCCCAATAGTTTGGAGTAGTTGTTATGTGAATTGTTTATGTGAAGGAGAGGTTGTGGATTTTATTTGACTCTAATGTTTGTTGCTGCTTTAAAAGCTCTGGGCCAGAAATGATCCTCAATATGAGTCGAAACCAACAGGTTCTAGCAAGGATGATTCTGGATTAGTTAGGGGTTAGGCTGAGGCAGGATATCTTAGTTTGGGTGTTTAGAAAGAGAGAAGGAAAAACTAGGTAAGGAATAATAGTTTGTTTTGGAGTTTGATGGAAGGAAAAGAGAAAATATTTTGGAAGGAGATTTTCTAGATAAAGATCATCCTTCCAATGTAGGGAGGAAACAATACCGAGAATCCCTTTTTTTCATCAAAACACTAAAATGAAGGAAAGTAAAGATTTATTCCTTTTTTCCTCTTTTTGCATCTATATTCCTCCATCCATCTGAGTCAAGATCATAAAAGAAAAAAACAGAGAGTTTTTAGTAAAAGCACAATGGCTTATGAAGTAACTTTAAATGGCGTTGGAGATGTCTTTTATTTATTATTTGTTATGTGATCTACCTCCATGCTCACTCAATAGTTGTTTCCTCTCCTTTCAGTTATTATGATTTGATCAGTTAATTCAATATAACAAGTGGTCTGCTGGCGAAAGTAGCAGAGCCCATTATTGATGTATCAACTTGGAATTTGTTGTACACTTAAAGCCAAGAAATTTCATTTACACACTAAATCCTTCAAGTAGGCTGTCATGTATATATATATATATATATATATAGATAGATAGATAGATAGATAGATAGATAGATTAGATGTGTGTATGTGTGTCCAATTATCCATTGTTCCATAAACATGCACTTATATATCGGTGACATCTTAAATTTGGATGGGACTCTTCATTATATAGCATGTGGAACTCTATGAGTATGAATGTAGGATTGATTATAAACTAAACTATGTTTATTTATCTTTTAGTGAATGTTATGTGTTATTCAAGCTTTCTATAGCTTTCATATGTCCCAATGTCCTGATGATTATGGTGATATCTTGCTGAACAAGCATAATAATTATTCAGAGTTATGTCTTATCTTTGAATGCAGTTCATTGTGATCCTTCTAAAGCTCCTGAGCTTATTATTCAGAACTTCCAAGTTAGGCAGATGATAATTGTTTCTGAGCTGGAGGTCTTATGTGTCCTTTTTTACGGGATTATAGCTTTTTTTACCTTGTTTTCATAGTTTTGATGATTTTCATGCTACCTTACTACTTTTCAGCTGCCGAAGGTGTTGAGCTGTGCACAGCTGCCTTGGAGGAGATTTCTGAGTCTGGAGGTGCTGAAAACATTAAAAAAGTATGCAGCAATCGATCTTGAAAAGCACTATATATTGAGCTTCATATGATGCCTTCCTCCATTTTTGTAAATTAATTATTTTAAATGGTCTTTATATTATTTAGACTGTTCCTGCTGTTGTTTCCCTAGTTTTCTTTACTTTATCAAGCCTTGTCAACAGACATTTAAATATGTCAAGGTAGCACACAAATTTTTCTATGTTAAATCTTTAATTGTTGGTTGCTTGTTTAATACTTTTTACCAGGAAACCGCTGAAGTGAAGCGTAAAAATGTAAAGCGCACCTTCAAATCAGAGAAAGAGTTTTTGGAGTTCACCTTGAAATATCAGCAAGTTGTTGCTGAAAGAGATTCAGGTAATGATTATTTTCAGCGGGTTATCTATAAACCTAGTCTAGTTTTATTTTCTTTTACTAATGTTTATAGATCCGATAGCTGATTTTTATTTTATCATTGTGTGAACTGTTAAGAAGTTAACTGTTTTATGCTTTGAACACATTTTATGACAATATTATGTGCTTAAGAACATCTAATACATATGTGATCCACTGATCCAAAGCCACATATTTGTTTATCTATTCCAATTTCATATATGTCAGGGAAATTTGCGGAAGTGAGAATGTCTTACTGTACTACTACAATCAAAACCATGGTTGAGTTATTGGTGAAACATCATTATTCTAATTAATGATGACTTCTTAAAGAAAAGGATCCCACTATTATAATGTATGCACAGGGGCATGTGAGTGATCATAGGTGTATGCTGTCAAATTAATATGGTTGCAGAATAAAATGAAACTCTGGTACTGCATATTGGTGATTAACTAAACCTAGAGTGTTTTATGTCCCTTTGAGTCAAGAGCCTCTCATTTTTTTGATGGTTGACATTCGGATTAGCGGTTTTTATAAAATTTGAGTATTTTAAGTCGTCTGTCTTTGCAATTTGAATAACTGTAGGCAGATATTAAATAGTCGTAAATGCAAACTAATTGTAGAAACCAAAAAAGGAAAGAACGGTTTTAACGGTTGTTGTTGTCCAATATTTATACATGTAATTCTCTAGAACATTTTTTTGTTTTTCAAACGCTCACGCAGATGTATGTAAGTAGTGTGACTAACTAGTATACCCATATAGATGTACAGTAGATTCTGTTACAAATGTATTATGCATATATAAATTTTCGACTGTGATCATTTTGGTTTGTAAGAGTTGAGCTACTGCATACACTCATAGAAGTTATAAAACTTGACAGTGCATAATTTGCATTAGTTTCAGCAATGTATTGAAAGGAAGAAATTTTATATACCACTGATATCACATACAAGCATTATTATGCTGACCTCTTTTGTCTCTGTTTTTTTTTTTTTGGTTATTGCAGCCATTGCTGTTAGAGATAAACTTGAGTCATTGTCCCGGGAGTTGCAACGACAAAATAAATTGTTAATGGTAGTAACTTTGGCTTGTTCTGATCATCTGCTTCAGCTTATATGCTTTCTCTAACATGTTGGAATAAATCCACTTACAGCCTAATTATTAATTGAGTACTCAGTGTGCTTTTCTTTATATCTTTTGATGCATCAAGGTTGTTATTCTTATCTTAAGTATGCATGTATTATCAGATGTCTTATATTACCCACAACTTCTGTCAAATTAGAATGCTTTCATCTGATTGTTAACGCTGAATATGTTATAGTTAATGCGGTAGTATAAGTATTAGAGATGAAGATGTAACTGACTACCTTCGAGTAGCTTTATAACTCCATATACTGAAGTTTGCCTTGAGCCTTGCATTAACTTGCATCTCCAATCGCATCTACCTTGTTCCTTAAAATTGTTAATTTATTTTTAGTTGAGTGTTGGATCTTTTTTCTGGCTGACAGTACATCCTCCTAATATTTAGTTCTTTGTTTATCCCAGGATGAATGCAAAAGGGTGTCAACCGAGGGGCAAAATTTGAGATTAGATCTGTCTAACAAGTTTCAGGATGCAATCAAGGTTTTTTAGTTTTCTATTATCTAGTATCTTCTAGAGTTAAACTTGGTCTTGTGTGTTTTGTGGTTATGAATTGTTGGTACCATTTTCTTAGAAATCTTTATCATGTTAGATTCAATGGATTTCCTATTGAAACTCGAAAAGGTGATTGATCAAATGCTAATTGAGTAATGCATGCTTTATTAATTGGTTATATCTCACATTTTAGAGATAGGTTCAACAGAGTAATATGTTTAGGGATTGGCTTTTGTTTCTAGTGGCAGGGCAAGGGGGCTTTCCTCTGGCCTAATTTGAAGAGCCCAAACCATCCGAACAACATAAGCTTCATGTTTATTTTTCACTTGAGTTTATATGAGATAAACCTCGGAAATAATTCACTGATCTGTGCCTTAGTATTACACCCCCCCCCCCCCCCCCCCGGCGGATTTGTTTAAGAGTATGGTGTTCATATCTTCACTGATCTTTGTAGGCCTTTTTCGTATTCGTAATTGGCTATATCAATTTCCTTCATTGGATCGTGGTGCACTTCATTTTTTTATCTCGGTCACTTTGGCTGTATTTACTTTGGATGGGATAGGGGAAAATGGATTATTTTGAAGGATTCTGTATCCCATTGTTTGGGGGTAAACGCCTAAATTTATGTTTATTTAATGCATATCTATTTGGTCATGCTCATTTCTTTGTTGAAAAGAACATGTGATTTGCGCAGAGATACAAGTAATCCAGTAACTGGTTTAAATTTGTGTGATCGTAATAGATTGTAGATTTATGGTCTGAATGATTTTCTCTGTGTTCTACGTTGCAGTTTCATTGGTTTAAAATGATATACTACTATATTGAACTATGCCTCAAAGATTTTTGAACCTCACTCAATGGGTGACAGAGAGAGAGTATATTTGGATGAATGAATGCTATAATTCGAATGTAGCTATATATTGCAAAATTTTTTATCCTTGTAACTCTAATGAAGAAACATCTTTCCCCAAAGTTTTGCGGTTTATTTATTAAAGGGTTTTGTATTTAAAATGGTATTCCATTGCGTAGTACATTTTCTTCCCCCTTTTATTCATATATCCACTTTTCTATTGTAGGAAGTGAGCAATAAGCTGGACGAGCAAAAGAATGAATGTATATCTCAGCTAAAAGAGAATGAGATGTAAGATCAAAATTTCAGGATTATATCGGCTCCATGGTTTCATTAAGAGCATAAAGCAGAATGTGATTTGTCTTATTGGTTTTAACAATTCGGATTATGGAAAAATTCCCAAAACATTATCAAGAGTGCCGTATATTCATCAGCAGTTTCTGGCCCATGTTGCACATTTCTGTTTTGGGTTGGTTATTTACCCTTCTGTCGACCGATGTTGTCATTTCAAACTTACTTGTAAAACTTATTAACTTCAGGTTAAAGACCAAGTTGAAACAGCTCGTTGATCAATACACTCTTTCTGAGCAGCAGCATGCACAGGAGGTAGGTAGATGGCTCCACTCTCCTAACTCATAATTTTGTCTTATCCGAACACATCTATCTGCTGTAGTTGATACGTACCTTGATTGAATTCCTGTCCTTTTCTTGTAGCTGAAACAAAAGACACTCGAACTTCAGCTTGCTGATTTGAAGTTCCAACAACAAGAAGAGAAACTGAAGCACGAACAGTCTCAGATGAAATTGTATGCCGAACAAGTAGCACAACTTTTAGCAACTGAGAAGAATTTGAGATTGCAGTTAACAGCTGATGGTGAAAAATTCCAACAATTCCAGGTTTGCATTAGCTTTTTGTAATATCTTAATATCATTTAACCACAGCAAAACAATTTACACATATCTTCTAATTGTACATAAGATTGTTCTCTATTCTCGTATGGCAATGAACTCTCTATCATCTATATTTCATTTGTGACCTGTTTTCGGAGGCGGCTGGTTTATATTTGTTCTGAGTAAATCAATTGGTAAATCTGCAAACTTAGGATGTGTTTGGTTGGGGGTTTTGATTTTGGGTGTGGTTTTTTATTAGTATACATTTTGAATTTGAATAGTTGTCTATGTGATATAAATATGTTTTTAATGTAAAATTGATTTTAATATAATATAAAAAATGAAAAATAGGAATTTATTTTAATGTTTTATTACATCTCCCGCCATCTAAATTTATTTTCACTTATTTTTTTTTTTTTGTCATCTAAATTTATTTTCCTTTTTTTTTTAAGTAAAAATATAATTTTTTCTACTTTTTCTTTACCCAAAAAGTAATTTTTAATTTTATCTATTTTTATTAAAATCGTGCCGGTCAAATGAGCACACAATTGGATGACGGAGGGGTATATATATACTTTAATCTGTTAATGATGTGCAGAACTACCATGATTATCTTCTATAAGTAACACACTGATGATTATTGATTCTCGCGAGTTATTTATAGGTGAATTAGTTCTCTATGTACTTTTCAGTTGCTTTCTCTTCATCTAATGCCGTTCATTTCCCAGGAGGCTCTGTTGAAAAGCAACGAGGTTTTCGAAACTTTCAAACAAGAAATCGAAAAGGTACATAGTTATGCATCTTATATTACAGAATTTTTCTGCTTCATCAGTATTTTGTTTCATTTATTAACCAAAATGTCGTCTGTATGCCTGTGTATTATAACCAGATGGCGAAATCAATAAAGGAACTCAAAAAGGAAAATGCCTCCTTGAAAAGCAAATCGGAAAAATCAGATGTTACCCTCATAGAACTCGCTGACGAGGTTCGCCATGTATTAATAATCTTTTTTTCATTTTTAACGCCAAAGTAGGACAGTAAAACAAACAAACAGTTCGCGAACTCGACTTGATTCGGCTCGTTTGAGTTTGTTTGGAGCTCATTCGTTAAGTTAAATGAGTCCAACACAAACATAAGTTTTGGCTCGTTATGTTCACGAACGAGCTCGAGCTTGCTCGCCAACGTTTGACAATATTTATTAAATAATTAAATTAATATTTTTATATATAATATGTATAAATATTATATTTAATTCTATTTTATTTAAATTTATAATACTCTCTCTGTCCCAGTAAATATTCATTTGCTTTTTAAACGTAGTTTTAAAAATATTAGTATTATAGTGGGATATAGTAGGGATAAAACAGAAATGACTAAAATAACTTTATTAGTATATGTGATATAAAGGTAATGACATTTGTGTAATATATTGTAAGTTGTAAGGGTATTTGTAATGTTAGGTAGATAGTACAATTACTTAAAAAAAAGAAATAGATACTTTGTCATGGGACGAATTAAAATGGAAAAATGAATACTTTGTTATGGGTCGGAGACGGAGGGAGTATAAAATTATAATTATTATTAATTGAATTTTATTTATTTTTTTAAAAAAAATTAAATAAAAGTCTCTTAACGAACGAATACTAGCTGAGTTCGAGTTCTTACGAGCCGAACTCAAACATGACCAGCTCGGCTCAGTTCGACTCGTTTACGGCCCTACGCCAAAGTTCGTATTGTAAATTGCAATTCAGTGGCTTAAATACATTCGCTCCTCTATCTTCGATTCAACTGATACTTGAAATTACGTAAAATGTCCTGTGGTGCAGCGCGAACGATTGAAGAAGCAGCTGGAGAAAACTAAAAACCAGAAGGGAAAACTCGAGGCATTGTGCCGGTCACTGCAAGCAGAGAGGAAGTCGAATTCTGTTGGAAGCAATAGCTCCGAATCTGTCCCACCCGTTTAAGGAGGTACTGTAATGGATCATCATTATTACATACATTTTGTGGTTGATGTTTGGTTGCTTTTATGGCCTGCTGAGGTTGTCCGGTGGACACGAGATCCATCTACACGTATGTATATTGCGTTGCGTAGATGTAGGAGGATGGATTCATTCACGGTGATTGTTCGATGTGGCTCTCGTTTCCCAGTTCGATTATTTCAGGTTTGTTTGTTTGGATGTATTTGGATTTGTCGATGAAGTTGACATGAATATATTTGAATTATCTGGATCTGGAAATGTTTTAGAATTTAAATCGATTGATTGCATGTAGAACTTACATAAATAGGCGTGATTTGAAAATTCTATCTCGGAAAAATCGTGCTTGGGCTTAAAAAAAAAAAAAGGTTCCTGAAAATTGGGCCGTGCTTGGCGGGTCTGATTTATTAAAATTAATGTTTATATATATATATATAATAACTGAAAAAATAATGACAAAAATTGAAGTGACTTGATATGGTAAGTTCTTGATTTATTTGAATTTGATCGTAGGTTTAATTTCCACTTACACTATTTGAGTCACACTTTTATTAGATTAAATAAAATTTTAGAAACGAAAAAAAATAAAATAAAATAAAAATAAAACTGGGCCGGCGGTCCACTGTTCGAATTGTCATACCTAATTTTATGTTAGAATACATTTGAATGTTATAAGGTTGAGATTTAAGATTCACTGCTTGTGCTATAAATGTGATTCTTTAAAATTGTGAAAGGAAATAAATAAATTTTAAGAAAAAATTTACTCCCTTTCGCCTCTTCAAATCTATTATCATTTTTCTTTTTTTTTTGTTGTCATTCAAATTTATTCTCATTTTTTTAGTAAAAAAATATTATTTTTTTTACCAAATAAAGTAAATTTTTATTAGTGTCCAGTCAAAAGAGCACACAATTAGATGACGGATGAAGTATTATATTTTAATAAAAATATTATTTACGGAGCATAAAATTTTTTACGTAAGTGATAGAATTCAAGCTTGCGGCAGATAAAAATTGTAATTGAGAAAATGTTACAGTATTTGTAGTCGGATTTAAATAAATTGGGCTAATTCAACTATAAATGGGCCCGAATAAATTATAATGGGCCGGCACAGAATAAATTGTACCGGACATGAAGGGGTTAAAATTATCCATAATATATTACTTTATCTGTACACATGGTTTGTCTTTATTTTTTATTTTTGTCCGTCCCGCGTAACTTGTCCTTTTTATTTTTAGAAATATAATTATCCATTTTAATCGCATTTTAAATTTTAAATTTTATGATTTTTTTTAATTCTAATTAAACTATTTAGTTATGTTAATCTTAATCTATAATTATTTTTACTGAATAATAATTATTTTTACTTATACACTTCTTAATTACTTGCTAATTATATTTTACCTAAATTCATGTATCAACAGTAATTAGTCTCTTATTTTTGGGAGCGGAGGGGGTACTTTTTTATTTAAAATTTAATTTCAATTTTAAAAAATAAAAAATAAAAACCCAATAATAATTTAAAAAATTAAGGTTAGTTATACATACAATTTTGAAATTCTCACTTTATAACTTTAAAAAGAAATCTGTTTAAATGAATGTGTTTATCACTAAAGTAGAGGCTAAAATTTAGGCATATTGATCTCATGCATTGGATATAGTAAAACACCATGGATTTGAGTCTTCTGCTTGTTGATTCTTATTCAGCTGCAGATTTGGTGCAATTTGTTGTCAATTAAAGTCAGAGATTAGTATCTTCGATTCGCCGCCTTTGATTCTGTCATGGTTTTCTGCAGTTTGTTTGAGTTTGGGAAGTTGAGAAGAATAGGGCACTGGTTCACCACTCGCGTTTCAAATAACTATGGCGACGAGAATCTCAAGCTGCCTCTTCCTCCGCCTATAAAAGTTTCTGATACTAAGAGCATTATCCCCAAATCTGATTGCGAGGTTTGTTAATTAATTGATTGCGGTTTTTTATTTCTAATTTTATTGGATTGTTCGAAATCTACTCAGTGACGGTTTGTGTTTAAGTTTTTTTTAATGGAAACATTTGATTCAGTAACTGTTGTTATTAATCTTAGGATAATGGATTAATACTGTTCTTCATTTTTGTGAAATTGATTGCTCGAATTGATCATTATATTTGCGAAATGCGTTATTGATTCGATGAAAATTCTTTGCCATTTTACCCTAACAATCGAATAAATTTTTTGTGATTTAAGTTCTTAGATTTATCCTTGAACTCTTTTGATCTTCAAATCCATGCCTATCAATATGCATATATATGTATATATATATTACACACATATCTAGTTGTTCTCTGTTCTTCATCTGCAAATTGCATTATTCATTCGATGAAAAATCCTTTGCTATTTTTACTTAACAATCGAGTAAATTTTTCGTAATTTGAGTTCTTAGATTTATCCTGTGAACTCTTTTTATCTTCAAATCCATGGCTATCAACATGCACATATGTATATATATATATATATACTGATTGTTCTCTGTTCTTCATCTGCAAATTGCATTATTCATTCGAATAAAATTTTAGTAATTTGAGTTCTTAGATTTATCCTGTGAACTCTTTTGATCTTCAAATCCATGGCTGTCAATATGCATGTACGTACATATATATATATATATATGTATATTACACATATCTAATTGTTCTCTGTTCTTCATCTTCATCAGACATGTCCAATATGTTCGAAGTCGATGATCGAGGCAGGGCAAAACTTATTCCAAGCAAAATGCTCGCATAAATTCCACTTCGTGTGCATCGAAGAACACGCGAAAAACGTGAGCAAACAATGTGTAGTTTGCGGAGCCGAGTTGGACAGTCTCCTTACACTCCTTTCTTATCTTCAAGAAGACGATTCAAAAATTCAGATCAAAATCTATCCGGAAGTCGAATGGATCCAAGAGGAAACCAAAGTTGATAATTTCAGAGTCGTAATCCACGTGGAACCAAAAAATCGTCAGCTCCATGCTCCAATTGATCTTGTCGCGATTCTTGACGTTAGTCAAAGCATGTCCGGGGAGAAAATCGAGCTGATGAAACAAGCGATGAAGTTTGTGATCAACCATCTCGAAGACGAAGATCGGTTGTCGATTATTGTCTTCGCTACAAAAGCCCGATGCTTATTTCCTTTTCAAAAGATGTGCGAAAATGGCCGCAAATTCGCTCTGCAAGAAATTGATTCGTTTGTCGCCAAAGGCGCAACTAACATGGCAGAGGCTTTGGAAAAGGGTTTCGACGTGATTCTTGATCGAACAATTGAGAATTCTATTGCCAGCGTTGTACTTTTTTCCGATGGCCAAATTGGAGACGAAGACAAGGAGATCTTAAAATATTCGAGGGGCCGTGACGATGACAATGACAACATCCCGGTTCATACATTCGGAGTCGGATCCGATCATTGTTCGACTACGATGCGTGAGATCGCAAATTCCACCGGTGGGACGTTTTCGTTCTTCAAAAACGAAGAAGCCATCGAAGGCGTGCTTACGCAATGCATCCCGAAGCTTTCGAGCGTCGCGGCTACTAATCTTCAAATCAGACTCGAGTGCGCCTGCAACGACGTTTTCTTAAAAGAAATCGATGCCGGGTCACATCTGACTGTCGTATACTCCGATCAACGGTTGGGAGTGATCGACGTTGGTGATCTTCACCTTAATGAAGAGAAGGAATTTCTCGTTTCGATTAAAATTCCGGCCGTCAAGACCTCGTTGCTTAACGTAAGTTGCATTTACAAGCACGGCCATACCTCGTCAGATAAATGGGTGATCGGAAAACCAATCGAGGTTAAAATTGACAGACCTAAAGTTGTTAAACCGGAAAAAGTTTCTATTCAAGTCGACATTGAGGACCGGTGTCGTTTAGCCCGAGCAATTTTGCAAGCAATACATGCCGGTGATGAAAAAGATTTCCAACAAGCGATTTCCATCGTCGAGAATGCTCGAAAATTTTTATCAGTCAGCACGACAGTGTGTTCCCGAGCAATGTTGTATGCCGCGCTCGATCATGAACTCCAGATCACAAAGGAAGACATGATAAGTAAGCAAGTATATCGGATTCGGGGTCGACCACGCCTTCTATCATTGCTAAACTCGATCGATGGGCAACGGATAACGCCTTGGTTATTGTCCTCGTCGGATATCTCCGATCAACTTAAGCATTGCTTTCTTTTCAACTTCGACGGTAATATTGCCTTTTAAATTCTGTCTATTTTAAGCTATTATTCAAAGTTTTTTTGTTTTTTTTTTTAATTTCGAATAAATTTTTTATTATTTTTACTCTTCTTTTATGGACGGAGATTTCTGTAACTATATATCCATTTACTTTTTATATAATTTTTTTTTATTGTATATTAGTTTTATATTTATATATAGTAAGAATAAAGTAGAATATACTTAAATAATTTTATTAATAATTTTTTATGTATATTAGTTTTATATTAATATATAGTAAGAATAAAGTAAAATATACTTAAATAATTTTATTAGTATTGTATAATAGATGTAATACTCCCTTTGTCTCACATAATTTGTCCCTATTTTCTATTTTCGTCCATCCCACATAATTTGTCCTTTCTTTTTTGGAAATATAATTATGGCATTTAAGTTATTAAATTATATAATTTTCTTAATTTTAATTAAATTATTTACTTATCTTAATCTATAATTATTTTTACTAAATAATAATTATTTTTACTAATATACTTCTTAATTATTTACTAATTATACTTTACAGTAATACACCCATACCTTAATAATTATACTTTACCTAAATTCCAGTGTCTACAGTAATACATCCATATCTAAATTTTTTGTGTCTATAGTAATATACTCATATTACATTGGAATATTGTAAGTTGGTATTTTTAATATTAAGTAGATTAATACTTTATTTTATTATAAAATAGACATAAACAGAAAAATAAATAATTTATTAAGGGAATGAGAGAATTTTAAATTGTTTTATAATTTAAATCCATTGAAGCATTTAAAATGTTAAAATGTGATTCTTTAAATCATTAAAGAAAATATATAAATTTTACAAAAAGATGATTAGTAACAATATTGTAAGAAGAATTATGATAGTGTTATATATATATATATATATATTCAAATTTTATATTTTGAGAAAATATATTATTCAATATAAATAGTATTATTTACATATCATAAAATTTTAAATATATTCTATTAGAGTTCAAATATTCTTATGGAGAACATTTAGGATAAAAATAAGTTTATACATAAAATATTGTAGAACAATATGAAATTTTTAGAATATCCTCAATAGTAGTCGTAACAGTAAAATCAAATCGATTTAGACCATCTGTTATGAAATTAAGTTTATATAAAAACGTGAGACTTTTGTTTGTAAACATCCAAGTTAGAAAAAAAAAAAAATATATATATATATTATAATATATTGGCAGACAATATTTTAATATATATTTTATTTTTTAAAAAAATAAATATTTAATATAAAATATTATATATATTTTTTTATTTCAAATAAAAAAATTCTATTATGCCAAAATAATAAAGGAACTCGGAAAATAAACAAATAAAAAAAATGCCTCCAAATGCAAATAAAAAAAATCATATGTTATCTCGAAGTTCACTGTATATTATTTTTTTGGTTGCTTTTATAGGTTGCTAAGAAAAAAAATAAAAATGAAAATTTTGACGAAAAAAGAGCTGAACAAAGTATTTTAGCACTAAAATGGACGATTACAAATAATTAATTAGGAAATATCCTATACATACAACGTCCTGTCTAAAATATTTTAGGAAAGGATAGTTTTTTCGCGTTGGCTTGCTTCCAAGTTTAATTATTTTTTTTCGCGTTGGCTTGCTTCCAAGTTTAATTATTTCTATACATATTCATGTAATATAAATAAAATGTAGTATTTTATTTTTTTCATAAAAATTTAATAATTCAATTCTAAATATTATTTCTATATTATCGACCTAAAATACTAAACAAACACATATCTCAATGTTGAAATTAAGAACTTATGCTATAAATGTAATTCTTTAAATTATGAAAGAAAATAAATAAATTTTACAAAAAGTGATAAAGGCGATGAAGTAACAATACTGTAAATGTAAAATGAATTATGATAGTATTATATAATTTTAATAAAATATATTTAATCTAAATATTTATGTACAGAGCATAAAATTTAAAAAAAAAAAAACAAACAAACAAATACACATATTTTTTAAAAAATATTAATATATCACTGGTTTATTATTTTTATATTTTTTATTCAATTTTTCATATTTTTATATTTTTTTTTTTTTCAAATTATCTTTCAAAACAAATACACTTTGTATATATTTCCTATGGCCCAAAATAGTCGTGATTACCATTTTTTTATATCCCAAAACAATAGTCTCATTTTCATAAATAACAATATCACTGTAAAACTATCTTTATTTTTTCATTATTATTACACAATTACCACTACTTTTAACACTAATACACTCATAAGGCAAGAAAAACTTTTATCCATACTTTTTACGTACTGTTAATATAATATCAATATTTCTTAAATTCTGTGTCAAATCCAAAGCAAACTATAAATTGTTATATAAAAAAATTTCAAATCAAAATACTAACAAACTGACGAATCCATCCATTTTTTAATTCTCACATTATAACTTAAAAAAATAAAAATAAAAGTCTTGCAAGTTTGTTATATGAAGCTAAAATTTTGGCATATTTATACTCTTAGGAACGAGTCTTTTGCTTGATTCCCTATTCAAATGGAGATTTGATGCAATATCTTGTCAGTTACAGTTACAGAGCTTATAATCTTCAGTTCTCCTCCTCTGCGCTGCGCAGCTTGTAATTCCGAAAGCAATCGAAATGGTTTTCTGCAGTTTGTTTGAGTTTGGGAAGTCGAAATGGGAGAAAAAATTGAGAAGAGTAGGTCATTGGCTCCGATTCCCGACCTCACGCGTTTCAAACGATCCGCCTCTTCCTCCGCCTACAAAAGTTTTCGATACCAAGGACGTTATCCCCAAATCTGAATCTGAGGTCGGTTTATTTCTAATTTTTTAGCTATTTTGAAATCGATTTGATTGTTGGAAGTTTACTCAATTTGTGTTTAAGGTTTCGTATGGATTGTTTGATCTGTTGTTAATCTTAGAACAATCGATTAATACTATTCTCCATTTCTGTACAATTCGCTTCAAATTCCATGGATGGATGATGATTGAAGCTCTTTGTGCAATTGACTGCTCGATTCATTGATTGATTATTAGATGAAGATTTATTGTAAAAAGGCAAAGAATCTGTTGAATCGAATACTCTGTATTTTACCCTAACAATTTGAAGAAAACTTTTGTGATTTGAGTTCTTAGATACTCATAATTTTCCATTCCATGGCTGTCATTATGCGTAGATACATTACATTCATCTCTAATTGTTCTCTGTTCTTCATCTTCACCAGACATGTCCAATATGTTCGGAGTCGATGATCCAGCCAGGGCAAAACTTATTCCAAGCAAAATGCTCGCACAAATTTCACTTCGTGTGCATCAAAGAACACTCGAAAATTACGAACCAAAAATGTGTAGTATGCGAAGCCAAGTTGGACAATCTCCTCGAATTGCTCGATTCAAGAGTTCAGATGAAAGTCTATCCGGAAGTTAAATCGATTCAAAAGAATACCAAAGATGATGATTTCCAGGTCGTAATTCACGTCGAGCCAAAACGTCGGCAGCCTCTAGCTCCAAATGATCTCGTCGCGATTCTTGACGTAAGTCGGAGCATGTCCGGGGAGAAAATCAAACTGATGAAACAAGCTATGAAGTTCGTCATTAAGAATCTCAGAGATGAAGATAGGTTGTCGGTTATCATCTTCGCTACAAAAGCGCGATGCTTGTTTTCTTTCCAAAGAATGTGCGAAAATGGTCGGAAATTCGCTCTGCAAGAAATTGATTCGTTAGACGCCGACGGCCTAACCAACATGAATGAGGCAGTGGGAAAGATTGTCGAAGTACTTCTAGATCGAACAACGGAGAATCCTCTCGTCACCGTTCTATTGTTTTCCGATGGCCTAATCCGACCCCATGATATGGAGACCTTAATCGAGTACTGCAAGAACAACGTAAGATATCCGAAGGGCCCTAATGACGACTACACCTCAAGAATCCCGATTCATACTTTCGGAATCGGAGCCGAAAAATTTTCACATACGATGTATCTAATCGCGCATTACACCGGAGGGATGTTTGCCAACATCGACAACGAAGAGGATATCGAACACGTTCTTACACCGTGCATCCCGACGCTTTTGAGCGTCGTCGCTACTCATCTTCGAATCAAACTCGAGTGCGCCTCTAAAAAAGTTTTCATAAAAGAGATCGGCGCCGGGTCACATCCCGCCGTTCTATACGCTGACCAACAGAAAGGAGTGATCAATGTTGGCGATCTTTGTGCCGACGAAGTTAAGGACTTTCTAATTACGGTTAGCGTTCCGACCGTCGAAACCTCGTTGCTTAAAGTAAGTTGCAGTTACAAGTTAAGCCATATCGTCTCGGATAAATACGTGATCGAAGAACCGATCGAGGTTAGCGTCGATAGGCCTAATAGGGTTGCGAAAAAGGAAAATGTTTGTGTTCGAGTCGACACACATCGGGATCGATGTTTTTTAACCGAAAGTATTAACCGAGCAATAGAGTTAGCTGATAAAAAAAATTTCCAATGGGCGATCTCCGAAATCGAGAGCGCTCGAAAAACTTTATCGAAGAGCCCGGCATCTTGCTACCGAGCAATGTTCTACGCCGCGTTCGATTTTGAACTCGAGGCCGTGAAGGAAGACATGGTGAATCTGCAAGCGTATCTAGTTTCGGGTCGACCGTGCCTTCTATTGTTACTGAACTCGATCGGTTTTCAACGATTGCCGTGTTCCCGTGCTCGTCGCAAACCCAACGGATCTCTTCCGGCTTAGGCGTCGGATATCTCCGATCAACTTAAGTATTAACCCTCTTCGACGATGATATTGCTTTTTAAATTCCCTCTATTTTGAGCTATTATTTATTCTTTCAAATAAAAAGTTTTACTATTCGAATAATAATCAATAATTCGATTGAATTATTTTTCGTTAGAAAATTTAATGTAGTTTATTTATCTTTTAGTTTTATACATTGAACCATTGTTAAAAAATATATATATAGATTAATGGTGAACAAGAAAAAATTAATTTGAGATTAATATTAAAATAATATATGATAAGATATTTTGTAAGAGAAAAAAAAAAATTAAAAAAAATTGGATAAAAGTAAAATTTTTGTAGCTAAAGAAACACATCCTATATACTCCCTCCATCCCATTGTCTGCTACGGCTATAATTAGTAGATAATTAAAAATGTATTAGTGAAAATAATTATCCTATAATATACATAATTATAAAATAAAATTAAAATAATTAATTAGTTTAATTAAAATTTTAAAAAATAAATTAAAAAGTTTAAAATGAGATTAAAGTATTTAATCATTATCTAAAAAAGGAAAGTAACATGAAATATGAGACAAACAGAAACGGCAAAACATGATACGTGAGACCGAGGGAGTAATTTTTTTTTATATACAATTGGTAAGAGTTGGTAAAAAATTCGAATCAAAATCGCCAAGGAAAATCTAATTTGAATACAAATTTTATAGTAATTAATATTTTTTTTAATTTGGTTACTTTAGTTTAAATTATCGACAAATAATACAAAATTTTCTATTCAAATTCATTTCATAGTTTTAGATATCTATTTAATTCGATTCAAATATTATATTAATATATTTTTATTTTTATTTTTAAAAAAAGACACTACTTTTGATGATTGGCAAGATTCTATAAAACAATAAATAAATGAAAATGAAGAAAATTTATTCTTGTAAAAAGAAATGAAATTTGAAGGCACAGAAAAGGGAAAAAAATCCCAAATGAACAGGTAAGATATGAATGCCTGTGAGAGTCAATTCTCTACAAAAACAAAAAGAAAGACCAATAAAAGAAAATTACAATTATTTTAAAATAAATAAAAATAAACTGCAAAAAGCAAACCCTTTAGTCAGTGCAGCAATATAAAAGTAACAAAAAATGAATCAAAGATCCTGTCAGTTGCAGAAAACCCTAACCCTAGAATTCAGTGACCCATTCCCACATCTACAATTTATATATATAATTAAAATTAAAATTAAAATCCCCAATTCCATTTTGCACTTTTCAGAATATCTCAATTCCTGCAGAAGAAATCAAAAAAGGCATGATTATGATGATGATGATGGTGATGATCAGTAGTGTTGCCAGAAGAAGTTGAAGTTGCAGCAGCTGAATTAGGGTTCTCATCTTCATCTTCATTGTTCTGATCATCATGATTTGATGAATTTCTTTGCAGGAATCCAGTGGGATGAATTGGGAATAAATCTAGGGTTTCTTGATGATGAGGATGACGATTGATGTACTCGCCTTGCTTTGATTGGTTGTACCTTTGGGGTTGTGCTGGAGGCAGTTGTACCTCTGGGAGTTGATGATGATGGTATAGTGAATGATCATTAGCAATGTAATATGGCCTGCAAAATGCTGTAATATTTACAAGTATATATATATATATACACAAAGTTAATAGACCATGCATAAATTAATTGAAATGTGACATAATTATATTCAATGATCACTTGATAAAGAGCAATAAAAATCTCTAAAAACATACATATATATATTTAAACAGCCTTTCATTAATTGATTTTTCCTATCTTTCTTGTCTACCAAGAATCCAATTTTCACCCAAAAAAAACACCTACTTTAGTGAAATTGTCAAATTGGAGACAAAACAAAGTTAATATTTTTATTTAAATAGCTATGACAAAGAATCATACTAAGACAATGGTATATATATATATAATGCAAAAGAAACCCCACATTGTTGTATATAAAATCACACCCAAAAGGGATTTAGAGATTTATCAGTGGCAACATTAAGTTTGAACAAACAAACAAGAATGAAGTTAAAGAAATTAAGAAATCCAACATATTAGGGTTTGTTTGATTTAGAATTTTAAACACATTTTTTTACTAAATAAAACCACTTCACCCCCAAAATATAATAGGTTCAGCCGGGTTTATCCGACACACGCAAGACTTTCAGGTAGCGATTACGGGTTCTCATGTTATAAATATATATATATATACATATTTTAAAAACAAAACCTATTGTTGGTATATAAAAAATAAAAATGGAAGGAATATATTGTTGGTATATACCATTAGGGTGTGGAGGTGGAGGGAAGAACATCAATGGCGGCTGCGTGGGAGGATGAGGAAGAAGACGCTGATGGTGATGATGATAATTAGCAGCAGCAGCAAAATGATGATTAATGTTATTATTGTGATGTAATTTGTGCTTCTGCCTCTGACGAGCTTTGTGATTCTGAAACCAATAGAACACATTCTTGCCCTCGATGTGTCCATAAACCCTAAGCCTCTCTGTAATTTGCTGAATCTGATCGGCCGTCGGAGTTCTCAATCCCTGTCTGTACAGCCCCTCCAAAACGCTTATCTGCTCCTTTGTCGGATTCCATCGACACCCGCCGCCGCCATTGTTGTTAACACTACTGCCCCTCTGCATCTGCCTCTGATCGTCTTCCCCACTGCCGTCCGCCATTAAAATCAAACCTTACTTCAATTAAATTCAATTCACAGAAATGTACATATATATATATATATATATAGAGAGAGAGAGAGAGAGAGATGGAATGAAGGATGAATGGAGGGATTATATGAAACTGATTATATATATATATATATGTATGTATATGTGGGGGGGATGAAATTAGGGTTTGGTTTGGGGGAAAATCAAATGAGATAATGAATGAATTAATTAAGGAAGAAGGAAGGGATGAGGATTGGTAGCCATGGAAATTAGCCAATGATGAAGGATGGTGTATGGATATGCGTGCAATCTCACTTCACTTCACTTCACTTGGAACTAACTGCTAGTAACAAGCAAGCAAGAAACTACACTTCTGCACTGCAGATCAACAATGGCGATCAATGATCTTTCTCTCTCTGTGAGATGAAAAGTCAAATTGAGAGTGTCTTTAGTTTTGATACGATTTCTTTTTCTTTTTTTTAAAAAAAAAAATTATTTAAGAATTATTTTAATATATTCCCCAATCTCATTTTTCATGTCTACTGTTATATTTCGGTATCTTCCACTTATTTTATCATTTTATTTTCTTTTAAATTTGGGTGTGTTTGTTTCGGGATTGGATTAGATTTTCACTATTCATCCTATTTTTTCTCTCCAAAAACAACAAATGAAACACATATTTTTTATTTTTATATTATACTAAAATTCAATTTTACATTCAAAACATCACATCAACACCTATTTATATCACATTATACAACTATTCAAATTCAAAATTTTTACTATTCAAATCCAAACCCCCAAACCAACACACCCTAATTAGTGAAAATAATTATTGTATGATAAAAATAATTTTAAATTAAAATAACTAATTAATTTAATTATAAATTTAAAATTATAAATTAAAATTTTTTAAATAAAATTAAAGTATGTAATTTTTTTTTTTCAGAAAAGAAAAGTAATATAATAAATGAGACAATACAAAAATAGAAAGATAGACACGAACGGTAAAACAATGTGGGCTAATAATAGTAGTAGTTTTCATTTATTTTTAAAATAAAACCAAACACGCATTTTAGATTTTATTTTCACATATATATATTTGTATTTCTTTTGTCTCCTAAAAATATGTTCACTTTCGTTGTCCAAAAGTCTTGAATTTGTTTTATTTTATTTTTTACGATAAATGAAGTTTAAATAATTTCTGTTTTAACTTAAAGTATTATTTTTGATCATTTTTGTCTATTTCACTTAAAAATATATTTTTTTCTATTTCAGTAAAATTAATTATATTTTAATATCAAAATATCATTAATTTTTACTTAAATTACAAATATATAATTATTATTATAATTACAAAGTTAAAGGACAAAATTATCAAAATATCTTACACACTTCCATCCACTAACTAATAAAATATTATTATTTATTTATCTACTACAAAATTCAAAGAAATACATTCATCTAGAACATGGAGTATCTTTTTCATAATATTATATTAAATATCTAATTTTTTTTGTTTTTATTGTTAAAAAGATTCAAAAACTTTCATAATGTACTACTTATCTAACATAATAAACACTCTTCAAACTTACACTATATTACACATATATCATTATTTTTATATTACACAATGCTAACGGGAGTATTTTCGTCTTTTTTACTACAATCTATTATAATACGAATATTCAAAAATTTACATGTAAAAAATAAACGATAATCTTACACCGGGAAGAATATGCTATTAAAAAAGAAAGAGATACGAAAATTTGTATTTAGATAAATGAAGAGTCAAATGAAAAAAATTAAAGAGAAAGGGAGTATCTGTATGGCAATGGCAGAATATAAATATTGATTGGGATTTGGGAATGGGAATTGGATTATTTGCATTGCATGCGCGTATAGTTTTTGGTGAAAAATCTCTGAAAAACATGGAGGGGCATGCATGAAATGACCATAATGCCCCCTAAACCGTAGGGGCAAATTGGGAAGATCAAATCGGTTATTGTAGTAGTAGGGAGGCGGGGTTAGGCTTTGGAAATTGAACCATTAATCCTAGTCCTAGTCCTAGTCCTAGTCCTACTCTACTCTGCTTTGCTGCTGCTATCCTATATAATTATGGGTGTATTTGTTTGTTTGTTGTCTGTCTCACGTCTCAGGTTATTTTTTTTTAAAAAAATAATTATATATCTTAATTTCATTTTAAATTTTAATTAAATTAATTAGTTATTTTAATAATACTTTATATTATAAGTTAATTATTTTCACTAATATATTCTTAATTATTTATTAATTACACTTATCATAAATTCTTATTTCTACAGTAATCAAGACATAGAATGTGAGACGGAGGAAATATTAAATTTTATTTTCTTATTATACTAAAACTCATTTTTATATTTAAAACATTACATAACACATATTTATATTACATAATACAACTATTTCAATCTAGAATTTTTACTATTTAAATTTCAACTCAAAATTCAAAATCCCAAACAAACACAATCATAATGTACTCCTCCACCATATTTTGTAATATTTTTTATTTTGTTCTGTCTTATACTCTCTCAATCTGTCTCTAAAAGTTATATTTATTTTTCTTTGCATAACTATACTTAAAATTAAAAATTAAATTTATATTTGTATAATTTTTTTTTTTTTACAAATATCTTACTATTAGTATTATAAGACAGTAATTGAAGTATTTTTGCATTTTTTTTTAATTTATACTATGTTTTGATATAATAATTAATATTAAAGATCAACACGCAAAAAATAGTGAGACCCTTTGAACCGGACGAAAATAGTACTCCCTCCGTCCCTTAACAATCTATCCATTTTTTCATTTTAGTCCGTCCCATAACAAAATATATATTTCCTTTTTTAGTAATTGTACTATCTAACTAATATTACAAATACTATTTCAATTTACAATATATAACACAAATGTCATTATCTTTATATCATATAATACTAATAGGATTAATTAAGTTTTTTTTTACATTTATTTCTACTTTATCCCAATAGAATAATAATATTTCTAAAATATCATGCAAAAAGAAAATAGATATATAAATATAGGACGGAGGAAATATATTTTACTAATATTTCCATAACAAAAAAATAACTAATACTCCCTCCGTCCCAAACACCGTGCAATATTTCATTTTTGGTATATCCCGAACACCTTGCAACATTTCCAAAATAGTAAATAATTAATTATACTTAATTTTTACATCATACTTTATCTAATCACATCACCCAAATAAAAAGAATAAAATATACATTTTTCTCTCGATCACATCACCTAATTTCTAAATTATCATACCTAATACTACCCATTTAAAAACTCGTGCCTAAAATAAATGTTGCACCTTGTTTGAAACGGAGAGAATACATTTTATTTTATCACACCATTCAAATAATATATATATATATATATATTTTCTATGTACTGTAGTAGCGAAATTGCACTGCTCTCTGTGCACCCTATTCTCTGCATGCATTTTTCACACACATATATATATATATATACACATATAATATAGAGAGAGAAAAATTTAGAGTGAGAGAAAAAGGGGATTTGAAATTGACGCATGATGAATAACATAGTAGAGGAAGATAAACCGTTTCTTTTCTTCCATTGGTTAAACATTAAATTTGTTGACATTCTATCCTATGCTATGCTGTCCAATTCAATTTTATACAAGACTAACGTATATATGTGTTTTTTTTTATAGAATTTTAAAAAATTAATAATAATTTTGTGTCCAATTTTTTTTTTTTATAAAAATAGTATGATAATTTAAATAAAATATATTAATAATTATTATATAATAACAATGTTAATGTAAAAACCGAGAATTTACGAAAAATATGTTTAGTAAATAATTAAAAATATATTAGTAAAAATAAATTATAAATTAAGATTAAAATAAGTATTTAGTATAGTTAAAAAAAATTTAAAATTTAAAATTTTTAAATATGATTAAAATGTAATACTTTTTTTAAAAAAATGTGACATTATATGTGGGATGAATGAAGTATAAATAATTATAAATTAGAATCAAAGTGAAAATAACTAATCAATTAATTAAAATTAAATAAATTATTAACTATAAATTTTAAAATATAATTAAAATATATAATCATCTGTTCTAAAAAAATAATAAAATGAGATGGATGAAAATAAAAATAATTACAAATAGAGTGGGACAGAAAATAAAAATTAATGATATTTTTATGCGTAAATTTGTTTAATATTTTAATTTAATGCAATAAGATTAATATAAATAAATATAAATTTAAAATTATAATATATAATATATAATAACATTAAATTTACTGAATATATATTATATCTTATAAATACGAGTTTGTACGGATCTGCCACTTGAAAAGTCTATCTTGCCCCTCATTTTTAAAAATGACAATTTAGCCCTTAGCCTACCTTTGTACTGGCTTGAAAAGACGTTTTGGAACCGTCGTCAGCAACTGCCGTCAACCGCCCAAGACGAAACGTTTTGGAACGTCGTCTGGTCGGTTACATCAACCGCCTCGCCAAATGCCTCCACCAGTTTCAGAACTCAAATAGCCCAACCGACCAATCCAGAGACCAATCGGTAGACCAAAAGACTCCTTGGCCGCACCCACCAAGCGACATGTCTATCCACCTGCGGACCAGCTGACTTGCCTATGCGACCGCAGTCCAACCGACCTACTTTATCCGACCGCAGACCATCAGAAATGTCTGTCCGACCTTCTGACCATCAGACCTGTCTGTCCGAACGCTAACCATCCGACCGAGGACCAACCGACCAGATCAACCGACCAAGGACCTTCCGACTTGCCTATCCGACCGCTAACCAACCGATCTGATCATCTGACAGAGGACCAACCGACCAGACCAACCGACCGAGAACCTTCCAACCTGCCTATCCGACCGCTAACCAACCTACCTGACCATCCGACCAACCGACCTGAGCGCAAATTTTTCTCCTTTTCCACCCGACTTCGTGTCTAATTTCCTTTAAGATCCTGCTATCGTTATTTTTATTATTATTATTATTTTTTGTGCGTAACAATTATCAAAGTTGAAATATCCTTGCTATTTTTGACATTTCAAAACTCATAAAGAGATGCAGGGTCACCCTTCTTATCTCAGTCTATCCGCCTGCGGACCAGCTGACTTGCCTATCCGATCGCAGACCAGCCGACCTACTTTATCCGACCGCAGACCATGAAACCTGTCTGTCCAACCGCTAACCATCCGACCGAGGACCAACCGACCAAGGACCTTCCGACCTGCCTATCCCACCGCTAACCAACCGACCTGATCATCCGACCGATGACCTTCCGACCTGCCTATCCGACCGCTAACCAACCCACCTGACCATCCGACCAACCGACTTAAGCACAAATTTTTCTCCTTTTTCACCCGACTTCATGTCTAACTTCCTTTAAGATCCTGTTATCCTTATTTTTATTATTATTATTATTATTGCGTAACAATTATCAGAGTTAAAATATCCTTGTTATTTTTGACATTTCAAAACTCATAAAGAGATGCAGGGTCACCCTTCTTATCTCAATCTATCCGTTTGCGGACCAGCTGACTTGCCTATCCGACCGCAGACTAGCCGACCTACTTTATCCGACCGCAGACCAGCCGATCTACTTTATCCGACCGCAGACCAGCCGACCTACTTTATCCGACCGCAGATCATCAGACCTGTCTGTCCGACCGCTAACCATCCGACCGAGGACCAACCGACCGAGGACCTTCCGACCTACCTATCCCACCGCTAACCAACCGACTAGACCAACCAACCGAGGACCTTCCGACCTGCCTATCCGACCGCTAACCAACCCACCTGACCATCCGACCAACCAACCTGAGCGCAAATTTTTCTCCATTCCCACCCGACTTTGTATCTAACTTCCTTTAAAATCCTGCTATCCTTATTTTTATTATTATTATTATTATTTGTGCGTAACAATTATCAAAGTTGAAATATCCTTGCTATTTTTAACATTTCAAAACTCATAAATCTATCCTTGCAGGGTCACCCTTCTTATCTCAATCTATCCGCCTGCGGACCAGCTGACTTGCCTATTCCACCGCAGACCAGCCGACCTACTTTATCCGACCACATACCATCAGATCTGTCTGTCTGACCTGCTGACCATCAGACTTGTCCGACCGCTAACCATCCGACCAGACCAACCGACGGAGGACCTTCCGACCTGTCTATCCCACCGCTAACCAACCGACCGAGGACCAACCGACCAGACCAACCGACCGAGGACCTTCCGACCTGCCTATCTAACAGCTAACCAACCTACCTGACCAACCGACCGAGGACCAATCGACCTGATCAACCGACTTGAGCGCAAATAATTCGATTGTATTTTTGTTTTACAGTTTATATTTCAAATAAATAATGTTTCACTACATTACATTATATAATAGTCGCGCGGTATACCGCGCAAGAGCGTGTTCTAGTGTGTATATATATATGCTTTGTAGATAACAAAATATATACATTAAGATGGACTATATTAGGTGATTCCTTTACGGTTTTATTTTTAAATTATATATATTAAATATTAATTTTATATTTAAAATATTACCTTTGTCCCACTGGTCTTTTTTATTTTTTACTTGTTAATTTTTTAATATGAATTATTATATTAAAATTTAGTACAAATTAAAAAAATATACAAAAATATTTATATTAATATTTTATAATACTAATATATTGATACTTGTACAAAAAATTATACAAATATTAAAATATTTTAAATGTTAAATACAATAATATAAAAAAAATTATAATATTTATAGATGGACGGAGTAGATATTATAATAACAATTAATTATACTCTTTTCGTCCCATTGAAAGGTTGTCATTTTCTATTTTCGTTCGTCCCAAAATAAGGTTACAATTTTCTAATTCAGTAATTGTACTAATTACATAGCATAATAAATACTCTTTCAACTTACGATATATCACACAAATATCATTACTTTTATATTACACAATACTAATAGGAGTAATTGTATTACAACCCATTATAATACTAATATTTAAAAATTTATGTGCAAAAAGTAAACGACAACCTTACACGAGAGACGAAGGAAGTATTATATTAAATAATTATATTAATTTAATTTATATTATTTAAAACTCCAAACCAACTACAAAATTCAAAGACAAACACATACTAAAAAATTAAATTATAAAAAAATTAATATTATCTTAAATAAACAGTCTTTAATATCATATACCTTTCTTGATTTCATCTATAATCTCCAACTACTACTACTCTCTACTACACCCAATCAATCAATTACATCCAAAATATACTCAAATTCCAAAAAGATTCTTCTAAGCCCTATTTATTACCTTTCCATTTATTATACTCTAAGATTGTCTCGTACCACATAATTTATTCTTATTTTTTATTTTTATTCGTTTCATATAATTTATCTTTTTATTTATTTAAAAAAAATTAATTATTCACTTTAATCATATTTTAAAATTTAAAATTTTTAAAATTTTATTTAAACTATTTAGTTATTTTAATCTATTATTATTTTTACTAATATATTTTTAATTATTTATTAATTATACTTTATCTAAATTCTCGTATCTATAGCAATGCGTTCATCTTATCTAGGACGGAGGAAATATTAAAATTCCTATTTATTTATTTCTGTATTTATTGTTAACAACTGGTATAATTAATTAAGCGCTAAATTCTGAACAAACAACCAAATAAAAAAAAATTAAATAAAATTATTTAGGTATTGGATCAATCGCCATCTGAATTAATTCATTTCAAAACAATAATGTGATTTTTTGAATAAATGCAATAATATGTCCCTATTTGACCATTATTTTTCGTAAACTCCTAAGTTTCTTAAACAACTTTATTTTTATTTTCTCTCAACCAATCCAAATTAAACATATATAACAACAACAAATGGTCAACAAAAAATTCATTAAAAAGACCTAAGTTTTCTAACACATTCCATCTGTTAACAATAAATGTATCGATTTGATTATTTTGAACTGTCAATAATCAATATGTTTATTTTTTAATTAATAACTACAATCCTTATGTATTCTCTCGTCTCAATTTTTTTTTTTTTACTATTTACTGTATATACAAAAATTTAAATAAAATATAATTAGTAATTAATTAAAAATATATATATTTAAAATAAAAATATGATTAAAATATATGATTTTATTTTGTAAAATGAAAATGACAAATAAAATAAAAAGAACAAAAATATTACAGATATTACTATTAACACAATATTATTATTAGCAGTTTATCATTTATAGTAAATAATAGTCTCAACAATATTTTTTGTAGTTAATTTAGTACATGACATACTCTTTATAAAGCACCATGTAATTATGAATAAACAATACATTTCTTCACTACAAACATATGGACATGTGCGGTTTATATATTTTCATATGTTCAGATTCTTTCAAATCACTTAAATCAGCACCATAAAACTTTCCAAATAAATAATATTTCCTCTGTCCAGACTAATAATACCACAATGCTCAAACACACGGATTAAAAAATAGTACTTTTTTCATCCCATAAATATAGTCTTAATTGGATTGAGCACGAAATTTAATAAATATTGATATTATATTGATAGTTGGTAAAAAATATGTATATAAGACTTTTTTATCCCTGTGAGTATATTAATGTAAAAAGCAGTAGCAACTGTGTAATAAAAATAAAAAAATATAAGTAATTTTATGGTGATATAGTTATTTATGGAAATAAGATTATTGTTTTAGAATTGACAAAAATGATAAATAAGACTATTGCATTGGGACGAGGAAAGTAATATTTTAATTTTATAAAAGGAAATAGATAAAAAGTAAAATGAAACTATTATAAAAAAAAATATTAAAATAAAAATAATGAAATTTTAATTTTAATTTATTATTTCTATTTTAATTATATTTTAAATTTTACAATTTTTATAATTTTGTAATTTTAATTAAATTAATTAATTATTTTAATTTTAATTTATAATTATTTGTATTATATTATAATTAATTTTACTAATATATTTTTAATTATTTATGAATCTTACTCCTAAATTTCGATGACCTCGTTAATGGATGGAGTATGCAGCAATGGAGGAGAAAACAAATATATTATTAATAAAAAAAATGATCAAAATATGAAAGAAATAGTAAATAAACAAATTCAAAACCCTACCAGATTAATAAATCAACAACCTCTAATATATACAGTTTGAAAAATATACTAACACAAATATACAACAGAACAAAGAACAAAATCACATAAGACCAAAAAAATCCAAAATAGTGAGCTTACTTGAAAGAGATAAACATTGTGACCCTTTCAGACGGAGGATGAATGAACAAGGCCGGTTTCCCAGTCCCATACACGCCCAACAAATTCCGCGCCATCTTCGTCATCCGTCAGTCGATGCGATCGACCAGCTCCGTTGCGAACAGCGCGCGAAGCCATCATCACGAGCATTTCGCAGCCGTGGATTTCCTCGACTCTGTCCTTGTCGTCGCAAGCTTCCATGGTAAGATCCCTCCACGGCTGGTAATACGACCTGGCACGATAAATGCACAAGAGAATTTTCGATATTTTTTAAGAATATAACGAGTCGACAAGCGTGTAAGGACCGGTTTTGTAGTTACCATCTCCACGTGGGCTTGGCTTCGGCCGGGCAACGTATTTTCAGACAGAGCGCTCGGAGAGGCGTCGGCGACGAATCCACCTCTGTAAATATCGATTAAAATGTAAAACGATAAGCGTAGTTTATTACAAGAAACGGAAACGAGACGAAGCAGACCTGAAAACAAATGCGAGAGGAGGAGACAGAGCGCCGAGACGGCAGAACGAAGCAACGCGTGGTCGAATTTCACTTTCTGCAGCAGGTAAAGTATTGCGGCAGCTAAGGTGTCTTCGGATGAAGTTTCTCCCGACGCCATATCGTCGTGTCTGAACAGAGACAGCAGATTATCGAGGTTCGGTTTTTCCAAGATATCGCTGTCGATAATCATGTCTAAATTACAGGAAATCTTTCCGAGGATCACTGCAGCAGTGAGCCACCGCAGAAGCTTCGACGTGAGGGGTTCTTCGATCACTTTCTTCCCCGCCGTTGAACGATTGTCGCAATCTTCGGGTCGAAGGTTCGACGAGGTTGATTGAATCGCAGCTGTCGCCGCCCATTTTATGAACCCGGAAAGCTTTTCGTGATCCTACAAAAATATGTAATTCAAGTGTTTCGAACGATTTATAATGCTAATATCGCAAAACATATCTGAAAATATGCAAAAGAGAGATGAGATCAGATTAGGAATACCATTCGGAGAAGAGTGACAGGAGGAGTGCTCATAAGAACAGCTTTGAGTCCCAAAACCGTACTTGTATCGCACGTTGCTGATTCGACGGAATTTTTAAGGCTAAGTAAACCTTCGTCGGACAATGTGAAATGAGGCTGATACACCTTTCTTTTCTGAGAAATCTTTAGAACCGTCGTCAATATTTGCAGAATCGAGCTGCAAATGTTGTATTTTCCGACGTCAAGGACAATGTTGTCCGCTAAGAGTTTGTATAATTGCGATGAAAGTTCTGAAAGCTGCTCCATTGCCGTATTCTGAAGCCACTCGAATATGTTTCTGGGAGCCGTGATATAATTTACGATCTGAATTTAAAATATGAACAAATCAAATTAAGACAGTAAGAGAGTCTCCGACATTATGAAAACAGACATCATAGGCGAAAAAGGTAAAAAACATGACGGAACGAGAGAAATCGCACCTCCAAAATGACGGGCAACTGTGTCCGAGTAAATATCTTCTCGTCTTGGGATGTATTTCCAGAGAGAGAGGAAACAATAGAAGACAGCCATGAAATCAAACCACAGTTCTTGACTAAAAACCAGACTGCTTTACGTAATTGAACAGCCTTCTTAACTATCTGCAACAAGATATCGCACAATCTTAAAAGCATCGAACCAAATTGAAAAGAAGAGTATTTGCATAATCTTAAACTTAACCTGAATGGTAAGTCCCTTCGAATCATTATCCGAAAGAGGCGAAGAATAGCAACTCAAGAGATTCTGAAAAATGGAGTTTCTGATATAAATTCTAGCATCATCTTCTGAATTCAGGCCGACATACAACAGTCGAAGCATCCACAATCTATCTGCTCGAAAACTTTTGGAGCTACTCGAGAAAAAGGTTTGGAACAACGGTATGGCCTATAAATATTTACAAGAACCAACAGGTAATGATAACGTTTATCCAGTAAAAAAAACAAATTACGAAAAATGTGAACCAAACACCCAAGCAGCATATACCTTCATGTTCGCTCTGGAAGAACTCATAATATGCTTACTTATAGTCGAATAATTGTCGTGCAACGAGTCTAACAATACCAAAGAAGCTTCTGCAACAAATACAGCAACAATTGATGGGATCCTTTTCCACGGCTCATCGATTCCATTTTGCACATACGACAGTAGGAGACGAAGCTGCGACACGTCTTTCTTCTTTCGGCAATTCTGCTAACAAGAGTTTCGAGTATTGTAATAATCTCCATTGTATGAATACATATAAAATAAAAATATTTAATGTAACAATGGGAGAAGGTATAATTACCTCTAGTGCAGTCTTGAACAGGGCAAGTGTCTCATAACCCAATTTTCGCAAATCGTCATCGGGTGAAGATATACTTACAAATGTAACAGCAAGCAATCCCACACTGGCGAACTCAACCGGCTCGATATAGCCCATGGAAAGACTGTGAATCGAGAAGCGGAGAACGAAAAACGGATCGTATACTTGCTGCCTAGGAGTACCAGAATCGACAAATCTGTTGTAAGGAAAATGCAACACTGTCTGAGCACAGAGCTTAGGGTCGACTGGAAGGTTCTCCCTAATTATCATCTTCCGACGTTCTTCAAGTGCTTCCATAGTTTTCCGATCAGAAGACTGCGCGAGCTTTTCATGTTCCCAATCCTTTCTAACCTTCGAAGAAGCAATTCCCCACAGGTAACACATTTGAGCAACAGTACCAGCACGCGACGCATCATTCGACTCGATTTCTGTGATCAAATTGTATATTTCCAAGTCAATCTCAGAACACGTCGCCCCATAAGATGACAAGAGAAGATAGACCAACTCCTTAGAATTGAGGTCCGTCTCAGACACAGAATTTCTCTCTTTTTGCTGTGAATATATACGGAAAAGCACCCTGACTAGCTTTACAAGTTCCAGCGAATTCAAGTGTTGCTGAGATGTTAATTTACTGCTTCGGAAATCCGAGGTGTCTAAATCAGTCGTGGCGATAACAATTGACCTTAAAATGCTCGGCATAGGAGTCAAAACCAAACCCAGTGGAGTTGAAATATGTGACCCGCAGGCCATATGAATTGTCTGAGCAAATTGGGAATGAGCAAGCAACAGCTGAAGTACTGATCCACACGAAAATTTTCCATCACTCAAAGAAGTTAGAACAGTACGAAGCATCTTCATAGAGACAGGATCCCCAAACCTATGAAGAAGAAACGACTTAACTAGTGATTCAATAAAGGGAAGAGAATCCAGCTGGATAAGATAATCGCGCATCAACGTCGTCAATTCTGATATATTGTTGATAACAAAGATTTCAAGAAATCTAGCCAAAGAAAGATCCAATCCATCTATATTCCCACCATGATCAAGAAACTTAGAGGATTTACTGACAATTACTATCCAGGAATCGATCAACATCTTTAAAAACCGGACTCTCGACTTTTCGATACGAGAGTTAACTTGTGAGTGAATCTCCTCTCTTTCTCCATTTCCCATCTGAGAATGAAGCTGATGACAATCGGGAAATAATACGATTCTACATAGTTTTACTTTCGCAACAACTCTGTTGACAAAATCTAAAGGCCGTTTGAGCAAATGCAAGCTTCTCTCGCTAAGGCTGTTGTCAAAAATATCATCTGCGCGAGATGGGCACACCGACTTAAATAAACTTGACCTGCTTTTAGACTTCGACATTTCTTCACTTGATGCTAAATATTCCTGTGTCATATGGATTGCCTTTCCAAGAAGACTATCAGAGAAAAGCTTCGAAAAAGCTTCAGTGGTTGCAGTTGAGGGACCATCAACACCAATCTCAAATATCGATCTAGAGACAAACGTCTTCCACTCAGAAAAGCCACCAAACAGTACACGGAAGTATGCCAAAATTATTCTCTCGAAGTATTTGCAGTGCTGTCCCTCAAATTTGGACTTGACGGAATTCAAGTATAAGAGCACAGCAGGCAAAAGCATCACCAATTCTTCATCAGAAAAAGAATATTTACAAGTTTCTTCAACTGCATTGGCATTAGGAGGAAACGAATTATCCACTATTTCCGAAAGCATAAATCCAAAGACAGATGTATGCACAGGGCTCATTCCAGTTATAAGGTACAACAACTCAGCTTTTGTCGGATTAATACCATGTAAGCAATAAGAGATTATATTCACTGGAGTGCTCGCCACAACTCTTGATAAAGCCATAGAAGATGAAAGATGTGAATATTTTATAACCTGGACAGCTTTAAGCAGACATGTATCAGCCACAGTTAGTTTGGATCGTTTGCCAAAATCCAATACTTGAAAGAAAATCTTTTCAAATTCCAAAACATCAAACTGTGTCTCATCTGTCCCACCTAAAAAGCTATATCCCTGTCTTCCTCCAAGAGAATCAAAACAGCAACTAGCTAAGTGCAATGCAACAAAATGAGCATTTCTGTTCAACGATAAGGCTGTACTGTCGAAACTAATCCTAGAGAATAACCAGTTCACCAAGTCAAGCAGCTCAAAGGGAGACATGCAACCAACCAAGGTGCAAATAGCATAAAAAATCGGAAGCAAAGGCTTAAAATCCATCAACAGGAGACACGCATCGAACTTGAGTTTGAATGCAAGAAACAGTTTCTGCTCCATCACTTTAAATGCTCTGGATATCCAATTCCTGATATCTGTAACCTGATCCTGTGCACAATCACGACAAATAGCAAAGACATGCTCAGAAACTGTTCTTATCAAATTCAGGATACCGTGATCTATCATATGAACTCTCTGTTTAGCTGATTCAAGAAGTTCCTCCAAAGGCTCCCCGAAGACGGAATCAGAAAGCTCTTCACCACAAGAGAGAGGGGAATTAAGAAATGAAACCACAGCTGGGTGATTAAAGATAACTTCTACCACTTCAACCTCATAATGCAGTGTCGGAGCTTTACCAAAAGCTGGACTAAAAATGTCCGTATATTCGACAAACACTTTCTTCAAGATATGCTCCATGAGTTTAAAGCATATTTCAGTGACAACTTTGAGCTCATCCAAAGATCTGTCTCTGTGGCATAACCTTGTGTGATTAATCCAGAAGAGTACGTTGCATAATGAAGAAACAAGATGATCATACGGCATCTCAGAGACCTTCTCAAACAATAACTTTAGAAGGCCCGACTGCTCAAATAAATGCAAGCTTGTACTTTGCATAACAGATGAAAAAAGCACATGAAATGGAGCACTTTTTAAGTAGCAAGCAAATGCATGAGAAGCAGATTCCTTTGACTCAAAATCACCCATATAAGATATGTCTTCCTTCTTTACTCTACCGTGAATAACATTATTCAGAGCAGTGAAGAACATTTCAGGCCATATGGTTGATGAAACATCAGCAAGATGATTTGATTCAGGAAAGAATATAGATGATACCATTGATAAATGGAGAGTATTGGAATGTAAGTTGTAATATTGCTGATGCAAAATATCACGTCCAAAATGCAGCAGAGCCTTCAATGGCCTCCACTCACGGGGACATGTGCTGAATTCCATAGCAACAATTTTACTGTCGCACTTTTCAAGCTTCTCAGATAATACACGATCAATTAGATATGACAAAGCTCCAGCATTTACCTTACAAAAATTAGGTATAAATCTTCATCAAATACAAATGATGCTGGAAAAGTAATTTATAACATAGTATGAAAAATAAGGTAAACAAGCCATCTTACTTGTGTATCCAATATGTATTTGATTGAGTTGCAAACATACAGAGATATCAGTGATTTCTGGGGTAGTGTGAAGGATCTGGACTTCGAGCTCAACAACCGGAGGCAATGCTCCAAAATGCATATGATAAAAGGGCTAAATTCAATATATAGATCTGTAGACATAACAGCAAACAATTAAAATTTTAAAATTATAGTGGAAAATGGAAGGGAAGGTAAAATTAAAAAGTTAAAAGCACTATATATGATGGTTGACTATATAAATTAAGAAACATACAGTTAAATACGAATTCACTCTTACAAAAACTAGTCAAATAAAATATATGAAGCATTTCATAACCAAATTTACATGGCAATAAAGAGTTTGTTTAATTTTTTTTTATAGTAGTCGGATGTGATGCTTTGCGAGGAAAATTGAGAGGTTGAATAGCAAAAAGATTGGGAAAACAAAACCTCGAATAAACAAAACCCCAAGGTGCCTGGTTACATAAATATTTGCAAACATTAGAACCAAATGAATCCCCAAAAGATAGAGAAATTACAACACTTACCTTTACCACCATCTTTGTCATATATGTAATGCCTCAACGAATCCATATATCTGTACAAGTTGTTGCCAATTGTGGAAATAGCATGACAAAGGAAAGATATAATAATAGATGACAACTTCTCAACACTTTCAACTTCCTGCTCTTCGAAAAAAACTCGAGTGCCACTATACCCAGGTATGAAAAAGAACCAAGCACAAATTTCCCCTGTGCTGTTGTCAAATGCACCGCTGCTTAACATGGCCGCCCTTGCTAACTTATAAGCCTGCTCCTTTATCTCCCTTACAGACGAACAAATCAATAAGGTGACAAATGAATCGAGGTGCTTGTACATCTGTGCAGGCATCCTTCCAGAGAATTGATTGACATGTTCATTAAGCAGTTTTAATAGGGACTGCTGCAGAATTGTCGGTAGTGCCAGAGGATTATTTGGTAGAAATTTAAATAAATCAACTAATCCCTCCATGGCCATCGGAATAGTCCGCTGCAAGGAAATATAGAACTCTCCAGTAAGTTATAAGCACAACCAACAACCAAACTAGCCAAAAAGAAACTAGAATATTAAGAGTACGATGTGGAAGCATTCAAGAAATAAGAAGTATCAAAGACAGACGCATTTTGAAGCATAAGAGAAGTCAAAAGTGGGAGAGCAAAAAAGAATATTTGTAGAAACAACCAACATTCTATAACAAATGTACTTAATTTTAATTTTCTGAAAGCTATTGTTTGCGCTATGTATCAATCACTTTTAAAATTAATGAAGTCAAGCATGTAAATCCACACATATAAACCATTATAAGCTAAAATCAGCGGCTCCAATAACACAATTGAACCAGCTTTTGACATCCATTTATGCTATTTCAACTATCAAAATGAAGACTAAATTTACAGCCATGAAGTTCACAGAAATAAGTTACGAATTTAAATTTTTTATCAAAACAAAACAATTTGAAGTATCACAGAAAAAGAGAAAATTAAATGTCACAACTTACATAATAGATTTGAAGAGTCTCAAGAATCTTCGAGTAAAAATATACATCCACGTCTTTTAAATCCGTAAGCTGATTTAAACCCCAAAGGTTTCTAACACCTTCCATGATAGGATCAACATTCTCCATTTGTTGCTCACATAACTCTGCAACTCCTCCATCACCGGAGATATCCACCTCAAAAGTATTATCAACCCCACTGATAAGAATGTCAACATCTTCATTTGCAGCAGAAGTTTTCAACCGCTTTCTAGCACTTGCACATGGTTTTGATTCCAATGCAATCTCTGATTCAGCCTTCCTTTTTGTAGTAGATTCAAGATTCTTGGTGTAGTTATTCAGGGGAGAAAGTAAAGACAGCAAAACTTGGGGATCGGGAAGCAACAAGCAGACTCCATGTTGAATCTCTGCCTTTAATGCTTCCCATTTATGCATCATACGGTTTTTTGTGAGTGAAGAATGGTCCATCTTTTCAAATAAAAATCCCAATAACTTTAACACCTCGAATACAAGCTTCACTGTTCCATGTTTCACAAGAGATTTCGAGTGAAGTAACCCTTTGTTCATAACTAATCTAGTGAAGGGTCGTGGTCCGATGCATTTTAATATATCTTGCATATTTTGAATATAAAATTCAGGTGATCTACCGACAGCGCCAATTGAAAGCCCATCGGTTACTGCAGAGACAACATCTGAAGCCAAAGAAATAGCAACAAACCTGCAAGTCATTCATAATTCAGTCACCGCACACAACATGAACACTAAGACATACACAAAAGAAAGAACTAAGTATATTTGTTAAAATAGATTAACGAACATTGTCAAATGCATTAGTGATAAACAAGAAAATTTTACATAGTAACTTAATATTAGGTAACTAATCGATCTTTTAATTAACAAATGAGCACATTGAGTATCAGCACATTATCACAATGAATAAAAGCAGAACAGTATTGAAACTAACCATTTATTCGATGAAAGATCATCAAGATTGTAAGGGAACTCATCCAAATAAGCAGACCCCAATGATGGCCGACCATTGACAATCGCCAGCAGCAGCCTCTTATGCAAAGCAATCTCCGTAGCCTTCAAGTTTTTCATCAGACCCAAAAGGCGCTTCCGATTCCCATGGAGAGGACTCGGCACCCTTTCTAAATCCGGCATCAGCCCATTCATCGGATCAGTACAGGCCATAACCAACACATTATTAGCCAACTCTGCCGCCTCGCCGAAATCTTCCCTCCCGGAAACACTAACCAGCTGTTTCAATGTAACAGTACCAAACAACACACTCCTTAGCCCCGTCGGCACCAACGACTCCGAATAAAGCACTTTATCTCGCAGAACAGACAGCACATGAACCACAGTCTCATCATCGTCATTCTCCAGCCCCCTCAACACCCCCAAATACATCTCCTTTTTCTGTAAAATTCCCCTCATAAACCTCGGGTTTGCAACCTCCAAAAACGCCATGGCAAAAGCCACAAAAGCTTTTCTTGTTGAATAATTTTTAGTTCTTCCCTCAACAAGTTTTTTTGCTCTCAACCTCACTTCTGCTAGCTTACTAAAAACAGCTAGCTTGAAATCAAATACCTTGGCTAATTCCCACGCCAGATGTGAATTACGCTTAACAATGGATGCTAACAGAAAAAGTACAGCGTTCTGTCTCTTCGCCTCTTTACTATTCAATTCCTTGTACAAATCTCCCATTTTCTCTACTATCACCCACCGTGCAAACTCATTCAAAGCTTGACCAACGCCGCCATGGCCGACGTCCTTGGAATGCTTCATTATTGCAGCTACTAGGTTCAAAATATGCGGAAACCCCGGCTTGCCTTTGCGGAATTCCCACGCTTGGGAAATTTCAACGAGCTTGGAGGATGATTCGACATAGAGGCGGAGAAATTTCGAACCCTCGTTGGATTTGAGGATTTTGACGAACTCCTTAGAGGCATCGGAGCAGAGTTGTAATTCAATTGAAGTTAGGTTCCGCAGAAGCTCTTTGAGCTTTAGTTCGTGATTGTGATTGAGTTTGAGGGTGAATAGGGAGAGCTTTTCCCCTTCTTTTGGTTCCATTGATTGAATTGCAGGGCGTAGGGTTTAGGATGATAGTGGATGTTATAAACCCTAAACCCTCTCTAAAACGGCCGGGCAAGAAGATGGAGGGAACATGTGTTTACTTGTATGTAATATTTGTAATATTTGGATTTTGGGTTAGATTTGGAATACGAAATAGTTTTTGATAATTATATAAATTTGTATTAACGTGCTATTTTAAATTTTAAACTTTATTTTTAATATAATATAATAAATAAAATATAAATATTTGATTAGATAATAAAATTGAAAATCAAAAAATTTGTCTTACAGGGATCACTTATTTCATTATAATTGGGTTTGTTTTTGAATATATAATATTTTAATATAAAATATAAAAAAATTATATAAATAATATAAAAATAATAAGTATATGATATATTTAATTTTTGTAAAAAAATTATATTTTTGAGAATTAGAGAAGAAAGCAACCTTATTTTAATGAGATCGTATTTTTCAATACTCTTATGTTCGTCAGTAAGTTTTTCATTTAAAGTAAATTAAATTGAACAAAATTCACTTGTAATTTTACAAAATTGTGTCAAATTTTTCGCACTTCTAAAACTATTTCAAATTCTCTCGTAATTTCATAAACTCTGAGTCTAACTTCTCGGCGGTCTTTATTCTATGGTATTTGACCCATATACGCTAACACTGCGAATAAGTTTTAGAATATCGATTTATAAACTCATATAATTACAAATATATTATTTTTCTTATATTTATTCTAAAAAACAGTAAAAATAAATTTTTAAAATATGAGAAAAATAACTATTTTTTAGTATATTTAAAATTTTTGAAGTTAAATATAAGAAAAATGAATATATTTGTAATTTTAGAAGTTTAGAAATTAAGATTCTAAAATTTATTCGCAATTTCGGCTAGATCAAATACGTTAAATAAGAACGGCCTAGGAGTTACAACGGAATTTGACACAATTTTAAAAATATAGGGAATTTGAATGCAATTTTATAAAATTACAGATAAATTTTGTACAATTTTAACTTTTAAAGTAAATTAGTATAAATATGTAATATAATAAATAATGTAATATCTATTTTACTATTTAAAAATAATATGCAAAATAAAAAGTAAATATATTTTGATATTTAATTAAAGGTTAATTTTTTTAAGAAAACAAATATGAGAAATTTTGATTTTAATATATTAAAATGGTAGATGAAAAAATTACTAATGTACAGAAAGGGTCTTTTTTATATATATATATATATAGATTTATTTAAAATTTATTTAAAATTTTTATTTTTATTTTTATTTTTGTAATTATTAATTATTTTTATATATTTTCAAAAAATTTATTTATTTATATTATATAAATTTAATATTTTTATAAAATAATATCTATACTATATATTATTAAAATAATTAAACATATATTTTAAATTTTTAGTTATATATATTAAATTATAAAAATACTTTATCCGTCCACAATTTAACGTTTTACTTTTTTATTTAAAATGTTTAACAATCAGTGTTATTTTTTCTATTTTTATACACAAAATTTACTTTATTGTTTTTATTTTATTTACCATTTTTTATATACAAAATAAAAATAAATTTGTCATTTTATAAAATAAAAAAAAATTACTTAACAATTAGCATAAATATCATTTAGGATATTAAAAAAATAGTTTTTTCACACAAAATCCAAGGTTTGTTTGTTTGATACTTTGATCTGAATCTTTTATTTTGATGTGAAATATACTAAATTGTGTCAATAAAATAAAAAAATAATATTTTATACTCTATTAAATATTAATTTTTGTACAAATATATATATTTTTTTTATAACGTGAGAATCCGCAGTCGCTATTCGAAAGTGCGCATTGGGTAAACTCTGATCAAATATAATATCCTGCAAACCATATCCAACGAAAAAGTCACACTAGGCGAACTGTGTGGTAGGTGACTTGAGGCTGAGGCGGGAACAAACTTTGGCCCATCAAAACAAACATACACTAAATAAATTATTTTTAATTAAATTTCCAACTTAAAAATCCAAAATCTCTAACCTAAGCACTCCGTGAACTTATAATTGTGAGGTCATAAGTTCAAACTTCGACACGTTCAGATCTATTTATCACACATGATTCGCCTATTGTAATTTTTTTTAACCTAGTTTGCAACGTATTCCGTCTTATGCATCATGTCAGCTACACCTCAGGTAATAATTAATTTAAAATAATTAGTGAAAATAATTATTTTATAATATAAATAATTATAAATTAAAATAATTAATTAATTTAATTAAAATTAAAAAAAAATTATAAATTTTAAAATAAAATTAAAGTGTGTAATCACGCGAACGAACATTGACATGGTAGACGGCACCAACGAAGTAAAAACAAAATAAAAAACGCTCTCTACTGCAGTCAAATTTCTTCCCATCAGTATCCAAAAACGCGATTGTTGAATACGACCCAATCAGCGCGTGAACACCAAACGCCCTCAACTAAGCTGAACCTGACACTGACGCAACTGCCTACTTCCAATTTCTCCCTCCAAATTCAACCCCAATTCCAAACCTCCAATTCGCCGCCGATCGTCGCCGGAAACTCTCAGTCTCCCCGCCGCCGCATGCCGCTTCACTCACAGCGCCGGAAATGGTTTTCTCCATGTGCAACCGCAGTAAGAAATCGACTCAAAACGTTATCGAACCAACCAAACAGCAATCTGCGTCGCCCGCTCCTCGATCATCTTCTCCGATGAGGAAATCGAAGAAATCGCGGCGGAGTTCCTCGTCGAATCCGTCGTTTTCCACCGGAGGATCCGACAACTTCGCCACCGCGAGCTTGCCTTCCACCGCGAGCTTCTACATAGATTCCTCGCGGTCGACCTCCATTTCCGGCGCCGCATCTCTCCACAGCCTCCGCGATTCCGTCCTCCCCGAGCAGGCATACGTTTACAGCTTTCAAGAAATCTCCGCCGCCACGCGCGGCTTTCTCTTGCAGCCGCACTTCTCCTCCTCCTCCTCAACCGCCTGGCGGTGCAGAGTACGCGATCAAACCGGAATAATCTTCCAGCGGAAATTCCGGCGTGAAATAGACACCGAGCACCTCGTGGATCGTCTCGCCCTAATCTGCCGGAGCCACCATTCCAGCTTGGTAAAATTGAAAGGAGCTTCAATTTCCGGTAGTTATATTTATTTAGTTTACGAGTATATCACCGGCGCTAATCTTTCTCACTGTCTTCGAAATTCTAAGAACCCTAATTTCACGATTCTGTCTAATTGGATGTCACGGATACGAATTGCATCCGATATTGCTCACGGATTGGATTACGTTCACAATTCAACAGGATTAGGGTTTGAATTTGTGCACAATCATATAAAGAGCAGTAGCATTATAATTGAGGAGCCATTGTTGAATGCTAAGCTCTGCCATTTTGGTACTTCTGAGCTTTGTGGAGAGATAACAAAGCACACCCCTGTTTCTAAAGAGGCCAAGAGATTGCACAGCAAGATGAACAAATTCGAGGGCACAAGAGGATACATGGCCCCTGAATTTCAACAATCCGGCACTGCAACGCAGAAGGGCGATGTCTACGCATTCGGGGTTGTCATTCTCGAGTTGTTATCAGGAATGGAAGCATTGGAATACAGAATGAATTCAGATAAGGGGACTTTTGTGAGGATATCAGTTGTGGACACTGCCCGGCAGGCGGTGGAGGTTGAGGGAGGGGTTAGAAAATGGGTAGATAAGAGGCTGAAGGATTCTTATCCGGAGGAGGTTGTCGGAAGATTGGCGCGCTTGGCATTGGATTGTGTAGCAGATGATCCAGAGAGACGGCCGGATATGAACAAAGTTGTGGGTAAGATTTCACAGATGTTCTTGGAATCACAGAAATGGTCAGAGACAATGGTGGGGGGGACAACAGACTTCACAAACTCTCTGGTACCACGATGATCAAAGCTTCCTAACTTGAGAATTTTGGTTTGATACACATATACAACAGAAACTGATTTTCTTGAGGTATTAAAGTTGTGGCGAGATGGTATTTGGATGTGATACTTTTGAATATCCGGTGATCGGAAAAGGTAGACAGAAAAGACTTAGTGTAGAAGATTCGGATACAAGACAAGTGAGTTGTTACACCATAACGTATTTCTGCTTATAGTTGTCATTTTGTTTGCAGGTAATTTTATGATTTGTTGGCACTATGTTTGAGTTGGTAGCTCTATTGTTTCTTGTTATTTGAATAAGTACTAATTTTTGGATAATTGCTTATAACATTCAAAAAGCTCTTTGGCCTTTGATCTGATACTCAATGGCATGATTTTTTAAATTTGATTGTATGTAAATGTAGTTTTGTGTAATATGGTTGTTTTCAACTATCACTAATTTCATTGTGGTGATTTTTACTTGGGTCAGGTCAACCCTCCCTTTTCCACCCCACTAGAAAAATTCAAACTCTTGATTTAATTTGAGATTCTGAATTTCTGATCATAACTAGGTTGCAAGATTTTGATGATTATATTGCCATATTTGCTGTGTTCTTGATGAAATGGTTTTTGGAGCAATGCTTAGAAGAATATGTATATGAACTTCATTCAATAATTTTATAGTTTATATTTGAAAGGTGGGTTGAATTCTAGGTGATGTGATGTGATGTGATGTGATGTGATGTGATGTGATTTAATTTAATTTGATTTGATGAACATATTCTTTTTGTTTTTGTTGTGTTGTTTGATGGATAGTGTGTTTATTTTTTTAACAAAAAATAAATAAATGGATGAAAAAGTCTTTGATTTGGATTGTGGAAGGCATGATTGAATATAGTTTTTTACATTGCAGGATGGCATACCAAGAATTCAGGTATGTTATGATGTCAATTTTATATTTCAACTCTTGTTTTGTATACATATTTGAAGCCCACCAGATTCAGGTACCAATAAATAATAGTAATAATGATATTATTATTATAATATAACTATGTATTATAGTAGTATATTATTACTTTTGGAATAGGCCTATCCTGTCCGCTTGCTTTGTTTTTGACATTTTCTGCATAATTATTTTTAACTGTGATTGGCTGGTGGTGGTTACTGGTTATAGTCTTGATATGAGTTGAAAATAAATGATAGCAAATAGAAAATAAAATATAAGTCGATATTATGTTATGTGTTAGTATAGTCAAAATTTAATATATGAGGTTCCGCAATATTGGACTTGTGATGATGAGGTCATGAATTCAAACTCTGATGCCTCAAGATTACCTGCCACATGGTTCGTCCTTCGGTTTTTTGAGTTAGATCCATTTATTAAACGGGTCAAATCTTAAAATCTCATATTCTAAGATAAAATTTCATTTCCGGACTCGTTTCATCTCTGCGTGTGTTTTTTTTCAATTTATTTATTTATTGTTTTTTAATGTTTATGAGTGGAAAAATATATTGAAAATATAATATCATCTATATCATATTGAAAAATATTACTTCCTCCTTTTCAATAAATTGTCCACTTATTGTAGTAAATAATTAATAAGTATATTAATAAAAATAATAATTATATAATAAAAACAATTATAAATTAAAATTAAGATAATTAAATAATTTAATTAAAATTAAGAAATTTATAAATTATGAACTTGATATTAAAATGTATAATTATATTTTCGAAGAAAGGAAATGACAAATTATATAATACTGACAAAAATTAAAAAAAAAATAATTTATGCATGAAAGACTCGCATAAATAAAAAATGAATAATTTATGTGGAACAAAGTATATTTTTAACATTTTGCCAAACAATAATACTCAAGTTTGATATATACAAGTATTATTCTATACATATATATATATATATCAGAATACCAAATAAACTAACTAAAATAATTAAAGAGTAACATTAAATAAAGATAAACAAGAAGTATTACATATATATACATGTATATTAATTCTTATAATTTTTAATATTCCTAGTTAATTTTTATTTCTCAATATATAGGTAATTTTATAGTATATTGCTAATTTTAATATATTAATTTCAATATTTGATAACCAAAAATAAATAAAGTATGTAAAAAATTCAGTATAATATCGATATAAATTTTTTTATATCATAATTGCATGTTGTCGATATTAATATTGTGTTTAATAGTATATATATATTTAAAAATATTTATGTATACATTTTATATATTCTAGTAACCAAAATGCATTTAAAATTCTTGTACTTAAAATATTTAAACAATACCCTATTTTTATAACTTACTATATTTTTGTAACTTGTATAATTTTTAACAAATATTTTTTTATATCTATTTGTAATTTTTATCATTTAATATTTATATTGAAACACCAATTTATTACTTCCTCCCAACCATCTGTCCCACGTAACTTGTCATTTCTATTTTTGAAAATATAATTATGCATTAAATTTTATAATTTTCTTAATTTTAATTAAACTATTTATTTATCTTAATCTATAATTATTTTTACTAAATAATAATTATTTTTATTAATACACTTCTTAATTACTTACTAATTATACTTTACCTAAATTTCTGTGTCTACATTAATACACTCATGTTATATGGGACGGAGGGAGTATTTCTAATATTTATATCTGATTTTCAATCTACTATTCATCATATTTTTTCTCCCAAAAATATCAAATCAAACACCTATTTTTCATTTTTTATATTGTACTAAAAATCAAATTTACATTCAAAATATCACATCAACGCCTATTTATATCAGATCATATAACTATTCAAATTCAAAATTTCACTATTCACATCACAATTCATAATCCAAACCCCAAACAAACACACCCTAAAAAAACCTTTATATAGCCCAACAACTTCATAACAAAACGCATCAAAATGATTTAACAAATGATTGGGGCCTAATTGTCATTTAAATTTTGTTGTGAATGTTTCTATAATTAGAAAAATATTATGGGTGCAAATGCAAATAAATTGCATCGTCTAACCGACTTCTTTCTTCCATAGCGAACTTCTCTTCTGCAGTTCTGCAGAATGGCAGCAATGGCTTCTTGCTCGGCCCCTACCATTACCAATCCGATTTCTTTCAAACGGATGGCTATTTTGGGTAGCACTCAAAGCTATTCGAGTTCACTCAGGTCCGATTTCGTTCCTGCGTCGAGATTTAGTTCCAATTCCAGCTCAAGTACTTTGTCCCTTTCCGTCGTCAGAAAAATACCTAGAAAATGTTTTCAAGGTAAAACTCTAACTTCTATGCAAACTTTAAAAAATTTGGGAGTCTTAATCAGTCCATCCTTTGTATGATTGCACAGTTAGTTTCGCAAGGAACTCCTTTTGTATTGATTTTCTACGGTTAAGATTTAAGAATACTTTAAAAATGATTTGGGAATTTATTTATGCTGTTAGCTAGGTCTGAAGGTATTCGATTTCGTTAGGAAAGGAAACGGAAAATGATGGTAAGGATTATGCATACATGCTACTGTTTATTGACTTGAATAGAATTCACGTGTTATTGAATTATGTGATGCCTTACACCTACAAGGGATTTTTAATGCATTCATTCTTTTTCTTGTATTTTAGTTCTGATATGATTATTCAATCTTGATTGAAGATTAAACCAGAAGTTAAATTTAGAATGAAAACCAGTAGTTTCAATGTTAACAGACAAAGTTATAATTGTGACTTGGAGACTTGTTTCTGAAACTAATTTTTATGTTTAAATCTGTTCATAATGTTGTTGTAATGAACAATCTTTAGAATATGCAGGTGATATATTTAGGAGTATTAATGAAAATATATTCTTTGATAGAAATTGAGGATGTGCATACTTATCTTTTGGATATTTTTGGTGGTTTGGATTTGAAGTTTCCTTCTCTTTTTTTTTTTTTTTTTTTTTTTTTTGGGATTTGAAGTTTCTTTTGGAGTCAACAACTGGTCGGATGTGATGTTTTGTGCAGTTCAATTGTTAAAACTGATGTTTTGGGGTGAGAAAGCCTAATAAGGCCTTGTTTATTCTAAATATAATCATTTCATCTTAAAAATTATTAGAAAGCAGGTGGAAGCACCCTGCTACTAATTGAAAACTGCTTTGTAGAAATAGGAATTTGCAAACACCGTCAAATTAATTTTCTGTAGGAGTAAATAAATGGCTTCTTTTTTTTTTTAGAGAATTTGTAAACACTGCTGAGATTTCCCTGTTGGCTACCTTAACTCATATCCTTGAAACATAACATGGCAGTAAAATGTGTTGCCACACCAACTGAATCAGTTGCTGGTTTTGACGAAATGGTATCCGGAACTCAACGCAAGTATTACATGCTTGGTGGAAAGGGGGGTGTTGGAAAGACCAGTTGTGCAGCTTCACTAGCTGTTAAGTTTGCAAACAATGGTCATCCTACCTTAGTGGTTTCGACTGATCCTGCTCATTCCTTGAGTGATTCTTTTGCTCAGGTTTAGATAAATTTGCTTATTATACTTTTGATTTTTAATCAACTTATGAAGAAGGGATTGCTTTCCACTGGATTTTTCCATAAATGAGTTTTCCTACTCTAGGATCTAACTGGAGGAACACTAGTACCTGTTGAGGGTCCCTATTCCCCACTTTTTGCACTTGAGGTGAGTGAAAAAGTCTTTTTCTGGAATTGAAGAAATTGATCAAAACAACTTTCATGTTTTGCCTCAAGTAAAGAAATTTGATGTGTTGCTGCGACAGATAAACCCAGAAAAGGCAAGGGAAGAATTCCGAAGTGCCAGCCAGTCAAGTGGTGGAAGTGGGGTCAAAGATTTCATGGATGGCATGGGCTTGGGATTAATTGCTGATCAGGTAAAACTTTTAGTCCTGCCTGAAAATTGATTTCTTCCGTAGACTCTCAACGATGTTTGAATACAATTTTGCTGAATTACAGTTTGTTATTTAGCTATAGTTCAATTATGTGCTGAGTAACCAGTCTTCGGTTATCTTTTATCATTTATAATAGCAGAATGTTCAATTGAAATTATTGATTTGTAGTGCCCGACTGTGTAAAAATGAGAGCAAAAATCAGCACCACTGCTGTACTTCATAATTTTGATAGATCTCAGGTTGGTTATGGTGTTTATTAGAAAACATGAATGTCTTTTACGGAGACTACTTGTGTCGTTCTGATCTCATGTTGACTAGGAAGCGCTGTTAGTGCAAACCAGTCATTTTTCAGCAATTGTTGCTAGTGATGGACTTGACCTACAAAGTTGTGGTCAGCAAAGATACTAGTGGAGCTCTGTTTGTAGTATCGACCACTTTTCCCTTTTTATTGTAGCAAAAAAACAGTTAATACTAGTTACTTCTTGGGCATTTATTTCTGATTCTCTTTTGATACATAAAAGATCTCATCATCGATTGCTAATTGCTTGTAAAATTTGAATTTTGTATTCATATAGCTTGGAGAACTAAAGCTTGGGGAGTTGCTGGATACACCTCCTCCTGGTCTAGATGAAGCTATTGCAATTTCAAAGGCATGTCTAATGTTTCCTGGAATTTTCGAATTAAGAATTTCCACTTCCTTCAGCTTTCATAACTGATTTGAAGCACACTATCCAGGTTATTCAATTCCTTGAGTCACAAGAATATAACATGTTCACTCGAATAGTGTTTGATACAGCCCCCACTGTGAGAAAATGCAATGCTTTTGATTTTTAATATATCCTTTCCAAATCTTGGTCTGAAAAGCTGTTCTGCAGGGTCATACATTACGACTTCTATCTTTGCCAGATTTCTTGGATGCATCCATTGGAAAAATATTAAAGGTAAAAACACCTAACCAGTATCTGTTTCAACTAATAATTTAGATTAGTAAATTATACATGATGATTTTACTGAGGAAAGTCTTTGTAGAGGTGCCTATTAAATGGAGGGACCTATGCCTTCTTTTTTTTATTAATTTTCTGATTCTGTATGACACATATATATATATATATATATTAGTGATTATTTCATGTTCAAGTGTATTTCATCAATGGTGCTACTTTTAGTTAAGGACAATGCCGACCTATATACAATTAACTCAGGCTATAGGTTTCCTGTTTGCTGGTTTGTTTTATTTAGTATTGGAATGATTGAGTGAGGTAACAACTTAGATGAATAGCTTCCTTCATTATAAGTTTTTTATTTATAAATTTGTCTAGAAAATAAATTCAAATATTCCACCAAAGATACAAATCTTCTATCTTTGAGATGATTGGTAAGTAATGTCCTTGTGTCGCAAAATAATGCAAGCTCTTGTCTTAGAAGAGTGAAAATCTGCCCCTCCTCGATCTGGAGTAGTCAGGGTATGATAGTTCTTGATAGTGGATGGCTCATTAAAAATAAACAAATTAATACACGGTTGCTCAATAACTATGACTTTACCTATTCTTGGGATAAGCCTAGAATTGCTTATATATGTTGTGTGTGTTAAGAGAGAGAGAGAGATTGAATAACCCAGGAATTTCTAATGTATGAAGTATGAAAGCATATGTCTAGTGAAATGGCTTTCAAATGTACAGTATATCCACTTTTTGTCTCCATCCTTTTGTATTTTCAACATGCAGGTGATTTATTTTTGTCATTTTCTTATATAATTATTATGTTTTAAATCTATCTCTTTTTGTGGGCAATGTATGATTCAGTTAAGGCAGAAAATTACTTCAGCTACTTCCGCAATAAAATCTGTCTTCGGCCAGGAAGAAACTAAAGAAGATGCTGTAAGCTTCCTTTTCCTGTATGCTAACAATGTGATGCATCTGAATCCATAGCATTTTCAGTTTTTTTTTGTAGGCCAACAAATTAGAAAAACTAAGGGAAAGAATGATAAAAGTGAGAGAGCTTTTTCGAAACACAAACTCTACGGAATTTGTAATTGTTACAATTCCCACGGTAATCTCATTCTCAACTTTGAACTTCAGTTCCCCCTGCGGCTATTTTAAGTTCAACGTATCGAATATTCTTGCTATTTTGAGTCCTTTTAGGTGATGGCCATTAGCGAATCGTCAAGATTATGTGCTTCTCTAAGGAAAGAAAGCGTTCCCGTGAAGAAGCTGGTAGTTAATCAAGTACTCCCAGCATCTGCTTCTGACTGCAAGTTTTGTGCAATGAAGAGGAAGGTATGAAACTGTTTATTCATTTTTATTGCAAATGAATTTATACTCATCGCCACAAATGCACACTATATGATATAATAATAATGTGCAAAATCCCTAATATATGAAAATACTCTACCTACCCTACACATGCACACTTATTTTAATGTATGGTTTTATAATGTTTATTAGTATCCAATATTAGTGAAATATCGATATCTGTCAATGTAAAATTCATAGAAGATATCTTAAAGCTAATACGAAATCATGCTCTTACTTGTATGAATTTGAATGCTTGTTTATTAAACATTCTTTATCAGTATTATAAAACAATTATATGGTACTAAAAGCTTGATTATACATAATGTCAGTTTATACTTCCATCTTGTAATATTGAAACGGGATATGTAATTCGCTTCAGGATCAATTGAAAGCTCTTAGCATGATCCAGGATGATCCGGAACTTTCCAATTTGACAATGGTCCAGGCACCTCTTGTGGACATGGAAATCCGGGGTGTTCCTGCTCTTCAGTTTTTAGGGGAGATTGTTTGGAAATGAGCCCTTCGGCAAGTTTGGTATGTTTCTCTTTAACTTTTCATCTTACACCTTATGTGAGATTCACACCAGCTCTGTAGTCTCCAACAGTAGTATCTTCATCCTTATCAAATTAAAGTATGTCGACCAAACTACTGCCTAATGCTGTGACGAAACCATAGGGAAAACCAAAAATTGAAATGAAGGCCGTGTGCTAATGAGTTTTTTAACCATCAGTTGAATATCCACATTATTATTCATCAATCCATTTGTATCCTTCCACTGTTTGCTGAAAATAAGATACCAAATCCAATAATTTAGGACAGTTAGTCAGCAAATGGTAATGGATGCTGATGAATTTGATTCTCACATGTGGGTCTATGTTAAAACCGGGATGGGATCCTCAGCATCAGATAATCGCAGCCCAGCCCTGTCTAATATATGTGTATATATATATACACATATGCATACATTATATATATTTATATATCACATACATACACATTATATATGGGTGATGGGGTTGGGTGGGGCTGGGATTATCTGATGCTGAGGATCCCATCCCGTTAAAACCTGTCACCATGGACAGGTTTTGGCCTCTGAGCACGAGTCGAACTCTACTCAATTTGGGCTTAAATTTAGCTGCAAATAGCCTTAAGTTTCTGTGTTCTTCCGTCTAAGATAATTTGTCACTTACATGTTTCCGGTTTCTTCAGTTTTACATTTTCACTGGAATAATGTTGCAATAGGTTGTCATACTCTTATACGACTGCACTTGGAATATATATATTGTCGGATGCTGCGCTGTGGATTCCATCACAACAACAAAAATCTGACGCCTCAAGTGAAAATTCCATGTAGCTCTTTAAGGTACACAGCTTTTCTGACCACTTAAAAGTATCCAAATAGAAACACTATAAGATATTTACATTGTAACTAACTGAGTTTAATCTTTGATATCACCATTTACATTACATCTTCAGTGATTGTGACTTTTTGCATTCACGATATTATAGTTCATACTGTGCGCGAGGTGAAAAGTCGACTATATATACACACATATAGTATTTGCTTTAATAGTCGAACTATGATAAGTTGAATAAGAAGTGATTGAGTTGATGTAGTAAAGGGTTTGGGACCCGATTAGACCTTAACTTCTTCTCAATTGAATTTGTCATACATAATTTGCTTAGTATAATTAACTTCTTTATCGAAACTTTCTCAATTTTTTAATATGTAATACAATCAACAGTTGATCCACGTAATCGAAACACACATAAAATTAAGTTATTTAACTTAAAAAGAAAAGAAATAATAAAAGCATTAATCAACCAATGTCATTTATTTACACAATGGCCTATTCTACATGCACATCTTGTAACCTATTCTACATTTGTTATCCAAAGATAAAAAAAATATAGACGTCTCAAATGCAATCATACATAAAAAAAAAAATTTCAAAAGGAGGTTGTGATGATCAAGTTAGTTAGGTTAAATAAAATTCTTCAAAATCGGAAGAAATGCCGGTACTTGTTTCCTCACTTCCTTTGTAGAATTAGCATTCCGATGAAAGCAAGGGCGCGGCAACCTGCGCCTACGCCCATCAAAAGGGATATACAAAGCTTCCACTTGTGAAGATTGTAGCCGGTTCTAAGGAGCGCCCCGCACCTTTGTATTAGCCATACGCCGTAGTACCTAAAAATTTAACGACATTCTTAGTTCATGTACACCTTAGGAATAGACATATATATATATGACAGTTGTTATAGTGTTAAAATTTATAATTCAGCACAACGCTAACATATTTTGTGTTGACAAATAACACACTATATAATTTTAGACAGTATCATTTATATTAGCATAATACAAATATATTAATTGCAACCGTTATTTTTCAAACGCACAGGATAAATTTGCAGATCATGTGCAATAGCATGCAAATCACGCTAGTCGGAAAAGCTACACTAAGACAAGTCACGTGTGACAAATTCGACTGAAAAACATCATCAATTTTTTATTTTTTTTTACATGGAAATCTGCAGCCGCTATTCGAATGTACACACTAGGTAGTGAACCCCGGTCGAACATAATACCTGTAAACTAGGTCCAACAAGGCAAGTCATACTAGGCGAACTATATATGGCAGGTGATTTGGAGACGTCGAGATTTGAACCCATAACTTCAAAGTCACGAGTCCACTCCCACATCACCAGACTATTCCTTACGGCAGACATCCTACTATTATGAGTGTTCTATATTAGGGGGTGAGATCCTTTGCCTCCAACCCGGCCCCAACGCCAAAGGTTGGGGGCGAGAAATGGATCTTTTCGGAGGCCGAAGATCCCATCCCATATTAATAGTTAGCTTAGTAACCATATCTTACGCACGCGCACACATATATATACATTATATATATATATATCAAGAGATATATGATGGATCGATCGAAGATAAAAGTACGTACTTCTTTGCATTCGAGATGATAAACGCTTCCAAAGCCCAGCTAGGATAACACAACCGTGCCACAAACTTTATAAACGCGCTGTCTTTGGGCTGAGTCGAAACGAGCGTCAAAACCACGGGCAAAAGCACGGAGCACTGCACGATTAGCAAATCAGCAAAGCTCTATATCGAATGTAGCCGGGAGATCAAAAGAGTACGTACCAACTGAGATGGGCCGGGTTCAAGAAAGATAGCCAACGCATACGCCATTCCCGTCACGCAATACACGAGGCAAAGCAGCACAATGTAGTTATCCGGGAAGCTCGATCTCGGGTTGCTGAAGAAAAAAAACATCGACAGATACACCAACGGCTTGATCAGCGTGTTGAAGTGGTCGATAGTGTCTTTCGCAACGAAATGCGCGAGGCTGCTGATCCCGGAGGCGCGTTCCCGTCGGTACTGCAACTTATCGAGCGCGAACGTTCTCAGGGCCGCGATTTTGCACAACAGAGCTGATCGAAGGTAGAAATAAAACTCTCGTGAATAAAGCATTGTGCTGAATTATTCGAGTCGAGTAGATTAACTCACAAGTTGCGATTATCGTGTAGGTGTAACCCGGCGCACCGAAGCTCTCGTCACTCGATTTGGATATCAGACCTAAACACACCCCGGCAAGCATCAAGATGAGGTAATCTATCGATTGGATTCGAGCTTCCCGCATTCTCTGCTTCGCCATTCTGTGAAAAGAAAAGTATACAAAAAAAAATGCATGAATCTAACGACGTACTTAATATCGACAATAAAAAAAATCGTATCAAATACGATGAAAGTTTATTCGTTTACCTTCCGAGGAAGTGTATATACTGCGTGACGACGCAGGGCGTTCGTCTCTTCGACAAGTCTTTCGACTTCCAAACGGTATACCGTATCATGTCGCATTGCGCTTCGAGTTTATATTTGATACTCTGCCAGAACTCGCCGCAGAAGGATAATTGCTCGACTCCATAATTATCTTGATTTTCGGAGGCATTCGCTGCAGGTGCACCCGAAACATTCTGCTGCATCTCCGGTGGAATCCGATAGCCTTTGTGGAGCATCCATCTCATCGGAAGTTCCTCGTAAGTCAAACCCGATTGCGTCGTCGGCTTAGCCATTCCCTCCAAAACGTCGATAAAGTAATCCGGCGGGTTGACGCGCTCCGGGACATTGATATCGAGATTCGCAAAGTAATCCTCGACATCCTTCACTGGTCCGTGGTAAGCGATGAGACCACCCTTTGCTAGAAGTATCAAGTCGTCGAACATTCGGAATAGGGAATAGCTGCATGGAAAGATAAATTCGAATTAATGATTACGTTAAAAGCTATTGTGTCTAAAAATTATGTGTACGTACGGACCTTGGTTGGTGTACGACCATGCAAATATTGACGCCCTCAAGCGCTTCGCGCTTGAGTGCTCTAAGGAGAAGCTGAGACGACGAGCTGTCTAATCCTGAAGTTGGCTCGTCGAGAAATAGAAGCGAAGGCTCCATCACAAGCTCCAACCCCACGTTTACGCGCTTTCGTTGTCCTCCGGAGATTCCTCGCTTCTCTATTGTTCCGACCAGGGAATCTCGCACGGGCTGCAATCCCAGCGACTCAATCACTCTTTCAACGACGAGTACCTTGTCTGCTTTCGGTAAATCTGCTGATAGTCTTTGCACATTTTGGTTTAAAGCATTATGTCAGCATAAAGAATACGAAGATGCATAACTTTCAAAAATGTCGCAGGCCCTGTTTACATAGACATTTTGTAACTTTTCAAAAAGATATTGCATCAAATACTCAAATTTTTCCGAAATGTTGAAAACTTCTATCTAAATGGAGCTAAGTCATATATCGTGTTTCAGGCTTAAGTGAAAGAATTACACACATTTTCATCACAATAAGAACCAAAATAGTATATAGGATGAAAAAAATCATAAGGTCGAAATAAAGATTCATGATGTAACGCGATTAAAGTGAACTGAGGTACCTGCAATTGGCGCTGAACCATATGTTCTCTTCAACGGTGAGATTTCCATGCACGATATCATCTTGTGGCACAAATCCGACGATCTTTTTATACGAAGAGATTGACTGGACCTTTCCATTTATAAGTATCAAGCCTGTTATTGAGCAACCAACTGTTTTTCCAGCTAATGCTGAGAGTAGAGTCGTCTTCCCCGCCCCAGATGGACCCATGAGGGCTGTTATTCGGCCGGGATGTATCTCTCCAGTGACGCATCTCAAGAGATGCTTCTTTTTATGTTTCAAAGTAACTGTTAGATCTCTAAAAGAGATCTTCATTGTAGGTCTTCTCGGGGCTTCTGTATCCATTGCCATTTTGATTTTCCCCGAGAAGGTAAGGTCTCTGATGTGCTGTTGCTGCGCTTTCTCTCTCTCGAGCTGAGAATACGCATACTTAAATATTTGTGTATTTGTCCGGATATGCCTCACCTTCGACTTCTTCTTATCATTGCTTCCGGTTTCTTGATGGCCACCTTCCAAATCATTTTCCTCGCTTTCAATCCTGAGATCATCCCCTTCAAAACTATCGGTGTACTCTTCGATTTCTTGGATTGGAGGGTAAGCAAATTCCAGTTCCTTCCGTTCTGACAGTGTGCCGCGCTGTTCAGAAGCAAGAACATGGGCTAAAAGATTGTTCGAATATGATTAAAAAATGCAAGCAAGATAATGTAGAGCAAAAAGCATGGTAACAGTTGAGCTGAACTAACCGTCGGATTTAGTGTTCTGACCTGTTCGATCTGCATGGCAACATGCTTACGGGAAAATGATCGGGACAATGCAAGCGCCCGTCTTCTAATGGCATCCTTTGCCGCTAACCATCTAGCTTGCGCTTGAGCATTGGCCTTTACACTCCTCACCGCAGATTCCCTTGATCGAGCATACCTCCTTTCCCTAATAGTTATGGCTTTCCCACAACAATTGTAGAAGGCGAATAAAGCAATGCCAATGCTAACCTGGAAAGGAATGCACAACCATACAGCCACAACTCTTATCTTTCAATATATATATATATATCTTATCGTTCTACATTAATTTTAAACTATACAGTAAAACAGAGAAGTAATCTTTAACAGAGCCAAAATTTCATTGCTCCGATGGCTAAATTTTGTAAAAACTCCTGGAGTTCGCGGGTTTAAGGTAAATAGATTGTAGTAAACACTTACTATCAACATTATTCCGTACTGGGATAAATTCTGCCTCGATGATTTTGCATTGCACGAAGTTAACTTGTAGCATCCTACACAGTAAATTTAGATCATATCTAAGCATAAGTACATGAAACAATGAAATGCTATCAGAGGGTTAGAATGGATCAAGAAATCACTCACGATTTTCAGATGTAGAGCCCATTTGGCAGAAATGCCTAAAAATTTCAAACATGGAAATGAAAGAAAGATGAGCCATCAAGAAAGACAATAACAAAGAACGCAAAAAACCCGGACAATTTCCTAGAAAGATCAAGAGCTAAATAGATAGACATGTATATATATGTGCGTGTGTGAATACCCGCTGGCGCATGGAATTTCTTCTGTGTTTGTTGGACAATACGATCCTGCTGAACAGAACATCGGTTTGCTTCGGCTAACATCTGCCCAAATGTTAGCCCCTCCACAGGTGTGATTTGGCTTTCCAGCAGGTAATTGGTAAAGATATCTGCCAAGAATTATAAGCACATAAAATCCTACAAAAAAACTCAAATAAGATAACAAAATAAATCATCATGAATAAGTTAACAACTTACGGGTCACATGAACCAGTCGACACATTGAAAGTTGCTCGGGGGCAGTAGGAACCAAGCGGACATGCTTCATAACAGCAAAAACAAATGAGGAATAACACCTTAGCCATCAATTACAATGTTGTATCCATTTCGATAAAATTATAAACAACCAAAGTGACAACTCTTAATTAGAGCAATCTTAAAGATTTGCGTACTTAATCAATGTTTCTTAAATTGAGGCACATTGAAGTTGTTCACTGTGGGATTGAGCTGGTTTTTAAACACCAAGTTATTAACATATTGTTCTTCATTATGATCGAGGTGGGAGAAGAGAACAATATGTGTCAAAAATCACCCTAATCCAACTTCAAACCAACAAATAAAATCAGCTTAGATGTTGAATCTGACTGTTTTTTCAAAATTAATTCTCACTGAAGTGGAATCAATTCTTCATTTTTGGTAGATGTTAATACAAAATTTCAATACAAAGTGGAGACCACTTTGACTGTGAAACTAAAATCGAACAATAATCCTGACAGACTATTATGCTGCTACAGCTACGGTTTCCACTTTCATGGCTTAACCTATGCAAATTTTAGGATTAGGTTTCGTGTTTTCCCAATTTTGTTTTGATAATCGATAGGATCATCTTTGGTTTCTAATCTCTATTCCATTAGCTATACTCAATTCAAATCAATAGCTATATAATTAATCAGAAAGATTAACGAACAAACAAACAAACGTACGTACAGATAGGGAATTAATGAAGGTTTTTTTGAATTGAGACTTACGTATCATACAGGTAAGGCCCTGAGGGCAGAAGAAGCCTTCGCAGCACGGCCGGCAATCGGAGTTCCGGAGTGGAATTTCGGCGGCGTCTCTGAAATCGACGACAGGCTGCGTCGGCAAGCCCGTGCTGCAAGCCCAGCCTGGCTCGCAGCCGGAGATCCATTCGGTTAAATTGCAGTTGCGATTGGGGCTGAGGAAGGCCGCCGGCGATCCTCTGTTGGCTATGAAATTAGTGAAGTAGAATTTCAGCTCCGACGCTGTGCATAATCTCTGCGGCAACTCCCCTGCTTACATAATAATAATAATAAACCATTATTATCTTCGGAGAACAAAATAAAAATAAAAAGAAAAATTAAAAAAAAAAATTGTCTTATTTAAATAAAAGAATTAATTTTGATTTCAATATAAAAAAAAATTTACTAATTTGTTTGGGAGTTAGAAATTTTGGAATGTCATTTGAATAATAAAAAATTTGAATTGAAATAATGGTACTATATGATATAAATAAATATAAAAAATGTAAAATTAATTTTCAATATAATATAAAAAATAAAATATAAGTTTTTGATATGATATTTTTAATAACAAAAAGTTTGTATGAATATTGTTAATTTATCAAATTTTTTCAAACAAACACACCCTAAAAACACTGATGATCCGTTATTTGCAACGGTTGTGTTCGATAATGACGTATGCTTTTGCAAGGTTGTGTTCGATAGAAATCAAAGGTCATGTCACATGTGTTATGTATATATATCAGCAATTTTTGTTATTATTTTTTTTAAAATTATAAAATAAAATGTTATTAAAATTATTTATAATTAAATTAAAATTGATGATTTTTTTTATATTATAATAAAAATTAATTGTTGTTGTTGTTGTTTTTTTTTTTATAATTGTTGTTTATTTTAATAGGGCCATTTTTCCCCTCATTTCTTGAATACAAATATTACAATCAATATTTAAATTAAAAACATTATTGAGGCTTGAATTTTAAATAATAAAAATTTAAATTTTTTTTAATTAGTTGATGTGATATAAATATTATTGATCTAATATTTTGAATATAAAATTATTTTTTTATTATAATAATTATTTCAATTCAAAATTTTACTATTTAAAATCAAAATATCACAAATAAATACACTCAACAATTTGACTCATTTTTTATTACTCAAGTTTTTTATTCTCTAATCTATATTATGTTCATCAGATAATAATACACACATTTATTTAGTGAGCATTTCTTTGGTAAAAATTTTAAAATATTTAATTTGAATTAAGAATTAAATAATAGTATTTGATGAAATATTTTGTGAATTGCAATAAATTTTCTTTTTTTTTTTTTATTTTTAAATGTTATATTTGATAGCAAGTTACTAAAAAAGATAAATACATTGATATGAGAAAGATTATATCATATACTCATTTATCTACTATTACATTTTTTTTATAAAAAAATATTAAATTATATTTATATTACACTAAATCTTTATTTCTTTTAAAAATTTTACTACTAAAAACTATCAAAATAGAAACTTTTATGGTATGTTTCTTTTTAATTTGAATTGAATTTAAAGATTTGAATTTTGGATTCAAATATTTGATTTAATGATTTGTATTTTTTCATAAATTTAAAAATCAAATAGTAAAAGTAATAATAAAAAAGATACATACATGTCCTCAACAAAAATTACATTTTAATAATTATTTAGGCTGCTTATAAAGTACAAATGCACTTGACTAAGAATCATATACTACCTTCCGATCCACAGTCAATTTATTCATTTATTTTTTGTATATTAATTTTTGAATAGTAATTATTATATCAAAACATAGTACAAATCAATGAAAAATGACAAAAATATTTCTATTTCCGTCTTATAATACTAATGTAATGATATTTATACAAAAAGTTATACAAATATAGAGATATTTTTAATACTAAAAACAATAACGCCAAATTCAAATGGATAGATTGACGGTGGACGAAGGCAGTATTTTGTAATATGAAACACATCTTTCATTGTTCAGCAAGTATAATTTTTAATAAAAATATAATTTTATCTTATAAAATATTATACTATTAAAAATTATTTTAGGGTGTGTTTGTTTGTAGGATTTAGACAAAATTCTACTATTCATCCAAAATTTTTCCCAAAAAAATATCAAATCAAACACTTATTTTTCATTTTTTATATTATATTAAAAATCAATTTTACATTCAAAATATCACATCAATACCTATTTATATCACATCATACAACTATTCAAATTCAAAATTTTTACTATTGAAATCCCAACTCAAAATCCAAATCCCCAAACAAATACACCCTTAATAAAATTTTAAATGTCAAATGCAAAACAAACAAGCCCATAACTATAAGTTGATAATCCCAACTAAAGTAGAAACTAACAATATGTTTGTTTAGTTAAATTGTTTAAAAAAATATTATTATTTTTTTTTATGTGAAACATAAAAAAAATTATATAAATAATAAGAGTGTGTATTATATAAATTATTTTTTTGGGAGAAAAAGTGTTTTTGGGGAAGAACAAGTCCTAAGAACTTATTGTGATTATGAATATTGTTGGATGTATTTGTTTTTTATTTTTTTTTAAAAATATTATTCATTTTACACCATTGAAAAAAATATATTATTTTATCTAAAAAAAATATCAAATCAAAAATTAAAATTCATCAAAATTTTAAATCAAAACCAAACAAAACCGTTACCTTGAGTTTCAAGAATGCAATTGGACAAGAAATTCAAATTATCGGAATAATTGAATGATTTGTTCCAATCTTCTTCCCTGCCAAAAAGTAATAAAATACAATCAAACAATTAATTCACATATAAATAATACTCCCTCCGTCCCACGTACCATATCCACGTTTTCGTTTATGTTCGTCCCACATATCATGTCATTTTCATTTTTTGGAAAATAATTACACACTTTAATCTCATTTTGAATTTTTTAATTTTTTTTAAAAAAATTTAAATAAATTAATTAGTTATCTTAATCTTAATTTATAATTATTTATATTATAAAATAATTATTTTTACTAATACATTTTTAATTATTCTACTAATTACATTCCTTCTAAAATACCGTATCTACGGTATAGCAGACACGGTATTTGGGACGAAGGTAGTAACATCACTTTTTTGTGAATAATTACTTATACTATTCATTATTGTATTTGTTTTTTTTTTTAAAAAAAGAACATATAAATTGAATGTATACATTTTTCATTTCTGTATATTATACTAAAATATTATATTTATTTATTTATATTAAATGAAATAATTGTTAGAATTTAAAAATTTAGGGTTAAAACTTCAAACCTCAATAAAAACCATCCCTACAAAGAGACTATTGTTTACGTGGCACTATCCATATATATATACTTTTTTATTTAGGTCAAATTTATTTATTTATTTTACAAAACATATCATCAAATATATGTAATTCATATATTCTGAATTTAATTTGAAATTTAACATAGATTTTGTATTTAGATTTAAAAATAATATTTTCTCTATCACAGCTAAAGTGTTCAGGGCACAAAGTTTGTAAGAAATGATTTAATAAAACTAATTATATATTAAGATAAAGATATCATAAATTATGAATTTTAATATTTGATTAAAATATAATTATATTTACAAGAAATAAAATGACAAATTATGTGAGACATACATAAATAGAAATAGTGGACAAACTAAGTGGAATTGGAAGAGTAATATTTTAGGTTGTGTTTGGTACAGAGAAATGAAAATGGTATCATTTCTCTCGTTTGTTTTGAGTAAGAGAAATAGAACTTGAGAAATAAATCATTTTCATTTCTCTGTTTTCATTTCTTTGCCTACGCAGATAAAGAGAAATGGAGAAAAATTATGTTACAGTTATATATATTTTTTTTAATTTTTAAAATTAGTTTGTACTATTTAATTTTTATAATTTTTTAAAAATTATATTATTTTAATTTTACGAAAAACAAACTTAATTTATTTTTAAAGTATTTAATTTTTATGATATTTTAAAAAATTGTACTAAATTATAATTTTAAAAAATATCGTATATAATTTATAATTTTTTAAAAAAACAATTTACCAAAAATATTTTTCATCAATTCTCATTCGTTAAAACTATTAAAATACATATAATTTAATTTATATATTTATCTGCAAATGAAAATTAATCTATAATATATATATTGTTTAAAATTAACATTTAATTGTAACAAATATATATTTTTTATATTATCTAATTAATTTTCTATATTTAATATAAAAAATACTCTCTCCGTTGGCTAATTTATCTTATTTAGATTAGACACAAATTTTTAGATATTGTGTAATTAGTAAATAATTTAGAAATATATTACTAAAGATAATTATAATTTAATAAAAATAATTTTAAATTAAAATTAAAATGACTAAATAATTTAACTAAAAAAATTATAAATTTTAAATTTTAAAATAATATAAAATTATTTTTAAAAAAAAATTGGCAAATTATATGGGACAAAAATAAAAATAATTGACAAATTAAAAAAACAGACTACATCACATTAAAAAGACACCCATAGCATAAACACAAAACTCATAAGTAAGAGAGATGCATCCATGAGTTAAAAATGAAGTTAGTTACGTACGGATTTGTGACGCAGAAGGCTGCTTTCTGAGCAATTTCGCCGCGGATGAGATCGGAGGTAATTCCGGCGAGTCTCCGGTAGACGAACTCCGTGAACCGGTTCAGAACCGTCGGATCATTCAGCTGACTCGAGTTCACGCCATCGCTGTAATCGTAATCGCTCTCGAACCGATCCTGCGCTTCGCACTGCACTGATAAAATTGCGACGACGACGATCAATTGAACCGCCAGAAAACCGAAAATAACCGCCGTCGCCGTTAAATTCCTCCGCATTTGGCAGCTCGGCGATCATCAACGCTCCCTGCGGTTCTCTTCTCTGCGTAACTGTGCGATTCTGTAACCGGAGAAGAAATGAGGATTTGTACTGAGGAATTTTTAAAATAGATATATAAATAATAATTTTAAAATTTTTTATTTTTCTACGGATTTTTAATTTTGTGGATTAAGAGTGTATTTTATCGTCACAAGTAATTGACAAATTCAAAAGTCAGATGCTTATTGTATTTTAGGAGTATTAACTATACTTGTACATATACAATTGGTAATTATTTTTTAATTAAAGAATCATAATAGTCAATGTTTACATATTATTAGTGAAATAGGAAGATATATTGTGGTCATAGATGTTTTTCTTTAGTAGTTTTTTTAATTAAATTAATATTTGATATTCGGCTCTAAGGGTCTCATTTATTTTTTGCACGTTGATATTTGAATATTAATTATTGCATGAAAACGTAGTACAAATAAAATAAAAATGACAAAAATACTTCTATTAGTCTTTTGTAATACTATTATAATGATGCAAAAGATTATATAAATATAAGGATATTTTTAATGTTAAATACACGACGTCAAAAAGTAATTGAGATCTTTAGAGTCGGACAGATGGAGCATTATATTTTATGAGAAAAAAAATATGAAATAATATAATCTAAATAGTAAAGAATTGTGTAAAAATTAAAAAGGAACAAACAATACACTCACATAAAAATGAGAAAATTGCAAAAAAATATCTCACCTATATACCTCATTACCAATCTTGTTCTATATTTATCTCGCTGACAAATATATCTTATGTGTTTGCAAAAATTGCTATTTTTATCCTTTTGTCGGGCGTGGCGTTCACCCACGCGCAACTAAATAATATAAATAGCTATTTTTGCAAATATGTATAGGGGTGCAAACCCAAGTCCCATATTGGAAATTGTGAAGAAAAATTACACACCTTATAAGTCCCAAATGAACTCCACCGTGCGGGCCAGCCCAAAGCGGACAATATCATAATAGGGTTAAGTTCATCCAATCCCAACAATACGTAGAATATATTTTGCCAATATTATAATATAAGACAAAACTAATATGAGTATATGTGTGGAATATTTTTTTCAAATTTTCCCATAAAAATGTGGTAGAGGAACAAATAATTATTTTTTGTTTATTTACGAAAAGAATAATTTTTTTATATATTAAGAATTGGGTAAGTAATATTGATTTTGATTGAGATTAAAAACTAAACAAACCCAATATTTATTATTTTTTTTAATGAAAAAATGAAGGTTAGATATATATAAATATTTTTTAAAAAAACTGAAATTTACTTTTTAAAAAAATCAATGTTTATTTCTAAGTTTTATTTTAAATTTGGTATCAACTCAATTTTTCTTGACATTTAAGTTATATATATATATTAATACTCCCTCCGTCTCATATCTATATATCTATTTGTTTTTTGTCGAAGTTTTAAAAATATTAGGATAAAGGAGAAATAAAGGTAAAAAGATTAAATTACCCATATTATAAAAATAATGACATTTGTGTAATATATTATAAATTAGAATGATATTTGTAATGTTAGATAAATGATACAATTCCTAAAAAAAATTGATACTTTGTTATAAGACGGATCAAAATAAAAAATGGATATCCTGTTAAGGGACGGAAGGAGAGTATAATTTAATGAACCTATTTAGATTTAAATTTTCTTATATTTATAAAATTAGAACGCGCTCGTAATTTGTTGATTTGATTCATTCGATATTGAATTATTTAAACTTGTACGTTTTCCAAAAGAAATGTACATATGATTAATAGTACTATTATAATTTACACAATACAAGTCTAAAGAGACCCGTTCCTTAAATTGTAATTTAATATTACTGCAAATTGTAATTAATTAATAACTAAAATTAACTTCACCTTCATGACTGAGTTATTGAAATTTTCAAAATTTTATTTGTGTGTTTTCCATGGATTTGTAGAGTTTGTTTACTTTGGAATATAAGTTTGAATGTAAATTGTCTAGAATAAATAATGGGAAAAATTGCACAAAATATCCCACACGTATATCTCATTATCACTTTTGTCCTGTATTTATCTCTCTGGCAAAATATATCCCACATGTTTTCAAAAGTCGCTATTTCTATCATTTGACCGCGTGTGGTGTGAATTTCACGCGCGAGAAAATGACATAAATAACGACTTTTGTAAACATGTGGAATATATTTTGTCAGGGAGATAAATACAGGACAAAAGTGATAATAGGGTATAAGTGTGTGATATTTTTTGCAATTTACTCATACATAATGTATATATGCAAATTTTATGTCACAATGGGCTTGTTAGATAATTGTGTTGGTAATATAAAAAATAATATTTATATTAAATTTTGTAAGTATATATATAAAATATATATTATATTATTTAATAATATATATGAAAAATTATTCCATTAAAAAATATTAAGTGAACAAACGAATTATTTTTTAATTATATAACTGCCACGATTATGTAAAAAAATCATTTCGTCTTACAAAATATTATATCCAAATTGCTATTCAAACAAACTATACATTTTAATTATATTTTAATTTTTTTAATTTATAATTATTTTAATATTAACAATATTATTTAATTAATTTAATTTTAATTTATAATTATTTATAATGTAAAATTTTTTTATTAATATACTTTTAATTATATACTAATTACACTACTCTTAAAATCATATATCTATAATCTACAAGACATATATACCAGATCGAGTGAATATAATACTCCCTCCGTTTGTAGATTCATAACAAAATACAATCACCTAAAAAATCGAATAATAGAAATTAAACAAAGGAGAGTACTTTATATATATAAATAAATATTAGAGATAATATTTCAAAAATAGTAATATTATTAAAATAAATAAAACACTTGAAACGAACAATCATCACTTGACATCTAAATATTATACTCTCAACTCTCAAGGTTCGCTTCTGAAAGTCTGATTTATTTTGTATTTAATATTAAAAATATTATTATATTATATTTGTATAACTTTTTTTTACAAATTTTTTTCAGTATTATAAGACATTAATTGAAGTATTTTTATAATTTTTTTTAATTTATACTCTATTTTAATATAATAATTATTATTGAATGATCAACACCAAAAAAATAAATGAGACACGTAGAGCTGAGCACACGTAATATATATATATATATATATATACGGATGTGATTTAAATATACATACATACATAATATCCAAGTCCAACTTCATCTCAACTCTCATCCAATCCAACGGTGCAGATCAACCGAACACACCTCCATCCCAAAATCCCCAAAAATTAGGGTTTACTAATTAACTTCCTCTCTCCAACTGCAAATTAGGGCAAAATGCAGACACTGGAATTTGCTTCAATATCACACACCAGTGATAAGAGTTACGTACGGTGACCGGAGGAGCTGTCACTGTCACTGACATGATAGTTGTTCTAAGCATCACTTCTTCTGGAAGATAAGCATTCCGACGAAAGCGACGATGCGAAATCCGACACCGGCGAGGATCAGAAAGGCTAACCGGAGACCCCAGTGGTGAACATCGTAGCCGTACCTTTGAAGTGCGCCGCAACGAGTGAGGAGCCACACGCCATAATACCTGGAATCGAAAGCACGTATGCATGCATGCATTGCTGCTGTTAGAGTTTGTTGATTATCTAAATTACGAGCTAAGTAGTTTGATAACTACGGATAAGTTGAGCTTGATCGAGCTATATATCCGCATGCATTTGTTTCGGCTCAGGTTTACTAGAGGGTTGAAGAATTATATATATAACATTTCGATATTATGGTTATCGGAGTCTAACTAATCAAGATCTAACTCGCATTGTAAAACTCCGGGATATTATTAATAATGAAATCAAATGACCATTCACTAATACATACATGATAGACACAAATAATAACATCAAACTAAATAAAAGTCATATATAATTCTAAACAGAGTCAAAATCAGAAATAAGACTCTGAATGAAATTCGAATTCAGGACTCTAAAGGAAACTCGAAGTTAGAGCTCTAAATGAAAAGAGTTAGAATCAGGACTTTGAACATAGTTCGAATTTTAAATTGAGATTTGAATAATAAAAATTTTGAATTAGAATAGTAGTACGATATGATATAAATAGATTGATGTAATGTTTTGAGGTTTGGATTTTGAGCTGAAATTTGAATAATAAAAATATTGAATTGGAATAGTAGTACGATGCGATATAAATAGATATTGATGTGATGTTTTGAATGTAAAATTAATTTTTAATATAATATGAAAAATAAAAATAAATATTTGATTTGATATTTTTTATAAAAAAATTTGATAAAAAGTGGAAATATAGGGAAATCTCCCAAAATAACACAACCTAAATAGAACTCGGAGTTAGGATTCCGAACAAAATAAAAGTTGAGACAATATCTATTAGAGTTAGAATCAGAGATGGGACTATCAACAGAGCTACGGTCAGATATGACTATGAACAAAGTAAGAGTTAGAAACAAAACTCTAACTTAGAATCATTAGAATCAAGGCTTTGAATGTAATCCAAACTACCGGATAAAGCAAGTTGAATATCTCCTTGTCAAGCTTGACTCGAGCTTTTATACTTGTTTCAAGTACTTTCTCAAGGTTGTTCTTGAGCTTAACTCATTCTTACAACTAACGAACCAAATTCGAGCTTTAGATTAGCTCAGCTCGCATAACAGCTCTACTTAAAAGTAGACAAAGCCGTTGCATCAAGTCTCTAACATAGCGTAAGTCAAACGTTTTGTAGAAACTATTGTGTTCGAGAAACACTCAAGTCACATACTAACAATGCGCTGTGAAGACACACGATGGTCGTATAATATAAGAGCTCGACTTGCATGCTCAAGTTTATGCGATGCAGCAATGTGACCAAAAAAAGTGCGCTACTAGATATCGAATCAAGATTCCACCTAACGACTTAATGTATTAGATTTGACGAATTAACAGAAGGGGTGCAGTATACGTACCGTTCAGAGTTTCCAATGACGAATGCTTCGAGAGCCCACTTGGGGTAACAGAAGTTGGCTAAATCCTTCACAAACTTGCTCGCATTCAAGAGCGTCGAAATGAGGGTCAGCACCACAGGCAGCAGCACTGAGCACTGTACGAGCAGAGGAACAAATCCATCAACTACATGATCATGGCAGCTCTAACAACCGAAGACTGTCTATTAAGAGACGTCACACAGGCATATATGGCTTACCAGTTGGGAAGGACCGGGCTCGAGAAAAATGGCCAGTGTGTAAGCTATGCCGGTCACACAATAGACGAGGCAGAGCAGGACGGAATAGTTATATCCGAAGGATGATCTCGGGTTGCTGAAGAAATAAAACATCGAGAGGTAGACTACGGGTTTTATCACAATGTTGAATAGGTCCACTGTGTCCTTGGATGCAAAATGTGCGAGGCTGCTTATCCCGGCTGCGCTTTCTCTCCAGTATTGTAACTTGTCCTGAGAGAATGATCTCAACGCCGCAATCTTGCAAAGGAGTGCTGAATTTGACAAAATTCGGGAATGTAAATGTGTATATATATATATATAGCATATGAATGGATGGTAGTCGAAGTACGAAGAACACGAAACACTTGAGGACTTACAGACAGCGATTATCGTATATGTATAAGCTCCATAACCAAACGTTGCATCGTTTGCTTTAGTAAGGGAACCCAAACAGGCCCCGGCTATTAACAGGATCAGATAATCGATGGCTTGTGTTTTTGAATCTCGTAATCGCTGCTTACCAACCCTGAGATCAAGAGTCATTGATACTGAAAATTAGATAGAATTGTTGCAGATGGATAAGAAATCACAGGAGATTTACAGTTACATACCTGCCAAGGAAGTACTTGTACTGTAGGAAGATATTCGGGGTTCTTCGGTAGGACAAGTCGGTCGACTTCAAGAATGTATGTCTTATCCTGTCACTGTGATGCTGGACATTGACTTTGACATCTTGCCAGACTTCGCCGGCAAATGATTGTTCTTCCGTGACAGAATTGTCCCGAAAACCAGGATCTTGATGATCATGGTCAATACTTTCTGTCATGACAGCAGATTCAGCAGAATTTGTCGTCCGAAGATCAGGGGGTACAGGATAGCCATTGTGCTGCATCCATCGTATAGGAAGATCGATGTAACTTACTCCCGAGCTCAAGCTAGTCTTAACCATCCCCTCCAAAATATCGATATAGTAATCCGGAGGATTGACACGCTCTGGAACAACGATACCAAGATTAGCAAAGTATTCTTCGACTTTCTTTACAGGTCCATGATATACAGTTAGCCCTCCTTTCGCAAGTAGTATAAGATCGTCGAACATCTGGAACAATGTATAGCTGGAAAAGAAGCACATAATGATAAGAGAATGTTTGAAGAACTTATAAACTCATATAATGTTTGGCAGCAAAAGATAAACAAGAAAAATTGACAACGATACTACCTTGGTTGATGGACAACTGTGCAGATATTTACGCCTTCTAGAGCTTCTCGTTTGAGTGCTCTTAGAAGGAGCTGTGAAGATGAGCTATCAAGCCCAGATGTCGGTTCATCCAAGAACAGCAATGATGGTTCCATTACTAGCTCAAGACCAACATTCACCCGTTTCCTCTGGCCTCCGGATATACCTCGCTTCTCCACTGTCCCGACTAAGGAACCCCGTATTCCCTGTAGCCCCAAGGAGTCGATAACTCTTTCAACTATAAGAACCTTGTCTGGCTTGGGTAAATCTGCAGACAATCTCGAAAATTCCAAAATGTAAAATGCTGTTAATATGGAAAACTTCATGTTTGGAAACAGATTTTATATAAGTACCATCACGAATCGAACAGTAACAACAATTGCTATAAACACTATTCACTTAAAACATACCTGCATCTTGAGCTGAACCATAGATTTTCCTCCACAGTCAAATTTCCATGAACAATATCATCTTGTGGCACAAAACCAATGATTTTTCTGTAGGAGTGAATCGAAACTGTCTTCCCATTAATCAAGATTGTGCCACTAACAGTACATCCAACTGTTTTTCCAGCCAGAGCAGAAAGAAATGTAGTTTTCCCAGCCCCCGAAGGACCCATGACAGCCGTGATGCGACCCGGTTTTATCTTTCCAGTAACAGACCTCAGAAGCTTTTTATGTTTGTGTTTCAGCGTGACTGTTAGATCCCTGAAAGAAATTTCGATCAGCCGCCTTTTCTGAACCACATTGTTTGTTGCCATCGTAAGTACTCCCGAAAAGGTCAGATTCTTGTTTTGTTGCTGCTGAGCTTTCTCTTTCTCAAGCTGTGAGTATGCATACTTAAAAATCTGGCTACGGGTATGGATTTCTTTGTCTTTGGAAATTTTCTTTTGCATATGTTCATCTCCAGAATGTGAATAAAAATCATCGAAGCTACTGCTGTCATCTTGCTTATTGTACCTCAGATCCACATGATGGCTTGGATTCGTTGCTTTTACTCCAGAGGCAGAAGCTGATATCTCGGAGATGGGCAACATAGGTGGATACAAATCATCTTCTCTCTCACTGTCCTTTCTGCCCAAAATTCTAACTTCCTCTGATTCTTCGAGGTTCTTCTTGGAAAACTTTCTCGATAGCTGAGATTGTAATTCGACAACATGCTTTTTAGCAGCATCTTTTGCAGCTCTCCACCTTGCGCGTGCTTGTGACTTCTCTTTCACAGTTCTTGCAGCTGCTTCCCTGGATTTAGCATACCTTCTTTCTCGTGTAGAGAGAATTTGGTCGGAACAATTGTATATAATGAGCAAGAGAGTACTCAATGCAGCCTGCAAGAACAAATATAAAGATTGTTGGAACATTTGGTATATGACTCAGAATATGAAATGAAACCATGTCAAGAACATCATTTATTGTGACTCCTTTCTGAAAACTTTCTAATCATGTAAGAAACACATTCCTACGTATAAGTAATTACAAAGTAAACCACCATTTGTTGTACATGGAAAACCATCTTAAACTAGGAAAACAGGTAGAAGAGGAGAACAATCGACATGATCTTGTGTATAAAAATCCATAGTGAACATCTTACAATAAGCATTATTCCATATGCGTGAATATTCTGTTTCTCCGATTTTGAGTCGCATGAAATCAACTTGAAGCATCCTGTAAATTTAGCATCAATACAGAAAAATGTTATTGTACTTCCTCCTACAAGATACAAAAAACTGCAAATAATCTCTCATAAGGCAAGAAGAAGGATGTAATGCATGGTGTTTTGGTTCAGTTAATCAAGGAACTTACGTTTTTCATCTGTGGATCCCATTGGACAGTAATTCCTGAGAGGTTTTAAAGAGAAGTTTAGAATCGAATGAATCAAAGACAGTGTGGGAACTAAACAAGGATTGGGGGATTGAAAATCACTACCCACTGCCACAAGGTATTATCTCAGTACTTGTAGGACAATATGAACCAGCAGAGCAGAATATCTCACTGTTTGATCTAACATCTGCCCACACATTTGCACCACCACAAGTATGATTTGTCTGTCCCGCTGGAAGCCGGTAAGAGTATCTAAAAAAATTCTCCGAGTAAATAATCTGTGCTTCGACAAAAGAAAGATGATAAAGGAAGCATGATCCCAAAAGCTAAGCCTTACGGTGTACATATGCCAGTGTTCTTATCCAGGGTAGCTAGTGGGCAATAGGCACCCAATGGACAGGCTGCAAAATTCAAAGAAGACGATAAAAGACATCTCTAGGTCACAGCATATACATTTTCAAATATAATCAGATGCTAAAAACAAAATTAGCACAAGCCGATTAGAGAATAGCACATTGGGAAACCAATTTACTATATAAGGATCCTATAACTAAACTTCTACATGAGATGATCACTTATTATGGCAGCGTAGCTACTTTAAAGTTCGAATCCAACTATTCACTAATGCAATACAATCTTTTGTTAGCTAACATAATGCCAGTGACAATACGTCAAAACAGCATAATGATAAGTTTAAGACACCTTGAAGAAATATAGTACACTGAAATACTTTCCAAATGTTTGGTTTGGTGTTTTTTGACAAAAAAAATCTCCCCAAAACACCTTTCACTAAACAAACAGTTCTTAAGAAATAACCCTCTCTCTTACATGTATACATGCAAAATTGTAACAACAAATAACTAACTACTCACATCTATTTAAATGTAAATTCAATATACACCTTAAAAGCTGGTCATTACTCATCAACACATCACTATACCTAAACAAAGCCTTTCAAAATAAAAGATTAATGAAAAAAGTTATTGACGACTTACGGATCATGCAACTGATGCCATTTGGGCAGAAGAAACCTTCGCAACAAGACCCACAGTCAGATCCTCTAGCAGGTACCACTCGAGAATTCTGCAGGTCAACTTGCTCGTCACTATCAGCGCTGCATGCCCATCCTGGTTCACAGCCAGGAAGCCAATGTGAAGAATTACAGTTCCTGTTTGGCTTGAGGCTTCCCCCATTCTTTATATTATCAAAGTAAATTCCTACTTCTGCTGCTGTACATAACCGCCGAGTAACATCTACATTGCACGAGTAAGAGTTTCACTGTTTCAGAATATGGATGTTCTAAACTAACAACTAAAATAGCAACAAGGGTGCAACAAATGCTCAAACAAATTTGAAAAGCACAAACAAACAAACACAATCATTGGGATTCTCCTCTGGTGAAATAAGGTCAATTATTTAATCACTATCACATTATTACCGCAAGAAATCTAATTCTTGAATCAGAACTAAGTCAGACATTATTCAAAAACTCTATTTGAAACACTTCTGTGCTACCGCTAAAACAAAACAGAAAAATGCAAGAAGCACTTCCAGCGGATTCTTGATTCTTTTTAAATAAAATACTTTTCAATCAAACAATTTAATCCCCATAGGGTGTTTTTATTACAAATGACATTATTATCTTTAATTTTAATTTTAATTTTAAAGATGATTTAATCTCACCTAGTCGATATAATATGATAGCCATATAAATTACTGTGCTTACAAGTTAATACATTAAAGTAAACATTATTATGACGGCCATATATCACGGTAATCACTCGTACAGTGTACTAAACACCACTTGCTATATATCTCCCCAGCATCTTCCATTGATTAGTTTTTACAATGAAGATATTCTAACACAAATTATAAACCTTATTTCTTGTAATCATCTGCAAACAGTATCTTAATCCATGTCAAATCCACTTGCTTAAGGTTTATCATCTCAGAGTCAGACATGAAACTCAATACATGTCAATCAACTATAGCATCAAATCAACGAATGCTTCTTCATAATCATGTCTGCACCAATGGTTTCCTCAATCAAAATGTATGAACAAATTTAAAGAAATAAAAAGACAAACTGAACTCAAAGCCCTCTTCATATTTCCTAATCTAATTTTCTAACTTATGAATCAAAATCACCCAATCATACAAAAGTAAGGGCTAATTACCTCCAAATTTTGCCAGGCAAGCAGTCAAAAAACTCACATCAGATGAATAATTGAAAGCTTGATTCCAATCAGCTTCCCTAAAGACAAAAAATAAGAAATTATTCAAGAAAAATTAACAATGACAAATCATCCTTCCACTCCCAAATTGTGTTAATTAAATCTAATTACAACAGAAAATTTAGGTAAATCAAATAATTACGGATTCTGAACACAAAAGCTGTAATCTCGGACGAATTTACTCGAGAGAACTTCGGAGGTGAAATTCTCGAGATTGCTGTAAGCTATATCAGTCAGGAAACCTTGCGCCGCCGGGGTTGGCAGCTGCGGTGGACTGAAATCTCCGAATTGGCACCGCACCAATTTCAGGTGAGCTGTAAGAATGCAGAACCAGGAAGCAAACACGAATGAGCTCAACCTCCTTTTGCTCATTCTCCTGCAGAGCTGAAGAGCAACTGTGTTCGAACCAGCGAGGCTAATCCAATGCAGGTATTGCTGAAAAAAGCTCGACAAATTGACAGAAATCGATCGGGAAGATTCGGTTTAAGTGTAAACAATTGCAGGAAAGGTCAGAGCGCCATGTGAGGAACTCATGAAGAGGAAGATGAAATTTTTGCCTACGGTTGCAGTCCCTGCAGTTATTTTACAGTTTGTGAGGGACGGGAAGAAATTTCAACGAAGGTCCCTGGACTTTGAACTCCAGATAGATTTCTGCTTTTAATTGTGTGGGGCCAAAGTTATCAACGGCCCAGATTCGTCTGGCTTTCAAGGTCCTGATAGTTACATCTTATTAACCCAGTTTGACCGCGTCATTGAATTTAAGTCCAATATACTTAAATAAAAAATTAATAACTTGTTTGGACATGTTTTAGTTAATTAATGGAGTAATAAATATTAAGAACTGAAATTTGATTTTTAAGTTTATTTAATAATTATTTTTATTATTATATACTAATTAGATATATATATAGCTAAGGTTTGTGTGATACTCCATTTGTTCAGCCACAGATGACTCAACTTCTTTTTTAGCACATCCCACAAAATATGATTTATTTTTATTTTTCGTAAATTTATTAATCTTAAACATATTTAACAAATATAAATAAATTTAATTAAACTTTTACATCACGTAGGACCATTCAAAACCCATTTATTTCTATGTCTCTTTCGTTAACAAATATTTTTATCTATCTTTAAAACTTCTCATTTTTTATAAAACTAATTTGTGGTTTCTATCTCTCTTTGATTAAAAAAATATTTTTATCTATTTTTAAAACTTTTCATTTTTTATAAAACTAATTTGTGGTAATAATAAATAAATAAATATTTTTTTTTATTCATTTGTACTATATAAAATTTTATGGTCAAAATGATATCCATATTGCATATATTTTATTGAAATATAATTATAAAAATATTTAAAATACCAACAACACTACACATATATTCATTTTCTTCCGTCCAAAAACAATTGTCATATTTCATTATTTAGTAATCGTGGTTCTCACTTTATAACAAAATTATTCGTACTTTTCCAAACTATCCCTAATTATTACTTTAACTTACTTTTTAAAATTCTTCAAAAAGTAATGACATTTTAGTCTTTTACATTCTATTTTATACCCACTTTCAATTCCAGTGCCAACTCCCAACAAGACGCTTTTTCGGGACGAAGAAAGTATTATTATAACTTATTATAAATAATTTACACCGCCTAAAATCCGTGTCCAAACGACTCATCTTTCGTGGCAGGGAGTAATTTAAAGTTTTTAAAATATAGATATAAAAAACATTTAAACAAGCTCGGTAGATTTGTGATTATTTGACTAAATTAAACAAAGCAGGAATGGTGTCAAGTGGACGACACGACACGATAAACGATCGTAATTGGACGGAACCGGACGGAAACGCACCGCAGAGAAGTGGAGAAAGGGTCCTTGGCGCGCGACTACGTACACGTACACGTTATTTGACTTGCCGGCACGCCAGCTTCCTTTTTTTTTTTGTGTTTTTTTTTTTAGATATATATAATATTAAGAATTTCATAATTCTTTTATTTTAATATATCAAACTAAAAAATAAAATAAATGGACATGTTGAATCTCATTTAGCACATATAAAATACTTACATAAAACAATATATTTACTTTTAGGATGAACTGTTTTTTTTAAGTCTCTTAAATGCCCTTTATCATTTTAGTCATGTAAATGGCGTCTGTCACAAACTAGTTTCATAAGTGAAAATTTTTAGCTGTTTTAGGCCTCCGACGCCGGAGACGCTCGCATGATTCGCCGGAGGTAACATGTCCGCCAGGTGTCCCGCCAAGTCAGCGACACCTGGCGGACACATAAATTTTTTTTTTCATTTTTTTTAATTTTTCTAATTGGACCAAATAAAAAAATACAAATAAAATTAAAAATAAATTAAAAATAAGTTTTTAAAAAATTTTAAAAAATAAATAAAATAAATAAAAAAATCCACGTGTCCGCCAGGTCAGCGACACCTGGCAGACAAGTCATATCCGGCGAGCCACGTGGGCATCTCCGGCGCCGGAGGACTAAAACAGCGAAAAATTTTCACTTACGGGACTAGTTTTCGACAGGCTCCACTTACGAAACTAAAAATAATAAGGGGTCCAGTTACGGGACTAAAAAATCAGTTTACCCTTACGTTTATAATGTTAGATGATGAGAATCTCATCTCACCGAACAATATTGTTTCTGTTTATATTATATATTATTATTTTATTTCGTCTTTTTAAGGGTTATAGTCAATTTTTGCATCGTTGTATTTAATATTAAAATATTTTTATATTTGTATAATTTTTTATACAAATATTCTTTTATTAATATTACAAGACACTAATGAAAATACTTTTACAATTTTTTTTAATTTATACTACGTCTTAATATAATAATTAATATTTAAATATCAACACAAAAAAAAAAAAAGTAAATAAGACCCTTATAGCCTAATAGAAATAATATTAGTTTATATGATATATTTTGTCTTATGTCAACATAATTTGTATTGAATAAAAAGTACATATATATTTTAGACAATATTATAAACAATGTCATTAGAAAATAAATAATGAGTTTATAAGTAAAAGGTTTTTTTAACATTCTATTGTACTATTATATATAAAATATTAATTGACCGAAATCTACATATAAAAATATTTATATTCTCATATTTATTTAATAAAAATATAAAGGGTCTGTTTTTCGAATTTTATACCTATTTTATTATTATTATTATTATTATTATTATTATTATTTTTAAAAATATTAAATTAAACACTCATTTTTTATTTATATTAAAATATCACATCAATACACATTTATATCATATCAAATAATTATTTTAATTCAAATTTTATTATTCAAAATCAAAATGAAATACCATAATCTTACAAGTAAACACACCGTTGTTAGTTATTATAAATTCACAATTATATCATTTATCTGTATAATACATTTGAAATATAATAAAAATTATTTTACACAAATAACAATATTATTTCTAAAATATTTTTATAATTTTCGATAAATAACAATAAAATTTTTATCAACTAAAAAATACAATAGTACAATAGACATTCATAACTTAAAATGCACTTTCTTATAATTGAATTATGGTATTTAAAGTTTATAGATAATTAAAATTTTAAATGAACAAAGGAAAAGAAATATTTGTATAAATATTTTAGTAGTTTTGATATTATCCATTGATAATAATTTATTTAAATATAATTAAATTATATATATATTTTTAAAATATAACATCAAATATTTATTTTTTTAATTGTTATATAAATTTTCAAAAATTCAAAAGTCAATATCAAGACAAAAACCTAAAACCAAATAATAATAATAATAATAATTTGATATGCAAGGTGAATATCAATTCATTTATTAGCTAACGCCGGTTGACAAAGAAATGATATGGACCCGTGAAAATAAGTATTCTCTCCATTTGACATAAATGGTTGATTTTTTATATTTTTATTGGTTTCGCATAATTTGTTTGTTTTTTTTTTTTTAATATAATTATATATTTTAATTATAAATTATAAAATTTAAATAGTAAAATTTGACGGTAAGGGTGTGTTTTTTTGATGGTTTGGTTTTTGAGTTGAGATTCGAATAGTATAAAGTTTGAATTTGAATAATTGTATGATGTGATATAAACAGGTGTTGATGTGATGTTTTGAATATAAAATTAATTTTTAGTATAATATACTCCATCTGTCCCACATACTTTGTCCATATTTTCTATTTTCGTCCGTCTCACATAACTTGTCCTTTCTATTTTTGGAAATATAATTATACACTTTAATCGTATTTTAAATTTTAAAATTTATAATTTTCGTAATTTTAATTAAACTATTTACTTATCTTAATCTTAATCTATAATTATTTTTACTAAATAATAATTATTTTTACTAATACACCTGTTAATTAAGAAGTCTACTACTAAAAAAAATTGGATGAATAGTGTATTCGGGGGAAAAAAATTGGATGAATAATGTATTTGGGGGAAAATCCCCTAAACAAACACACCCTAAATTAATAAATAATACTTCATTTGTCACATATATGGTAGATAAGAGGATTTAGGTAAAATATAATTAATAGGTAATTAAGAAGTATACTACTAAAATATAATTATTATTTAGTAAAAATAATTATAGATTAAAATAAAAAAAGTAAATAGTTTAATTAATAATCAAAAATTATAAAATTTAAAATGCGACTAAGGGGTGTATTCAATATAAATTTTGTAGAATTTTGTTGGACTTGCAAAATTTGGTGTATTCAGTCAAGACTTTTAAAAGTCTTTTAAAATCTAGAGGTATTCAATATAGACTCTTAAAAGTCTTTAAAATTTTGAGATATTCAACAATTCATATACTTTGAAAGTCTATGGATTTTAATGAATTTTTATGAAAATTTTGTATAGAAAAGAATATCTTCTTACATCACTTTGATGAATTCTTAAAATTATTATTATTATTATTATTATTATTATTATTATTATTGTATATATGATCAATAATACGATAATATTTATTATTATTATTATTAATAAAAATAATAATTTAAAATTAAAATATATTAGCAAATTATTATGATTTTTTAAAAATATATTTTTTATATTATAAATATAATTTTAAAAAATATTATTATATTATTGTCGTCTTTTCTTTTCAATTATCGAATACACTATATTATCATTGCGATAACGGTGAAATAAATATTTAAATATATATTTTTTGTTGAACCGTAATTTATATATATTTATTTATTTTAATATTTTTTTCAAAACTCATAAATTATTTATTTATTTATTTTAATATAACCATTTTATATAAAAAGTAAATACATATATATTATTTATTAATACTTATATATTATTTATTAATATTAAATATTATTTTATTAATAATTATTTATTATATTTATAAAATTTGTTGTTTGATATAAATTTATATAATTAATATATATTCATAAAAAAATTATTTTAAAATCCTATAAAATTCATATAAATCCATAAAGAATTCAATCAAATTCTTAAAAATCCATCTAAATCAATTACTAAAATCCATCAAACTCAACGTAGACTCTGTGGATTTTCTATATACTATTTTTTTTTAAAAAAAAATCCATTAAAATCCTAATTGAATACACCCTCTAAGTGAATAATCATATTTAAAAAAAATGACAAGTTATGTAAGATGAATCAAACTATAAAATTGAGACAAATTATATGAAAAAATAGAGTTATATTTTATTAAGTATTAGAAATTAGTAAAATTATTTAATATTTTTTATATAATATATAATTACTCCATCCGTCCCACATATCGTGTCTGCTACACTATAGACACCGTATTTTAGAAGGGGCGTAATTAGTAAATAATTAAGAATGTATTAATGAAAATAATTATTTTATAATATAAATAATTATAAATTAAGATTAACATAACTTTTAATTAAAATTTAAAAAAAATAAAATTAAAAAAAATTTAAAATGCGATTAAAATGTATAAATATTTTTAAAAAAACAGAAAGTGATATGGTATGGTACGTGGGACGGCCAGAAAGCATCGTGTGGACACAGTACGTGGGAGGGAGTCAGTATATATTAACAATTTTGTTTTTTTCCAATTTTTTTTGTTTTTATCTGGACACGCGAATGACGTATGAGAATCTATCAAATGATTGGTGTGTAAATTGGAATCAGTACGCAGCATTTGAGAATGTGAATCCAAAATTAGGGTATTTCAATCCCCAAATAATGCAAGCTCTCGCATGTCCTCCAGGATTGATCCACATGTCACTCACCCATCTTCTTTCCCCTCGCCCTCACTCCAAATGTTTTATTTCCACTTTGAATCTGCCATTTTTCTGCAATGGATTTTAATTCGCGATGGTGACTTTGCGCAATGTAATCGGGGGTTGGTGAGCAGAACTCCAGCTGCCTACCATTGACTTCTTGCAGATAATGGCGTCCTCGTTTCTTAACACCTGGAGGGATTTACAGCCCCCATTTATATTTTGTAATTTTCTATTGTTTCTCTGGTTTCATTTAAGCAAGTGGGGAGCATGAACTTGGAAGGTTGGCGAACTAAACGAACGGCATTAATTCCCTCTGAGTTCTGAGGTGAGTGGCGATCTTATTATGTGTGTATTGTTTGTTTTCTTTTTTCTGTTATGCGCGCATTATGTTCGATGAAATGTCTCTGTAGTGTTGATCAATTGCTTTGAGGTATTTCGGACGCAAGATTGAGCTACTTTGGTTTTATAAAGCTGACGTTTGATGGACTGGTTGTTTGGATTTTGGAATGTTTTGGATTTGGAAAAAATCGAATGTAAAGTAGGTTATGATTGTGATGATTGAATACTAAATATATCTTTGAACAAAGAAAATAAATTTTGGACGGGTTGTTTTGAATAGTAAATATATCTTTGATGGACTGGTTGTTTTGATTTTGGAATGTTTTGGATTTGGAAAGAATCGAATGTAAAGTAGGTTTTGATTGTGATGATTGAATAGTAAATATATCTTTGAACAAAGAAAATAAGTTTTGGACTGGTTGTTTTGATCATGGAATGTTCTGAATTTGGAAAAGAATCGAACGTAAAACAGGTTATGATTTTGATGATTGAATAGTAACTAGATGTTTGAACTAATACTTTGTATAGAAATAGGTTTCTTTTGATCTTGGAATGTTTTGAATTTTGAAAAAATCGAATGTAAAATAGGTTAGTGTTGTGATGATTGAATTGTAAATAGATGCTTGAAGGAATACTTTGTATAGAAAATAGGTTTGATGGACCGGTTGTTTTGATCTTGGACTGTTTTGAATTTGGAAAAAAATCGAATGTAAAATAGGTTATGACTACGATGATTAAATGATAAATAGACGTTTGAAACGAATACTTTGTATAGAAACTAGGTTTTGTAAATAACATTTTCAATGTTGGATTCATAAATAAGTTTTGTATACGATGTTTTGGATGAAAAATATGTATATACTTTACGGGGAAAGATTTGGAAAATAAGATTGAAAACACGAAGAAACTTTTTTACTTTTTCATAATTGTTAGGAATGATGCTGCACACCATGGCTGAGGTTTCTTGTAATGTCAAAAGCTATTGGTTTTCTTGCAACTCACACACTTGTAAAAAATGAGGTTCAAATACAACGGCGAGCATGCTTAATCACAGAGCTCTGCGCCTTGGCGTGTGTTTTAATGTCGAATTTTAGTTGTAGATAATTTGTTGAAGCTTTGTGTTTAATGTTGTTTCTTGTCTCAGGCTAAAGGGTAAACGGCTATGAGGTGCTTTCCGTTCTCAAATGGGAGCCGAACTGATGAGCAAAAGACCACGAAGTCGACATGCCTATCCAACTTCACGTCGAGTGAGCAAGATGGCCGGAAATCAGGGTCAGAGAGCAATTCCAATTCGAATTCTCAGAACATTTCAGACATAAGCGCGGCATCGTCAGTCAAGATCTCATTCCAAAGCTTGTCTCAAAAGCACAGTAACCTCAGAGTCTTCACATTCGCCGAGCTCAAAACAGCCACAAAGAATTTCAACCGATCCCTCATGCTTGGTGAAGGGGGGTTCGGCCCTGTTTACCGGGGCGTTTTGTGGGAGACGGAAGGTTCATGTAAGAGGATTGATATCGCCGTCAAACAGCTCAGTACACGGGGACTTCAGGCAAGTCGAACATGTGCCGAAAACTTTATAGGCTTTTTGGTTATAATTTGTTCATATTCTTGACTATCAACGAATTTGTATGCTTTGATACGTTTTTGATAGGGACACAAGGAATGGGTGACGGAAGTGAATGTGCTCGGCATTGTTGAGCATCCAAATCTCGTCAAACTTATAGGCTATTGCGCCGAAGACGATGAGCGAGGCATCCAACGCCTTTTGATCTACGAGTATATGCCGAATAGGAGCGTGCAAGACCATATATCAAGTCGATTTCAAGCGCCTCTCCCGTGGTCCACTAGGCTTAAAGTAGCCCGGGATGCCGCTAGTGGCTTGTCGTACCTTCACGAAGGCATGGAGTTTCAGGTATCGAATCTTTTTTTCGATGTTTATACTTCTATAAGTTTTTCTTAAGAATTAGTAAAACAACATCTCATATCGAGCTAAGCTATTGGAGTAGGGATTCGTTTAGTTATATTTTAGAAGTATATCTTAGTACCGTGGAAATAGTAAAAAGTTGAATTGAAAAATAGATGTTGAAATATTGGTGCGATGATGAATATAACGAAAATGAAATTGAAAGTACGATTCAATAAAGTTTTGAAAAAAATTTTAAAAATAGTAAAAAATTAGATATTTGACGTGATTTTTCTGAGAGGAAAAATATATTCGAGGTGTCTTTGTTCGGGAGTTTGGATTTTGAATTAGAATTTGAATAATAAAAAATTTGTGATGTTTTGAATATAAAATTAATTTTTAATATAATATAAAAAATAAAAAATAAATATTTGATTTGAAGTTTTTGGAGAAAAAATTTGTATGAATAGTGTATATTTCTCAAAATCCTTCAAAGAAACACACCCCGATGTTATGTTTTTTTTTAAAAAAAATATTGTTTGGAACTGGAGGAGTACTTGTTAAGGCTTGAACTTGGCTTGAGTTCGGCTCGTTAAGCTTTAGCTTGAAATTTTTTCGAGTCGAGTAGGCTTGACTCGACTCTAATAGCGACACTACTAGTCGGTTTTCCAAGAAGCGATTGAACTCGTTTCTTTCTTTCCTATCATTTTCGCGCAGATAATCTTCCGCGATTTCAAGTCATCGAACATTCTCTTGGATGATCATTGGAACGCGAAGCTCTCGGATTTCGGCCTTGCTCGATTAGGACCTGCCGACGGCGTAAGCCACGTATCGACAGCGGTAAGGCATATTTTATTTTTTACCGGGGTTGGTTTCAAATTGACGTAGTTTAAAATAAGAGCTCGATTTTTTTACCTGCTTCCCTCCATGCACCGCAGGTTGTAGGGACGGTCGGATATGCGGCGCCGGAATACATTCAAACGGGTCGTCTAACGTACAAAAGCGACGTGTGGAGTTACGGAATTTTCCTCTACGAGCTGATCACGGGGCGACGACCGTTGGACCGGAACCGTCCGAAGAACGAGCAGAAGCTCTTGGATTGGGTCCGGCCGCACTTGGTGGCGGACGTGAAGAAATTCGAGCGAATTCTCGACCCTCGGCTCAAGGGGAGCTACGAGATCAAGTCGGCTCAAAGGCTCGCCGCCATCGCAAATCGGTGTTTGGTTCGACACCCGAAGAACCGGCCGAGAATGGACCAAGTCGTTAAGATGGTCGACCGTGTCGTCGCCGAGGCCGCATTCTCCGTTAGCCCGATCGAGAAGTCGCCATCGTTGACGGACGACGACGAGGAGCGGAAGCTCCGCCACGGCGGCGGCGGCGGCGAGGAGAGGTGGAGGAGGAGGTTTATTGATCATGTATTGGGAGAGGGTAAGTGCTTAGGGTGGAAGCCATGGAGGCAAGAGATGGTTAAGGATATATTATAGATATGTACACACACATATACACATGGGTGTGTGTGTGAGAGAGAGATATGGTTTAAGAGATTATGAAGCAAGAAAAGGTGTTCCTGGTTTGATGAGAACAAAGATTTTTTTGGGTCCCTTGTTATGAAGGAAAAGTGTATATTTTGTGATTGTATATGCCTATGAATGTTTTGTATCGGCCCGCAGGCTGCAATTAGACAAATATATATATATATATATATACACATTTTCTTTCAGTAGTGTAAATTTATGCTCATTTAATTATGTTCGAATTTAAAAAAAAAATAGATAAAAAAAATTATAATAAAAGAAAATTAAAAAAAATAATTTATTTTTATTAACAAAAGAAATAAATTTAAATGACAATAAAAATAGAAAGTAAGAATAAGTTCAAATGCAGCGCTGATTGAGATATAGAAGGTGTTTGGCAAAGAAATTTTAGCTAATTTAGGTGTTCGGACCAAAAAGTTAATTTTTGAAAAGCTAATTTACCAATTTTTTTAAATAATTTTTTCACATTAAAGTTATTCCTTGTTTGCCCTTAAAAATTTATTATGTATTTTACACAAATAAATATATTTTGATAATTCATTAATTATATTAGAATATTTTATTATATTATAATTTTACTTTTATAAATTTAAAATAATTAATTCATATATAAAAATTATTTTAATGGTAAAATATACTTCATCCTTCTTATAAATATATAGTCTTAATTGAGTTGGACACGACATTTAAAGAATATTGATATTATATTGGTAGTTGGTAAAAAGTACGGATAAAAGACTTTTTTGTCCTTGTGAGTGTATTAGTATAAAAAATAGTGGCAATTGTGTAATAAAAATGAAAAAGTATGAGTAGATTTATGGTGATATGATTATTTATGAAAATAAAACTATTGTTTTGGGACGGACAAAAATGGTAAACAAGTCTATTGTATTGGGACGGAAGGAGTATAAATTTATTAAAATCAACTCAAAATAAAAAAAAAATATAAATAGTAATAGTTTATTTTTATATTAAAATTACATTATAAAAATTTTATACTAAAAATTAATTTATTGAAAATTATAAATATAATGAACTACTCGATAATTAACATAATAAACATATACACGAAAAAATTATTATTTTATATTTATATCATTTTCAATAGAAAAAAATATTTATATTTTTCAAGAAAAAAATATTATTTTGTATATTTAACTACAATAAAAATAAATACTAGTATTTTATAACACTTTTATAATTTTCAATAACTAATAACAAAAAAATTCAAACATTCTAAACTGAAAATAAAACAATTGAATATATTAGAAAAAAATAGAAATGTCTTCAATTGTTACGTATAAGCAGTTAATATCAAACAATTATTTTACCAAATATTTTAATATAAACAATTAATTGAATCAGCTAGTTAAACCAATTAATTAAATTAGCTAACGACTATCAATTAATTGTCAAATACTTCCTTAATATTGTGTTATTTTATGGTAGTTATATTTTATAAGTGCAGTGTATTTATCGCACTTTTGGGGTGAGATTGATCGTATCAAATATTATAAGAACGGTTGTCATGTGAATCAGATGATATATTTTTGTATTTATATTTTACTAGCGTTTTATTTTATTTTATTTTTTTAAAAATATAATTATATATTTTAATTATATTATAAAATTTATAATTTATAATTTATAATTTTAATTAAATTATTTAATTATTTTAATCTTAAAATTTATAAAAAAGAATTATTAAATCATAATTATTTTTATTAATATATTTTTAAATTATTTATTAATTATTCAATACCTAAAATTTTGTGTCTAACTTAACATGTACGATTTAAATAAGATTGAGAAAATAGTAAATTTTATGTTTATATTATATTAATATATACTATTTGTACCATCAAATATTCTTATTTACGGTTTATATTTTATATATGATGATTAATAGTAATATCTGTCATTTTTTGTAAACAAGTGATTTAATAAATAATTTAAAATAATTTTGTATAGATATTTTAGATTTCTTTACCCAACCAAATTTTATTTGATATTATTCTCAATAAATATAATATATTTTTGTTTTTTATAAAAAAAATTAACATTCAATAAATAAATATTATTTATTATAATATTAACATGATTTGTCATATTTTATATAAGAAAATACATCAAATTAAAAACTAAACAAACACACCTGAATATTAAAAAATAATAAAAGAAATACAAAACAATAATTAAACTAAACAAACACCTGATATATCTTTAACATGAACAAATTCTTTTGAAAGTCAAAATAGAATAATTCTCCATATTAAATTATTAAAGTATATTATCTCATCAATCAATTAATTTTAATCAAAGATTACACACTACTGAATTAAAATAAAATATAATAAAAAGTCTAATGGTACGTTTCTTTAGCTAAGTTTCTTCAAATTTTATTATTTGAATTATGAATCCGAAAAAAATATATTTTTTTCTCTCATAAAATATCTCATTAAATATTATTTTTATGCCAAACTCAAACCAATTTTTTTTCAAATTTATAAAAAAAAAAAAAAAAACACCTTAAATTATTAAAAACATTTAAATGATTTTATCCAATCCTAAATAATCACGCAAGTAAAATGGCCCATTAAATAATTGTAAAGCACCTGAAGGAATCAAATCCAGCCGCCCAATGGCGATAAGATCCAATCCTAGCCGTCCAATTATTCCACCGTCTCCACTTCCAATGGATCAATGTTCCCACGCACGATCCCAACCGTTCCACTGGATGGACACGTGGCCCAATAATCGCCGTCGGATGGGACCCATGTAACGGCTTTGAGAAGAAGCCGGCGCCACCGGCTTTTCGCGCGGCCTACCGCCTAACATTTTGATGCTTTTCATTTCCCATTAGGGGATTGCTGAAATTGGGCAAAAATCGGGTTCGATCATATTCCTACATAATTTTGGATTTTTGGGGCTCTTATAGGTGGAGGATCTGTCCATTTCTTCGACGGGAATCCAGAGGTTTGTGGTAATTTAGCGCAACAAGAATCCTATCTATGCACACAATTTTTATTTTTATTTTATTTTGGATATATGTATGTGGGGTTGTGGTGTGGGTTTTGGTTCGGAGGATGTTGGATGGGTTTTAAGGGCGATTTTAGGCTTGCGTTTCGTTTGCGAGTTTATTGATTGGTGTGATTGATTTTTGTGAAATTAATTGTGGTGGATGGATTCTAGGGTTTTTTGTTAATCGAAATGTGCAATTGATGTTGTTAATTACGGGTGGGTTCCGGTGGAGTAGATAGTTGTATATCATTTTTGCAAGGTTTCGGGTATGAGAATAGGTTTGTTTTTAATTTGATTTTTTCGACTCTGAGTTGAAGAACTATTATGATGTGATTTGGAAATAGGAGAAAATTTACATGATTTTTGAATTAAGTAGGATTTGAGAGTTGTTAGGGTTCTAGTGATATTGTTGTATATGTGGTGGAAGCTTGTCGGCATGGTTTTCTTTCAATCGATAACTAAGAATACCCGAAAGCACATTGGTAGTATTGTAGCCTTTTAGATAAAGGAGTATAGTTTGGGAAAGCAATGATCTCTGGAAAGTTGGGAGGACAATGAAAGAAGTAGATATCGGTTTGCGATTCTACGGTTTTGTGAATATCTGCTAATGAAAGTAGAAAGAATATTGAACTCTGTTCGTTCTTTTTAGGTGCTTTGTCTTTTTATACATTGATCGAATTAAACTTGTGGAGTGAATAGCTTACTGGCATTTAATATATTAAACTAAGAAAGTAAAAAGAAGATTGAAATCTGTTCGTTAGTTTCAGGAGCTTTGATCTTTTCATACATTGATTTCGAATTAAACTGGTGGAATGAAAACTCGAAAAGCTTACTAGCTTTTAATACGTAAACCAAATAAGTAAAAAGTTTAGTATATTCTAGCTTTGTGGTACATCTTGATCTGAGGTGGGAGGAATATGTCTTTTGGTGTTTTCTTTGGTTTCTTTACTAGTTGAGATTCTCGAATTTCTTGTTTTTATCTGGGAGAAAGAATCATATGCGGAAATTAGCTGTTTCAGTTAACATAATATTCGATGAATACGACAAAAAGACTTGGTTATAATTAGCTGTTTCAGTTAACATAATATTCGATGAGTACGACAAAAAGACTTGGTTATAATTAGCTGTTTCAGTTAACATAATATTCAATGAGTACGACAAAAAGCCTTGGTTATATTTAAGTTCTGTAAAACAATAATGCCAGAGAGGGTCCCACTGTTAACCCATAATTTCATGCATAGTATTTCCCTTTTTCGTCAACAAATTAATGCTGGAATGGCAGTAGAGTGAAAGACTGATCGTCGTTGGAGTATCATATCTGGATTATGTTTTAACGGATGCGTAGACTAGGGAAAGCCTTGAATGCATATTTATATTTATACGAATGTGTGTGTGTGTGTGTGTGTCTGCAATATCGCATCTTTTGAATTGAAATTGTAGTTTAAAATTGTGCCTTTTCATGGCTTCCATTTGATACCCTACCATGGAATGGAATATCCATAATTATGATTAAGTACACGTGCTTTTTCAGTGGGAAGAATACCTTTTCTCACAAATCTGCCACAAAGTGTTACTTGAAGATAATATAAAAAGAAAAAGAAATGACCGCATATCAGCTAGATCCTGATGTTGTGAGGTGGGGCCTTCACCTTATAGATGTTTGCTCTATTTCCAACAATGGCTCTCCAGAAACACTTACTTGTTACGCCGAAGATTTGTCCCACACTGTGTCTGTACAGGAAGGTTATATCAATCCTACACACCCTTTTGTTGAGAACGACGAAGTTATAGCTCATGCTCTTCAGGAAGAATTAGCGAAAGTGCCAAGCAGTCATGATTTAAGATATTCTGCATCCGATGTAGAGCAGCATCAGAGTGAGTCTGTTCTTGCTCAGGATTGGCTTGGTCCGTCAGGAAGGCACGGAAATATTGGTACGGAACACCAAGTTTCAGTTTCGTTTCTCAGATTAGGATTTTGTAGACTTTGTTGAGTTAATTATATGTGCAGGGTTTCATGGAAACCAAGAAGAATCAAACAACACAGAGAAAGTTTTGTCCGACTTCGAAGAATTATCACTTGGAGAAGAGCATCAATGTGTCTTACCAGAGATAGAAGATGAATCAGATCTTGACGGTGAATTGGGCAAAAGGCTGAATCAGATGATTCCTGTGCCTGTAAGTGTGCATCCTTGTGTTAATTGATTAATTCCACACACAAACATTAATAAATTCGTATTTCTGCATCGTCAATCATTCAAGTATTCTTTTTCATATGAACCATGAATTGTTTTTTATGTCTCATCAGTCGGATGGATGAATCTTTTCAAAGAAATTTTCAAGGATTCAGTCTTTATAGCCATAATTTTCAAGGATTCGTTTCAAGGTTTAGTGACATTTCCACTATTCATCAAAATATTCCTCCCAAAAACATCAAAACCATCAAATCAAAGACTTATTTTTCATTTTTTATATTATACTAAAATTTAATTTTATATTCAAAACATCACGTCAACATCCAGTTATATCAAATAATACAACTATTCAAATTCAAAATTTTTACTATTCAAATACCAAACCAAAATCCAAACCCCCAAAACAAACACAAATCAAACCTTTTGACCATTCCGTATATTGTCCTTTTTGTTCTGTGTTGGAACTTATCCTATATTTACAACTACTTCTTAGTTAGCTATTGGACTTGGCTGTGAAGCTTATCCATGGAAGGTTTTTCATTTGCATACACACCTCCTGGATAGAGATGCATTTACTAATACGCTTACTTCTTTTGCAGCATGTTCCTAAAATAAATGGAGAAATACCATCTGCTGATGAAGCCACATCAGATCATGAAAGACTTCTGAATAGGTTACACTCCGAACTTCCTTTGTTGTTAAGTTGTTTCTTTCTTTGGGAAATCTCAGCAACTTTTACGCTATTTTGATTTGGCTTAAAAGTTAAAAGTAGTAGTCCAGTGATCCAGGATATGCAACAATATTACTTTGCAGTTATAAGATGTTTACTTCACTTTAGTGGTAAGATACGAGTCATTCGACATAAATGAACCAAAGTAAATATGCCTACGATTATGAGTGATTATTAACCCCAAGTATGCTTAGTTTATTTCATCATATATTTAGTTCATTTATCACTGGCCCTTAGTTATGTTTCAATTCCGTCAATTAAATATGCGAGGGCCTAATAAGATAACGTATCCAGGCTGATCACTTCAATAGAGAAAGCAATTGTAAAAGTTCACCAATAGTAACTAGATGGAAGAAACATATTTATTAAACTAAAATATGTGAGGGTATAATAAGATAGCCTATGAAGGCTAATCACTAAAATAGAGTTGGAAGCCCTTGCCAATTTCACTTAATATATATAAAAGAAAAAAAGCAGCATGGATTGGGAAATGATGAATCTACAAAGTGTCTTTGTTTTTTTCCTCTCAAATTTTTAGTCATCCCAACAATTGAAAGGAGTAGGAATTTGGAATAATCGATATATTTGGTCTAACCTGTGTCAGTTTAGATTACATGGTTGAATTTGTTGGGTTAGTTACATCTAACTCTAACACATATGACCAAACCCGAACCGTTTCAAGAAGTTTTATTTTACTGAAATTGACTGTACATATATCATATTGAAGGCTAGGTTAAAACCATAGTTTGATTTCAAAAATATTGCCACTCATGATATGTTAAAATTGGGTGAATTATAGCATATAAATTTTTTCATCAATCTGCTAATGTTCTTGTTGAAGTGTTCCATAGTATTCTTAAATCCTGTGTCGTCAAAAGAGTTCAAGATTCTTGATTTTGTTTAATTAGAAAAAGAAAGATCATATATGTATACCAAGTAATATACAGCCGAAAACTTTGGCTCCCGCTCACTTGCTTCATATCCATTGTTTCTTGACTTTCCAAAATTTTACACTCTTTCATTTTGGTTTTTATCTATTGTCTGATTCATCATTTCATTGTGCACCTCAGGCTGCAGTTGTACGACTTATTTGAACTCAAGATTTTGGGAGATGGTAATTGTCAGGTTGGTTCCTTGAGCATGCGGCTTTGGATTATATGTTTCCTTGGTATGCTTTTCTGTCAAAATGTAGAGATTGATATTATCCTGTCAAAGCGCATATATGTCTCGATACATCTTGTTATCTGACACAGCACTCGGAGCCATTCTAATTTTTTCCATTCGCCACGTAAGAAGTTTGAAGGCAAAAAAGAAATAAAACTCCTTAATTTGTATTGGTGTTTCTAATTCCGGGATCAATTACGATTTAGCTTTTTGCTGTAGAATAGTTGCTGCATCTTGCTTCTTAATTTTTGGGTCTTCCCTTTCTTTTATGCAGTTCCGTTCGCTGTCAGATCAAATATACCGAACTTCAGAGCATCACAAATTTGTTCGAGAACAAGTTGTTAACCAGGTTTGTTCCCAATGCGACAGGAAAATTTTCTTATACTTTTACGTCTACAGAGAACGATTTTTTTTTTAAACATATCACATGGAGCTAATTTTTAGTTCACTCCTCGGTAATTCCATTTCATAAATCCTTTTCTTGTGCACCGCAGCTGAAGTCACAACCTGAGCTGTACAACAATTACGTCCCCATGGCTTATGCTGACTACTTGAAGAAAATGAGCAAGTATACAACCATCTGAACTCTGTTTTTTTTTTTTTTTTTTTTTTGGATCGGAATCTGAACTCTGTTATTTTTGTATACGTTGTTTGTGCTTTCCATAGATGTTTCCATCTTAAGCAAACGAATTTTCTTTGTGACAGATCAGGGGAATGGGGTGATCACGTCACATTACAGGCCGCGGCAGATTCTGTAAGTTTTCTTTCTAAACTCATCTCGATCCATCCATAGAATTAAATTACATCATCCCACATCACTTGGCTGCTGTATAAGTAGAGCTTAATTATATCCCGATCGTGATTGCAGTTTGGCGTCAAAATCTTCATCATTACGTCGTTTAAGGATACGTGCTACATCGAGATCCTTCCACAAATCCAAAAGTCGAATAGAAGTATGTCTTCTTTGCTCTCAACTTCTTTTTTTTCGTGATTCTATATTCCGGGAAAGGATCAAAATTGTCAGTTAAATGCAGTTATATTCTTGAGCTTCTGGGCTGAAGTACACTACAATTCGATCTATCCTTTAGAAGGTAAATATTCCCATAGTCGAACCAAGGAACCGTCAACTACTGTCGTACGTATGATCACTAAACTCGCAAATTTCTTTCTTGCGTCGCAGAACTGCCGGATAATGCTCCGGTGGAGGAGGAGAGCAAGAAGAAGAAGTGGCGATGGTGGAAATGAAAAGCTCGATGGCGACGACGAAATCATCGATGCATCTGCAGCATCTCAGATGATCCATCCTCTTGAGGTTGAGGTTAGTTTGATCTTTGCTTTGCTGCCTTATGTACATAAAGCACAATTTTGATGTTTTCAACTTTGGATGGTTTTGGGATGGCTGAGAGAGATTGTATAAATATACACTACTATATGCTTCATTAGATTCATGACCCCAACACTATTATTGATTTTATTTTTTTTAATTATTTAATTTATTTTTTAGTAGTTAGAGTAACAGATTATTTATTTTCGCCCAAAAATTTTAATATGAAACATTCCTTTTTTAAAGTATTTTTAATTTTATTTTTACAATTTTTCATTCAAAATATCTTCTTCTTTTTTTTGTTATTATAAGAAAAGTTATATTTAAATATTCTTCATTTTTATATAAATTATAAATATATTATTATGGATGTGCATAAGTACAAAAAAAAATATTAAAATTATTTTATACATATTTATTAACTAACAAAATATTATTATTATTTTTATTTTCCTTCATCTCATATAAATTATTCTTTATTTGTTTCATTATTTATCATTTTTAATTTTAATCAAATTATTTAGTTATTTTAATATTAATTAATAATTATTTTTATTAATATGTTTTTAAATTCTGTATTTACTATATTTTTTTGTAAATTCTTTAATTCTATTGTCTTATTCATCTCAATCCAAACATATACACATCAACATTGAAATGGTCATTTTTCAACATTTATTGTAATCATTATTTTCAATCCATTATTTTTATTATTTTATGAAATTTATTTTAATTTATTTTATATATTTATATTATATAATATATATATTAATATAAATTATGATAATGTTATATATTTTTATAATAATTTTGAATCACATTTAAAAATTTAAATGATTAAACGAAATTTGGATTGATGTATCTCGTGAAATTTTTTATTTTCAATTATTTTCAAGGTTTGGTTAAAAAATTAACTGTAAAGATTTTTAATCACTTCGTTGAAATTGTAAACAAAAATTTATAGAAATCTAAAATTTGAAATTTAATATATATAATTAGATCAAATTAAATTATTGAAAAATATGTAGATAAATATAATATTTTGAAATAAATTTGAATTATATTTTATTTGTATAAATAAATTATTGACAAATTTTTAATTTTTAAAAATTCGAGTAATAATAAATTAATTTATTTTTTAATTATGTTTTTTTGAAGGTAATGAATTTTTATAAAAAGTAATAAATAGTGTGGTGTTATAGTAAAAAATTGAAAAAATAATATAAAAGTAACAGAAAAAATCTAATATACACATATTAATATAATATATATAATATATATTTTATCTATTTATAAAAATTAACAATTTAATATAAAATATTATTTTGTTATATTATTGTTGGATATATTATGTGGAGGGTATTTTTATATTTACAATAGTACGAGGACAGTTAATAAATTAGGATTTTGTATATTATATAATGATTTTTGTTAATATATTAGGGTTTTGTATATTATATAATGATTTTTTTTCTTTTGACGTATATAATAAAAAAACAGCGATATTTTTCATGGTATCAGAGCCACCGTAATTCCGTCATCCACCCTACCCCGCCACGCCGCCTGCTGCCTGCCGCCGCGCCGACCGCCGCGCTGTCCTCTTTTATTCCCTTCGGTCTGGCTGTCTGTCAAAATTGTTCTGATTTCTCCTCCTAAGTTGGATTGTTATTAAGTTGTAGCTTAGATTTCTCTTCAATTCAAATATTGTCCAACTATGTCCGCTTCTACTTCTTTTACGGGTATTCTTTCTCCAACCCCGGCTATTGCTACAGAACGATTGTTTGGGGGTTGTAACTATGGCTCTTGGTCTAAAGCTGTCAAAATGTGGTGTATGGGTCAAGGTTTGGCAAATCACCTTATTATGCAGTTTGCTTTGGAAATCTATTGATCCAAGTCTTCATCTAATTTTTACCAATTTTACAAACTGTTATGATCTCTGGAGACATGCGAAGACTTTATATACCAATGATATTCAACGTCTCTACAGTGTGGTATCTAATTTGGTCAATCTTTGTCAACCCGGATTGACAATTCCAAAGTATTTCGGTAAATTTTCATCCATCTAAGCTGAACTCAATTCAGTTTTACCTCCAGGGAAAACTATGGTGGAGGAGCTTGCTCAGCGTGATACATTCTATATGGTGTGTGCACTAGTTGGTCTTGGTCCAGATTTGAGTCCAGTTTGTGATCAACGTCTTTCCAGCTCAACAGTTCTTACTCTTGATGATGTTTATTCTCGTTTATTACGTGTCTCTTATGTGGCACATCTGATTATTGATCCTGGAGACAAGTCTTGCTCTACTAGCTTCACCTTCTTCACATATGCGAGGTAATCCTAGTCCTCATGGGAGCTCTCGTGGGACCTCTCGTCCACGTTGCACTTATCGCAACAGGTGGGGCCATACTGGTGATAAATGTTTTAAATTGCATGGCCGAACGCCTCGGGTTGTTGTTGCGCAGGTTGAAACTCCTCAGTTATCAGGTAATTCTTTCACTTTGACTGGTTCAAACTATGAGGAGTATCTTGCATATCAAGCTTCAAAGCAGTCATCTCATTCACCCGTTGCCTCTGTCGCTCACACTGGTACCTCTCTTAGATGGGTCCTTGATTTTGGCGCTTCTTATCACCTATTTGGTAATCCAAAATTGTTTTCCGAATTTCATAAGTCTACCTCATTACCTGATGTTACTTTAGCTGATGGGTCACGAGTTTCAATTAAGGCTGTCGGTGATGCTCAACAATTGTCATGTGTTCTCTTATCCTCCGTTCTTTTTGTTCATCATTGTGCATTTAATCTTGTTTCTGTTAGTCAATTAACGAAAAATTTGAACTTCTCAATAACATTTAACTCTGATTCATTCTCTATTCACGACCGAATAACGGGGAGGACGATTGGCAAAGGACTTGAACTCCATGGACTGTACCACCTTGACCACCCTCCACCACCTTCACTCTCAATTGCATGTTCCACTTCCAGTTCTCCTCAACTTCTACACCAACGGTTGGGTCATCCGAGTCTCTCTAAGTTGCGTGGGCTTGTTCCAAATCTTTCTTGTTTATCTTCATTGTCCTGTGACTAATGTCAGCTAGGAAAACAAACTCGCGTTTCGTTTCCCCGGCAGGTTAATAATAGGGTTGATATGCTTTTTGCTTTAGTCCACTATGTTATATGAGGTCCGTGTCGAACTACTTCTGTACTTGGGTTTCAATACTTTGTTACCTTTGTTGATGATTTCTTAACATGTACTTGGCTTTATTTGATGAAAGCTCGTTCTAAACTATTTTGTCTTTGAAACATTTTATGCTGAAATTCAAAATCAGTTTGGTGTCTCTCTTAAAATACTTCGGACGGATAATGCTACTGAATACTTCTCTACTCCTATGACTCAGTTTATGTCATCTCATGGTATTTTACATCAGTCTTCTTGTGCCTATACTCCTCAGCAAAATGGGTTGGCTGAACGCAAAAATCGCCACCTAATTGAGACTGCTCGTACTTTGCTTGTGCATCATTATGTTCCTTTCCGGTTTTGGGTTGATGTTGTTCTTACTGTCTGTTATCTTATCAACCGCATGCCGTCCTTGGTTTTCCAGAATAAAATTCCCCATCAGATATTTTTCCCTCACAATCCTTTATATCATTTACCCCTTCGTGTCTTTGGATGTACTGCATTTGTGCATGATCACTCATTGGGTAGGGATAAGTTAGCTCCATGTGCGCTGAAGTGTGTTTTCCTCGGCTATTCTAGGGTTCAAAAGGGTTATAAGTGTTTCTCTCCTGATACTCGTAGGTATTACTTTTCAGCTGATGTTACCTTTTTTGAGTCCGCACCTTATTTCTCTCCGTCATCTTTGATCCCGTCTGTCAGCCACGTGTTATCTATTCCTTTCTCTTCTCCTCTTCTTTCGCGTCCACATCTTTAGGTTTATAGTCGTCGTCCTCGCTCGCAAGTGCCCTCTTCCGATGGTTCTACCGCTCATGTTCCTCCAGCATCTATCGAGTGCCTTAACTCTCAAGACTTGCCATTGTCTTCTTCTACTGCGACTCATATCCTGTCGGATCCTGCACCGTTATGACGAGGTACTTGTTCTTCTCGTAATCCCCATCCTATTTACAATTTTCTTAGTTTTCATTGTTTGTCTCCCACATACTATACCTTTGTGTCAAACTTATCTTCCATCTCCCTTCCTAAATCCCTTCGTGAATCTCTTTCTCACTCAGGTTGGCGAAAGGCAATGGTAGATGAAATGGCTGCTTTGCATGCTAATGGTACTTGGGACTTGGTACCTTTGCCTTTAGGTAAGTCTCCCGTGGCTTGTCGTTGGGTTTAAGTTAAGGTTGATTCAGATGGTCAAGTTGCTCGTCTCAAGGCCCGTTTGGTAGCTAAGGGCTTCATACAGGTCTTTGGTGAGGATTATACTAAAACCTTTTCACATGTTGCCAAAATGTCTTCGATCTGTTTTTTTATTGCTTTGGTTGCTATGCATTCCTGGCCTCTTCATCAGCTTGATATTAGTAATGCATTTCTACATGGCGAACTTCAAGAGGAAATTTATATGGAGCAACCACCTGGATTTGTTGCTCAGGAAGAGTCTGCTTCTGCTTTTGTTTGCAAACTACGCCGTTCGCTTTATGGATTGAAACAATCTCCGCGTGCTTGGTTTGGTCGATTTAGCAGTGTTATATAGGAGTTTGGCATGATCCGAAGCGCATTAGATCATTCTGTCTTTTATAAGCACACATCAAGTGGTAAGTGTTTATACCTTCTTGTGTACGTTGATGATATTGTTATCACCAGAAATGACCAAGAAAAGGCCACTCAGTTAAAGCAACATCTATTTAAGCATTTTCAAACTAAGGATATGGGACAATTGAAGTACTTTCTTGGTATTGAGATTGTTCAATCACGTGATGGTATTGTTCTTTCACAACGGAAGTACGCATTGGATATTTTTGAAGAAATTGGTTTATCTGACTGAAAGCTAGTAGACTCTCCCATGGATCTAATTCTTCCGGGACAGGGGAGCCATTAGCTAACGCAGATAGATATCGTAGAATGGTTGGTAAGCTTAACTATCTCACACTTACTCGACATGATATCTCTTTTGCTGTAAGTGTTGTGAGTCAATTTCTTTAGTCTCCATGCGATAGTCATTTAGATGCTGTCATTCGAATCTTGAAGTGCATCGAAAGGTCTTCTGGTAGAGGATTATTGTACACCAATAAGGTCACACTTAAGTAATTGGCTACTCAGATGCTGATTGGGCAGTATCCCCAGTTGATAGACGCTCTATTTCGGGATATTGCATATTTGTGGGAGGTAACCTTATCTCATGGAAAAGTAAGAAACATAATGTTCAAGCCATGACATTAGCGACATATGAACTTATTTGGGTAAAATAGCTTCTTCATGAGCTCAAAATAGTGGAAGTTTCAGAAATGAAACTCTTTTGTGACAATCTTGTTGTCTTGCATATTGCGTCTAATCCGGTGTTTCATAAGAGAACTAAACATATAGAAATTGATTGTTATTTTATTCGGGAGAATGTATTATCTCGCCATTCACCATGTTGCTTCGGAAAAGCAACTTGCAGACATTATTACCAAATCTCTTAGAGACCCTCAAATTAAATTTTTATGTGACAAACTTGGATCATACGATTTGTATTCTCCAGTTTTAAGGGGAGTGTTAGATATATTATGTATAGGAGTATTTTTGTATTTATAATAGTATGAGGACAGTTTAAGTATTCTATATAATTTTAATATATTAGGGTTTTGTATATTGTAAAATATGATTCTTTTTCTTTTGACGTAAATAATAAAAAAAAGAGCTATATTCTTCAATTGTAAACATAATTATACATACCTAAGTATAAAAACTATATTTATTTAAAAACATAAAATGAATAAATACAATGTATACATATTTAACACGATAATTAATTTAATAAAATTAACAGAGAATATTCCAATTAAAAAAAAAAAAAATGATTCTAATAAATATAATTATAAATTATTTACCGGATAAAAACAGAATTTGTCCGTTTTTCACAGATACATATAAACAACAAAATCAGTTTCACACTTCACTTCAATTTCAATCACATAAATCATTCTCCCAAATCCCTAAATCATTCCTCACCGCCGCATGAAGCTGCTGGAAATTCCTGAAGCAACGAAGAGCCACGCCGCCGCCGCCGCCGCAGCCGCCGGAGGAGGCAGAGATCCGATCCGATCGTTCCGGCTGAGATGCCGCCGCCTCGCGAAGGAACAGAGGTCGCGATTCTACATCCTCCGCCGCTGCGTCGTCATGCTCATCTGTTGGCAAGATTAAATTATTACTATTACTTAATTAATCCATCTGTTTGATTATCGGATTTGATTTTCTAGCTATGCTGATTCCTGTTATGTATATATGATTTGTTTGTAGTGTTGAATTGATGAGTATAATATATATAATTTTTATTTTGAGTGAAAATCGATCGAAACCGGATGAAAAGCATACGGTTGATAGGTGATTATCTTCTTTTGAGATTTTTTTTTTAACAAAATATTATATTTAATTATTGTTTAAAACATAAATATAAATCAAACATACCTGTTATATATATATATATATATATTTAGAGTTTTAAATTTTAAAAAAAAATTATAAAAAATAATTATTTGATATTTTTTATGAAATGAAATATGTATTTTAAGTGATACTATATTTTTTTAAAAACAATTATGATAAAAAATTGTGTTACATCTTTTCAAAAACTGTATTTAATTTATAGTAATTTTTAATCTGTCTCTAAAATCACATTTATACTAGTATAATTTTATGTACAAATATTATTTTATATTATAAGACATTAACAAAAAAATAAATGAAATTAAAGTGGGCCGAACTCTAATGATTTGGGCCTAGCGTAGCTGGTCTAGCATGTCTAAGCCGAAATTAAATGGGCTAAGATGAATTAAATGGGCCGGACTCTAATGATCAGGCCGAACTTAATTGGGTTGGTCTTGAATTAAATCATAATGGGCCGCCTAATATAACATGAGGCTAGGAACTGGGTTTATTTGGGTTTGGGCCAATGTTTATTGGACCGGTCGGAATTGAATAGACTGGGCCAATCTAAATTGGGCTGACCCGAACCGTTTCGATTGGGTTTGAATTGGAATGGGCTGGACTTAATTGACAAAGGCGTTACTCTTATAAAGAAAAAAAAAATAAAAAAATAAAAAAAAATTGAAGTTACGTAACAGTACAAAAGTAAGATAATGAATTTACAAATATACTCATGATAGGAATAGCTGTTTGGTATAAAAAATAAAATTGTAAGAAAATGGAGAATAAAATTACTTATGTTTGTTTTGGTAGGTTTGGAAAATATTTGATTTAAATTTCATATTCAAATAATATACGATGAATTTTTTTTTATTTTTTATTTTTTGAAAACAAAAGTCCAAATAATATATATGTGAAATACAATTTTTAACAAAATATTATTTTATATTACAAATACAATTTTCTATACACAATCTTCTATAAAATAATATAGCTGCATTTTTTATATTGGTGTATTTAATTGGTAGTTTTTTTTCTTTTTTATTCTTATTCTGTTTAAATAATAGTTTCAATATGACATTTTTGTAAAAAAATATGGATGCTTTCTTTTATAAATTTCTAACAATATTGTCACTGATTTTATTTTTTTTCCTAAAAAAATATCAAATCAAACTATTATTTTGTTTTTTTAATATTATACTGAAAAATCAAAATTATATTGAAAATATTATATCAAACATCTATTTATATCACATAAGTTAACTATTCAAATATAAGCTTCTACCATTCAAAAATCCAAATCTAAAAATAAAATATATAAAATAATTTTTAATATAAGATATAAAGAATGGCTTAAATAATAAAAAAATAAATAAATGTATTTAATATATTAATACTCTTGAGAAAATGTATGAGGAAAAATATAAAAGAGAACAAACCCCCAATATTTTTACAAGAATGGCAAAAGTTTAATAGTAGAAAAATAAAATGGCAAGTGAACATACTCCATATCTCAAATTTCATTTCTACCCAATTTCTCAAAACATGAAAAGAAAATGAAAACGAAAAATGATCAATGATAAATGTTGATTTATCAAATTTAAATCCTTAGCTCAAACAAACAAGAAAATTGAAGATATTTCGATTTCCTTGTCCCCATTTACACACCTTAGGGCCTAAAGATTTGGTCTATAACATGGAATAAATTTGCCTATCGGATCAATATGATATGGCAAAAAAATGCCTTATCAATGATGGAACTTTATAAGGACATCGAAGGTAATAACAGCATATTTGCAAAGTCGGGAGGAACTGATACTTAACAATAGAATTTATAGAAAAATACGAGCAGCAAGAAATGAAGAGAAAAAAGCACACAATTGTCTCACCAATGCCAAACCCGAAGCATAAACTATCAAATTATGATCTTGACACCTAAACGCCGCAAGATGCATGCTCAGAAAACATCAATCTTTTGATTATGATTTTGCAATTAGAAGAATTGAAGAACTTGATGGGCAAACCTGAAATAATTGACGAGCCATTTGTAGTCAACCAAATACGTCGACAAAACTGTCAATCATTGTTTTTCCATTCACTATTTTAGTTGTTCCTATGATCAAGTCGTATGCCATTCCTTCCTGCAGGTAAAAAAATAAACAGTTGCATCGAAGCATAAACTATCAAATTAGTTGTCTCATAACTTGATTGATAGGCAAGAATGGCTACACATAGAGTTTAGTTTGTTCAATTATTTCAAACACACATTATATTTAAAACACCTTCATTAGTCCTGCTCCACAATCCTCAAAATTCGAACACAAATAATTTACTCCCATCAGCCAAAATTAAGCAGCTTTGAATGGACAAAGAAATTAAAAAATAATACTTCCTCCGTCCACTTTAAAAGCTTACATTTGTTTTTTTGTGTGTTGATCTTTGAATATTAAGTATTATATCAAAACGTAGTATAAATAAATAAAAAAAAAAAAGACAAAAATACTTCTATTAGTGTCTTATAATACTAGTAGAATGACATTTATACAAAAAATTATACAAATATAAGCATATTTTTAATGTTAAGTACAATGACGCAAAAACCAAATATAAACTTATTAAGTAGACGGAAGGAGTAGTATTTTAATATAAAAGTGAGCAGGTATAGCCAATTAAGGAAATGTTTTTAACTAAGAGTGAGAGTGTGATTTAATTGTCATGGCAAAATGGTTACTATGTGTTGAAATAGAGGTAATGAACTTGTAGACAAATGAATTGTTTTAATTATGAATGAACTATGCATAAATTTAACGGATAACCGAAAAAGAAAAACTAAGTGCAACTTGACGGAAGGGGGGAGTATATGTTGTAAATATTTAATGGGTATCTACTGAAACAATACCTGTGAGCTTAGGAAACGAAGTGCAGAGATTTCGGCAAATGTTACTCCACCGATGAAAACTACAAGGACTAAAGAGCGACGTCCATCTGCAAGTCTGGGCAACAGTAAAGCTCATATAAGCATAATTTTAGCGAAGTTTAAATTAAGGGAAGAGTTTCCTACGCGAGTGCAATCTAGCTATTCGTAACAGTTTTCTACATAGGAGGAGAGTCGGGTTCAGATATGCATAGATGTACAGAAATATTACTTCTCCAAGCTGTTGACAGATCCTGACAGTGAATCATATGACGGGATGCTGGAAAATCCACCCTGCACAAAATAAATCGTTTGGGTGTTCCCCTGACAGAAAAGGAAAAATGGATGGGAATCTACAGGGGAACATGAAAAAAGGAACTGACTCTCTTAATTTCAGTGTGTGGTCCGGGCAGCAACCTTAGTACATCCTCAATGGGGCGCCTGCAGGAATTTCACAGAAAATATTACGAACATAATGAGAATTTTAGTTTATTTTCATTTAGTTGCAGATATATATATATATATATATATAGATATATATATACTGCGCGAATATATTAGCTAATGCTGTTATAGTTGATTTTGAAATATTATGTATGGTACCGAAACTGGAATCATTATATTAAAAGAAGGCAGAAGCTTGCTTCAATAGTTAATTGTGTAAATATGTTCTGTCACCACAGCATGAATCTTTAACATAGAAATACAGCACAACTTACTCTGCTGTTTAAGGCTTTAACCATATTTTAACTGCGGATACAAGATATCATTAAAAAAAAAAAAGATTGAGAGGCCGATAATTATAAGCATGCTCTTGATTTAATATGCAGCGAATATCGTATAATATATTCTACGATTCATGATATGACATGAGAAAATAAGCTCACCATCCCGATCTTATTGCATGCTGGACAAGCCGAATGCTGAGTGGAGCATATCCAGAGAAGACATACGAAATATCATTTGGACTGATAGAGAAAAAAAAAACCGCGATCAGTGTGTAAAAGGAAAAAGGATAGAAAACACACAAATACAGGCAAATCAGAATCTCAATTCTTTTAAATTTCGGATAAGAGGCTAAAGGTAGAAAATCATTTGCTACTATTCCTATAAGTCAACACCCAATATCTTTAATACGCATGTGACTAGACCAAGTTTGCTAATGTAGCCAACGCCAAACAAAAGAAAACAGATACCCGATGAGTGCTTGAACAAATACTTCACCATAATTGGTACAACCTAAATAGTTCCTCTGAATTTGTAAATTGAGTTAAAGCCCTCCGTAGGACCTAGAAATCCTCCATGACTTGAATGAATTCTTAATTGAAATAATATTCCATGTTTAAATTACCAGAAGTTCAATTACTTATCCAAGAGCAAGCAAATGTGCAGACCAAACTATATCTAGTACCATTCTTCACACAAAAGATGATCAGTACATCAAATATAAAACCATAATCAAGATCAGAAGAATATACTTGGCTGTGTCGGTGTCCTCAACTACAAGTTGCAAAGCACGCTTGACAGTCAACCAATTACTCTTTGAATCCTGCCAGACAAACCAAATAACTAATCATTTCATGTTATGTTTGTTAGCTTAGTCAGATAGGCACAAAAAAGGAAATCCAAATTTAACCTGTTTCTTAAACAATCCAGCTTTTTCCAAGTTATTCAGTGTGGCGATATGCTCAAAACCATAGCTGTGTAAGAACTCTCTCCTGAATAAAAAAAGTGAAATTTCAATTGTGTTACCATATTATCCATCTATCTTTTACATTTAACACAATATTGAATGGTGCATAAATATCACTTGCCTCAAATAATCAAAATTCTTTTTTGGTAATCCAGAATTTGTTACTGAAAATACAATTAGCAGACGGAGGACATTGACAAGAGGCTCCTGCTTGTGAATCATTTCTTCAATGTAATCAAAGCATCTGGATTCACAGACAACAATTAATCAGTCTCGATTGATTTCAGTGTCAAATATTCATGATGAAAGCATACATGTCATAGCTCTGAGACTCCACAAGGGTTTGTTCCATATCAAGTTTCCCAAGGAATGATGGTTTTGACGTAAATGTTGATAAATGCTGAGCAAGATTTATATGCCTCTGCATTGGCAAGGACAAGCTTAACTTGTGCAAATAAATTCTCAACATATAAATGAGTTTGGAAAGGAAATTCACCGTCATTTCTGGCAAGGAGTTAAGCTTCTTTACAAAATCCTTCAATTCCGAGACAGTCTGAGTCTGTATAAAGGGAAGAGAATTAGAACCATATACTTCAGTAGTAATGTAGTTTTTATTTGATGAACAAAGTTGTTCTACACAGTAAAAAAATATATGAAAATGATTCAAACATAAAATAGTAAATAGAATGTTCTTTTAGGCTACAAGTTGCTCACCTCATCTCCGTTACTAATGGCATGTCTCTGTACACATTTTCTATTTCATGGCAGTCCATTCCCAACTTTATTGGACAACCATTACTTAGGGTGTGTTCTTCTATGTTTTTTTCCTCATTTTTTATTATTCAACATATAACTTTTCCACCAAAATCATCACACCCAACACTCATTTTAACAAAACATCACATCCCAAAACTATTCTCACCTCAAAATCATCCAAACCAAAAATATAAAACAAAAATAAAAACACAAAAGAACAAACCCTTAGATTTGATGGAATAATGATTTAGGATATCATTACATATAAAGTTAATCTAAACCAAAGCAAATCCCACTTGAAAAGTGTTTAAAATGTTAGATGGGTCTTGTATTTTAGTTTACCCACTTAAGTTTGAATACACATCAGTAAAATTTAGTGTGTTCAAAAAGAAGAAAAGAAAAGGGTCTATTCCTAACATAAAACATAAGTATCAATAGATTGGATTATTATAGTATAGCTAGAAGGAACAATAACGACAACTTCAAATTTCTTAAAAACCAGAATATATCCAGTCAAATATGCAAAAAATTAGTTAACAGTGTTATCCTACATTCATAAAATTAGGTAAGATACTTCAGAAAATATTTTCTGTTCTTACTGTAACATAGTTCACTTTTCTAGGATGTATTAGTCACAGGTCCTTGAAAATCTAGATGGGAGGAATATCATATTGCCGTAAATCTGCCAGAGACTGCCACACCTATCATTACAGAAGCATAAATGCACAAAAGACCCCTCCCCAGCAATTATCCACGAGTGCCATATTAAAGGTCTCTTAAGTTTGGAATAGCGAAAAGGCACCTTGTGTAAGGAAGTTGGAGATGCTCAATAATGACACCTCAAAGATAAATTAAACTCTCAAATCCATATAATTTTAATTCAGTGACATAAAAAATCACCTTTATCATGTAAATACAATTTCAGATTTCTTAGCTTGCTTCAAATATTTTTTTTCTTTCATTCAACAGTGTTGAAATATAAACAGAAACATAATGAAATATTTTTGCAGAAATAATCAAATGAATATAATAAAGAAAGCGTAACTCACAGTAGTTGAAATGTCTGTGTAGTCTTGCTTCATGGATGTTGCTTTTTGACGAAGAACCTGAAACGTACTGTAAACAGCAGTTAAAAAATAGAGTTTCAAAGAAAATATAAAGAGATCTATCAGGGCAATATTTTTAAGTCATCTTGTTCAAAGCTAAATAGTGAATGTAATTTCCCAACCAAAATAACAAAAAGATTAACCTGGACAACAACTTCGAAGTTCATGTCCCTTATCTCCTTGAATAATTTGTCACTGGAGCAAACAACAAAATGATGAATCATAAGAATGTCTAACACTAAGAAGATATTGGCATAGTACATTGGAGTGCAAGCACCAGAAAAGTGTGGACTCAACATTAACATTGCATATCAAACACATATGTCAATAAAAGCTTTCAAAGAAAGCCTACATTAATTACTTGGTGTGGACATTAGTTATCGATTTAAATAGGAGAATTATTAGATATTGACAGGATCAATATATATCAAGCCTTGTACAAAATAAGAAGAAAAAAGATCAACAATAACAAAACAAAAGAGATGAAAAGAACATAGTCCTGAAGCCGAGTAATTAAAAATCTTTCTTCAATTTCAATTAAAGTGTAATAGGGAATTAATTCATGTTACACAAAAATAGGATCCAGTATATACAGAAATTCACAAACCTAGAATTAAGAGGAACTTTTATCTTCTTCCCTTCTTGCTGAACTCCCATGATGGATGAATCAAGCTCCACAGCACCATTATTGATACAAAGAAACTGCATCAAACCTATTAGAGATAGCTTATAAAGGAATCCACAGGAGAAAATACAAAGAAAACTTATTTTATGTGATTGTGAAGTAGAAGAGTTCTTTGATGCATGTCATAAAATACTTGGCCATGCTTTAGTTGCTAGGTTTGCTTAGATTAACTGATAAATATGTATGTACATATATAAAAGCTTGCACTCTAAAATGCTTGTCACAACTTGAAACCATTCCAAATCTTTCATAATGATACTCTTCAAGGTGGCATTTTGGAAGACAGGAAAAAATAAATGAAATGAAAATTAAAAGCTTGATTTACAATATTATTTCTACCTCATCTAGTAATCCCTCGTAAGTCAATTGAGAACACATTGGAGTGACCATGTCAACCTGCAAGAAGAAAATAGCAAAATCAAGTCCCAAAGATCTGCCTAGTTATAAAGTATTATATACAATCAAGGGCATATGAAAGATGAGGTCTAGGTTGTAATAAATGAGCTCTCAACATGTGCAATTAACTTCTGGATACCATAACCTGAAATAGGATAGTGCTGAATAATTATGAGAGTCTATTTCAACACAATATTAAAGAGTTTAAATCATTGTCAAGCTGACGAGATATCTTGGTGATCACCAAATTTAGTTCACATAATGCACATTGTTTCATAAAATAATGCAGAATATGATCACATCTAATGCATCGAATATGAGTAAAACTCTGAAATGTAAAGAGTTCAATTCCTTGGATATCATGTTCACATAATGTTGATTGAATTGAGCTTTCTATTGATTATATTAAAATACAACAAGAAATAGTGCAACAAGCTAAATTAATTCGAAAAATGCATTTACAATTTTCTAATGAAAGGAAAAGGTAGATACTTGCAGAAACAACAATGATAATCAAATAAATAAATTGATAGTTCTATCCGAGAACAACTTATCTCAGAAGGTATGCAGGATGTGCCTTAGTATCAAATTTGACTATAATAGCTGGCGTTCCATATAGGAATAGGACATGTAGTTCTGATCAGTTGTTAGTTTGTCACTGAGCAGAACAAATTATTAATTTCACTTACATTTAAGCCTACATGGGCTATACTTCAACAAAGAACTTAATGGTTCCCAAAGGCCTAGGGTTCATGTTATTGAATATACTCAATGTGGAAGGTAAATCTCTTGGAAAATGCTACATTAGTTTTATGCAAACAAGTTAACTGGGAAGTTAAACACAATACACAATTACCATTCATTTAATATGGAAATGGTAAAACAACCAAAGATAGGTGGATTAGCAATAAAATCTGTCACCCATTTAACAAGGCTTTGTAAAGGAAATGGCAGTAGACTTCATTCGCTCAGACAAGAATTTTATGATCTCCAACACTCCACTGAGTGAAGATATGTTTACCCAAAAATTAAATGAAATTCAAAATTATAACACCCCTAAGACCCAGATGTCTAGGTAGTTTTCATTAACCAATAAAACTACACAAATACAAGATGTTTTAATTAACCAACAAAAGAAGTTAAATGTTATAGCTAATTGAACAGGTAACACGAAGCATAGGGGAGAAAATGCACTGTAGAAGGAATGAAAGTATACCTCTCTGTCTAGAAGTATAAGTGTATTTATTTCCGGAATGCCCATCTGTAGTTTAAGAACACATACATATTATTCAGCATTTGTTCACAAAAAATTTCCAGAATAGCATATAAAACTAGACACATTTGTAGGCAGAGTGGTTACATCTGACATATTGACAGGTTCTTCAGCTTGCATGCGATTCATAATGTCAGCAATACGTGCTGCTGCTTTTCCTTTGGCTCTGACATTTGGTATTACACCAAAAGAGAACTACAATATGAATAAAATGAAATCTCAGAAAAGAGTAAAAAATCCGGGGGAAGAAGGAAACACATTGGAAAGAACAGATACAAAGCTCTAACATGTACTGATAATTAAAACTGATTACAGGATCATGTAAAGCTCTAAAAGCGTAAAGGATTCACACCAACTTGAAGAACATAATTAATTAAATATACCTCCAGATTGTGGATGCCTTTGGCAATATGCCAAAGGGAAGTTGCATCTCCATCTACCATATACTCCTGCAAGGAAAATCCTTGTGCTGTCACACATAATAAACTGTAGAGTCAAAAACAAAAGTTATTAAATCCAACACATACTTTCTGAGCAAGATCAAGTTCAAAAGATAATACATCCTCATCCAGTGGAATCAAGTATAATGGAAACTCCCCAATGTTCAACAGATCATGTACTTTTTCCTCCTCAAGTATCTGAAAATTAAAATAAAGTAGATTATTACAGCAAACAATAACTCAAATTTTATCAATTCTTCAGCTACCATATTGCTTACCTTCTCACACGCAACTAATCGACGTGGAACAAAGTAAAGGTGATATTCTCTGTGAAGCCCCTTTGAAGTGTCATTGTGAATGTGTGAGCAAATGAATTTCATCAAGTTAAGTTCCCCTTGAACAAGGTAGACCACTTTAGTGCGTTCCGTTTGAATTGGTTCAGCTGTTAAATGCCGCAGCTCAGCACCGTGCTTCTGATATTAAGAAAGATTCACACTACGCATTAGCTTAAGGACTGTAATGTTTTCTGCTAATTAAGCCTTACATGATTCATAAACTTCTTCATTAAAATTAACATAAACATTAATGAAAACATTGGTAAATACATTTCCCCAGTTCGTAGGAAGAATGTGTTATTACGTCGTTTCTACATCCACCTTGACTCTTGTTAAAATGTTCGAAAGCAGAGCAGTTGCAAGTTGCAACACAACTCTACCAAATCATATGTCAATTAGAAACTTCAACAATTTACCATCTTAATAGATTTTTCAGTGAGGCTAAATAATACATAATAAAATAAAAATCAATAAAAATAAATAAATAAATAAACGAATTATAACATCAATACCTTCAGTTCTGAGCTTTGGACAACAAGCGAGAGTGAGCCACTAAGCTTCGGATCAATTACCAAGCACTTGTCTCCTCGAATCTAAAAACACATTGAGAACCAACAAATTTGCAAATAAATTTGAAATAATTCAAATCCATTTCACAAGACAACCACAAAGTAAAGTCAATTTCCGGATTATTATCGGATTAAAACCAAACTCACATTTTTTAGAACATGTTCAAGCTCCGTCTGAGCTCGTGCACTGAAATCCAACAACAAAAATCAAATCAAACGAAAACATAAAAATGAATAAATAAATACCCGATGCAGCAGCGGAATCCAAAACTTACCGGATTGAAGCGAGGTTGATCGGAGCATTCTCCAAATTTGGAATCTGAGACATGGCTCCCTCTTCTCCCTCCGAAGATTTGCGAGTGTTTCGATCGGGGTGAAGATCGTGAGCTTGTTCGTCGGAACGAAGTTAATTAACACTGAAATCGTTTCTTTCAATTGTGTGTTTTTGAACGTGATTGTTTTTATTTGAATTGGCAAGGATCCTCGATTTAAAATACTTTTTATAACATTAGTTCTACTTTTTAATAAAAAAATAATTAACTTAATTAAAATTATAATTTACCTATTTAATATTTTATTTAATTCCTTTCATTCTTATTAAATACTCCCACCCAATTTACTTTTTTTCTTTCAGCTCTAATTTTTTGGTGAAAAAAATATTTCAGTGAAGAGAAAAAGAAGAGGGCAGGAGAGATGAATGCCGCTTCGGTGGAGCAGACCCCAATTGCTGGTGTCGCGGTCGACGACGACGAGTAGGAAAAACAGCGGGCGGTGGCTTGGGCAGCGGCGCAGAGCATTGTCGGGGGTGAATCGATGATCAATGAAGGGGAAGAGAATAAGAAAGTGTTGTGAAGAAGAGTAAGAAATAGAAAATAAATACAAGTTTGAGAAGTTTAATTTGAGAATTATGATGAAATTTGGGTGGCCGTCGGCATCATGAGAAAATTAAGGTTAGAGTGTCGATGATATTACGGGGCAAGGGATCCTCGATTTAAAACTTACACAGTTTAATAAGTTTAACCAATTATTTTATAACATTGGTTCTGACTTTTTAATATTTTTTTTAAATAAAAAAATAATTAACTTAACTAAAATTATAATTTACCTATCCAATATTTTATTTATTTCCTTCAATTTCTATTAAATACTCTCACCCAATTTACTTTTTTTCTTTCAGCCCTAATCTTTTGGCGAGAAAAATACTCCGGTGAAGAGAAGAAGAAAGAAGAAGAAAAAAGAAGACGGGATGAGAGACGACGGCCGCTTCGGTGGAGCAGACCCCAATGGCTGGTGTCGCGATCGACGACGACGAGTAGGAAAAACGGCGGGGGCAGCGGCGCAGGGCGTCGTCAGGAGTGAATCGATGATCAACGAAAAGGGAAGAGAATAAGAGAGAGTTGTGAAGATGAGAAAGAAATAGAAAATAAATGCAGGGTTGGGAAGTTTAATTTGCGAATTATGATGTGGGAAGTTTAATTTGCGAATTATGATGAAATTTGGGTGGCCGTAGGCATCACGAGAAAATTAGGGCTAGAGTGGATAATGTTACAGGAGAGAAATTTAGATTGAAGTGTTAAAGTATTTACGAATAAAATGAAAAATAAAAGATTGGAGAGTAAAATTGTAATTTTAGTTAAATTAATTATTTTTTATTTTAAAAAATATTAAAAAATCAGAACACATGTTATAAACTAATTGCTTAAAGTGAGTAAATTTTAAACCAATGATCTCTTCTGTGTTATGGAAAAGAAAACAAGCTTAGCTTTTGACTTTTAGGGCTATAATAGTAATTTAATAATTTCAGGTTACACGTGGCGTTATTGCAGCAGCTTGGCGCAGGTTCGGATCCCAAAGCAATCACTCACTTTCTCCTCAATTGAACAATCAAACAAACCTTTGATCGCAATCCTGCTAAATGACGGCCGCCTCCGCACACCTCCGCCGCATCGGCGCCGTCGCCGGAATCGCCGGAGGAGCTTATTTAACCCTCCTTAACAACTCTTCAATCGCCGCTAGCGACCACGGCGGCGCGCAGCCAGCCCTTGCCGATGTGAGGCAGCAGATTGGGGATCCATTCGCCAACGTCCCGCCGCGGTCAGTCCAGGAATCGGCTTTGATCGGGTCCACCGCCTTCAATCCTCTCGACATTCTGGTCATCGGCGGCGGCGCGACTGGCTGCGGAGTTGCGCTCGACGGCGCCACGCGCGGCCTCCGCGTCGGCCTTGTCGAGCGCGAGGATTTCGGCTCCGGAACTTCGTCGAGATCCACGAAGCTCATCCATGGAGGTCTGCAATTTTAAATTAGGCGAGAATTAATTTGCAGGATTGAAATTGGGGTTATGAGCACTGAGTTTGGTCCGAGTTGAAGTGAGTTGGCATTGATAGCTTTCTTATACTGTTAATTGGTAAATCTGTGATTCCTTGGGAAGTGAAAGCTTTAGCTCTGCAAAATTTGAAAATTACTTCTTGGATTAATTTTTGTAGTTTTAGATATGTTGGTGGAACACAAATTAAAATTATGAACTTAAAAGTATGATAGTTGTGGTGGGAATTTGATGTGAAAAGTCCAATCGAACTTTTTCTGCACTCATGCTCTCATCAAGTTAATTAGTTATTGGATATGATATTTTGTATGAAAAATGAGTGACGGATCAAGGCGGACATAGGTGGGAGAGAGACAATCTTCGATGACTTTTTTAAGAGTGAATTTTTCTTCTGATGAGAAGCTGCACTACCTGTAGATTTTCAAACAACACAAAAATGAATATTCGCAATATGTAGTTGCGGTTGTTGTAGTTTGTATTTTCCAATGTTTTCGAAAGATGGACACTTGAAGAATTAAATTGTCGGCAATAAATAGATTGTGTTATTTTGGAAATTTGGAAAATTACCCTCCCTTTTATCGCATCATTATTCCGCTATCGTGGTGGATGAGATATTTTTCTGAGGGACAGAGATAGATAGAAAAGATAAGAAAAGAAAAAAACTATCTTTTGTTCGAGATTTAATGTATTCATTGTGTTCTTTCATCTTTAGGAGTAACTATAACATTTTGATATTTAGGACTATGATGAGTTGATCTTAAGGGGAGTGTTGAACATCAGTATTTATAGGAGGATAGTTTATGATTATGTTTTTTTGGACATTATTTGATTTTATCCTGAGTTCCTAAGCTGTTATGCATTTCAACATACCTTGGTAAACTTGATTCAACAATTTACCATTTTTCCAGAACTAAAATCCGTTTTTTGATGTTGCAATTAGTCTTTGCTTTTCATCTATCATTGATTTTATTGCTTAACAAACCAAGCTTTAAAATTTTAGTCTTAATTTGATCCATTCGTGTTTCTAGCTGCCACACCCAATCTTGACATTTTGTTGAAGATTATCTATGTCAGGAGTTCGCTATCTGGAAAAGGCCGTTTTCAACTTAGATTATGGGCAGTTAAAGCTGGTTTTCCATGCACTTGAGGAGCGTAAGCAAGTTATCGACAATGCTCCCCACCTCTGCAACGCGCTGCCCTGTATGACGCCATGTTTTAGTTGGTTTGAGGTCGTTTATTACTGGATTGGTCTGAAAATGTATGATCTAGTAGCTGGCCGGCGCTTGCTTCACTTGTCCCGATATTATTCAGTACAGGAGTCTGTCGAACTCTTCCCCACGTTGGCTAAAAAGGGAAAAGACCGGAACTTGAAAGGAACTGTCATCTATTATGATGGACAAATGAACGATTCTCGATTAAATGTTTCATTAGCATGTACTGCAGCTTTAGCAGGAGCCGCAGTTCTTAACCATGCTGAAGTGATATCGTTTCTAAAGGACGAGAGTACCGGCCGGATAACTGGCGCTCGGATAAGAAATAATTTAACAGGTAATGGCATAACCTTGATGGAGTGTACCCTGTTTTTCGATTCTTACTAATCATATTCTTTTCTTTTCTTTTTTTCCAAAAATATCACATCAAGCAATTATTTTTCTTTTCTTATATTATACTCCCTCCGTCCCACCTACCATGTCCACATTGCCATTTCTGTATGTCTCACATCTTATATCACTTTCTTTTTTTAAAAAATGATTACACACCTTAATCTTATTTTAATCTTTCTATTTTAAAGGTTTTAAAATTTTAATTAAATTATTTTCACTAATACATTCTTAATTATCTACTAATTATACTTATCATAAATTTTCGTGTTTACAGTAACCCGGATATGCAATGTAGGACAGAGGGAGTATTACAAATTTATTTTATGATTAAAACATCACATCAACCAAAATTATTCAAATTCAACTTTTTATGTTTCTATTGGTATTGACTGAATTAAACGTTATTTTGTCAAACATATGCAGGCAAGGAGTTTGATGCTTATGCGAAAGTTGTAGTAAATGCAGCCGGGCCTTTTTGTGATTCTGTTAGGAGGATGGCGAACAAGGAGGCGAAGCAGATGATCAGTCCCAGCAGTGGTGTCCACATCATCCTTCCTGATTATTATTCTCCCGAAGGAATGGGTTTGATTGTTCCCAAGACTAAGGACGGTCGTGTTATCTTCATGCTTCCGTGGTTAGGAAGAACAGTTGCCGGTACCACTGACTCAAACACCAGTATTACAATGCTGCCCGAGCCTCACGAGGACGAGATTGAATTCATATTGGATGCCATCTCCGATTATCTTAATGTTAAGGTTTGTGTTTATATTTCTTTTGCATTTTCTGTTTCTCATTTTGATTCTTGCTTTCGTATTTTGTTTTCCATTTCATGGACTGTTAATTATAACAATTGTTTAGGTGAGGCGAATGGATGTTTTGTCGGCTTGGAGTGGCATCCGACCATTAGCTATGGATCCTAGTGCTAAAAACACCGAGAGCATCTCCAGAGATCATGTAGTGTGCGAAGATTTTCCTGGCTTAGTGACAATTACTGGTGGAAAATGGACTACGTATAGAAGGTAAATTTAGTTTGAGAAATACTTAAGGGTGTGTTTGTTTAGTGAAATTATTTGAAGAGATATTCTTTTATGTGGAGTATAGAGAATTGTATAAGTAATATAAAAGTAATGAATGTGTGTAATATATTAATTTTTTTGGGAAAGTGTATTTTTTGGAATTGGTGGAAGAACACATCCTAATTCACCAGATATTTCAATATCATTGCCATATATACTTGCTACTTTTTAGAATATCATTGCTATATCTATTAATATAGATTTTGTTCAAGATTTTGATAAGAATTATTAAGAATGTGTTTATTTAGCGTTTATAGTTTTAGGCATTTTAGTTGAGGTATGGAGAATTGTGAGAGTATTATAGGGAATGATGTTTTATATGTTTTTGTTAACTTTTATTGTTATGTGTATATGTTGTATATTATGTATTAATTATACTTTTTTTGGGTAATATTTCTGGAGAATCGAGCAATATTAAAACATTAAGTGAACACACTCTAAATTTCATTCATGTAATTTATTAAAAAGTAAAAATAAATTGTGATTATTAATATTTGATACGAATGTATCCCCTGAAAAAACTATCTGGACCGAAACCAAGATCAAAATAATTTTAATATACAAGCTTATAAACCTTACAAGAGAGCTCAAACTTAACCTTAAATCATTATACAAATTCAATAACATCTTTTAGCAGTTGTTGAGTATCGGATTATGATGTTTAAGCTTGACTTGATAAGCATATTGAGTACCTTGAGTTACTTGAGATCGAATTATTTTTCGGGTTGAATTCAGTCCTTGCAGCTACTTCCCTCCTTTCAACTTCCACTTGTCGAAATTCTAATTTAACAGTTTTTGTTTTCCTTACCAAAAGCTGTTTTCAGTATGGCAGAGGATGCTGTTGATGCAGCTATCAAGTCGGGAGATCTAGCCCCTGGAAGAAAATGCAGTACACAAAATCTACAACTCATTGGGGCTAATGGATGGGATCCTGCATCGTTTACCGTATTAGCACAGCAATATGTGCGTATGAAAAGGTCTTACGGTGGGAAGATTGTTCCCGGTGTAATGGACAGTGCTGCCGCCAAGCATTTGTCGCATGCTTATGGCACTTATGCTGAGCGAATAGCTGCCATAGCTCAGGTATATCTATATTGGTTTAATACTTGCATATATATATATATATATATATATCTTCAATTCATCTTAATGATTCTTGGAGATTTCGGTGAAATTGAGTTGCATGCAATGGTCTATAAAATGGTGCTCTTGGTTCCACAAGAACGGTTATTTTGTGTTTTAAACTTATGACAAAATGCAATTTTATTCCTGTAGTTTGAAGTTGGTCGCTGTGCTATGGTATTTTTTGTTTTAGGTAAAATGGAGAAAATGTTATTTTGGTCTTATAGTTGTTGCTCGTTATCATTTTGGTCACTTATATGAGAATGGTCCTGTATTTCGCCCTTAAGTGACACCCTTTTATACATGTGTCGTAGACTCTCTAAGTGTCATTATCTATAACTGTATGTTAATGTTACATGTAAAATTAGAAATGCTAACAAGTAATATACCATATTATTTCTTGATGGGGTCAACTTAAAGGACCAAATAATAGGAGTGTCACTTACAAGATCACAGTTACATTTTTTCCGATAGGGAAATTGTGGTTGTGCTTTTTTAGTGTTTAGAAATGTTTGACGTTTTTGTTGTTATTTATTGAGATCTGATATGTCAAAAGTGCTAATTAAAATATATTTTTAGAAGAAAATGTATTTTTATAGGGAATTATGTGAATAATTGAAAGTAAAGACACTATATTTTTAATTGCGTAAATAGGTTTCATTCCTATTTTGATTCTTTACAGAAGTTTTTTTTTTTTATAATTTTAGAATGTCAATTACTTCAAATGTTCGATTGTGTTAATCTAGTGTGAAGAAAAATGTCAACATTTGCCTACATCAATTACATGTTGCTACTTTTCGTCACTACAATAGCACAACAAACCATTTTGAGTTATCCTAATATCAATAGCCTTTTTATGTAAAATGACTAAACTTTGATGTCCGGATGGTTTTTTACTTTGTGTTTATTTGTTGATATATTTTTAGGTGAAATAGTTGTGGGATGTTTTAGATAAAAATAGATAGTTAATATCTTTTCGGGAAAATTACTTATAATTCACTTGTTTGAAGAGTCTACACTATTCCCCTTTATTATTTAAAAATTACATGATACTTCCTTGTGTTGTAAAAAACATTGCACAAAATTCCTATTTTAGATGGTGCTGTGCAATATTTTTAAAAATACAAAGGTGTATCATGCAATATTGAAGGTATAATGTGCAGTATTTCTCAAAAATACGAGGGAGTTTTCCTTTCCTTTTCAGGAAAATCCTTATGTTACATTGTAGTGTCCCAAAAAGATTTTTGTACTATAATAAAGAAAAATAATATTATATTAGCGAGGGTCATTGTGTAAAATAGAAAAGTTTTAAAAGTGTATTGCTTGAAATAATATTTTGGTAAATAAAAGTAAGAGTGAGAGTAAATTGTTAATCAATTGACCGCATGGACTATAAATAAAAATGGACTATTTGGGTAGAATAACCCTAAATAGTAAGTCTTATACAGACCACGACGAGGACGGAGGGAGTATTTATTTTTTTTTAAAAGTAAAAGTTACTAACTTGTAGTTTTATTTCAGTTTTACAATAATATTGAGTTCTTGAACATATTCATCTTCCTCATTTTCATTTTCCTGTTACTACAACTCAATTCTCTCTATCTCTATGATTCGAGCATGTTAGAACGAGAGCCTGGGAAAACGGCTAGCCCATGGATACCCTGTTCTTGAAGCCGAAGTTGCATATTGTGCGCGCCATGAATACTGCGAGTCTGCAGTCGACTTCATAGCCAGACGTTCTCGTCTTGCTTTTCTCGACACGGATGCTGCCCGGAGGGCAGTGCCACGTGTCATCGAAATATTGGCTGCTGAGCACAATTGGGACAGGTCGAGGCGCAAGCAAGAGCTGCAAAGGGCTCAACAATTCCTCGAGACCTTCAAGTCTTCGAGAAATGCTCGATTTAATGATGGCAAGCATACCTGAAATGTAAAGCTTTGTTTGTTTCTAATGTATTGTAAGTTTGTAGGCTCATTATTGATTTATTGTTGAGCTTTGGCCTTATGCGGGTGACTGTTTTGGCTCTGTTTTATTTTGTTCAGACAGGTTTATTGTTTTGAGGCTTCCGGGAGTGTATGTTGTGATCCTGTCTAGCTCGGGAGCCGGCGAGTTTGCGCCGAACTTCGGTTTGTATTTTTTGGACATGGTAAGAACAATGCCTTTGGTCGTATGTTCTGATTTTTTGTATATTCATTGTTGTTGTGATGCAATAATACCCTGCCTTTTCGACGTTGCTGATTCATTTATCTGCAAAGCCATTCTTTGTTAGGAGAAACTTATTTGGCTTTGGCTAAGTTATACCCTCCGTCCCAATTAAGTATTTTTTTATCTTTTATTATTTTAGAAAAAATAATCATACATTAATATGATTTTTTTTTATTTAAATTATAAATATATTATTATATATACAATTATTTTATATATAAATTATAAAGTCAGATGTTTTAATAAAACATTATTATTTTTTAATTTATTACAAAATTGGATGGTACAAAATTTTTTAGTTTGTTGATATATTTCACTTTATAAGTATAAAATCATGTTATTTACTATTAAAAAAAGAATTAAGTCAACATTATTTAAATATTTCATCTGTTTGCGCAAAAAAAAAAATACATTTTAAAGAGTATAAATGTAAATACAAATACAGATAAGTATTTTAAATAATTACTGTACAAATCAATTTAATTTTCTCTCGTCTCATCTACTATATTTATATTGTTGTTTTCTGTTCGTCTCACATATTATGTCATTTTTTTTATTTGAAAAATAATTACACATTTTAATCTCCTTTTAAATTTCTAATTATTTTTTAAAATTTTAATTAAACTAATTAGTTATCTTAATTTTAATTTATAATTATTTATATTATAAAATATTTATTTTCAGTAATACATTCTTAATTATCTACTAATTATATTTATCATAAATTCTCGTGTGTACGGTAATGCGAACATCCAATGTGGAATGGAGCATTAGTTTGGATGTGATAATTTTTTTTAGAAACACCCGTATTGGTTAGTATTATATTCTCTCCGTCCAATTGAAAGGTTGTCATTTTCCATTTTCTTTCGTTCCAAAACAAGGTTACCATTTCCTAATTTAGTAATTGTACTACCTATTTAACATAATAAATACCCTTCCAACTTATACTATATTACACAAATGTCGTTACTTTTATATTACACAATACAAATAGGGATATTTTCGTCTTTTTTACTATAACCCATTATAATACTAATATTAAAAAATTTACACGTAAAAAGTAAATGAAAATCTTGCACATGAAGACTATTATATTTTTATTTTTTTTAAACATTGTACATTATATTGGATTCATTAAAAAATTTATATTTTTATTTGTTTTATTTGATAAAACAATTATTTATATACATTTACATATAAATATATATTACAAAATAATATATTTTTATTAAAATGTACAATAAAATATAATAAATTTAATATTAAATAAATAAACCACCTTCAATATATTCTTTAAATTTAAAATTCAATCACTATAAGTGTTTAATTTTGGTGTGATGTTTCATGGAAAAAAAATAAGATATTTTTCTTAGAATTGTATTAACTATAAGTTGTATAGTAATTTAGTTCCAAATAATAATAAAAAATAAATAAATAGATTTTTATGTTTAAAAAAATTTATTGTTTAATCAGTTTTCAATAATAATAAAAAAGATCATCTTTAAAAAAATCATCACTTTGAACTCAAAACTAAACAAACCAATAGAATTTGATGCATAATGCTAAAAGAATTTTGTAACGCCAAAAAGTTGATGAATATTCTTTATTATTTACCGATCACATTTCTCAATGAAAATTTTACAAAGTATTAGTAATTCAAATCATCCTATAATTTTTATTTTTATTTTTTTAAATAAGTCACCCCACACCCTAGTTAATAATATTTATATTTCAGGACTTAAATTTTGTAAAATAAAAAATAAATGTTATATTTTTTAATCAAATTATATTGAATATCAGTTTTAATACTCTTGTTTCTGTTACAAAAATTCCAGAAAATTAAGAAGACAAACAATGACACAAGAATACGAGAATTTGGTAACCTAGTTCGATCAGAATGATCTACTTCCAGGACATTGCCAAGCCAAGAATCTTACTATAAAGTACGCAGACACGTTAAAGTAAGAATACATGGATATTTATAGGCTAAATCTATGCCAATAATATCCAAATTACTAAAATATAATATCTAAATCATATCCAAATCATATATCTAAATCATATCCAAATCATATATTTAAATTTTATGATATAATCAGGCTTCATATGTTAACAATCTCTCACTTGAAGACTGATTGCATCTTCCACTTTAACATTATACTTCATAGGCAATGACAGCACCAAGTCTCCTTCTTCACTCGTCGAGGCCAATTGAGGTTGAACACAACCTCAATTCATCTAAGGTCACCACCTTAGACTGTCTTGAAGGATTGCTCATAAATCGGTTCACTATTCCCACTGCACATGTTTTCCACCTCCTAAAGGTATCAAAAGTATCATAGTTACGCTTAAAGAAATATACTCATATCTCCCTTGTAACGTCGTCAATAACTGCAGTGTAGTACTGTAAGTCTCCAAGGGTCGATACAAAAGCTGGTTTCCGCAGATCCGTATGAACCAACTCCAACTTTTCATTTTCCAGGTCTCTCCCAACAACGCCACCTTTCGTTGCTTCCCAAAGATACAATCCTCGCATACTCCAATATCGACGGACTTGAGACCTGACAATCTTCTCTTTGAAATGAGCTTCCCTATCCCCTTCTCGCTCATGTGTCCGAGACAAGATGCCATAAATTTGTGTCATTTTTTATGGCCACAGAATTGATTCCGTCTTGCATGATTTTCGTAATGCAGAGAGTTCTATCTCTTCTCCCTTGGGCCACCACAATGGATCCTTTAGTTACCTTCCACGACTTAGTTTCAAAAATTGTCGAGTAACCTACCTCATTCAATTGTCCCACGGAAATCAGATTCCGTTTTAGACCCGGGACATGTCTCACGTCATTCAGTCTCCACTCCCTACCATTCGGTGTTCTGATTTGAACCATCCTTTTACCTACAATTTTTAGTGTCTCATCATCTGCAAGATAAACAACACCAAAATTACCTGCAGTATATGATTCCATGATTCCCGAATAACTGCATTGCATGAGTGGAATGACGCTCCTGAGACCAAAATCCATGACTCAATTGGACTGCTGACGCTCAGAATCAGCGCATTGGATATCTCCTCTGTTGCGTTTGCCGAACCCTGATCCTTATCCGGCGCCCCGCACTCTCGTTTCAAGTGCCCCTTGCAGTTCCAACATACCACCTGACTTGCATCTTCCTTGTCCTTGTTCTTCGGCTTCAACTTTGACCATTCTTGATCTTATCCTTTCCTTTTGCCTCATAACTAAATTCGAGATATTCTCCCAAAAGGGGTTAGTCAAACTGCACTCATCGTCTTCCTTTCGATCTTCTTGTATTCAACTTCATCCATATCTTTGGATTTCTCCTTCAACGCCGCCTCTAGATCTTTACCATATAGGTAATCTTCTATCTACATCGTCTAGAAACCGAAGTTCATTCCATCGACTACCTTGACAGCACGATGATCAACCATCTTGATTCCCACAAACAAACCAAAGGTTCACTTGATATGAGAGCACAGACTTTCAACACAAGGCACCTCCGCAAGTCACAAGAGATTCCCACAGCCACAATTAATATCCGATGTCTTACAGTCCACCTTACCAACGAATCAGAATATGATACCACTTGTTGCGAAAATTTCAGGAAATCAAGAAGAGATAAACAAAGATACAAGAACACACCTAATTCGATCATAATGATCTACGTTTGGGGGCGCTGCCAAGCCAGAAAAGTTTACTAGTACGCAGACACATGTTAAAGTAAGAATACATAGATATTTATAGGCTAAGTCTATGCCAATAATATGCAAACCATATCTCAAAAATCTCGAATATAATATCTAAATCATATTCCTAGATTTTATGATATAATCACGTTTCATAACACTTCCATTTAATTTGTCAACTATTTTGGTCCGTCCAATATAATTTACTCTTTCTTTTTTTTTTAAAAAAAAAACTATAATTATACACTTTAATTACATTTTACAATTCATAATTTATAATTTTATTTTATTTTAACTAAACTATTTAATCATCTTAATTTTAATTCTATAATTAATTTTATTAAATCAAAATTATTTTTATACATTTTTTAATTACTTACTAATTATACAATATTTAAAATTTCATACTTAAGCTAAATAGACAGATTAAGTGAGAGGGACTATAAAATTTATAAATTAAATAATTTTGATACAATATTTCAAAATGAAAAGCCGTGACAGTGTCAGGTTGCCAAACCCTATCCATAAGTACAAATATGCCAATTTATAACTAATTAATTTGTTAACTACACCATTCAGATTTCATTTATTAATAATGTGGACAAATATATTATGACTTTAAATGAATATCTAATTTCTATACATTTTTAGAATTTTCATGTCTTTTTTATACCTTAATAGAATGTTTGGAAACCTTTAAAATATGATCTTTTATAATCATAGTCTAAAATTTGTTTGTTTTTCATTTTCATTTTCATTTTATACCATGTACATAAAAATTTAAGATAAACTAACAAATTATAATATGTTAATAAAAATAATTTAAAATATAATATATATAATTAAAATTAAAATAATTATTTAATATAATTAAAACTAAAAGATTATAAATTATAAAATTTAAAATATAATTGATATAATCTTTTAAAAAAGAAAAAAATAACAAGACAAAAAACAACATGAATATAATAAATAAAACATAGAAAGTATTATATTATAATAAAAATTAAATTAAAAAATATTGTTTTTTTATGTATAAATATCTATTTATATTGTAATTGTGAAGAAAATAGAAAAATTATAAATATATATAATTTATTAATATTTTTTTGAAAAAAATATGTAATAATTGCAAAGATTTACACTATTCACATAAACTTTTTTCCCCAAAAATATAAAATCAAATATTTATTTTTTATTTTTTATATTATACTAAAAATTAATTTTACGTTCAAAACATTACATCAATACTTATTTATAACCATATCATACTACTGTTCTAATTCAAATTTTTTACTATTTAAATTTCAACTCAAAATCCAAATTTTCAAACAAACACACCCTAAAAAACACACCAAACACAACCTAAGACCATCTCAAACCCATTCCTTCATTTTTTAAAGAATATAGTAAAAATGCAATTGATCTACAGTAATTTTACTTCAACCGTAAACTTCAATTTTTTACTCTAAAAAGTATATTTCATATATATTCCTATTTTATATTATTTTACATAACTTTTTATATTTATAAATTACACTCCAATTTTAATTTATTTTTACAATATAACCCAAATATATATAATTACACATTATTTTTAAAAAACTATATAATTATATATCACTTCTCGAAAGGTAAAATTATATATCACTTTAAAAAAAAAAATTATAAGTTATTTTTAAAAAATAAAATTATATCACTTTTCAAAAAATAAAATTATATATAATTTTTCAAAAAAATATAATTACACAATATATCCAAAAAAATAATAAAAATACACAAATACCACAAAATACCACACAAACTCCACTCAAAAAATGGAGTTGAGTAACACTATTGCGGGCTGCAAAAATAGGGGGGAATTTGGGGGTGGGTTGGAGCCCCTCCCCCCAATTTTTGCATAACCCGGTTGGAGTTGCCCTAAGCTCATCTCCAACCCATCAACTTCATTAATTTTACTTCAACTATAACTCTATTTTTCATTATTATTTTTTAAATATTCAATTTTTCATATTATTTTAAACAATTTTTTTTATATAATTAATTTTTTTTTTTAAAAAAAAAACTCATTTTTTTGGTTGCTGATTTGAAAATGCCTAAAAAACACACCCTAATTACTCTCTCCGTCCACAGTCTATCTATTCGTTTACTTTTGCACGTAGATTTTAGTATATCAGTATTATATTGATACGTGTTACAATTGATATATATATAAAAGCTATTATACCCTTAATATTTATGGTATTAAGTGGTGTTATTTGATCTCATTTGTGTAATATTATATAAATGGTGGAGTAATTTTATATTTTAGTTGAAGATATATTTGATAAAAAAAATAAATACATTTGCTATAAACAAACTAAAATAACAAAATAAATAGATTTCCTGTGACTATTATAATTTAAAATTTTACCAAACCCACCAAATCATAAAAGACAACCCACAATTATTATTGTAATATGAACATCACGTTCTCCTTCTCCTCCCAAGAGTTGACTGTTTTTTAGTCAACCCAATTCTCCCGCACAAAGCCTGCAGCAAATTATTCTCCTCTTCCCAGCGTTTCGAGCTTCAAAATCGTTCATCCATGTCGACTCGTTGTCCTCCTCCCTAAACTCAAGTAAGATCAATCGAAAATCTTCGTTTTTCACTCGCAATTTCATCTGTTTTTCATTATTAACGCGAATTCTATTTTTTTTTCCCATCGAATTGGTGCAGATTTTAGCGATGAAGCAGTTCGATTGAATTGGGGGGAAATTAAACAGCACGAAAGGGAATCAAAATCAAAATCCTCAAATATCCCGAATTCGATTATTAGGAATTGAAAATTCGACCTTAAATGGGCAGAAAGGGGAGCGAATTGGAACCCTCGAGGTTTGGGTTTTGGATCGTTCTATTGATGGGCTTAGTGTCGTTTACGGTTGTGTACATTTTCATGTCGTCGGCATTAAGACCTCCGCCATTATCATCTTCGGATTTAGCTGTAATTGATGGTAGGAATTTGGAATTGGAAAATGGTGGGGGTTGTTGCAGAGGGATTCCCAATTTGGAGCTATGGGGGACTGCTGTGAAATGGGGTTCAGATTTCAAGTTCAATTCCTCTGAGGAATGTTGCAAGGCTTGTAAGGCAATGTGCACCGGGAACGACGGGCCTTGCCTTTGTGATACATGGGTTTTCTGTGGGAATAAGGATGCTTGCGGAGACAAATTCGGAGAGGTTAGTTGTTTTCGGGCATAGGTGCATTATAATTGTCGAAATGATGTCTTGTATACATTTTGTTTTTGATTGATTGAGGGGTTTGGATGTGTTGAACTTTTTTCGAAATTGTGGATTCGGATTATAGAATATGATGAACCGTAGTGTATTATATTTGTCGAAAATGATGTTTTGTATAGATTGGATTACTTGTGTTTCTTTGATTGGAGGGTTTTGGATGTGTCAAACTTATTTTGAAATTGTGGATACGGAATATAGAATATGATGAACCGTAGTGTATTAGATTCGTTGAAAATGATGTTTTGTATAGATTATATTCTTTTGTGATTCTATTGATTGAGGGGTTTGGATCTGTTGATCGAAATTGTGCTTATGGATTATAGGATATGATGAACCGTATTGTATTATATTTGTCAAAAATGATGTTTGTATATATTATAATTTTTTTGATTTTTATTGATTGAGGGGTTTTGATGTGTTGAACTTAGTACATACGGATTATAGAATATGAGGAACCCTAGTGTATTAGATTTTTCGAAAATGATGTTTTGTGTGAATTATATTCTTTGTGATTTCTATTGATTGAAGGGTTTGGATGTGTTTGAATTTATTGTGAAATTGTCCATACGGGTTATAGAATATGATGAAACGTATAAAACATTAGTAAGTTGCGAACAATGTAAATTTGTTGCCGTAGGAGTACATAAAAGGTTGAAGATCAATTTATGTGCCATTTGACAATTACTTCTACTTGTAATTAAAAAATCGAAGCTAAAGTTTATATTAGAATCACATGTGATCGGTTTTTGGAGAAATTGATTTTAGTTGCTTGTTTATATTTTGGTTTCCATTGATTGATTTTTTTTTTTTTGTAATGTATATATTTGATCGATTGATATTAGTTTCGTAGATTGCTTACCATTTCTTGATTCTGGATTACTTGCACAATTTTTTTTTTTTTGTGTGTGTGTGTGATAACTAGTCCTTGTGTGGCTATTTTCCTTTATCTAAAATTTGATCAAGATATTTTCCACGTTTATTTTTTCCCTTAGTGTTGGTTGAAGAAACAAAAGGACGTCATGGTTCCCGAGACGAAGGAAGTTGGCAATGCAATTATGTGGACATCCGGCGTCATATTTGGTGGAGGAGAGGTATGCATATTATTCATCTTCCTTCTTAGCTTTGCCATTATTTCCCAATGAAATTATCGTACTAAGTAACACGAGCATGTCATAAATCTAGCAATGAGCATCGATTGACTTTGTTTGGTATTTTGGTTCATGTGGCGTATAGATTATGTCGGGATATCGTTGCATCATTAGATATATTAAGCAATGGAAGAATTGGATTGGAAACGAACAATTTTGTCCTAAAAATGGAAGAAAAATGTTTGAGAGAGAGATTGGTTTTCTTTGAACTTGTAAAATTACCTTTTCAATTAATTTGGCTTTCTTTACAATTATTAAATGGGGGAATATTTGAAAAGTTAGTAATAATTGGTATTTTTTGCTTTTTATAAAAAAAATAAAAAAAATACAAAAGGTAATACCCCCTCCGTCACCTAAAAATGTGCTTAAATTTTAGGGCACAAGTTCTAACGTAGATGTGTACGTACTTTCAGTTACTATTTGTTACTGAAAAAGGAACTAAAACATTTTTAGGTGCGAGATAAAAAAAAGAAAGTAAATAGAAATTTAGGTGACAGAGGAAGATTATAATTTTTTACCAAAAAAACATGAATATTTTTTTTAATGACAATTTAAAAAAAAAAAGTGAGCATAAATTTAGATGTTAGACGGGTTTTTTCTTTTCATTTATTTCGTTAAAATCTCGGAAAAAACAAAAGGAAAAAGAATTTCCAAGTGAAGCAATCATTTTTGGTTCTTGTTGGAGTCGAGCATCATATAGTTTCTTTACTCGGAAGTGCTTCTTCTTCGTAGGGAATCGTTGGCCTAGAAACAGAGCATGGTACTCTTCGTATCAAGGTATGATTATCGATATAAGTAGCAACGCCTTAGCCGGTTTTAAGTCAAATTGATTGCAATATACCATTGATGCTTTCGATCCCGGTTTTGTTTTCCAGCTTCTGCCCGATTGTTCGCCACATTCAGTTGCATACATTCTTGAGTTGATGTCTCTACGCCTTTGCGCCGGTTGCCACATTTATCGAGCAGAAAGCCGGGGCCAATCTTGGGATGCAAAGGGAAATCACATAAAAGATGTAAGCCTCTCGAATCCTTCTTTGTGCTACTATTTTTATACTCCATTTTTATGGTCTTAAATATCATCTTATACTTCATTATTGACGGGTGTTTTAGATTTTTTCATTTTACATGAATCTACTCATCAATATAGTACTCCCTCTGTCCCAAATCAACTTAGACATAGTTTTTTGTGGTACGAGATTTGAGGAATACTGATGTTCTATTGAGCAAAATATTGGTTAAAAGTTCTATTTGTCTTTGTAAATGTGTGTTTTAATTTAAATGTAAAATTAGTGGCTATTCTGTAATAAAAATTAGAAAATGAATGTAGTTTTATGGTGATATATTTATTTATGACAATGGGATTACGGGACAACTGATTTGGGATGTGCAAAATTAGTAAAATAAGTCGATAAATATGGGACGGACTAGCATGTGTAAATATAAAACAACACAATGATCTATTATATTGAAGTATGTGTAGTTTATTCTAATAAAATTTCAATAATATATTGTGTTATATAGAATTATATAATATGTTGTCGGAATATATACCGTGAAATATGTGTTGTTCGTTTTACTGATTGGTGCTGACTGAGTCAAATCAATATGTAAACTAAAGTGGATATTAGATATATACATATATATATATATGTATTTTTAAGACCATAGTTGAGACTAAGGGAGTATATGATTACCGAAGGAATTAGAACTATCTCTCATATTTCGCGCTCTTATTTATACGGCTATGCCATTTGGCGCCATATAAACATTGCAAAATGTTAAGGGTGTGTTTGTTTGGAGTTTGGATTTTAAATTGAGATTTCCGAATAGTATAATATTTAAATTGAAATAACTGTATGATGTGATATAAATAAATATTGATGTGATGTTTTGAATGTAAAACTAAATTTTTTAGTATAATATAAAAAATAAGTATTTGATTTGATATTTTTGGGGAAAAACTTTTTATGAATAGTAAAAATCCCTCAAAATCCTTCAAACAAACACACCATATACGACGAAGAGTAATATGTGGTCGACTCTTTCTAGTGTCTACAAACCTTATAGAGTTGTAACTCACTCGTTTTCTTACAAGTATTGTAGGCTCCGTTTGGCCCTCCGTACGCTCTAATTCAAGGCACACTAGAAGCACAGGGAATGGAATCCAAAAAAATTCGATCCGAGCATTGTCCGTCCATAAGGAGGGGGTCGGTGGGGTGGGTCGACTCCGGCCCGGAATTCTTCATAAGTCTAGCTAACCATGAAGAATGGAGAAATCCGTATACGGTGTTTGGTTCTGTGCTACAAGAAGATATGGATATTGCCGAAAAGATCAGCCGGCTCGCGACGAAGTCTGACGTTTGGAACGGCGTAAATGTCTCGGTTTTGGCCAAAATTGTGCCGTTGAGTGTTCGTAGGATTAAGCTTGGCCATGGCGACGAATGATTAATCGGGTAAGAAAGAAAAATGATGAATCGGTAAGAAAGAAAAGGTGCTTTTTCCAATGTTAGATGTTATATTTTGCTATGCTTTGTTTTGAGTATATGTTAGTTTATACAAAGAATGTTTACGACAGAGTTTTTTCTTTTGCTTCTATAAAGTAACGACAGAATAAAAATCAAAGATTTAAATTTCACTAATTTACAAGCTTCTATGACTGCTTGTTATGTGAATTATTTATGGAGATTTTTTTTTTCTTAATTTTATCCAAAATATATTTTATTCTCTCGTCAAATATATTCATTTTTTTTTCCCTCTTCTATCAGTCAACACTTATTTATATTAAGCAAACAAATAAAATAAAATAGATATTTTTTGGGAATATACTATTTCTATCCAGTAACAAACACTTATTTATACCAAGCAAACAAATAAAATAAAATGGATATTTTTTGGGAATATACTCTTTTCCGTAACAAATGATACATTTTTCATTTTAGTCTATCTATACCTTGCTATGTTTGGTAAATTTTACTAATTTAATATATATAAATCAACATAATTAATTTTATAATATATAATATCATACATCACATAAACCAATTCAAATTTTTTTATAAAATTAATTTATGTTAATTATAAATAAATATATTTGGGAATTGTTGACTTTTTTTAGTAGATAATATATATTATATTAATGTGTGTATATTTATATTTTTTAATAATATTTATAGAAAATTGCTCTATTGAGAAATATTGAATGAATATTACTCCCCTTGTCCACACACAAAGTAAATATTTATTTTTGGCGCTGTGTTTAAGAAATAATAGTATTTTAACTATAGTTGGTAGTTAAAAGTAGTGTAATGACATTTTTGCCCTTTTTTTTTATAAAAGTAACGATGTGATGTAAAGTAAAAGTATTTGTAAAAAAAAAATGAGGTATTTAATGAAATGTTTACTTACGTAAAAAAAAATAGAAATATGTATACTTTCTAACTGGATATTAGCTAATTAAATATATGGCCTTAGAAACTTTGTCTCTAGCCAAATATATCATTTAAAATGAAACGGAATAAGTATATTTAATCAAAATATAATTGAATAAATTATTTACATTAACAAAATATTTACTAAATGAGCGATAGAGATGACAATGGGTTCGGTCCAGCCGGACCCGAGATCCGACCAATACACATGGCTCGACCCGAGACCTAACCCAATAATATCCGAACCCGATCATATTCGGATTCGACCCGAACAATACCCAAAAAAGATCCGATGGACCTGACAAATTCGAATTTTTTCACAATTCTTAAAATTTAATTTAAAATTGGAGCCGAACCCGGATATGACATATATTAAAATTTATATATTTTGTTTTAAAATATTATAATAAAAACATAATAAAAATAAATAAATAAAATTAAAATCATATTTTTAATATAATTTATATTATTAAAAATTAATTTATATATATAATTAATATATTAGTAATATATTAATTGGATCTTGGCCGGGTAGGATCCACCCTTAGACCCAAAATCTGACCCGCACACGATAAGTGTATAAAATACTCGACCGGGCCCAATATCCAAATAATTAGACCTGATTCCAAATAAATGAATAGCGTCCGGGTCGAGTTTCGGGTCTACTCGGACCCATTGCCATCCCTAACGAGCTACAAAAGATTTTTAATTTTAATTATATACAGTAAAAAAAAATTAATGAAAATTTTATATTTATGAGGGGTTTGTGTTTATTGTAATATGAAACTAATTTAAAAGAGAATACTAATTTAATTTTTTACTTAAATAATATATTTTATAAGAAAATAATAATAATTTTTGTTCTTAAAAAAAATATTGTTAATTGAAAATTCAAACAAAAAATAATATGATAATTCACCTTATATATAAAAAAAAAATGATGCGGGTTTCCGGGTGGATAATGGATCCAAACCAGGATCCGACCAGGCTACCCATTTATCTTGTGACATCGCTAGTTTGTCTGCCCTACTCGCCCATTCGACCTTACGAGAAGGAACGGCGCCGGAAGCTGTCGAACAACTCTTCGCCGAATCTCGGAATTTAGCCGTCCGTTTCATCTCAGATTGAACCGCGTCGCCGGTTTCATCAATCCAGCCGGAAAAATGAGGATTATGATAAAGGGCGGAGTATGGAAGAACACGGAGGACGAGATCTTGAAAGCGGCGGTTATGAAGTATGGGAAGAATCAGTGGGCCAGAATCTCGTCGCTGCTGGTTCGGAAATCTGCGAAGCAATGCAAGGCGCGGTGGTACGAGTGGCTCGATCCCTCTATTAAGAAGGTACGTTGCTCATCTGTTCTAGGTTTTCCATTGTTGTTTTCCTGTTTTTGCCTTTTCTTCAACTTGAGCTTTAGGTATAAAAAGGAAATCTGTGCTATGAAATTGATACTGGAAAAATGAAAGTTACGAAAATTTGAATGGTGTGGATTTGTAGGAGTGCATTTAGGGTTAGGGATAGGGATGAGGAAAGGCCTGTAACATGTTTGTCAATATTAACTGGATTGAAGAATGGTTTGGGAATGCTCGAAATGTATATAGTGAGTGATTTATTTCAACATACACAGCTGACTATGGGAAATTGCTTGATTATTGAAGGTTGGAGAATTGACATTGTTGTAGTGATCTTGAATTTGTTTTGTATGCTATCTAGGATGCATTATCATATTTCTTAGTTCTTTGGAAATGGAAATGCATGAACAGAAGAATGTTTGATTAATTGTTGGAATTTCTTATGGAGTTTTCATAATGCATATGAATCTTGATAGTTGGAAATTTCTTGTATTGCAGACTGAGTGGACTCGAGAAGAAGATGAGAAGCTGCTGCACCTTGCGAAACTTATGCCGACACAGTGGAGAACGATTGCCCCAATTGTGGGGCGTACACCATCTCAGTGCTTGGAGAGGTACGAGAAGCTCCTAGATGCAGCATGTGCTAAGGATGAGAATTACGAACCTGGAGAAGACCCGCGGAAATTGCGTCCTGGAGAGATTGATCCCAACCCTGAATCGAAGCCGGCACGGCCTGATCCTGTGGATATGGATGAAGATGAGAAAGAGATGCTTTCTGAGGCACGGGCACGTTTAGCGAACACTAGGGGAAAGAAAGCAAAAAGAAAAGCAAGGGAGAAGCAGCTTGAAGAGGCTCGAAGGCTTGCTTCACTGCAGAAACGGAGAGAGTTAAAAGCTGCTGGAATTGACGTTCGTCATAGGAAGAGAAAGAGAAGAGGAATTGATTATAATACTGAAATCCCCTTTGAAAAGCGGCCTCCTCCAGGTTTTTACGATGTTACTGATGAAGACAGACCTACTGAACTTGTCAAGTTTCCGACCACAATCGAAGAACTTGAAGGTGAAAGGAGAGTGGATAGAGAAGCACGGCTAAGGAAGCAGGACGTTGCAAGAAATAAAATAGCACAGCGGCAGGATGCTCCAGCAGCGATTATGCAAGCTAACAAGCTTAATGATCCTGAAACTGTTCGAAAAAGGTCTAAACTAAATCTTCCAGCTCCGCAGATTCCAGACCATGAATTGGAGGCTATTGCTAAGATGGGCATTGCTAGTGATCTGGTCGGAAATGACGAGCTAACAGAAGGGAATGCTGCCACACGTGCTCTGCTTGCTAGCTATGCTCAGACTCCGAGACAGGGCATGACTCCAATGAGGACCCCTCAGAGAACACCTGCAGGCAAGCAGGATGCCATTATGATGGAAGCCGAGAACCAACGGAGGTTGACTCAATCGCAGACTCCTTTGCTTGGTGGAGACAATCCAATGTTGCACCCTTCCGATTTTTCTGGAGTTACGCCTAAGAAAAAAGATATTGCGACGCCGAATCCTCTCTTGACTCCTTCAGCAACTCCCGGAGGCCAAGGGCTTACTCCTAGAATTGGCATGACACCTTCACGAGATTCATTTTCTATGAGCATGACTCCGAAGGGAACTCCAATGAGAGATGAGCTGCGAATCAATGAAGACATGGATGTGTACGACGGCGACAAATCAAGGCAATATGATTCAAAGAAAGAACTCCTTTCTGGATTGAAAAATCTTCCACAACCCAAGAATGAATATCAAATAGTTATCCAACCCTTCGCTGAAGACGAAGAAGAACCAGAAGAAAAAATTGAGGAAGATATGTCGGATAGAATTTCTAGAGAGAAGGCAGAGGAAGAAGCCCGGCTACAAGCACTACTTAAGAAAAGATCAAAAGTTTTGCAGAGGGAGTTACCAAGACCGCCTCCTGCGTCGTTGGATCTTATTAGAAACTCTTTGATAAGAGCTGATGAAGACAAGAGCTCCTTCGTCCCGCCAACATTGCTTGAACACTCTGATGAATTAATAAGAAAGGAGCTTCTATCTTTGCTAGAGCATGATAATGCAAAATATCCGTTAGACGAGAAAGCTACCAAGGAGAAGAAGAAAGGTAGCAAGCATGCAAAATCTGCCCCTGTGCCTTTGATTGATGATTTTGAAGAAAATGAACTGAAAGAGGTATGATCATATTCAGTTTTTGCTTGATAACATCAGTAATATGGTGACCTAGTTCAAGGGAACTTATGGGATTTTCTATTTGTCTTTTGTGTCTAATTCCACACATTAGGATTTATTGTTTTTATCATAACATGTCACTACTACATAGCAGTTCTAACATGAGTTAATAGCACGATTGGCTTACAAACTGCAGGTGGTCCCTATAGGCAAGAATTACAGAAATTCTTATTATAATGCTGTGATTGATTCATATTTCCTCTGGATTGTGCTTCTATTGCTCTTGTGAATTTTTACGCATTAGCAGTAATGCTTAGAGTTGTCAAATAAAAAAAAAAAAGGATATAAATTGATGTAGTTATCTTATGGTCATTCATCCATAGTTCTATTTATTTCATTGCTTGTCATTTTTCCTTTAGAGCAACTTATAGTAGTTCTTGGTAATGTTTAAATTAAATAAAATCCATGTCGCTGATATTGGTTATATGTAAATTTATCTCATATAGTGGGGATAGAGGCTTAGGCTATGGCGGTGAGTGGTCTGATTGTGGTTTCTGCCTTTTGACAGTGTAACAGCTCCACCTGTGACAAACCATCTATATATTTCGTAGCGCTGTTTTGTTGAAAAAAAAAATGCATATTAATGTTTCTTGGAGCAATGTGCATTTACATTTCCAAATATATTTGCTCTAAAAAAAACTCCTGATCAACGAGTTCTAGAGCCCTCCTTTTCATGGTTGTTGGTTTATACTTGTGTATGAGATAATGTACTGATATCTCTCTTGATTATGCGGCCTTTATTTGTTCGATGAGATGCTATGGAAGCTTTTGTGCAGAGGCCTTTTTGTATGTGATACTATTGTACCTTCGTAGTGCTGTAAATGAAATGTACCTATTTAATTTATAAAAATTGATATTCGCTCTTGATGTAGGCTGATGAATTAATTAAGAGTGAAGTTGATGTTCTCCGCGTCGCAATGGGCCATGAGAATGAATCTCCTGATGACTACGTCGAAGCACACAAGACATGCTTGAGTGACATGATGTACTTCCCGACCCGAGATGGCTATGGTCTCTCCAGTGTTGCCAGCAATATTGAAAAGCTTGCTGCTTTGCAGAATGAATTCGACAATGTGAAGAACAAGATGGACGACGAAACCAAAAAGGCACAAAAGTTAGAGCAGAAAATAAAAGTTCTTACAAAAGGCTACCAAGTACGCTTCTCTTCGCTATTAAACATTTGCTCCTTTCATCTTTATTCGGTTGGGATATCCAATTGCTTAGTTTTTCAAATTGACAATTTTTTCAATATTCTATTTGATTTTTAAAAATATTTTTAAATATTTTTAAAAAATATTTTTAAAAAATATTCTAGTTGTGCTGAAATAAGTTGCGTAATTTTCTTTTACCTTAGGTTTGGCCCTTGATCGTAGGACACTTGTTTTAAAAAAGTAGTTCGATCTTTTTAGTTTTTTATGCTTGAAATAAATACTGTAAATTGATATGATGCATGTTTGATGTTTGATGCCTGTGACAAATACTGTAAATGTGTATTAATCTCGTAGAAATTTTTTAATGCTTTAAGCGCTGCACCTGAAAGTTCTAAATAATTCTACCCGAAGTTTGGTGTCTTTGCAATAACTATATATTGCATTTGGAAGTGCCGATAATCTTACTTCCGAATGGAAATCTATTTATAGCTTGCGGTTATAATTTGCTTTACATCAAGGTTATAGTCTTGAATGCAATGATTTCTGAATTATCAGATGCGTGGTGGGAAAATCTGGACACAAATCGAGGCAGCCTTCAAGCAAATGGACACTGCTGGGACCGAACTCGAGTGCTTCCAAACTTTACACAAGCAAGAGCAACTCGCATCGACGCACAGGATCGGCAACCTTTGGGAAGAGGTTCAGAAACAGAAGGACTTAGAGCGCACTTTACAGAAGCGCTACGGCGACCTAATGTCTGAACTCGAAAGGGTCCAGAATTTGGTGGGCGCGTACAGATTGCAATCCGAAAAGGAAGCAGAAAATGCTGCAAAGAACACTGCCCCCCCAGTCGACGACGACGAGGCTAATGCTACTGCAGAAAATGGTTCGGAGAACAATGGCGCCCCAGTCGACGCCGAGGCTAATGCCACTGAAGATCAGCCTGTTGCTCCTAATGTCGTAACTCCCCAAACTGACGTCATCGATATGGGTGAGGCTAGCGCGGCTGACGGGCAATTTTCCGAAGCTAATGCTGCTGCAGATCAGTCGGTTGCTCCTAATGCCGTAACTCCCAAAAATGAAGTCGTCGATATGGGTGAGGCTAGTGCGGCTGACGGGCAATTTTCCGAGGCTAATGCTGCTGCAGATCTGTCTATTGCTCCTAATGTCGTGACTCCCAAAAATGAAGTCGTCGATATGGGTGCGGCTAGTGCGGCTGACGGGCAATTTTCCGAGGCTAATGCTGCTGCAGATCTGTCTATTGTTCCTAATGTCATATCTCCCAAAAATGAAGTTGTCAATATGGGTGAGGCTAGTGCGGCTGACTGGCAATCTTCCGAGGTTAATGCTGCTGCAAATAAGTCTGTTGCTCATAATGACGTAACTCCAAAAAATGAAGTCGTTGGCGGTCAATCTGCTGCGCCAAATATGATTACTCCGAAGAGTGAAGTGGCTGCCGACAATGGCGCGGGTGGTTTGGATCAGTCCGAGGCGAAACCTATGGAAGTTGATGGTATCAATGAAACGACAATCCAACAGCCCGATGCTCGGCCAAGTTCGGGACATGAATTGACTCTTGAATCAGGCAATGCTATGGATGAGTAGGGCTCACAAGACAAGATTGTTTCGAGGCTTTCCATTCCGTGGCGCGCTAAAAGTCTTAAAATCGAGTAAATTCAGGAATTCCGATGTCTTTCAAGGTACGAAGAGAAGTTTATTTCGAAACATAGACTATATATATTGTGTTGTGCTTCTTTTCACTTGGTTACATGATTGTATTTACCTAAAGAGGAGTTGCCTTGAACTATCATGTAGTTGTGTTGGAAGTTGCTCCGAACTTTCGAATTTTTAACTCGAAACTTTTTGCATTACCATATTCTAGCGATACATGAAGTTTCACTGGATTTAAAGCCGAATTGACATGGAGAGTGGACTCGCAACTGTGAGATTGATGTGAACTTGTTTGTGTGACTTTTAAGCGTAGTTTGTAAGTATTATTTATCTAAGATTAAAAATATTTTTATAATTTATAATATATTACAATGATGCTGGGGATCATAACTTTATTCGAGTTGTATGAGGCGATCTTGATAAAACAAATGAGATCTACGGTGATTGTGAAATTAATCGGCCTAATCAATGTAAATGAAATTTTATTTTTCACACATGGTTTGCCTAATGTGATTTGCATTGTAGGATCTAGTTTGCAAGTTATTAGGTTCAGCCGAAAGTTTAATCATAATGCACTCAAAGAAATCAGTAACAAACTCATTTGAAAAAGGATTATGAACAATCGATATGATGTTATTGAGAATTGTGATGACGATACGATAGAAATTTTCCAAACTAAGGCCGATCAACAACATATTCAAAAAAGAGCCAACTCTATAACAAATCTAAAGAGAAAATCATATCAATGGATCAAAGTCTTAATGAATCCGGACATAATAAGAAAGTAGACACTACTTCAGATCTTCATGCATCTACATCAAGAACCAAACACTCGATCAATAATAGTGAAAAAGATGACCTTAAGAAAAATCACATAAAAGACCTGGAACTAAATAAACAATTTGCAACTATGATCCGACATAGACTTCAACTCGACCCAACCAAGTATACTACAATGCATGCACACCGAAACGAGCCAACTTCACTGAATGCTTTACGGCTATCAAAATTGGATCACAATGGACAACTATCCATAATACCAATCAATGAAAAAATCCCATCTGATCTGAAAGAGGACACCGGATTTATGTAAGAGATATCGGATTTTGAGAAAACAAAGACTAATGAGTATATAGAGGAACATGAGGATGACAATATTGCCATGGATGAAACTCTCTCTTAAGTTTCTTTTATGGACTTACGAATCCTTGCGTGTAATATCCAGGGAGTTGGATAAAGAAAACACCTTACGAGATTTCAAAAATATTGTTGTAACACAATCGAGTTCAGCTTGTTACTATGTTTGAATCCCGTATCAGCAACGAAAAGGCTAACGAATTTATTCAGAAATCCGACTTTTCTCGATTCTTTGATAAATAATAAAAAAAGTATTTTAATTTGGGGCAGAAAAAATATATAATATTGTTGGTATATATTGAAATATGAAAATGCAAATCTTTTATTTAGTACTATTTTTATATATTACTTTTTTTGAGAGAATGATAGTATATCATAACGAATAATTTTGAAATAAGAAAAAAAAAACAAACACACCAATAATACTCGTACCCATAGACACTAGGGTTCTAGTGTGTTTATTTGGAGCTGTGGATTTACACTTAATTTTTTACAATAATATTTAGTTTAAATAATTATTTAATACAATATAAATAAAAATGTTGATATAATATTTGAATTAATTTTTTTTTTCTTTTTGTTTTTTGATATTTATAAAGAAAAATAATAAACATTTGAAATAACTTTCATCTGTCATGCAGTAGTATACATACATGTATATAGTAGGGATTGGATTGGATTTACACTATTCATCCAATTTTTTTCCCCCCAAAATCATCGAATCAAACACCTATTTGTCATTTTTTATATTATACTAAAAATCAATTTTACGTTCAAAACATTGCATCAACACTTATTTATATTACATCATACAACTATTCAAATTTAAAATTTTTACTATTCAAATCCCAACTCAAAATCCAAACCCCCAAACAAACACACCCTTAAACACATTCTTCTTCTATTCTATCATATCATATCCCGCTCTTATTTCTTCTTCTTCTTAAGAGAAAAACAGTCCACCAACAGCAGCAAAATTAAGCTTCAAGATTCTTTTATGGCTACGAAATTGAAAAATAAGAACAAGGCAGTGAGGGACCGGTTCAGATCCACGCCTCTTACCATCGCCGCCTCCAGTGACAATCCTCTGCCGCGGCCACAGCCCCAGGTTCCTTCTTCTTCCTTCATTTTTTATATTATTATTTGATTTATCACTGTTCTGGATAGATTGTTCGTGAACATGAATTAATTTTACAATAATAATCATCGCTCTGTCCTGTAATAAAGTATCAATTTTTTTCATTTTAGTCCGTACATAACAAAAGTATTTTCTAGTAACTGTACTATCTACCTAACATTACAAATATACCCTTATATCACATATACTAATAATATTATTTTAGTCATTTCTATTTTATTTTTATCCCAATATAATACTAATATTTCTAAAACTACGTGCAAAAAGCAAATGGATATTTAGTTTCGGGACGGAGGGAGTAATAACAATAATAATGTGTATATATGTTTTCAATTTTGTTGCATGTGTTGTCAAGATAATTAAAGTAGCAATTTCTTGGAAGAAGATTCATGATCAATTTGATCAATTAAAATATCGCCCTGTTTGAATTATCTTGACAACACAAGCTAAGAAATCAAAACATACGTACACATTATTATTATTATTATTATTATTGTAAAATTAATTCATCTTCTCCAACAATTAATCGTGATAAATCAAATAACAGTATAAGAAATAAAAGAAGAAAAAGGAACCTGCGGCGGCGGCGGCGGCGGCGGAGGATTGTCACTGGAGGCGGCGGCGATGGTAAGAGGCGTGGGTATTGATATTATTGGTGTGTTTGTTTTTCTATTTCAAAATTATTCATTATGATATATCATTCTTTCAAAAAAAATAATACATAAAAATGCTACTAAATAAAATATTTGCATTTTCATATTTCAATATATACCAAAAATATTATATATTATTACCTTCTTTCCAAATTAAAATACCTTTGTTTACTATTTTTATTTTTCTACTCAAAAGTATCCTCTAATATAGTAAATATATTTTATATACAAATATCGGACTTTTATACAAATTAGAAAAATATTATTACTATTGTTGTATTTGTATTTTGTAAAGGCATAAATGTAAAATCATCTTATCTTATATATTTTTATTAATCAATCAAATAGTATTAATATCTTTTAATTTATTAAAAATAAATAAATAGTCTTCTTGGATTGGAACCAAGGAGAGAGTATCGTTTTAATATTTAAAATATTGATACCAAAATATATACAATATATATTTATTTTTTCTAAAATTACTTTTAACTTTCAAATTTCAAAACAAAATGATATACCCCTTCACCCTGGCAATTCGATATGCGCATTTTTTGATATTTATTCCTATACTCCTTCTGTCCCTCCGAAAGAAAATATTCATTCATATTTTGCATGTATATCTTTTAATATAGCTATTACATATGTATATAGTACAAATAAAATAAAATGACAAAAATACCCTATTTAATAGTGTATAATATAAAAATAATAGTTCTGATAATGTATTATAAAAGTATTTTCGATATTAGATAGATCATAGATAATACTTTCTTTTGCGACTCAAGCATTGATTCATGCTTAGCATCGGGCTGTTGCGTCGTCCATTCACTGATACCATCAACTTCCGTAGGTTTGTACAAAATGTCGCGAAGTGTAGTTCAAAAATAAGAAAAAAAAAATAAAAATTTGAGGTACAATAGACCTATTGGAGGTAAGACATGAATTCGTCGACAAATTAAATTTAAGGGCTCGACATAGCTGTCCAAGCACGTCGAACCATCTCGGACATCATCGGAGTTTGGTACACCATCGAGCCCTCCGTTGTCTCGCTGCCATGTGTATATATAATATTAAATAAAAAACATATTTAACTTTAACAGGTATTTGGTAAATAAAAATTTTTAAACCGAAAAATTAAAATAAATTTATTCTTTGATAATTGAAAATTAGAACATAAATTGTTTTTCATTTATCTCTTGTATATAGAGAGAAATAAAAAGAATTGAATTTGTTTTAGTAAATCTGTTTCATTCCTTATCAAAATTTTCATGTCGGTCATTTTCACTATTCATCTCATTTTTTTTCTCATAAAACATCAAATCAAACACCTATTTTTTCTTTTTTTATATTATACTAAAAATTAATTTTACATTCAAAACATCACATCAACACCTATTTATATCACATCATACAACTATTTTGTCTTTTTTTTTTTTTTCAACAGATGTACTAATGCCTATTGCAACTAATGGAATCTTCCGTGAACATACAAAGCACGTTGAGATTGATTGCCGTTTTATTTGGCATCACATGGAGTCGAAACTTATTAAGGGTGTGTTTGTTTGAGGGTTTGGATTTTGAGTTGGGATTTGAATAGTAAAAATTTTGAATTTGAATAGTTGTATGATGTGATATAAATAGGTGTTGATGTGATGTTTTGAATGTAAAATTGATTTTTAGTATAATATAAAAATGAAAAATAAGTGTTTGATTTGATGTTTTTAGGAAAAAAAAAATGATGAATAGTAAAAATCTAATCCAATCCCCCAAACAACCACATAGACAACTTTCTATTCCTTCACAATGGTGACCAAACAAAAGTAATTTTCCATAGATTTTATACATTCTTGTATTAATTAATTTTTAGATCTTCAAATACTACAGTACTATACTATATAATTTACACTAAAATAATTTTGTATTCTCAATCCTCCGGGTGCCTATTCCTTCTTTGATGGCTCGGCTTCGGCCACCAAACCCGAAGAACTATCATACTCCCCGCCCATCGAAGAACTTGCCCTGCTAAGATTCATATTCAAGATCGGAGCAAAGGGAAGTGGTGATGGAGGCGGCCGCTTCCTAACATAATCCCGTTGTAGTGGTCTCGGGACTTGGAAGGAAAACTTCGTCCTGTCAATACCGGCAGCTATGTACTCCAAGTTTTCCGAAAGGTACCTTTGAAAAAAAAAAATTAGGTTTAGAGACATAAAATAACAACTTCAATGAGTTGTTTAACAAATGATATATGCAGCGGCGGAACCAGAACTCGAATAGAGGGGGGGGCTAATTTTTTTCGAAAATTTGATATGATAAATGTATATATTGAAAATTATACCGAACATAAAATAATAATTTTAATATCAATATATTGATTTATACAAAAACAATCACTATAATATATTGATTTTTTTTTTTTATTATTTTATGTTATACCAAAATTTTTTATATTTTTTATAATAAATAAATAATTTTTAGTACAAAAAAAAATTTATATACCAAAAATTTGATGTATTTTTACTATATAAAATTTAAAATTTTCTATAAATAATAGTAAAAATTAAGGGGTGGGGTGGGGTGGGGGTTGGAGCCTCCTCTTGCCCCATGTAGTTCCGCACCCAAGATATATGGATACCTTTCAACTTCAACCATGGAGCGAAGTTGCTTGCCGGTTGGGGAGATATAATATCTGCAAAAAAAAAAAAAAAAACTATTAGAACGTATTCATACTATATCATAACAATGATCATAAGGAATGTTTAAAATTTAAAATACGTACACATCTGCAAACTTGGTTCCTCCTTCAGCTCTAATTTTTAAGAGCCGTTGCCACCCGGGAGGCGTTTGGGGAACACTAGGCTTATCCATCGCCCAAAGCCGGCTGCCATCTTGAATTAAGTCGGCAGGATACTCACACGACATCTCGTTCTTCCACTCCCGAGCAACTTCACAGATGAAGGGCCGGTCCATTATTTGCTCCCGAATCTCCTCGTACCTCTCCTTGGTCGGAATCAATCTCCATTTCGAGCAGATATCGCATTGGACTGCAAAAGAACCTACAGACCCTATACCTCGAGGCATTTTATTTGAAAATCTTTGTTGCCGCTTAATTGCCAATGTGCGAAGGTCATCCTCCGTGGCTTCGCTGTCTGTCTCACTTGCAGAACCATCAGATTCTCGATCTTGGTTCTGCGCATTCGTCGTTGGGCTGCCGGGAAGAGCAGAAGTACCGGCAGCTCCGGTTTCTTCTTCTTTGTTCGAATAGATTTCAAGAATCTTCTCTCCCTTCAGCTTTAAAGTAATCTTAAGTGGTTTATGATTTTCCCTGTCCATTCTGTAAGCTCCCACAATATAAACTTCAATGACCCGTGCAACGGATGTGCTACGAGTATAATATGTCAAGTTTTCGCATCGATACAAGGTAAATGGCTATTAATTTGAGTAATAAGGAAAGATCCGAAGATAGATTTAGGGTTCAAAAAATTTAGACGAGTAACACTCGTTCAAAATCACCTCTAAAGTTGGTCTTATAAATTTAAGGCTAAATTGCACAAAACTTACCGGTGGGTTCATAAAATTGTGCCAAATCCCCTATACTTCTAAATCTGCGTCAAATTCCCTCGTGGTTTCATAAACTCTGCTTCTAACTCCCTCGGCGGTCCTTATTTAACGGTATTTGACGTTAATGCTAATATTTCAATTTCTAAACCCCTAAAATTATTAATATATTTATTTTTCTTGTATTTAGTCTAAAAAAAAATAATAAATATACTAAAACATAGTTATTTTATCAGGTTTTAAGAGTTTATTTTTACTATTTTTTTTAGACTAAATATAAAAAAAATATATATTTGTAATTTTAGATGTTTAGAAATTAAAATTTTAAAATTTATTTACAGTTTGGGCGCTTTTGGGTCAAATACTGTTAAATAAAGACTGCCGAGAGGGGTTAGACGTTTATGAAACCATAAAGGAGTTTGATGCAATTTCGTGAAACCACACGTGAATTTTGTACAATTTAGCCTAAATTTAAAGACATATTAATAAAACATGAATTAAAGGGAAAGAAAATAAATCTTATCTTCCGAGTGGCGAAAATTCTTCCAAACAACTTCATTTAATATTACACAAGATTCATATGCGAAAATGTTGGATACGACAAAAGCACGATCAATAAATCATGGGAAACATTTAATAGCATATAGATCGCGACAATAAAATTTATTAAGAAGCAAGAAAGCAGCGCGGCAAATCCTCAACTTATGTTAAAATAAATGCAAGAAACCTTATGATCAGGATAGCTGCACAAATGGTGTAGTAATTCAGTTGTGTTGATATGTTTCTCACCTTAATCTCCGACGTATAATCTTCTAATAAAAGTACGTTGAGGATGTCAAAGAAAATCTGCGATGTTTTCGAAAGAAGACAGTGTTAGCCCTTATTGAACAATACTTTTTACCCCTAAAAAAAGACATGTCATCCATGTATAAATACATCCTTAACTTAAAACATTCGAAAAACATAAGAAAAAAATAATTTTTATGTCATGAATAAAGACATAATCAGCTCATAGTTTATTATTACCATTGCCAAATAAATATATGCAAAAGTGTCTTTGATAGCCACATGCAATTTAACATATATAACTAACCAAGTACAAATTTGTATAGATCCAGTTAAACATAGGTATGTTCGTTTGTGTTTTTTAGTCCAAAATTCAGACAATTATTATTATTATTATTATTTTTCTTTCAAGCCTTCACATTTTAAAGACAGAATGCATGAAATTTAACTTACAAAACCCTATACACATTTACATCTTTGGAGATGTGTTTGTGAGTTAGATAAGAGGAAAATAAACATCAAATCCAGGTGAAAAGAAATAAACATTTTCAAGAAAATTGAAAAAATTAAAAAAATAAAAAAATAAAAAAAAAAACAAAAATCCAAAAAATGCCATAGATAAACCCTAGCTGCTGAGATGTGAATAAGTTGGTTCCCCTCAAACAAAAAAAAAAGGAAAAAACACAAATCTCTTCTAAAATCCAAACCTAACTATACTAACTAAACCATCCCAAAATCATATCAAAAAAAAAAAAAAAAAAAAAACTATATCTTAAAAAATTCAAATAACAAAAAAGTTACCAAAATAGATCAGATGAAGCAAACAAATCCAAACAAACAACCAACAATAATAGATCTGAAAATCGACTCAAACTAGGTGTAGATGCAGATCTTCAAGAGTAAACAATCACAATTTATTTTTACTTCTCTGGATTTGTAAGAGAGAACTCTGAAGAGTTTTCTCGATTATATTCTTCAGACAAGCTGTGGTGGGTGAGTGAGGAAAAAAAATAATGATGTGGAAAAGATTCTTTTTCCCAAACCTATAAAATCTGGGGGTATATTTGACAAAACAAAAATTATAGTCAAAGTTGACTGTAATTGTAATACAGTAACCCTAACTGTTTGTTTGGGAGATTGAATTTCATTTATATTATTCATTCAATTTTTTTTATAAAAAATATCAAATCAAACACCTATTTTTTATTTTTTATATTATATTAAAAATTAATTTTACATTTAAACATCACATCAACACCTATTTATATCACATCATACAACTATTCAAATTCAAAATTTTTATTATTCAAATCCCAACTCAAAATCCAAACCCCCAAACAAACACATATTAAATGGAATAATTTTTCATAAATATAATTATATATTTAAAATAATGTAATACAAAATATTATTATTTTTTTATATTAGTAACATATTTTTTCATATATATATAGCATAAAAATACATTCATTAGACAACTTATATTTAATATTAATGTTAATCTAATTGTGTAAAAAGTAAATATTTTTTCATGAAAATCCTTATATTCATTATTAGCTACTGATTATTTTAAGGGATAATTTAAAATTAATTTTCATTAAATCTAAATTTATTTGAAATTTTAAATTGGAATATTTTAAATTCAAATTACAAAACTTTAAAAATCATCCATTTTATTTTTGTGGAAAATAAATCATAATTACAAACAATTTATAATGAGTTTTTAATTTTGATTCAAAATATATTTATTTAAAGATGTTGATATATATAATGACACACAAATATGGTAATTTTCGTACTCTTTTAATTTTACTTTTATAAAATAAAAATGATAGTTTTGTATATCTAAGAAATATTTGAAACATTGTGGTTTGAAATTTTGATTTAAAATACTAAAAGAACAAACTTTCATTTGTATTATTATTATTATTATTATTATTATTATTATTATTATTTGATATTATTGAAGTGAAAATAATTTTCGGTACAATATATTTTATAGAAATTGACACTAATGCGATATTATTCACTTATTGTCTCACTCCTTGCTACTTCACATTCAATTTCCTAAATTTTTCTATTTCTTTGTATAATGTACCTAATCCAATCTTCCGCGAGCGTACGATGCGTGTTGAGATCGACTGTCATTTTATTTGGCATCACATCGAGTCGAAACTTATTGATGTACTCTCTATTCCTTCAAAACAGTGACCAAAAAAAGTATTTTTTCATAAATTTTATACATTATTGTATTAATTAATTTTTGGATCTTCATATACTACAATACCGTAAATTATTATTGTATCTTCTACTATATACTACTCCTTCCGTCCGCCTCTAAGGGTCATATTTACCTTTTGCATCATTGTATTTAACGTTAAAAATATTCTTATGTTTGTATAATTTTTTTTGTACGAATGTCCTTCTATTAGTACCTTAATACTAATAGAAGTTCGACCATGGAGGGAAGCCGCTTATCGATTGGGGAGACATAATATCTGCAAAAAATAAATAAATAAATAAACTATTACAACGTATTCCTACTATATTGTAACAATGATCGCAAGGAATGTATAAATATGTACACATCTACAAACTTGTTCCTTTTTAAGAGCCGTAGCCACCCAGAAGGCGTTTGAGGAACACTACACTATAAGTATTTAATTAGCTACAATATTTTTAATTACGAAATTAATAAATTAAGTATTACAAAATTAATTTCGTTATTAAATTTTTTTTACTAAAATTCTATTTTTAGAGCAAAAAAGTTTTAGATACAAAAGATCGACGCGGGAAAGTACCCGAGCACCATAATTCCGACTCGACGGATGGGATGGATCGACACCGGGCAGCTTTATGCCGACGAGAAGAGGGACTTCCTCGCTTCGATCCTCGTCCCGGCCAACGAGCCTTCGTTGCTGAAGATAACTTACGGCTACCGAAATGCCGTATTCGACAAATCGATGGAGGAGGAGCCTCGCCACATTCACGTCGCGAGAATCGACGTTGCTCGACGGGAAATTGTTCCGAAACATATGGAGAGATATCTGATCTGGGTTCGGGTAGTCGACGTGATGGCGGTCGCGAGACACGCCGCCAACGACCAAGATTTGTTGCGCGCCAAGGAGATCATCGGGAGCGCGGCTGAGATGCTAAGCGAGACGGGGCCAGCGGAGGACAGAGATCGAGTGTGCTTGTCACTTCAAAGCGAACTGGGTGTGATGAAGGAGGCGTTGACGAACGAGCAAGTGTACGAGACGTCGGGTCGAGTGTACGTTCTGTCAGTCGTAAGCTCGCACACTTGGCAGCGAGCGACGACCCGCGGCGAGTCATCAGAGGGCTCGATGGTGTACCAAACTCCGGTAATGTCCGAGATGGTTAAACGTGCTCGGACAACTACGTCGAACCCTTATACTTCATTGACAAATTTATGTCTTAGCTTTTTTTTTTTTTTTTTTTTCCTGACGTAGAACCCACCACAGCCGCTAACCGAAAATGCACTGGGTAAACCCCGGCCAAACCTAATACGTGCAAATTTATGTCTTACCTTGAATAGGTCTATTGTAGCTCAAATATTTCATTTTTAGGAAGTACTTTTTGTGACATTTTGTACAAACATCATGGATTTGATCTAATTTTTCATGTATATATATATATATATATATATATAATATGCATACATTAAATCAAGTAGTGACACAACCATCGCTTAATAATTAGGTCGTAACAAGGGTATGTGTGTGTGGATAAAAAAATTATACATATTTTTAATACTAACTAATCACATAATATGTTATTATTGGAGTACAAACCCAAGTCCCACGTCGAAAGTTGTAAAGAAAATTACACAGCTTATAAGTCCCAAGTAAACTCCACTAGTATGAGGCATTTTGGAGGATATTCAAAAAAAAATCCGTACGGGCTCAGCCTAAAGCGGACAATATCTTTGAGTTGATCCAGTCCCAACAGTTATTTTGATATTTCTTAACAAGAATCATATATAAAGCCAACAAAAACCATAAAAAAATCACTATCTTTGTGTCCATGATATGGATCTTGCTCGTATTTCCATTTATTTTTATGAAAGTACAAAAGCAACAATAGTTTTGTCGAAAGACAGAACAGGATCAATAAAATTGTGTCGACGAATCAACCATGTATGCACTATTATTGTATATTTTTCACAAATGATGGTTCCGTGAGAAGCGCACCTTTCTTTCCCGCCAACATTGGTTGCGAACTAGCAAACTCTGTCAAGAGGTTGCCAATCTGCTCCACATAAAGGGCAATCGTGTTGGCGAGCTTTAAGTAATCTACGATTCATTGCGAACAAAATTCCCTCAATATATGTTTGGCCGGGCTTCTTCATCTCGCGATCGCATATTGGGCATTTTGGAATCTGCAAAATGTTAAACAATTTAAGAACATGTGTATGTCACGAAACTGCTCTCATTTTGTTCTTGGCTTTCTCTTTGGATCTCGAACGGACACTCTGGAAGGCTGTTTACAGCTTGGTCTTCGGGTTAAATTTATTATTCGTCATTGAGAGAAAACAGAAATTCGGAATTCTTGGAGCGGATGATTTCCAGTGGTTTCTTGAAGAAGAAGAAGAAGAGAAGAATCGAGTTTGTTCACTTTGTGTTTTGAAATGAATTTATTTTTTATGTTAGCTATGGAGAATTGTGTTAAGTAATATATAAAACAAAATTTTGTGTCGGAAGTTTGACTTTTGTGAATAAATAATATATATATTATATTATATTAGTGCGTATATATTATGTTTTTAAAATAATATTTATAGAGAATTGTGTCAGTAAAAAATACAATGACACCAAATTGAATATATGTGTTGCTTTGGCGGCTGCAACTGAAATATCACTTTTAATTTAATAGTAACACTTGTTCAAAACTATAAACATATTAAATAAACATCAATTAAATGTTGTGAACTTGTGGTTAAAAAGGAAAATATATCTTATTTTCCGAGTGGCGAAGATTCATCCAAAAAAACTTCATTTAATACTACATAAAATTCATAGGCGAAAATGTTGGATACGACAAAAGCACAATATTACATGAATTTGTCGATTAAGTTTAAGTAGCAATGATACTAGCTGGATAGTTTCTCGTATCGTATATTTTTCCGTGAATTTGTCACAGAAATGTCACCACTTAAAAAAAATCACCAGCAAAATTCAACTGAAATAGTTCCGTATATTTTTCCGTGACATTTTAGTAAAAAGTCATCAATTTGTACTAAAACCGTGACTTTTTTTACCGCAACTATAGCCTAATTTTCTGATAGTGAGAATTCACTTTCCGAATATGATATTTCAACCTTTTATTGCTTCGAATTACACAAAATTCGTATTAGATAATGCGACTTACAACCAAATGTAAACAATCTAAGGACTTTAATATACATATATATATATATAAATATATCAAATATTAAACACTAATTTTAAAAAATTATGCCGGACCAGACAAGCCTGAAAACTTTGAGGCATATTTTCGGAGGTCCAAATACTATTTTTTTTGCGTTAGTACCAAATTTTAGGACCGTATCTTTGCCAACTTTATATGAATAGTTGAAAAACAATTATCAACAATGCAAGACAAGAAGTAGATCAAATCCGTCGATGTTTGTACAAAAATGTCGTAAAAAAAAAAAAAATATTTCGAGGTACGATAGACCTATTGGACGTAAGACATGATTTCGTGGACGAAGTTTAAGGGTTCGACGTAGTTGTCCGAGCCCGTGTAACCATCTCGGACATTATCGGAGTTTCGTACAGCATCGAGCCCTCCGACAACTCGCCGCGGGTCGTTGCTCGCTGCCAAGTGTGCGAGCTTACGACGGACAGAAGGTACGCTCGACCCGACGTCTCGTACACTTGCTTGTTCGTCAACACCTCCTTCATCACGCCGAGTTCGCCTTCAAGCGATAAGCACACCCGATCTCTGTCCTTCGTTTGCTCTGTCTCGCTTAGCATCTCGGCTGCGCTCTCGATGATCTCCTTGGCGCGCAACAAATCTCGATCGTCGGCGGCGAGTCTTGCGTGCACCATCGCGTCGACTACCCGATCCCAGATCAGATATCTCTCCATATGTTTCGGGACAATTTCCCGTCGAGGAACCTCGTTTCTCGGGACGCGAATGTAGCGAGGCTTTTCCGACATCGGTTTTCCAAACACGGCATTTTGGTACCGGCAAGTTATTTTCAAAACCGACGACACGTTGGTTGGGACGAGGATCGAAGCGAGGAAGTCCCTCTTCTCGTCAGCGTAAAGCTGCCCGGCGTCGACCCATCCGATCCGTCGGGTGTGATTTATGTCGCTAGGGTACTTTCCCGCGTCGAACTTGTGTAGAAAAACCCCTCGGCCGCTGTACTCGATTTTGATGACGAGATCCTTCGCGACGACGCTCGAAAGCCCTCCGATGCACTGCGCAAACGCCTGCACGATGTTGTCTTCGTGTTCGATGAACGAGTACGTCCCTCGCGTGATGTCGGCGATTGCGTACATGCCGCCGGCGTCGTGATCGAATCCAAGTCCGAATGTATGGATCGGGATTCTGAACCTCGTGACTTCGTCGGGTATGAGCGAGTCGGGAAGGAGTCGTCGGTAATTCGGATGGTGTCTAGTGTCGCCGCAGAAATCGTAAGAAATCGTGTGCGTGTCGAGGCCGTCGGAGAGCAGCATAATTCCGGCGACAGGATTCTTCATCGTCCGATCGTCCATCACTTTCGCCGCCTTTCTCAACCCCTCGGCCATGTTCGTTGTGCCTGTCGCAACCAAAAGATCAACTTCTTGTAAAGCGATTCGCCTTCCGTCAACAGACATCCTCCGAAGAGGAAACAGTCGTCGAGCCTCCGAGGAGAAGGCGATAACCGACAGCCTGTCGTCATCGTCAAGATTCTCGATCACGAACTTCATCGCCCGTTGCATAAACACGAGCTTCGTCCCGTGCATGCTCCCGCTAACGTCAAGAATCACAACAAGATCAATCGGAGGATACGATAATTTTGGTACTCCATAAAAAACCGGAGCTTTTAAGCGAAGCACGATGTTGAAATTTTCGACCGTGCTCAACTTCTTGATGGATCGAAGTTCCGGAAACACCTTGAGTCGAACTCCCTGTAAATCCTTGGAGGCCTCGACAGGAAGAGTACTTACAGCCTCGTCATCGTTGAAGATTGAAGGCTCGATGTACCGATCAGGCGGGCGACTGGTAGAAGCTTCCGGAACAGGGGAGACGGAATGGCTCGGATTTACGAGATGACTTAGCATCGAAAATTGTAAGCTGTAGAAGTATGCGGCGAGCTGCCGCCATCGAATTCGACAAACCGGGCATGTTCGACCGCCGTTCTTGAAGAACACTATGATGCACTTGAAATGGTATTCGTGAGAACAGAATGCTTTGAATATGTTCTGTTCTGGATGCAGTTTTCTTTTGCATATGAAGCAATCCTCAATCTGCAAAACGAAGATCAAACCAGAAAGATTTACGTATGAATCAGTACAGCAAGGAAGAATCGAAATCTGAGTGAATAACAGCTCAAAGATGAATAATATTACACAACATTTAGGTTAAACTGCAAAATCCCCAAATTCAAGTTTGGTAGGGTTTTAACCGAATTCGAACTAGTACAAGAACAATCAAATTATACGATTTAGCAGTTCAATCTTTGAGTCTAACAAACAGAATCGATCGTCAATTGCCTAAATTGAAATGGGATTCTTGAAGAAATTCAAAATCGATTTGAATCCGGTGCCCTAATTTTTTTAACAAGACAATGAAATCAAAACACGTTGTAAAACTAATTCATGTTGACGAACAATCTTTACAGAGAATAGTGAGAAATCAAATAATAGTATAAGAAATGAAGTTAGAAAGCAACCACACGCTGTGGCGCAGGCGGAGGCCGAGGCGGAGCAGATGCAGGATTGTGCGGCGGCGGATGACTGTCACTGGAGGCGTCATCGGCGGCGGCGGCGGCGATGGTAAGACGCGTTGATCGGAACCTGTCCCTGGCTGCTTTGAGCTTAGTTTTGAACTTCCTAGCCATAGACGATGTGGAAAGTGCAGAAGAATCTTGAAGCTTTGGTGTTGGTGGTTTTCTCTGAAGAAGAAGAAGAAGAGTTCAAGCATGATAAATATGTACATGTATGTATGTGTATATGTATACGTGCATGATCAATGTAAAAATTATTAGGGCTTGTTTGGGTGGCTTTTTTTTCTGTTATTCAATTATAATAAGTAATATAAACATGTATATGGAAGGTTTTTCAAATATATATATTATCTCACTTTCTTTTTTTTATTATGTCACTTTTTTTAAAAAAATAATAATTAAACACTTTAATTTTATTTTAAATTTTTAAATTTATATTATTTTTTTATATTAATAAAACTAATTAATTATTTTAATTTTAATTTACAATTATTTTTAATAATACATTCTTATTTATTTACTAATTATATCACTACTAACTTTTTGTGTCTACAATAAAAAAAAAAATACACTGAATAGAGAGAGTATATATTTTGTGTGAATATGTATATATTGTAATTTTTTCTCCTTTTTCCAACTTAATGTAACATTCTTAATATATTTATTTATTTAATTATTTCACTCAAAAGTATTTATTGATGACACAAATATAAACATTAGAGTTGGACTGATGAATATTATTTTTTAATCGATTATAAAAATTTAAAATGATAAATTCATTTGTAACGGTAAAAAAAATAATATTATTGATTGATAAGCATGTCAAAAACCTTTTAACACGTTTTGATTTTTATTTATTTATTTTTTTCTTTTCATTTCAATTGTATTTTCATCTAGCCTTTATGAAAATATTGAGATTTTATTTTCTAAATAATTTTTTATTCACATAATTCTTAATTATTATTATAACAAATATAATATATATAATATCAACAATTTAATATAAAATATTATTTTTTAATACAATATCATAATTATTGTAAATAGAAAAATATAAAAAATATATATTAATAAATAATTAAAAATATATAAGTAAAAATAATTATAAATTTAAATTAATATAACTAATTAAAATTAAAAAAACAATACATAAATTTAAAAAATTAAAATGTACTTAAAATATGTAATTCTTTTTTTAAAAAAATGACATTCAACGGCGAGTTATTGGATAATAAAAGAATATTATTTTTGTTGGGATATGAAGCCTGATTATATCCTAAAATCTAGGGATATGATTTGGATATTATATTTTAGATTTTAGAGATATGATTTGGATATTATTGTCAAAGGCTTAGGCTATAAATATCCATGTATTCTCACTTTAACATGTGCCTGCGTACTTTATAGTAAAATTCCTGGCTTGGCAGCGCCCCCAGACGTAGATCTTTGTGATCGAACTGGGTTACCAAATTCTTGTGTTCTATTGTCTTTGTTTTCTCATCTTGATTTCCTGAAATTTTCATAACAAGTGGTATCAGAGCCTAGTTCGTTGATAGGGTGGATTGAGAGGAATCGGACGTTGGATCGTTGTGGGAATCCCTTGTGACCTGCGGAGGTACCTTGTGTCGAAAGTCTCCTGGCGGTGTTGGGTCGGTCCCGACTGGTAGGTCAGGCAGCGAGTCCCTTTGTGATAGGCGGTGCAAGATTGGTAGGGAAGGATAAGGGTTTCGGCAAACGCAGCGGAATATCCGATGTGCTCTCATATCAAGTGAACCTTAGGTTTGTTTGTGGGAGTCAAGATGGGTGATCGTCGTGTTGTCAAGGTATTCGATGGTATGAACTTCGGTTTCTAAAATATGCATATAGAAGATTACATGAATGGTAAAGATCTAGATGCGGTATTGAAGGAGAAATCCGAAGACATGGATGAAGCCGAATACAAGAAGATCAACAGGAAGACGATGAGTGCGGTTCGACTAACCCTTTGGGAGAATGTGTCGACTGAATTTAGATTTGAGGCAAAAGGAAAGGGTGAAGATCAAGAATGGTCAAAGTTGAAGCCGAAGAATAAGGACAAGGAAGATGCAAGTCAGGTGGTATATTGGAACTGCAAGGGGCACTTGAAACGACAGTGCAGGGCGCCGGAGAAGGATCAGGGTTCAGCAAACGCAACGGAGGAGATATCCGATGCGCTGATTCTGAGCGTCAGCAGTCCAATGGAGTCATGGATTTTGGTCGAACGTCATTCCACTCATGCAGTGATTCGAGAATCATGTAATCCTATACCACAGGTAATTTTGGTGTTGTCTATCTTGGAGATGATGAGACACTGAAAATTGTAGGTAAAGGAATGATTCGAATCAGAACACCGAATTGTGGGGAGTGGAGATTGGATGAGGTATGTTGAAGTGGAAGATGAAATCAGTCTTCAAGTGGGAGATTGTTGGGATATGAAGCCTGATTATATCCTAAAATCTAGGGATATGATTTGGATATTATATTTTAGATTTTAGAGATATGATTTGGATATTATTGTCAAAGGCTTAGGCTATAAATATCCATGTATTCTCACTTTAACATGTGCCTGCGTACTTTATAGTAAAATTCCTGGCTTGGCAGCGCCCCCAGACGTAGATCTTTGTGATCGAACTGGGTTACCAAATTCTTGTGTTCTATTGTCTTTGTTTTCTCATCTTGATTTCCTGAAATTTTCATAACAATTTTTTATAAACAAATATATTTTTTTATAAAAAAAAAAAAAAAAAACCACATCATGTTATAATATGCAAAGACTATATTGTCCTCGTCGTTGCAATGTGGCCCAGACAACTGCCATGGCAGCAGACAGACACCGCTGTCAGCTCTACTCTTCAATTCACAGGTCGTTTTTCTTCCTTCAAACATGGATGGAGGAGCATGTGATTGGCAGCTGTCTCAGCCCCAGACGCGTCGTAAGCTTTGTACAAACTCTAACGCGCTGTAATTCCATATCTATTATTATTGGATCTGAGAATTTCGCCGGGATTTGTGACCATCAGGTTTGTCGGTTACTCTATCGGTTTATTTATTCACTTTCTACGCTTACTTCGCCTTCAATGATTGAATGCGGCCATCACTATAAATGTTAAGTCCCTGTCAATCATGTTTTTGCTCGATCGGAATCACTTCAATTTCGGAACCCTAGAAAGCTCTGCTTCGGGGTTCAATTCTGAATTTCTCGATTCTTTTACTCAATTCAATTAATGGAGCGTCTATTGATGTCATTGCGATGTGCAATTTTTCTTCTGTGGTTGAATTTTTGGGTTCCAATTTACTGTTCTTCGCCAAATGCGAATCAGGAGAGTGATAGAATCACTTATTTGCCAGGGCAACCTGGAGCCGTTGGATTCAATCAGTACTCAGGCTATGTGACGGTGGATCAACGGGCTGGGAGAGCTTTGTTTTATTGGTTAACGGAATCTCCGGCCGATCGGCGGCCGGAGTTGAGGCCACTTGTTTTGTGGCTCAATGGCGGCCCTGGATGCTCTTCTGTGGCTTTTGGAGCTGCAGAGGAGATCGGTCCTTTTAGGATTCGATCGGACGGGAAGACATTGTACCTCAATCCTTATTCCTGGAACAAATGTACGTCGAAAAATTGAATTGGTGATTTGAATTCCTTTTGGTATGGTGCTGGGATTCGATGTTTGTTTCATTGCAGTGGCGAACTTGCTATTCCTAGAGTCCCCGGCCGGCGTTGGTTTTTCGTATTCGAATACTTCGACGGATTTGTATACTGTAGGTGATCAAAGAACAGGTAAACTGGTTTTCCTTATTTGCAATGGTTTGACATATGGAGTTGAATCTATGGATATGCAGAAAAATAGGTAGCTTGATATATACATTTCTCTTTTTTAGATCCGCATCTATTTTAAGTTACTGTTTATGGTAAAATTGCACGGGTTTATACGTTTGTTACATACCAAATTTGGTTATTTGTGGCATTCCATTGCTGAATTTGATATTAAGAAGGAATAGCGACAATGGTGGACCATTTTGGTAGTATTTTCGTAAATCAAACCATTTTGGTTCGAACTTGAACTTATAGATGTTAATGAAGTCTAATTTAATGCTCGATGAAATGTTGATGAATGTTATTTGTTGAATTTTGTTGATTTTTAGCCGAAGATGCATACACATTTCTGATGAACTGGCTCGAGCGGTTTCCTCAGTATAAACATAGAGATTTTTACATTGCTGGAGAAAGTTACGCAGGTCTGAAGTTTCGAGGTCTTTTTAGTTGTACGTTCATGAAATCTATGATGTTGACTATGATAAATCTTATAAATGAATTCCGGGCCTTTTACTCAACAGGACATTATGTTCCACAACTAGCTGAAGTCATTTACCGAAGAAACCAAGGAATTCGAAATCCCATTATTAATTTCAAGGGATTCTTGGTACTAACTAAGATCATACTTTAATCGTTAAGAGTTTAGTTTGGTTGTGACAGTCATTTTTCTTAAGTTTCGTTTTGCATTTTTTTGGCTTCAGGTGGGGAATGCTGTGACTGATGATTTCCATGATTATATTGGCACATTTGAGTATTGGTGGAGCCATGGTTTAATTTCAGATTCGACGTACAAACTTCTGCGTACAACCTGTAACTCAGGCTCTTCCGTTCATCCATCGAATGACTGTGTCAAATCTCTTGAACTAGCCAATCGAGAAATGGGGAACATCGATCCATATAGCGTATACACTGCGCCCTGCAACAGCACTTCGTCCCTTAGGCGTGGATTAAGGGGTCGCTACGTAAGTCTTGGTTCAGCTTTTCATTAAATTACAATCAGCCCAGTGTTTACTTCTTAGGATTAGATCAAATAAATAATTATTCGCTTAAGGGAGAAAATAAGCATGGCTTAAAGTCGTTAAAATCTTTAACAGAAAAACATATGGATCTTGTAGTTGATGGCAAAAATCGAACTTATGATCTGATAAGTGTTCATTCTTTTATACTCCTATCGGAAAGAATAGTTTGTTTGGTTTTGGTTTGTGTTTGAATTCTTTTATTTGAATTTTGGTTTAAATTGTATTTTAATATGATGTTTTTCGAGAGAAAATAGTATATTTTTATTAAAAATCACGCAAGCTGAATAGTGTTTAGTCGCATAATTGTGGGAGTCGTCACTCCAAAATAGAGATTTAATCTTTTAGTGGACCAAAAAGGCACAATTTTCTTCGGCAATTGGATACTTTGCATTGCTATGTATTTTGAATGCTGTTATTTCAAATGCAGCCATGGATGTCTCGAGCATACGACCCGTGCACTGAAAGGTACTCTAAGATTTTCTTCAACCTGCCCGATGTGCAAAAAGCAATGCACGCTAATACGACGAGGCTTACCTACCAATGGCAGACGTGCAGGTACTGTTTTATTAGCTTAACAGTTGTTCTCATCTTTAATTGTGCAAGTTCAAAACTTATCGAATAAAACTTCTTTTCACCTTGCAGCGATACAGTTGGTAACTACTGGACTGACTCTCCAATGTCAATGCTTCCGATATATAAAGAACTTATTGCCGCGGGTCTCAGGATTTGGGTGTTTAGGTACGATGCAAGTTCGTTTAAATTGCATTTCAAATCTTGTGTAGGAAACCTGTGATGATCTTGCCCTTTGCTTCAGCGGGGATACTGATTCAGTGGTGCCCATTACAGCAACTCGTTATTCGATTGATGCTTTGCGGCTCCCAACCGTAACAAAATGGTACCCTTGGTACGACAGCGGAAAGGTAAAGTTCTCAACCGCTCATTCGAAATATTTACTTTGAAAGTATAGGCAACTAATAGATTGATATTATTAGCCATAAGATTGTCGACAAGTATTAGAATGTTTGAATTTCAAAAGAGAATAATGATTAGTGTTTATAATTTTAGATTTTTTGTTGTGTGGTGCGGAGAATCATGAAAGTATTATAGGAAATTATGTTTCGCGTGTTTTTGTGGACTTGTATGATTTTGTAAGACTTTTATTGCTATGTTTATATATTGTACTCTTCCGGCTGGCTCTAATGGTTACTTTTACTTTTTACGTGTTGATCTTTAATATTATTTATTATATCAAAATATAATACAAATTAAGAGAAAGACAAAAATACTCCTATTAATATTTTATAATTCTTATATCTCCGGACGGATATAGTATTATTTTTTTAGTAATATTGTTGGAAAATCTTGTCATCTTAAAATACTGAGTGAACACGCTATACATATGTCTAACTTCTTTGTATTTATATAGCGAGATAATGTTTTCCTAAGAGGCTATATTCGACTCAAAAGCTTAAAGCGAACGAGTCTATGATCATGTCTTGCACGTGTATATATATATATATATGTGTGTGTATATTTTTATCGGTCCTTTGATTTATTGTGAATTTTATTTCATTATAACATATAGGTTGGTGGATGGAGCCAAGTGTACAAAGGATTGACATTAGTGAGCGTGACGGGAGCAGGGCACGAGGTGCCTTTGCATCGCCCGCGACAAGCATTTATTCTTTTTAGATCATTCTTGGAGAACCGTCCCATGCCTACGTGATTCAAGTTTGTTTTAGAACGAATATTTCGTTTCATTTGAGGCGACCGAAGGGAAATAAGGTACCCGTTCTGTTACATGCTCGATTGTTGGTTAGAATTAGCGGCTAAAAAGAGTAAAGCCGGAGTAGATATTGTAGAGGCAAATATGAATAATGTTTACATTGATTCGTTTATATGATTCGTATAGTTCTATAACTTCATTCGGTGTTGTTATTACTATTTATATTTCGTAACATGAGAATCTGCAACTGTTATACTTTAAATGCGCATTAGGTGAACTTTTAGGTCGAAAGCAATTGAGTACAAACTACTAGTCTTATGTAATATTGAAAAATTTAATATACCCTTCGATTCAATAATGTCGATTTAAATGCATCCCATGTATATGTATATATATATATTAGTCCCTCCGTCCCACATAATTTGTCTTTATTTTCTTATTTTTATCTGTCTTACATAACTTGTCTTTTCTATTTTTAGAAATATAATTATGCACTTTAATCGCATCTTAAATTTTAAATTTTATAATTCTTAATTTTAATCAAACTATTTATTTATCTTAATATTAATTTATAATTATTTTTACTAATACACTTTTTAATTATTTCTTAATTATATTTTATCTAAATTATCGTATCTAGGATAAAAAAACCAAACGGAGGGAGTATATGATTAGTATTTATAAAATTGGAAGGTCATAAAAGATGACTTTGATAGTAGTAGTTACATATCATTGAAAATTGGAAATTAATCATGTTGATATTATAATAATTGTACTTTAATTTGATGGGGTTGTAAATATTAAATAATATAAATTCATTGTATAATACAGTATATTTGACTAATTTTAAATTCCAATCAAAATCTTAACATGATGTTTGTATTGTTAGTCAAATATTTACCATGTCTAATCTGGATTTGAAATTTTTAATATATTATACAGCATGCATATTTTTATTTATTTTTTCTGCAAATTACTAAGTCGGGTAAGTCCTGCGTAGGCGGCTCAATGGAAGAGCAGTTAACTCACTACACCAATTCCTTCACACTTATGAAAGTTTTCTTTTTTAAAAAAAAAAATATATATGTATATATATTTGCTTCGATATAACCAAAATTTATTATTTTTTTGTCCAAATATAAAAATTTTATCAAAAGTGATTCCAATATAACTAAAATTCATTATTTTTTTGTCCAAATATAAAATTCTTATCAATTTTGATCCCAATATAACCAAAATTCATCATTTTTGTCCCAATATAACCAAAACTCATCATTTTTTGTCAAAATATAATATTTTTATTAATTTTAGTCCAAATATAACCAAAACTCATCACTTTGTTACGGAACAGGAGTATAATTTTTTTATCGCATGAAAAGGAGTTTTATTTTTTTATTTCGAGTGCTCTAGTTATTGATAAATAAATATTGATGTGATATTTTAAATGTAAAATTAATTTTTAAAATAATATATTCCCTCCGTTTGAAGATAATTGACCTCTTTAGTAAGGAACACCGTATTTAAGGTAATAATATTTAATTAGTTCATCATAATTAGTTATAATATTATTTTTATTATTTTTTATGTAATCAATAATATTGATAGTTTTAAAATAAATTTAATATATTATTTTCGTCCGACTTTGAGGATCTCATTTATTTTTTTTCATATTAATTATAATATAAAAACGTAGTACAAGGAAAAAATGACAAAAATATTTGTATTAGTATCTTATAATATTATTATAATACAATGACACAAAAGATAAATAGTACCATTGGAGCGGATGGAGGGAGTATATAATTAAAGAAAAGTAGAAATGTATTTAAATATTTTAAAATTGTATTGCAGTAAAAAAATATATGTAATATAGATATTATTTTGTAGAAAATAGAATTTTGTATAATAGAAATAAATAAAAAATACTTATATTTATCTATAATAACAAAGTAATTTTATAAAATATATAAAATGTTAAATATAGATAAAAATATTTATATTTTTTAGAAGAACGATAGAAATAAATGAGTTTTGAATAGGTCCGTAAATTTTATCCAAAATAGAAATTAAAGGTGTCAGTAAATAAAAAATATGTAGATTGTTATGAGATAAAGGAGTTTAAAAAATATATATAAGTAACTTGATTTGATATTTTTTTTTAAGAAGAAATTTATATAAATAATAAAAATTGATGAAAGGTTGGTTTGTTTATAATATTACATCCAATTTTATACCAGTATTATTTACTAATATATGTAAAATTATAATTATTATTATCTATTCTTATTTAATACTCCGTCCGTCTCAATACAATAATTTTGTTTACTATTTTTGTCCGTTCCAAATTAATATTCTTATTTTCATAAATAATAATATTAGTGTAAAATTACCTCTACTTTTTTATTTTTATTACACAATTGCCACTACTTTTTACACTAATACACTCATAAGGACAAAAAAGTCTTTTATCCATATTTTTTACCAACTATCAATATAATATCAATATTTCTTAAATCTCGTGTCCAATCCAATTAAAACTGTAGTTCTGGGACGGGACGAAGGGAGTATATTATATTTTTTTATTTAAAGTAGTAGTATATATTTATATTTATTTTTTAAATTATATAAAAATAATAAATTCTATTTAAGATTTAACTATTTTTAAAATAATCAAAATATACACTATTAAAATGGAGAGCATCTTATTAGGGATGCCGGATGCGTTTGTTTGTTTGGGTTTAAAATTTGAATCTTATCCGTATGTTATAAATAGATTTTAATGTGTTAATTTGAATGCAATAATTAATTTTTAATATAATATAAAAATAAGTACTTATTATATATTTTTTTTTAAAAAAATCATGAATATAAAAATGTTGTAAAAAAATACCAAACAAACACATCCCAAATGTCTTTGTTCCCTGTCCACTGCCAATCTTTTCATTTGTATTTGGCGTCATTGTTTTTAATATTAAAAATATTTTTATATTTGTATAATTTTTTGTACAAATTTTATTTCATTAGTATTATAAGACACCAATAGAGTATTTTTGTCGTTTTTCCTTAATTTGTACTACGTTTTGATATAATAATTAATATTTAAATATTAACATTACAAAAAGTAAATGGATAGATCGACCGTGGACGAAAGTAATATTATATTTATTATTTTTTTATATACAAAATATCATACTAATATATATATATATATATATAAAACAAAAAATACAGATATGTCAGCCAAAAAAATACTCTCTCCGTCCAAAAAATATAGTCCTATTATGTTGGTAGTGACTAAAATGCAAAGATAAATAACTTTTTTAGCCTTTAAGTACATTAGTGTAAAAAATAGTGACAATTGTGTAATAATAATGAGAAAGTAAGATAATTTTATGGTGATATGGTTATTTATGAAAATGAGACTATTGTTTTGGGACAGACAAAATGGTAATCAAAATTTGTACTGGGACGGAGGGAGTAAAATAAAAATAAAAAAAAAAAGAAAAAGCAAACAAACAATAGAAAACGTTTCGAGAACGTGGAAATTGTCAAAGTGATTATCAGACAATCAATTAATTAAATGTCTTAATTGTTTTATTTTCTACCATTTAGTTTCTAGAATTATTTTTATTTTATTTTTATGATTACGAAGGGTAATTGTTTATCAGCCTCCAGCGTAATTATCTTCAAATATAAAAACAAATATTCAATCAACAGAGCTTTCTGAAAAATTACACTTATATTATCATTTTTATTATTATTATTATTATTATTATTATTATTATTATTATATATTCTCTCCGTTCGAGTGAAACTGTATGTAATTAAAAAGTGTACCAATAAAAGTAATTATTATGTAATAAAAATAATTATAAATTAAAATATAATTAGTAAGTAATTGAGAAATATATCAAGTAAAAATAATTATTATGTTATAAAAATAATTATAAATTAAAATTAAAATAACTAAATAGTTCAATTAAAATTTAAAAAAATATAAATTATAATATTTAAAATGCTATAAAGTGTATAATCATATTTTCAAAAAAATAACAAATTATTTGAAGCCGACAAAAATATTATTATTATTATTATTTTCACTTTTAGCCTTTATTAATTTTTTTTATTCTTAAAAAATAATAATACTTTTTTCTAGTTCCTTATTATTGGATCTATTCACATTTAAAATTTATTTTCAGTTTATTTTTTTTTTCTCAATTTTAAAATACCAATAAAACCAAAATATGAATGAATAATTTTCAAATATTACATAAACTGTATCAACCATAAGAAGTTTAGAAAATGCTTACGTATGTTCTTACAATTTATTTTCATACTATTGTATATATTTTTTTTCCAACAAAAAATATTACATCAATTTTGACTAAAACTAAAAACATCAAAATAAAATCAAAATACGTATGAAATCAATTGTCAAATCTTTTTAATTTTTCGTTTAAATAAAAATCCAAATCTAAATTGTTGAATAAGTGATTAAGATAGAATGCAACCTCGACGAATCTCTCTCAATCATTTGTGGATCAAATTCACTCTTAACAAAAAAAAAAAAAAAAACTCGAGTCATTTAATTTTGAATAATAATCGAGGTTTTATTCAACATTTAAATAGATGTTAGAACAATAAAATTATGGGTAAAATTATTTTTTTAGTCTCGTATCTGACCTCCTTTATTATTTTAGGACTTTAAGTGAACCATGTCTGAAAATAGTCCCGTAAGTAAAAAAAAAATTCGCTAAAATGGTCCTCCTGTATCGGAGTCGTCACGCTGGCAATCGTTGCTGACGTGGCTAACATGTTATCGCCACGTAGATGCTACGTCGGAGGACCATTTTAGCGAAAAATTTTTACATAGAGGACTATTTTGAGACAAAATCCATTTAAATGTCCTAAAATTGATAAAGAAGATAATATATGAGACTAAAAAAATAGTTTCCCAAGACATTTTGTAAAATAAAAAAAAAATATTCCACATGTCGATGACTTGGCATGTACATGGCAATTACACGACAGCCACGTCAGCAACGGTAGGCCAGCGTGGCAACTCCGGCACTGATGACCATTTTAGTGAAATTTTTTTACTTACGGAACTATTTTCAGACATAGTCTACTTAAAGTCTTAAAATGATAAATGTGGTCAGATAAGACTAAAAA